CTGAGGATACAACCGACGAATCTGAGGATACAACCGACGAATCTGAGGATACAACTGACGAATCTGAGGATACAACTGACGAATCTGACACCAACGACGAGACAGAGGATACCAGCGAAACCGAAGAAGGCGATGACAACTTCGATGAAGAAGAGCCCGAAGAGTCTGATGTGCCAACCTCCTCCTCCGCCGCCATCTCGACTCCTGGACCTCTCGTTCCCACACACAGGCCGTATGCCCCTGGCTCCCAGCACTCTTACGGCTCTGGAAACGGAACCGGTCCCTTTCCCGGAACTGCAACTGGTGCGACTGGCTACGCTTCTGGAACTGCCGTGTTGCCCACTGGAACCGCTCCTGTCTTGCCTACAGGAACTGCGTCGCCCATCGAGCCTTCAGGCAGCTATGGCGCCGGAAACTCTGGATCCAACTCTACGATCGTGGACATCCCCACCCCCGTCCCTGAGCCTTCATCTGGGTACGGCACCGGCGAGAGCGGAGTGAGCTCAGACGTTGAGGCTTCTACCACTGCTGCGCCCGCGACTCCTTCAGGCAACGGGTACAGCACTGGTGAGGGCGAGGGCAAGGTCAGCTCTGATGTCGAGGCATCTACGACTGCTGCGCCCGCCGTCCCCTCAGGAGGATCTTACAACACCGGCGGCGAGGGCGGCGTCAGCTCAGACGTTGAAGCCTCAACCACCGTCTCCCCCGAAGAGCCGTCCCTCCCCATCCCGACCGGCGATGCCCCAGCAGTCACCCCCTCCGGCCTGTACCCAACCGGCGGCGAGGAGCCCTCGGGCATCTACTCCTCCGCCGACATCGTCCCCACCAGCGACGCCGCGCCCGCGTCGCCCTCAGGCAACGGCTATAACGCCGGCGAGGGCGAGACACCTGCTACGACCGCCGCCCCTGCCGAGCCTTCAGGCGATGGGTACAGCACCGGTGGCGATTCGGGCGCTGAGTCCTCCGCCGAACCCGCAGTCCCCTCTGGCGGTGTTTACTCCATCCAAACCGTCGCCAACCCGCCCGAGACGCCTGCCACGACGGCGGCCCCCTCTGGTGGCGTATATTCGATCCAGACGGCCGCAAACAGCCCCTCGACTACGAGCTGCACGAAGACGACGCTCGAGAAGCGCGCAAGGCCGACGCAAGCCACTGTGTTTGTTTGGCCTCAGTGAGCGCTTTTGACTTGATGGATTAATGTTGCTGCATGCATGTTTGGCGCTGGCTAGATTTGGGCTTGGATTTGGATTCAATTCTACACGTCGGGATTTTTGAGGTGTCGTCCATGTAGACGGCATCGATTGCATGCATACCCTGTGGGTCTAGATAGTCACAATGTTCAAACACACTTCTCTATGTTCTGGTCTGTCGCTCTGCGTTAGTCTGACTCTGATGTTGTTTGGGAGTGAGACGCGACACGGGCCGGGCCTGGAGTTCGGAGTCCTGTGCGAAGTCCGGTAAGCGCAATTTCCGCGATCGAAGGCGAGCTGCGCACGTAACCCATCTTGTGATTGCGGGGCGTATGGTCGCGAGAAAAAGCGACGTCCGTTTGGCTCCATTGGGGTGGTAACGTGAAGGCCGGCATTTGTTGCGTCGATTTGATGGCGCTGCTATTGTTCGCTCGCATGAGTCTGCGCCTTGGTATCCGACAGGATCGATCCCTGCCCGGATTCACACCACTGTTGACTGTTACCATACAACTTTATTGAGCGGTGATGTTGCTCCCCACCAGCATTGGAACAGCTTGCCCTCCGCACGTGCACCTCGACGAGACTACCCATCGTTGCAGAAGTGAAGAACTCCTAGGCAACACGAAGCAGCGCCATGAAATAGCCGAGCATCGTTTGGAGAAGGCACGACGCAGAGAGCACCATGACTCGATACTCCTGCATGTTTTAGCACCATTTGGAAGTGATGATGTGGAGAGAAGATTTGCGTAACTTTGGCCTGGTTTTGCACTACCTTGCCGGGTGGTCCTGGCAACTACGTTGAGGCACTTCACCACCATGCATTGACAGCTCCATTATCTGGAATTGTATCGTATCTCAATTTACTCCAATTCAAAAAGGACTATGACGGTCTTCCATGGGGTAATTCTGATCTTCGTCATCAGGTTCGGTGTCTTGTGCTCGACGAGGAGACGTCAAAATCTTACAGACGGGTTGTCGATGTGCTCTAGCGAATCGAGCCGCTCCAGAACACACCATAGACTGCGCAGTTTAGACCTTCTAGAAACCGCAGAGCCGAGAATACCATACTTGCCCTGCCACGATGTTTTAGTACCTTTTAGTCATGAGTGTGTAGAGAGAAGGTCGGCGTGACCTGGGCAGCTTTTACAACTAGCCGAGTGGCCTACTCGTCAGCTTGGAAATATGAGGTTGAGACGCATCACGGAACTTTGATAAGCTTCCTGATCGCTAAACAGCTCCCATACGCATCTGGCCTGCTGGTTTAGTTAGTTCATGTACAGCGTCGATGTAAGCTTTGGAGCATGGAACACACCTGCAAAAGACATAGGTTTCTCGTTATCTACCCTTGAAGAACGGCAAGGGCCTCCCTAGTTATGGAGTTCATGATTTGGAAGTGAACCGAATGAGGCATGCCAGACTTTGTTTTGACTGTTCGCTTCCAGAGGAGCAAACATAAACTTTCCATGCTGCCTTTCCCTAGGGGATGTATTTTCTGTGTTGTGCGGAGACACGACATAATACCCGTGGTATTTTTATATGTAAGGCTATCCAGTTCTTCACTGAATGACGATGGTGTTCATTGTTGCTTAACATATATTAATGCACGGGCATACCTGTACCCATAAACCTCAAGCCCGGATGATATCAATTGGCCTGAGAATAAGACTAAGAACGAGTCCACACATGACAGACGTCTTCCGATTATTATGTTTAGGATACAGTAGGCCTCCCAAATGCACGCAGTCCCGGGATCGATAGTTATGGGTAGATGGAGTGGAAAGAAATAGCGGGGATTTGGCGAGCTTACGTCCCATGAACATTTACTAACCCATGGTTTTTTATGTGCAGCGAAGGAATATGCTGATAATGGTCATCACACGAGGGCAAATGTTGAAACGTCTTAAGATGCCTTCGAGAATTTGTTCTCCGGACGCGTTTCGCTGGCCACGGAGTTATGTTGGATAATCTACGCTGACAAGCTTCCGCGTGATACCCCTAGTGCACAGTGGCCCACACAAAAAACTGGACCTTTACTATACCTTGTCCTGGAGGAACTCACTATACTATACAATTGTAAAAGTATAATCGAACTTGGCTTTGTCCGATTTAGGCTAACTTATCTAGTCTGCACCCACACCTCAGAATAGCAACGTCACCATGACAGAAGCATATGATGCACCATATTCTCCGTCGCCGAGCAGGGCCAGCCAATCTACGGCCCTAGATGAAGCCATCACCCTCAAAGAAGTCCTGGACCGTCTACGTACGCCTAGTAATCATAATACTACTGAAGATGTCCCGAAGCGTGAAGGATCGTTGCCTTTATTGCGTGAACGTAGGAATTGTAACCTTTAGATTGACCTCGTTTGAATCTGATCATTGCCCCCTATTACTTCTAATCTTTGGGAATGGGAAGTAGACATACCCGCCTTAGACCCACATGGTAGTCTTGAAGTGCAGCGGGTGGTTGATTTCAAGCTGCGAAGGTTAGCTGGTCTAGAATAGAATTTATCTAGTAGTCCTAAGCTTGGCTCTTTAGCCGCGCCTGAGTTGAGCCCACCTACTGGCCCTGAGGTGCAATGGTTAGCCTCTTATCCCAATATAGCTAACATTAATGATATTAACGCTATATAGTCTCCTCTCAACTTATGCAAGTTCTCGCATATTTTTGGTTCATCTGACAACGATTCCAACGATATGGGATTAGGGGGTCTGGCCTACAATCTCATTAACGGCACTAACCATGTCACCCCGTCTCTACCCACCCTAGACGAGATAGACGACGCCAAAACTACTATATAGCCTTTATTTCCTACCCCTTAATCCTACTAAACCCCTAAAATATAGCCACCATCTAGAACTAGTATAACTATCTAATAGTATAACCACTTCTAAATCTATAATAAGTACTACGTTAGCGCTGCCACCATTACCCTTATCTCACGCGACGCCTCCCATATTCTCACCTTATTATCTGACCCCACCCACTCTATGCCTATAATTTACGCCAACTATATCACCTATATGGCAACGCCGCAGCCTATAAATATTACCACCACTATTATATCGCTCGTTATGCACCTCTTCTTCCACATTGCCGATGGCCCCAACCCCTATCTCTGGATGGCGGTTCGCAAGGAAGGTGGCCTAGGGCACGAGTCTAAACTATACAATACCATCTACCCGCATCTACTAGAACCTGCCAAGCTCCATTCCCGCGGAAGGTTTATAGAAAAGGTTAAGGCCTAGCATAGGATTAGCGCGTATTACGCATTCTTTACACACCAGCTTAGTCTTAGGGCACTGATTTACGTAAGAGACTTATTACACCCTATAGATATGAGGAGCTATACGTAAGGCAGCGATAACTATTATAATACGTCTAAAGAGGCGGACATGCACCAACCTAGGAGGAATGTGTAATGGGCTGGGCCCATACACGCGCTGCGTGATACCCGCAGCTGTCAGTCATGTGATTCCGCCCCAGAACCTGTAACTTCTGCCCCTGAAGATCCCTATCAGTATTCGGCCCGAACATGCCAATCCTCTTCTGCCTCTGCCTATATAGCTTGATCGCTCCCTCTCGATAGCTCGTTAGCAATCAATCCCTGTTCTCATGCTCCTCTTAGGACCAGTATTCTGGGCACCATCATCGTGTGTTGCTATCGGGGCCTAGCCCCCTACAGAATGCTAGCCTAACGAAGTATCTCAAGGACGAGGTTAAGATTCTAGAGGAGGCGAAGATAAGTGGCGTAGACGAGGTTATACATACGCTATTATAAGATATATTTAGTAACTTTTTCTTAGGGTTTAACGGCAATGGGTTAGGGGGGACTTTTAGGGGTAGGACGCAGTTCTCTAGGGGGGAGAAAGTGAGAGGGCCTTTTCCTAGGTTCAAGCGGGACGTGGAAGGGGAGTAGGAATATATATTAGGCGTTTAGGGCTTTTATTGCGCCAGGAGAGGATGGAAGAATAAGTACCATACTCTTGTAGACTTGCCACAATTACATATCTAAGGCTTGACTCTAAATAGCTGTGTTAGTGCTGCTATTATCCTAGACTATTTCTCTATTACTAGCTTCCCTGCGTAAGAATTACATCCCGTCTCCTAGTCTACAGACCGAATTACATTCTTCCTACACCACGTCAGTGCCTTCTAGTTTCTCTACCAAATTCCACTCATATCGCAGAAGAAGACTTCCAAGGTCTCGCTAAGGCCTCGCTTTCGCGCTTGTGCACTGCTTCAACTACAGCCTTACCTGCTTCCGATGTCACTGTGACCTGCCGGACCCTCAATGGTGGCATACCCAACCTAGGTCCGTGTACCCCACATCAAAACCTTACATCCCACTAATGCATACTTTAGTGCCATCACACACTAGTTCTAACATTCGCCATAATCAGTTCGGCTAGACGGTGGTTTCTTTTACGATCTGTTCGCTCCAACGCTCAACTCGAGTACCGCAAAATAAGAGATAAGTGGCTGAGCCTTATACCTCTATTACATAACCAAAATTATGCCGTTCGCTGCCACTTTGGCTTGGCCACCAACCGTCCCACGCGACCTATCTAAAATTCGTCTATCTAACGACATCTGCGATCTTAGCTTTAGTGCTTATGGGATAAGAAATGCGAACGCTATATAGAGATCACTTTTCTCACGTGACGTTAATATTTAGACGGCCTTCATGGCCGCCAGCACCTTAATTAAGACCTACAGCAGAGTGCACTAACAAATGAATAGACTTTAGAGGGGATCTCAAAATCGTAAGCTGGCTAGGAAGTAAGTGGCCTATAGAAACATCCGTATTAGGGATCAAGCACGTGTACTAACTAGGCCGACCTCCTACTCTTGTCAATGCGGCGCCAGTGGACGTGCAGGAATGCGAGCTGACTTAGACTGCGTAGACCAGCTCCTAAGTTCTTTGACCCGCACCTATACCATAATTACCTGCTTGAGTATGGCGAGCCACTAGTAGCATTATTAATGAAAAGATTTTTCGAATGATAGAGTCGATGGAGAGCACGCGTGTTTGGCGTTGATATCTAGTAAAATTACCTAGAATCTGACAACAGCTTCCTCATGTACACATCAACCCAATGGCCGGGAGCCTTCTCACCAGGCAAGCATGAAAGGTTCCGCCCCGCCACCCGGTTAAACAAGGCCCTACGAGGGCGTGGCGTGAGACGACCGACGACCGACTACAATTCCAGACCTCTGGAACCGAAGGGATTGCGTTGAGTACAGCATCCTAGGCACCATCGTTCTCCTCTATCGAACGAACCTATCTGGCCCGAACTGAGTTCCTTCGCAAAGGTGCGAGCCTTGCACATGGTAATGGTGATGAATCCCCAACCCGGTCGCACAGCATGGGATGCCTCAGAAACTGGCGGCGGAAAGGAAGAAAACGCGATCCAGCGTATCATGCGCAGATGCTATAGTAGTTCTAGGTAAATTATGCCCTCCAGCCGCCTCCATTCCAGCATTGAATACACTGGCAGATTTAAGCTCCAATGATCCCAAGACCGCCTCATCAATCGTTCACGTCGCCTCATCGACTCGCGGACCCCCGACCACCAAAGTTCTAGCAACCAAGATCCAATTGCTCACACACATCGTCGTCAACATCAACACGTCCAGACTCACGACGATCAAAGCACCCCCCATCGGAGCATCCGTATCCGCAGCACAGTAGCATCCTCTTGCGCCCTGAGGCCCCCAGAACCCGCAACTCCACAGTGCACGCAACCGTCAAGACCAGGAAATATAACTTCCCTCGTAACCCTCTCCCTCGGCGAGGTTTGGGGTGAAAAGGAAGGAAAGAAGGGGGAAGGGTCTCACGACATGCACTTTCCAGGAAAAAAGGAAGATCCACTCCACGGCCAACGTCATCACATCACGCATCCACGAAGACACCATCCACAAGCTCCTCCCAAAAAATGCGTCCCCAATCAGAAGCCACGCTCCCGATGAAAAGAAGACGACACACGTCAGCGAGAAGGAAGTTCTCTACTACGAAAGAAGGGAGAGAGAGAAAGAGAGAGGGAGAGAGTAGACCACAACCAACCCCCGGAAAGGCGGTTCCCTCCCACACAAAAGCAAGGATCGTCCGACATGGCCCAACGACAGCCTGGCACCTGCGCATCCACGCACACCCACCCATCCGGGTAAGGCACGACAAGCTCTCACGAACACCCTCCCTCCCAGAGAGCAGAAAAACCACAACGACGAGATGACTCTCCCTCCGTTGCAACCCGAGGGGAGGGAAGAACGGAAGGCAACAAGCCCGTTGCAAGAGGCGACCAACGCAAGGGAATACGTACCAACGCAGGACCTCCGCCTCCGTGAAGGTCAAAAGAGAAGAGTAGGTCGTGGGTGAAGCCTCCCCCGATCCACGCGCATCGCACCTCCGTACTTCCCTCCACCCATTTCCAAGCAATCTCGCCGAGGTCCCCCCAGGACCCTATCCTCCTCCCGGAAAGCAGAGACAACCACCACGCGGTGGGCAAGAGCAGCTCTCCAGCCGACCACCTGCCCCAGCCATGGGTGCAGAGGAGACAAGGAAGGAAAGGGAAGAAGACGCGACCACGCGAAAGTGGGCAGCCGCACCAGACTTTAGACTCTGCCCGTTCCCCGGGGTGTGGGTGCACGGATCCTCCTCCGATAAGCAATGCCAAGGAAAAAGAGCCCTTCCAGATGCCCACCCCACCTCCGTAGGTATCCCGCCTCCACGTGATCCTCTTCTTTGAAAAAGAAGAAAAAAGAAAGAGCGTGTCGAGGTGAAGTGTCCAACGTGCAACTCTTCGAGAAGTAGTTGCTTACTAAGAGGGTTAGCCCGAGAGAGGAAGAGCCTAAATCACTGGCGTTCCCTAGTTCTTCCTGGCCGTCCGGCCAAGCGAGTCTGTGCACGGACAACACCCATGTAACCAACTCCGTCAGCACTACTCCCTAGTGTGGTTAGCTTTAACCAGTGGGCTATACCCTTACGATGAAAACTCGTCCTCTGCCGCCAAGAATTGGGGCAGTGGTTCAGTTTTTTATAAGGAATCTTAGATAGATGAAAAAACTGACCCCGAGTGAACCACCGAGATAACTCCGAATGAACCAGCTTACTCAGTCCTGACTAAGCATCGCCGCGGCCGCAGAACGGAAGTGCCTCCAAGTGCCGACAAGAGGAGAAGAGGAAAGAGAAGTCAACAAAGTCTGTAGAAAGCCATTCATTCGCCATAACTCCGCCTATCTACGCATTCTATGAACACCACGGAAAGGAAACTACCTAGTTGTAATACACCGTCGAAACCACGCGCTTGACAACCGCGCCCACAACACCACCGTTGCCACTCGGCCCGGGAAGCGCCCCACGACACTTCACCATGAAGCACATCTGCCAATCAGGCTGAAAGGCAAGCTCATTCCCCGTCTCCGTCGAGTACTCCGCGTCCTTGTTGATGTCGACATACACCCTGAAGTCGACCACGCTACCCTGCTGCACCTGGGCAAATCCATCACCGCCTCCCGCGGGAAGATGAATCCCGTTCGGTCCGGCGACATCGGCACTCAACGTCCTGCCAACCACCTTGCTGTCGGCACCAACACGCCACTCCACCTTGCCCATGGCCTCGCCGAGCCCCGAACGAAGCTGCGCGTTCTTCATCGTGCCCGTGGTCGACTGCAACACGGGAAGACCCGACGGGTCCGAAGCGACGCAGAAAGGACCGTTGGCATCCAACAAGCCGGTCTCCTCGAGCGTGCGCAACCGCGCATAGTCGCCATAATTGTCCTTGCTGAGACACCACGCTTTCGGGTCTCCAACGCTGCCATCCGGGCGCAGATTTCCCTCGACCTCCTGGACGAAGCCCTTCCCAGCGCGCACAGGGTAAAAGACAGCCGAAACAGCCAGATCCACCCAGGTCTGGACCGAGAACGTCACCGCCAACCCCTTCACATGCACCTTGCGTCCCTTCCTACGCGAGTCGCGAGGACCCTTACCCGGCCGTCCAGCAGGGGGGATAGCTTGCGTCACCGGAACAAAGAAATGACAAAACGCACTCGCGTTCGTGTCCGACTTGGGATTGTCCGGCAGATCCCCTGCGAGCCACACAGGCATAACCTCCGGATACGAATACATGATAATGATATTCGACTTGCCCTCGCCCACGCGACGCGCCAGCTGACCCGGCTGCTTCTTAACGGATCGCCCAGCACGAGACGACCGAGCATACGGTACACGCCTCCGGCGAAACCGAGTGTCCGCCATCCTGCAGCAAGCCAACGACTCTGTCCACAGGAGCAGGAAAAGAGGAAGAGGGTGAGAACGCGACCACGCGAAAACGGGCAGTCCACCCCAGCCCTTATACTTCCTCCCCAGAAGAAAGTGCACGGTCCCCGGTAATGCCAAGAGAAAAAGAGACCTTCCAGAAGCCCAGTCCCTGGTACTGCCAAACGCAAAGCAGGCGGGGCGAATAGCGCGGGCCACGGAGTAGCCCCACTCGTAGTCACTCCGACACGTCCACATGACCATCTCACTCCGTGAGCACTAGTCCCCGTGTCGTTAGCTTTAACGAAAATGCTATCGCTTAGGTGTAAACCTGACCACGCCGCCAAGAATTGGGGCAGTGGTTCAGTTTTTTATAAGGAATCATATATAGGTGCAAAAAACTGAAATTTGAAAGCCCCAGCTTAGTAAGCTGAGGAATCTCCACAACCATGTGCCCTCTCGGAACAACGTACCTCCGTGCTTCCACATACCATCTCGAAAGCATCACGATGCTTACTAAGGTATCTCCACAAGACACCAATCATCCCAAGATGGTCAATCAACAAGCGAGACCATCACCCGCAACGTCCCGGCGAAACCAAAGATGCAGCAAGAGAAGTGCACCAAAGGAGTCTCAGAGGTAAGGTGTAAAGACCTTTCGGTGGATTCTCACGAGCGTCGAGGTGTACTGTGATAAGCCTGCATAAACACCAACGTAGAATCAGCAACGATGTAAGATCGCACGGCCGTGACAACAACCGATGCAGACGAGGCAAACCTTCCGTAGGAATCGCCACAGAGACAGTTTCCGACGGTGGTGTGATGGCCCCTCCCGACATGCCATTTATAAACAAGCGGACCGCTCCATCAAGAAGCCAAGACCCCTCTCCGCTAGGGGCATCCCGCTCACGCACCGTGATGGAAAAAGGAGAAGGAAGTCGAGGACTGACAAAGCGTCCCGCCACCCACACGTCCCCGCTCCGGCGCAGGAACAGCAAAAAGAGGCAAGTCCACGCCATGAACAAAGCCCTCCGGCCCGAACAGCAGCGAACCACCATACTTGGCACGATTCCACCGCGAGGCAACGTCCCTACCGTAATCGCGCGGATCCCCGCCCCTGCCGGCAACCTGGACCAGCTCCGCCCTCCATCCCCGGAGATCCAAATCCATGGTGCGAACAACACCCGCCCGATGCCTCCACGACGGCAACACGACAAAGACCTCAAAGGCAGACCAAGTCCCGTCGCTCGACGCACCCACGCCGCGCGCTATCCACCGTATTTCACGTCCCCTGCTAGCCCCCCTCCGCAAGGCGCAGAGAAAGAACAGCCTAAACTGAGACTCCGTCAGGCCAGCAACAGACTCCTCCCGGGAGCGAGAATACAACAGAAGACCCCTCCGGAAACGCTCGGGACCCAGCGATGCGGAAGCGGCCGACATGGCAACGAGCCGGGTCCACCAGAAACACTTCCCGGTATTTCAGCCCGAAAGAAAATACCAAAGGCACAGCAAAGAAGTCGACGACTGACGCGGCCACGTCGCGAGAGAGAAAGACGGGGAGCGTCCGCCAGACGCAAGAGGACAGACTCCTCCTGATATACTTCCTCCCCAGAAGAGAGTGCACGGTCCCCGGCGACAAGAGAAGTGCCAAGAGAAAAGAGACCTTCTAGAATACCAGTCCCTGCAATAACCACTCCATAGTCCATCTCTCCGTGATGGTGGGAGAGGAAAAGAGAACCGTGTCGTGGTGAAGTGTCCCACGACGTGCCATTTGTAAACAAGATGGCTTAGTAAGGAAGCGATAGCCGAATTTTCATAGCCACAGAAATTCCAGTTTTCATCGTCTCCCACTGTGGTGAGAAGTTCCTGCATGACGTTGTTGGCAAGTTCGGGGCTACGATACGAAGGATGAGGGAGGTGCGAGACCTTCCAGCAGTCACATCTCAGGGTTGCTCACATTGACAAACCCAACTTCGTCTGTTAACAGCCTGTATCCAAAGCGGATATGTCGCTCGATAGTCTTCCCGACAAGCTGTCATTGCAGATCCTGGAATTGTGATTCTGCAAGGCCCAACGATGAGGCATCGCCGCACACTCACACATTTGGCCACCGTGATCGAGTTGATGCCAGCCCTGTTAACACAATCGTTGAGAGCGTTTGGACTATCCGGAATTTGCCGACTTTGATGGCATCGTTACTCTTGAGAGCTGTCTGCCTCGCTCGTCCAACATTGAGAATTTGCGTATCGTGCACAGTTGTCTTGATAGCGGAGTTATCTCTGGACTTCTAGGCCTCGTCAGACAACTGAGACGATTGGAGCACCACTCCATTGGCCACAAGATACCCGGCCTTATGAAGATAATCAAATTCCAGATTACACACTCCTCATCGAAAGTCTAGCCCAGCACGCCGATACTCTCACATGCCTCAACTTCTACGATGGAATTGATCTCGGCGACCGAAGAAATGGCTCTATAGACTCGCTGACGCTGTTTCTTCAGCTCAAAAAGCTCCCTTTACCATACACCTCCATATTCAAATCGGACGACCTATCCGAGCATACCTGGACCACCATTCTCCCAGAGAACCTGGAGATACTAGCGCTCTGGATAGTTGCTGAGCAAGGTAACCCCATATTTACTGTGACTGCAAAGCGTGTAAACCATGCGTTCCAAATGCTCGCGGCGCACAAGAAGGCCGGATAGCTGTCCAATCTGAGAGGAATACTCCTCGAAGAGTCGTCCATTTCCTCAAGCGACATCGATCCCGACGTATGGCAGAATATTCTTTGGGATGCAGATATCGCTCTGCTGACGTACTGGTTTGGCAAGAGGAAGGGTGGACTGCGACCACGGCTGGGGCTACGCAGAATACATAGTAATCTTGGATGATCTGAAGATTAGACACTCACTGGTACTCCTCCAGCTTGACTTACTTTTAGGATCCTCTGAATCTCACTTCCTGCTTGTTCCTCCTCTCCCGCAAGTACTAAACCTACCCTGGGCAACTCTCGTACGTCTCCCGTACGGGTAGTCTTGGCCATGCCAAGTGCTTCCGTCGTTCCCAAGCGACCGTTTACGCCGCAGATCGTCTTTACGAATTATTTTTATAATACTTACATGAAGGATCCCGAGCAGCGGGCCGGTCCGTTGATGTTACTCGCATGGGGGCGTTTAACAGTCTACGTCCTGGTGGAACTGAAGACCTATGAAGGCAATTGTATGCGTCGAGTACGGAGGGCAATTAATAACGCGCTTCCGCTGGCAAGGCCCCGTTGCCTTGTTGGGGCCAAGGATGCTATCGAGGTTGCTTGTCACGGAGCATGGTGTTTTGCGCGACCTTGTATCGCCGATGTCGAAGACAAACATCGGGCATAGCGTACAGACACATAAATATGTATATAAATTTTCACGTACACCCTGGAACACAGTTAGGTTTGACCCCGGTCGTTTGTACTAAGCGTTTAGAGTCGGTGATTATTACCTGTCGTTGGTAATATGATACCAAAGGCCTAGTAGGGGTGCGATTGCAAACAAAGTTTCGGCAGCTGGGAAGGCCCGAGAACAACATCAGGGAGAACCTGTGGGGTTCCGGCGTCAAAAGGGCCGGCTGCGAATCTGGTAGCCGGTCGGACGCGTGGGGGTATGGTGAGCTTCAGTACCCGATCGGTGTAGAACCAGGCAGCGGATGGGAGGTTTGGCCACGGGTATAACGTGTGGAAAGCGAAGCATAGTACACTGTCGCTGAGGGAGGCAAGTTTTCGACGAATGCGACAGTATGGGAAGCATGGCACCGCTCTCATGTGTTGGACTGGAATAATGGATTGTTTTTGGTGAAAGGCGCACTATCTGCAGTCGTCAAGCTACATACACCTCCTCTCTATGTCGAGGCGCAACAGCCAGCTGTCGCATCCTCCGGGCAGGCCTTGTCTTGCGAGCCCCCGTCCACGAAATTAGGTAGTGGTAGGTAGAGATCGGGCGTGGTCGTCGCATGGTATCTTGCGTCTCTTAGAAAGACTTTCCACTCTTCTGGCTACTGGCGTCGTCCTTGGTCGCATCCGTCCTCGTCACAGTCACATGCGTAGACACCATGATGTCGTTCTTCTTCAGGCTCCGCTGCGTGCCCCCGACGCTCTGGAGCGGTATCGCAGTGCCCCCCTTTACGATGTGCTCCTCGCTCTCATTGTCGAAGGTCATGTTTCTGCTGGCGTCGCGGCTCTGTTGACCTGGCCGGCTGCGGCCAGAGGCGCTGGCGCCGCCGCCGCCGATGGTGACGAAGCCGCTGCCGTGCGCCTTGTAGGCGCGGCCTTTGCTGGAAGAATTCAGGGTCGTCGGGAGCCAAGGCTTGAGCCAGATTTTGAGCAAAGGGAAGACCATGGGGAGGTTCGTGGTGATGACGGCGATGAAGGTTTCGCGGGTGCCCCACGCGGCTGCGAGCTGTCCGCCGTGCACGGGGTCCTGTGGGAAAGTCAGTTGGATTTTGCGATTGTTTGACGCAGGACTTGAACGTACCACGAGAACGAACACGCTCTTCAATATCGCGCAGACGACGATGAGGATACCCCCGCTGAGCACGAGCGTTGCAGCGAGCTTTTTGTAGGTTTTCAAGCTCGACTGCCACAGCATCGGGAGGGGGACTACGAAAAGATAGACATCCGTTGATACGTTTCCGATGAACATGACCCAGATAATTGGCTTTGATACTGCCGCTTGACATGCGTTTCCTGGGTCAGGGCTGATCTGCCAGTAATGGTTGAATGGTCGACATGAGAGGTAGATTGTCATGATGAGAGTGATGAATGTCGTGACAATGAGACCGATTCCGATGTAGATACGTATTTTGTATCGCGTAAGGCCATCCTGAGAAGTTTCCGTCAGCGAATGCTTATTGTGCAATTTTGGTACTCGAACGCACGTGAAGTCGTAAGTAGAAGAATGCGACACAGAGCTTCAGTGTCCATAGCAGACAGGAAGCTGAAGTCCAACCTGCCACCTGGATCTTGGCACCAATAAGCCTGGCAGCTTTGTTAGCTGACGTGTCGCATTTCCTGCTTCTGAAGGGATACGACCTACCTGAGTTTGTATTCCGCGTCCTCAGGCGAAAGTGCGCTTCGCTGCGCAGGCGTCATGCCACTGTTGTCAAGTCCATGAGCCGCGAATCCAACATTATAACCAAGAGCGCATTGAGCGGAGTAAATGAGCTGCGTAGATCAGATGTTAGCCTTGTAAATCCAAGAAAAAACGACACGCTGGAGGGCAAATACATACGATTGCAAGCCATATCAAGTAATCGTCTACGCGGAGGTCGCGAACGCCCACAGCTACAATTCGAGCATATGTTCGTAAAATCGTAAAGGAAACGCCCAAAGCGTATAGTGTGAATAGTTCCACTGTCTGACTGTTAGGCATTGTGATCGCCGAGTTGTGAGATGTTGATCTGAAAGAAGATCACTTGTGGGCCATCGGATCGTCGTGGTCAACAGGGTGTTTGTTTGTTCATAAGGGTACGCACAAGCACACAGGAGCTGCACAGGATGCCCACGCTATGGACATGGGACGGTATACCGGGTTTGTCGTCTGAATTGACGATGCAACTGCACTAGAGCGGAACCGTCCAGCCTCAGTGGCCATAGCAAAAGCAAGTGAACCTAAGCGAGTGTGATGCGTGCGTCAGGTTACTAAAAAATGGCGTTCTCCGCGTTCGATGACTGGCACTGCCAGGTTGGGGACTAAGGTGCAGATCTGATACACGAGTCTCCCTGCAAGGTACGTTCGACCGCTCGAGACTATCGTCAACGCGGAATGGAACCGAAATGAGCGTGCTCCGTAGTTGCCATGCAGTGGCAACGGAGATACACTTTTATGGAGTAGTATACACTAGCGGGTCTTTAGTGGGTTTTTGGTGCTAATTTTTCGCAAATAGCTGCCCTGCCGCCGCGGACTGATTCGAGGCTACGGCCCGCAGCGCAACTAGCATCTTCCCGCGACGGGGTAAACTGTATTTCGATCACTGGAATGCACATGTGCCTACGAGCATACTGCCTGCTTATGGAGGCTGATAATTGTATTTCTCGCTTAAGCATCTTTTACCAAGGAGATCCTTCCGAGCGCGCGTCGCGATAGAAATCCCCCGAACTCGCCTGCATGTGCGCAATATGCGAGAGAAACATGGCGTACCATGATGGCGGGACGAAAGTACATGGAGCGGGAAAGACAACCAATGGGAAGTGACCGCAAGGTAGTAGCCCTAGGCGCAGTGACATGCAGACCTCTTGAGAGGAATAGCACTACCCACTTCGTGCAATCTCATCGCTCGTACGATTGGAATACTAGCAGACCGAGGGATGGGCGCAGGGTGCCTTCGCTTGCCTCGTCGTCTCCGAAGCGGCCGCGGTGAGCAAGAATTGAGGAGCCTACTCCCAACAAGGCATTTCGCCCACACATAGGCAAGCCTTGAGGAGCAGAGCGCACACTATTTCGGACGGCGTTCCTTCGTGGCAATACCACCACCTGCTTTTGATCGCTTGCCGAGCTATTGTTCTGGCTCTTCGCCGGAAGCCTCCCGGCAGTCTAAAGTGGCTTCGCGTGCATGTGTTCGACCACTGGTTCGTCCCACAGTATACCCAGGATGGCAAGGTGAACCCTACCTAATGTACCGAGCCCTGCTTCGCCTCTGCGGCTCGTATTCCAGGACCCTTTATTTCCAATCAGTAATGCATCTCCCCTTCCGAGGGGGCCATTGCCCACGTGTTGGAAATCCCTTATCTTCCAGGCACCTGGAGCTAAAACGTTCAGCAGCACAGGAAGCACTCAATCGAAACCTTCTCCTGCGTTGTTGATCCTCATTCACACAATGTTTGCTCGCTTCCTAGCGCCACTCGCTGTGGCCGCCTTGTCGGTTCTTCCTCTCGTTGCTTGCGGACCTGCTCCGGTTCCTGTCCCGCTGCCGACTACTCCTGCCACGGGCATTGACGTTCAGGCCTTCGCAAAGCAGCTGAGCAAGAGCGCCCAGATCTATGTCCCGAACGACAGCCAATTTAAGACCTACACGGTTCGGTGGTCTAACCTTGACGCCCCGACCGTGAACGTGGTTGTCCTTCCCGGAAACGAGCAGGATGTTTCAAAGATCGTAAGTGGCTCGTATTCTCTTACATCAGCTGTCGCACAAGCAACCATTGGGAGTCTTCATATGTAATGGGGGTAGCCAAGCTAACAGTCACCAAAGGTCCAATACGCCTACCAGAAGAACATCCCCATTCTCGCTTACAACGGCCATCATGGCGCTCTCACCACGCTGGGCAAGATGGACTATGGCATTGCTATCAACCTGGTTCAACTCAACTCCCTGAAAGTTGCCAAGGATGGGCAGACTGTGACCGTTGGTGGAGGCATCAACTCCCACAACCTCACTGAACAACTGTGGGCTGCTGGAAAGCAAACTGTCACTGGAACCTGTGAATGCGTGAGCTACCTCGGTCCCGCCCTTGGCGGAGGTCACGGTTGGCTCCAGGGTCACCACGGCCTCATTTCCGACCAGTTCGTTTCCCTCAACATCGTTCTCGCCACGGGTGAGGTGAAGACGATCAACCAATCGTCTGACCTGATGTGGGGTCTCAAGGGAGCTGGCCACAACTTCGGTATCGTCACTTCAGTGACCAGCAAGATCTACGATATCGAGCACTCCAACTGGGCGATTGAGACCATTGTCTTCGGCGGTGACAAGATCGAGGAGGTCTACGATGCCGCCAACAAGCACCTCATCCAGAACGGGACCCAGAGTGCGGACATCCACCAGTGGTCGTACTGGCTGAACGATGCCACTCTCGATGCTGACAAGCCCGTCATCGTCGTGTACACCATGCAGGAAGGCGTCGACGCTGTCGACTCTGTCTACACCCAGCCTTTCAAGGATATCGGCCCTCTCGCCGTGACTCCTGAGGCTGGTACCTACCGGGACCTTGGTGCCTGGACAAACATTGCTCTCGACTCTCCTCCCTGCCAGGACTTTGGCTTCAACAACCCTCGCTTCCCCATCTACTTCAAGAGCTACAACGGCACCGCACTGAGGGCCGCCTACGACCTCTACGCCTCGGCCGTCTCCGGTGCCGACAACCCGTACACGAACTCGATCTTCATGTTCGAGGACTATGCCACCGGCGGCGTCCGCGCGATCGACGACCGCTCCAGCGCCTTCGCCTTCCGCTCTGACCGCGTGCTTGCCGCCCCGCTCATCATCTACAACTCCACCGGCGCCGCTGAGGATGCATCCGTCGCGAAGCTCGGCAACCAGCTGCGCGAGCTCGTCCACCAGGGCACGCAGCAGTCGGAGCTGCACACGTACGTCAACTACGCCTACGGCACCGAGACCACGCAGGAGTGGTACGGCTACGACACCTGGAGGCAAGAACGCCTCAAGGCGCTCAAGACAAAGTACGACCCCAAGGGCAAGTTCAGCTTCTACGCGCCCATCTTGTAGATGTGGGGCGCGCCTCGCTGCAGTCCATGAAAAATTCTTAATGTATATACGTTTATAATGGCAACGAAGACGTTTGCCCGTTTTGAGCATGCATGACTCGCGTCCTGTCACTGTGATGTTTTGGCCCTCCTCCCGTCAGTGCAGTCCATGGTGGGCCCCGGTGCATCCCCAGCCGACGGTTGGCGGCGCAAAGAGACAGCGGACCAACTTCCTATCGGCCCGAGTCAATGATGTGCGGCGTTCCCCGGTGCCAGTGCAAATCAGTGCTCCACCTACAATTTGGATTTCCAAAAGACCCAGCGTGAACATTCCTTCTGGAACCCCCCTTCCCCCTCGGAAGAACGCGTTCCGGCGCGGGCGCGAAACATCTTCGAAACCTATACCCCGCCGCCGATAATGTTATTGATAATGATAACGGCCATATAACATGGTACCGTGGGCCCCAGCACCCAGCACTAAGGGACGGCCGGGACAGGGCACAAACACGCACGGCAGCTAGGATCGGGTACAGCAGCGGAACCCGGATCTAAACCTATATCAGTGAGTCGCTACATTTCGTGGCCTAGCTCGATCTCCAAGCAGAAAAAGCAGACGCGCACGGTGGGGTATCCCAACCCAAGGTAGCTGTCAACGTCGCGTTGTCACGCCACTCACTATACCAAGAACACCTGCTCAATGCTACTGTCGACAGACGCAGCCATGTACTCGCCATCCATGAGCCCATACACGAAACAATCTCCGGCCATGGTCCGGCAGCCGTGAGGCTTGTTGCACATGGCGTCTCGGCTATCTCGACCATCTGGTCGAACGAGCGTGGTTAGCGGCGAAGCGGTGCATTTCTTGATGTTGTGGGAGCGACCGAGGTGCGGTAGCTGGGCAGGCGTGTGCGTGGCGCTGAGCAGGAAGGGGACTTTGCTGTTGGACAGTATCCACACTTCGTGGCCGAGCTGGGTTGTCCGTGGGCCGAAACCGATGTAGCCTTTGGACGTGATGAAGAATCGCCGCGAAGTCGTTGCTGTCTTGAAAGCATAGTGTATAGACGAGATGCCATCGTCCAGGTCTCCTTGGGTGAACGTGGCAGTGCGACTGAGTGTATCGCGAGCGATGCACCGCGACCACATGCGCCACGATCTGTAGGCTTCGAAATCCTCTCTGGTTGCTCTGCGATAGGAGGCTGTATCGTTATTTTTCCTCCACATATGGCCGAGGTCCCCAGAGCTGGGCGAATGAACGATGTCGGCAATGAGTGTCCTCCAGAAGGCTTCGTCGTAGGTGCATCCAGTGGGGTAAGAACTGTGAAGTTCTTCGTGTCTCTTCGTTTCGAAGTGCCAGCTTCGTATCGCAGCGAGTGCCTCGCTAATTTGTGTATGTCGACTGACATCACCAACGGCGATAACGTAGTCGACGTACCAACCCGAAGCTTCCAGGATGGAGTGTTGTAGGTGAAGACGCACCGGACTACTGTGTCCACCACTCGCATTGTACATTCCAAGAGAACACACCCTATCGATCTCGACCGGGAGACACGGTAAAGACCAATCCATTACCCATGTAGCGAGATGTTCAACTCGCTTACGATTCAAAATAGCACCGAGATCCCCAGCAAGAACTGTAAGTGACTTGGTTCTTTGAATGGTGCTCGCGGCCGTTCTTACAAAAGTAGTGCTCACATCCATCTGGTAGTCCGGAAGCATCGGTGGTTCGTTCTGCCAATCGGTGACCAAGCCGAGTAATGCGAATATCTTATCGCGTTTGTCGGTCGATTCGAGTGGCCGGAACCTCCACAGCAGTGAGAGTAAGTCGATATCAAGCCATGCACGGCTGTGTTGACGGGCGATATCGAATCGGAGAACCGTGTTGCTGAACGTAGTCAACGTGCTCTGGCCCCAGAAGGCACCTGACAGGTCTAGACACAATTTTTGGCGATCTTGCGCAAAGCGAGTTGCGGCCTTTGCGAACATTGTCCAGGGCGCAGAGAGCTGGCCAAAATGTACCACTGCCTTCTGGGAAAGAACAGTCTCTTGGATGACCCAAATGCGAGTCCACTGCTCCATTGTCAGTAAGATTGTCGCGCTTCAAAATCCGACGTTCGAAATGAGGCGCCAGGATGAACTGGAGGCGTGCGGTAACGTCCGCTGGAAAAGCATACAAATTTACCCTGTCCCCGTTGTGTTGAAAGGAAACGCTTGATCAGGCGGCACTCACCCAAGGTCTACTCATAATTCGTGCGAGCCCGGCAAATACCCTTGACGCTCGAGAGCCTGTGATTTGCACATCTCCTGGAAGGAAATCATACAGACGCTGGTTATGTGCATACCTTAAACAGAGCCTACTCTCGTCGTTCTTGAGCATGTTGAACAATCTGCTTGAATTTCCAGAAGCTAGGCTCGAAACAAGACAGAAAGCCCCAAAGACGTCGTGCGGGACATCAGCGGAGCTGAGATCGTCGTGTAGACAGTCGTCCAAGTACTGGTTCAAGATATGATCGTCGGCAGCATCCCCATGCCAGACCAAGCGTAATGGACCGCCTAGCTCTTGATATAGTTTGTTCGCGGTCGAACAGCAATTATGACTGAAGCGCCTTCCGTCTTCATCTTGCGCGGTGGGCTCGCCCAGCCAAATCACTGTCTCGCGGCTGTTTCGGTAGATGTCTCCCATGAGTCCAACCTGCTGTGTCCGCTCGATAGGATCCGCTTGGTTGATACATAGGGCATCGACCCAGACATTTGCATTGCGAAGTGGATGCCGAAGTCGCCGGAGGATGGTGAAGAGATTCTCCGAGACAGAGACCCGCACGCCGTTGCAATGTATGAGAACCTGCTTCGTGGCGCCAGCACTTCCCCATGTGTAGGAGATTGCAATATAGCAGTTCTGGGCTTCGGAAATGGGACGCTCCAGAAGCTCGCATTCGATATCTCGTTTGAAAGCATTTGGCAGTAAGCGGAGTAAGCGAATCGTCTGCGCCTTTGCAGCGAGCGGTTTGTAAATGCTGTTCACGGCCATCGTAACGGCTCAACTGATGATGTCCGCATCCACATCGTGGTCGCAACTGTTATGTCGACAAATGGATGGAAAGAGGTCGTGACATGGTGTTGCTATCTTTGCACAGGTAAGCAGAAGGCTCAGCCTCAGGCAAGGCTCAGCCTCAGGCAGCGCCCGCCCCGCAGCAAGCGTGGATAAGCCGCTAGACCGGCGCGATCGCGACTCGCTACTATGGGCAGTACGTTATTTGGGTGAAACCCAGAAAGTGAACGCCCCGATGCAATGCTTTGTTCGATATCAGTACATCAAGCCAGCATGGCAGCTGCAGACGTCTCGAAAGGATGAGGCAAGTGCACGGACGCGAGATCGGTTCACATGCGATGTACCCAGGGTCTATCCTACCAGTGGAAAAACACTACCCTTGTGATATTTGGTCATGGTTAGTCTTTGTTTACTATTCAACTGAGTATCGGCCCGACCTCACAGATGAGGTTGGTTTATCCACTGATTGCATCGAATCGTCAGCGACCGCTCACGAACACTGCAATGCAAGACTGCCATCTTCTCGATCAACTAATATGAAGTAGAAACAGATTTCCATATAAGTATATCCACATGACTTGAGAGTGTATCGCGAAATCATGTCAGAAGTTCAAGCTTCCTCACTGCATGCAGAGCAGCGTGCAGTTAACGCCCTACCTCGAACAGGCGACCAATCCACGCATTATGCATCCCGACCATCCTAGTGCTCCTCAACCAACACAGCGCTTTCCTCCACGCCCTTCTTCTCCTTCTCCACCTGCGTCTCACTAGGCTGAACAACCTGCCTCCCCTTCCACGACTTCATCAGATTCTTCAAGCCCTTCCTGAAGCCATACTGCATCCACAGCGGCCAGCTCCTAACCCTGGGCACAATACCCCAGGAGCTCTCCGGAACCACCAAGTGCGCACTCCGCCCCTTCAACACGGCCTTGACGATTTCCTCAGCCACCGTCTCGGGATACAGCGATTTCCCTGCAAACCCCTCGAACAGCGCCGTCCGCGTGTAGCCCTGGCACATGATGATAGTGCGCACCTTGTCAGCCTTGTACTGCGTCGCGAGCTCGGCTGCGAGACCTTCGTGGAAGGTAAGCGCAGCGGCTTTTGACGAGGCGTAGTCGACCATGTTGGGCGCGGAGAGGTATGCGGCGAGCGAGGCGACGGTGACGACCATGCCGTGGTTGCGCTGGATCATGCTCGGCAGGAACTGGTGAGCGAGGAAGTAGTGCGAGAGGGCGTTTACGTTGAAGGTAAGGCGGATGTCCTTTTCGGTAGAGTCGAGGATGCTCTTGCCGCGCGCCACGCCGGCGTTGTTGATGAGCACCGTCGGGTCGCCGAGCGAGCTGCGCACGGAGGCGGCGGTGGCCTCGATTGCTTCTTTGGAGCCGAGGTCGCACTGGAAGAACTGGACAGATGGAGGAGCTAAGAGGGTTAGCTACGCACGTGGACGACCGTTGTGGATAGGCTTGCCTTCGTATGTGAGCGGCTGCACATCCAGCACGGCCACCTTGATGCCCTTCTCTGCAAGCAGGAGCACGATGCTCTTGCCAATGCCATCGCTGCCACCCGTCACCACGACGACCTCCTTCTTCCAGTCCCACTCATCGCCCTTCCAGTTGTTGACGACCTTGTCGTCGAGGAAGCCGCTGATGGACCCCAGCACCCCCAGTGCAACGAGCGACTTCAGGGTGCGGAACAGGGTCTCATTCTGAGACGCGACCTGCGCGCCGCGCGCCGTGTATTTCGCGGCAAGGATAAGCGGCAGCGTGATAAGGGGATTGAACGCCGTTGCTTTCAGAAGGCGGGTGGTGGTATCCAGTGTCCAGCCTGTGCGTGCAGCGTGAGCATGCGTGTGAGAAGTTGGGGGCACCAAGCGCAGCTACGGGAGCTCCCTAGCGCCAGGCCACGACCCCGGAAAGAACGAGCATGCGCAACGTACCTTCGCGCGCAAGCTTCCACTCGCTTCGAATGGGCATCCTGAATCGAGGTGTTAGGGTCTGGCGTTGATGCAGTAGGGCCAGGTGCTATAGGGAGCCAGTATTCGGCGTCAAGTCAGATATACCCCAGAAGGAGACGGCACGTGGGCCTGTGTCCCGACAAGCGGCTTGGGCCCTGATACGATCGAACAAGGTTGGGAAACAGAGCGAAATGCGGGGTCCGCGCCGCAACCGAGGTCTCCACAGGTGCAAGCATTACACGTGCGGCTCGCTCGCGCATTTCTCCCTTTGGAGACGTTGATGACCCAGCCGTCGTGGAACTACCCGATGAGGATTACAATAAACGTTCAAGTTGCTCTTGATGGGCACCGCATGCGTGAAATCCAGATTGCAGTAGAATTATCATCGATCATCGACCGTGTACAAGTAGAAAATACAATGCTAAAGGTATATGCGCGCTCGTACAAACCACGGAAAAGAAGAACTAACAAAGGAAATTCGTTGACGAGGTATCTCTGCCAAAAACGCCACCCAAGACCTCTGTACAAAACCGATGCCAAACCAATCCATCGCTATGCAAAACCCATGTTTAAATCATGTTGGTCGAATCCAGATCCATTATCGAGCTTTCAGGCGCAATGCTGGTCGGCGCGAGGCTGTGGGAGCTCCTCTTCCGACTGTCCACACTCATTGCTCCGCTCATTACCCTCACCACCTTCTTGTTGTTCGGCCGCGCAACGAGTACCTGCGCAGGGCACACCACAATCTCGTCATCTCCTTCTCCGAAATCATCTCCTTTCTTCACCACCAATGGGAACAGCACAATCTTGACAATTGCGTTGCGCGCCTCGAGTTCGTCGTTTGACGTCTCTTGTCCCGAGCGCTCGTTCATGAGGGACGCGTTGAACGTTACTTTGGCGACCAGGTCGCCGTTGGTGTCGTACTCAGGCTGCAGCGGTGGCAGCATGATGTATTCTGCGCGCTGCGTGCGCATTTCAATGGAAAGAGAGACCGCCAGCCGCATGACGTTGCGCAGCGATTCTTGGATCTGCCGTTGCAGATGCGATGGGGGCGGCAGCAGAGTGGCGAGTGTGCTGTATATCTCGTGGACGACAGCCTCCGTGTCCTGGGCGCGTTGTTGGACAAAGGGTTCGCGCTTCGAGAGCAAGCTAAGGGTGATGGCACGCCATTGAGCCACGGCGCGTGTAGGCCCCACCTCTGAAAGTGTCTTCTCTAGCGACTTGAGCTTCTGTCGCTGTTCTCTGTCCATACCGAAAAGGTATCTGGTAAAGACGTATTCCCAGATCATTGTCATGACCACCGACATGAAGACGTCTCGACGCTTCACACGATCCGCGAGAAGCATATCGACATCCGAGCCATCGAGGATGGCGTTGTCCAGGCGGGTGTCGATCTTTTGTCGAGTGGCGGTGTCCAATCTGGTATCTGCAGTGACTTCGGACGACAGGCGGCAAGCACGAGCATCTGAAAATTTAGAGAAGCGCAATACCCACTGCTGGACGTGCTGGCAAAGCTGTTGGCAAGCGCTGTCAAAGTAGTCCTCGTCGCGCACAGTGAGGAAGCTTTCGTTCGGCTTCTTGGTCTCCAATATCTGCTGTTGCAACTTCTTGATCTGTTCGCGTGCGCCCTCAAGCTCGGCGTTCAGACGGTTGATTTCGGCGTTGCGCTCGTCGATGGCAAGTCCAATCTCTGCAGCTATTGCAGCCTGCATGCCTTTCGTGAGATGATTGTGTTCAGCCCGTAGTTGCTCGAGCTCCCGAGTAGATTGTTGCCATTGGTCTTGGACTTGTTGACCTTCAGCTTGGAGTTGCGCATATCGTGCATTGGCGTCATTGGTAAGGTTGCGATTGGCGTCAGTGAGTTGGTTGTTCAATTCGGTCAGTCTGCCAATCTCTTGTTGAAGTCGCTGCAAAGTGTCGCGGAGCTGTCCGATGTCGATGTCTTTCTGGTGCAGCTCACGATCACGTGCTTCTACAGCCTCGGAGACGACTTGCTGGTCAACATCACGCTGCTGGGAGGCTTGCTGGAGTATTTCCTCAGCCTTGAGTCTTGCCTCTTCGAGCGATCTGTTTTGAGCCGCGAGATTTTCAAGTTGCGACTGCAAGTCCAAGATTTGTATACTTTGTCGCTTGCGTACGCTGGGTGGCCGTGTCGGTGACATCGGCGAGCCTTGGGCTTCACCCCATGCCTCCTACAAACTTGTTAGCTACCGTGGACACATTGTCACGACGCGTTATTCAACTTACGTAGACATCAGGCATTTCGGCACGACCCTTGCCTTTATCCTTCACTGGGTCGTACTTGGACGAGCTGGCTATACCCGCGGCGATGGCTGCGGTTGCTCCGGCAGCGAGTGCGATGCCTGCGAGATTAGACTGCGACTTAGCGTCATGAGCACGGGCCTCGCCAATCTTGGCCGCAGCTCGAAGGTCACCTGACCTGCTCCTGTCAACTCTTCGCAGAGAACTTGCTGATCGGTTGCTCATTGCGCTCAGCGGGCGATCTGCATCTGGGCTCCTCATGTTGACAGAACGATCGCTGAACACGCTTGGCGACCGCTGCTCTGCGATCCGCACCTTGATTGGATCAGTGGTAGTGGGAGAGTGATCGTGTGGGAGTCGGCGGGCGGGACTCAAGGTCATTGTACGATCGACGCTCTCGTGAACTTGCTGCCATGGTGATCCCTTTCTCTGCACAGGTGGTGAGGTGTCGATCTTCGAAGGAACGTTCTTGCGGCTTGCGGGGGTCGGTGTAACAGGAGGCGGCGACTTCATGCGCTCGGAGAAGGACTTGGGACTCTGGCTTCGTCGAGACGACTTCACTTCACGATCGGGCAGTCCGGCTTCCGAAACCTTTCTGGCGTGTCTCTTCTGCAAAGGCGAGTCATCCGGACTAGCCTCCTTGATGGGGTCGAGCACGCTGCTTGGTGTACGCATGTGCTTGTTCGACGGTGTCGACAGTTTTCGAACTTGCTCTGCTTTCTTTTCAGTTGGATCACCAAAGATTGACTTGTAGGGTTGCTGCTGCTTGACATCCCTTTCAGGTGAGGATAGTTTCTTGTCTGACTCCGAGGGTATATGCTTGTCGTGGCGTTGTGAATCGCGGGTATTTCGAGCAGAAGCCGCGACGGCGACAGCTGCTGCGCCGGCGGTAGCTGCTCCGATCTTGGCGGCGGGTGAAGACTCGCCATATTGACGCGTTGAAGGCGACGAATCGAACAGGTACGATGAGCGCTCTCTGGTGGCCGAATCGATCGCGTTGGGCGATGCGACTGCTGCGAGAGACGGAAGTTCCGGTAGTGACGGGCTTCGCGATCGCACTTCATCATGTTCCTCCAAAGCTCGGGACCGATGCGGTGTTACTGGCTCCTTAGAACGCGGCTTCTTGTTGCTGTCCGCCTCTTCAACCGGCTGGTTTGAACCCTTGGACTTTCTTGGTGTTTCAAAGGTCGTATCATGATAGCCGCTGTCACGGACGTCGGCGTATGTGGGCAACTGCGGGGATTTTGGTACCGTGGGCGAGTCTGCCACGTGTACGCCGCTGTCGCGTATATCACCAAATGACCAGGTAGGCTCAATGATCGGCGAGTGACCTCCAACTCCTGTAGGATGCACTGTAGTATCCAAATTTGATTTGTCTGCACTTGAATGTGCAAGTTCCTGTGTGCGCGATGATGCTAGAGAACTCGGGTCTTCCGGAATAGAAAGATCGTGCTGCGATGGCCCTGAAAGATGCAAACGTTTCTCCTCAGGTTCTGCTTCTGGCGGTACAGGGTGCTCTCGTCGCTTGTGATTCGGGGACATGTGTCCTGCATTTTCTTGCTCGAGCGACCGGCTTGTTGATGACACATAAAAGGGATCTGATTGTGACACGTGTCGTCCCTTTTGCTCAGGCATATCATTCAATGTTCTTTCGATGAAATCGTTGTCCTTCTCTTCACGCTCCTTCCCTCGACTCTTTGAGTCTTTCTTTCCCTTCTTTTTTGCTGGCGGCGCCCACTCTTCCTCTATTTCTTCCTCATGTGCGTGCTTTCCCTGGACGCTGAAGCCCGTGCGCTCCTCTGGCGTCGGTAAGGCAGGGAACGGGTACTCACTCGGCTCAACACCACCCAATGACTTCGGAATCTGATCAAACGTGGGAGGCAGTTCCATCCCTTCACTCTTCTTTTCCTCCTTCTTGTCGGAGATAACCGCAGCAAGAGCTGCTGCGCTGGCTGCTGCCACCATTGTCTCGGGAACGATGCTCTTCTTTTTCTTCTTGTTCTTCTTGCCTGCGCCTTCATCCCATGTTAAATCATTCCTATTTACGATCTTCTTTGACTCCACTGAGTCCTCTACAGATCGTTGTTGTTCAAAATCCTCCTCGAATGGAGTGATTGCACCTGATAGCATATCGGAATCCTGTACTGACTCTGTAGTATTAGCTCGCTTTGAGGCCGCTTTGTCTTCCCTACCCTTCCTCTTTGGCTGCTCGTCCCAGAAGTCATCTGTAGTCTCTAAGGTAGCTTCAGGCATGGGTCGGTCACGGGACAGTTCGTCGACAGAAGGCCCAGTCGTGGGAATTTCAACAGCGGGAGAACCGACACCATCTTGCACAAGAGAAGCTCGCTTCTTCTTGCCCTTCGCCTTCTTCCCTTTCGATCCAGACGACCAGAGCTCTTCAGGATCAGCTTCCTCTAGTACACCAGGTGGGGATTTGCGCTGAGCGAACGTCGGATCATTGAGGATATCCATAGGATCGAACGTCGGGGCACTCTCAGCAGCGACTGCCACAATAGGCTGAGGCGCCTCCTTCACTGTAGGTACTTCGGATTCTGGAGATGTCGGAGACGGTGAACGACCCAGGTTGCCGAATTTGGACTTGCTCGCTCCATGCCGGGCAGCCGCAACGTCGTCGTCTGGTGCGATGTCGCGCACGCTCTGAGGCGAGCTTGTTCGGTGGAATGCCGGGTCATTAAGTACCAGATCAGTGTTGAAGCCGGACTCCTTTAGGCCTGCCGCGACTGTGGCAGCGAAGTCAATATCGTGTTCAGGAGACTTCGCACGAGGTTCATCTATGATGGCTCTCGGTACATCGAATTGCTTGAATTGAACGTCCTCGGGCACAGCTTCATGGATATCGCGAGCTGTTTCCTCCTGGATCTTTGGTGCTCTGGCCTTGGAAGCTAGAGTTTCCTCGGGTGTAGGTGGCTCGAACATCGCAGCGAGCTTATGTTTCTTGTTCTTCTTCTTGGCTGCGTTTGAAGGTGTCGACAGCTGTGGAAGCTCCACTGTAGGACTCGAGACAGGTTCAGTGATGCTGGTATCTCTGGAAGATGTGGCTTGGGGAAGGTCAATGACGGGAGTTGCTTCAGTGGCTGGCGCAGCAACCGCCGGAGAGTTTGGTTTGATGACTTGCGTTGGCTCATCATCAACGGCAGCTTCCATTTTCTTTGACTTGCGCTTGTCTTTCTTGCTTTTCTTGATTGGAAGTGCCCACTCATCCTCTACTTCAGGCCCAGGCACTCCGGGAGTCTCATCGATTATAGCGGGGACCTGCTCTTCGACATGAGACGAGTTAAGGTCGACGAGGCTGGGTTCAGGCACTTGATATTCGCTTGGAAGAGCGACAGATGACTCCATTGTCGTGCTTTTGGTTTGAATGTCTTCAGCGGGAAGGTCTCGTACAGGCTCTGCCTCGATAGGGTCCTGAGTGTCGGCTGATAGCTTTTCGGATTCGACTGTAGTTGCCGTTTCGTTGACCGGTGTAGCAGGCTCAAAAAGTTCGAAAGCAGCTGCTTTGCCGTTCTTCTTCTTGTCCCTTTTGCTCTGTTTGCGTGAAAGAGCAGTAGAAACAGCTGGCTCATCTTCGACCACAGGCATGACGCTGGGCCTCTCTTGGATAGTAGGTGGAGATGTGGTCGAGGGCAAGGCACGGGGTTCGTCACGCGTGATGAAATCCGTCTCAGGCGCTGTCATTAGCTCAGGCAATTTCATTGTAGGTTCAGCTAGTGCAGACGCAGGGGCGACGAAGATATCTTGTTCTTCAGTCGTTGGCTGTGGCTCAGTTGACGTTGGTGCGCCATCGCGGGTGCCTGTCGAAAGTGTAGGCTCTGAAGATTCAGCTACCGGTTCGTCCCAGGTCAGCGCTGCAGTTTTGGCTTTCTTCTTCTCCTTCTTGCTAAGCTTGCGAGAGAGTGGCGCGGAATCCTCTTTAGGCTTTTCGGGCTCCGGAATAGTTGGGACCAATACTTCATCCGCGCGTGCGGTGGGATCAGTGATAATGACTTCAGGCTCTGCTGTAGGAGTGTCGCGGTCCTCAGGTGTGGGTGTGAGGTCGTCGGCTTCTTTACTTGGCTCATCCCCCAACACAGCTTGCTGCTTCGCTTTCTTCTTGTCCTTGTTGCTCAGCTTGCGAGCTAAGGGGGCCACTTTCTCAACTGTGTCTGGCACTTCCGATGGCTCCTTGGCCATGGTGACTTCTGGGACTGCGACTGGTTCTGGGTCTTGCATGTTAATGTCATTGTCTTGAGGGGTATCAATGGCCTCAAGGGACTTGGCGGTCGGCTCATCCCATGCCAAAGCGGCCTGTTTTGCTTTCTTCTTGTCTTTCTTGCTGAGTTTGCGCAACAAAGCAGGTGCTTCTTCCACGAGTGGTTTTGAGAGTTCAACTGGAGCCACACCAATTTCTGTTATCGGCTCTGCTGAAACTGTGGTATCACTCCCTCGAGCGACAGTGGGCGCCGATTCAGTGGCTTTCTGCTGTTCCATCTGCTCAACGAGTTGCTCAAGGTTTGTCTCAACAGGCTCGGACGCTGGTACAGAGGTGATCTCATCCGTGGGCTGATCCCGGCTGAATGTGGTACCTCTGGTTTTCTTCTTATCCTTTTGGCTTTGCATACGGGATAGAGCTAGAATATCCTCTTCGGTCACAGGATCAGGGACGACCTCCTCCATTTTCGCAATCCCTTCGGGCTCGGCTGGTGTTGAGGGCTCAGAAAATTCAGAAGTAGCGGCCTTGCCCTTCTTGGTTTTTTTCTTGTCTTTCTTGCTGAGCTTACTGACTACATCGAACATGGACGTAGGCGTTGGAGTGGGAGCTTCAGCCACATCGTCCACAGAAAGCTGGCGATCAAGGGCTTCGGAACGTTGCTTGAGGTCAGCAACTTCATCTTGAACCGCTTGAAGCAAAGGCGATAGCGGGGCAGGTCTGGCCAGATCCGTTGAGTGATCGATGGGGGTGGCATACGCCTCAAGCGGAGCGGACCGTGGAAGGGAAGTTTGGCTTTCGATGAAGGACGGCTCGACCACGCTGGCGTGTGCTTCCTCAGGGGCGTCTCGAACGAGGGGCTCTAGAAGCGGCTCGCTTGTTATTTCCTCAGCGGGTGGAAGTAATTTCTCTTGTTGGCGCTCCTCCCGAAGTGAGGTTGAAGGATCATCTACAGTCGTTGGCTCATGACGTAGCTCAACTTCCTTCTCAACGATAGGCGTGGCGGCTTCCGAGGTGGACTTGCTTTTCTTCGCCTTCTTCTTATCCTTCTTGGATTTCTTGACAGGGAGGGGCCACTCATCGTCTTGCACCTCTTTCGGCGCATCCTCAGGCACATAGGTAGTTGCAACTGGCTCTAGAGCGTGCCCAATAGGCGGTGCTTCAGCAGCTGGCTGGGCGGGCAGGGTTCCGACAAATGTTTCGGTTGGCAACGCCTCAGCAGCTGGTTCGAGCTGCATTTCCGGCTCAGCAGGCGCGGAAGACTCGGTTTGATGTACATGTTCCGACGCCATAGGAAAGCTTGACTCTGCAACCTCTTGGGGCGTCTCAGTGATCGCCTCCTTCTCTATCTTCCCTTTCTTGTTGTCTTTCTTGGAAGATTTTCGACTAATGGGTGCCCATTCGTCCTCGGCTTGAGGTTGTTCGGAAGTTTCGATTTGCGTGATTTGCGCAGGTTTTGCGTTTGACTCTTGACGAGGTTCGAATTCAACTGCAGATGGGTGCGGCACGTCGTGAGCGGGTTCGAACGGTAAGACTGTTGCGGGTTCGATCTGTGTAAGCCCCGCGATTGGCTCACTTGCCGACTCGGGCTTGATATCTGGAGACTGAGAAGAGACAGGTAGATTGGATGCGTTATTCCTGATGTCGGACACGGCAGTAGGCTCCAATGGCACTGGCTCAACGAGGGGCTCGCTCGCACCTTCTTTGGCTATATCGATGAGATCAGGTGTCTGTGGTTCGGCTTCTATCACATTTTGAACCTTCTTGTTCTTCTTCCCTTTTTTGCCTTTCTTGGGAGCAAAGTTGGCTTGTCCGTCTTCGCGCTGTGCATCCTTCGATCGAGGGTCGCTGGATTCTATGATAGGTTCTGTTGAAGTATCGACGGTTTCGCTCTCAACAATGGGCAAAGATGAAGCCTCCGTTGGTGGGTGTTCAAGCATCTGCAAAGTCTCGATCGGAGCATGCTCGACGACCCCAGGTGTAGGAACATCGACATCGGGTGCTGTGAGGTCCTCGACAGTTTCGCGTGTAAGCAAGGGCTCGGATATGTATTCTTGGGTGGGCTCCTGGACAGACTCCTGGACGGGTTCCTGGTTGAGCTCCGGCATTGGCTCCTCAAGTGAAGGTGCGCGTTCAATGATTGGTTCCACATCCAGGGTGGAAGCCGCGGCTTTCTTTTTAGCCTTCTTCTCTGTTTTGCTAAGCTTGCGCTCCAGCACAGGCTTCTCAACCTCCACGATTTCTGTCGATACCATTTGCACTGGCTCGGCAGGCACCTCTGCTGGCGACGGCTCATTGCCCCTGTCCGCTTCGATAGAGTCCAGCGCTGCCGGCACTTCGGGAACCACCTCAGCGTTGTCAAGAAGAGGCTCACTGATCTCAGCGATGGGCGTTTGCGGTCCGGATTTCTTGCCTTTGCCCTTCTTACTCTTCTTTTTGGGAGCAGGAGCAGCCAATCCATCCTCGAGATCTGTTGGAGGTCCAGATGAAGTGGTGGGCCCTGTTTGAGCGTCTGGCTCTGCAGTAGGAACGGAAATCGGCCTAGTGACGTCTTCGACAGCCGTCTGTGCAGTATGTTTTTGCACTGAAGCTTCGGTGTAGACCGGAGTTGGCTGTGCTTCTTCAACGACCGGTGCGGCAAGACCTTGTTGCTCTGCAGCTTCGGTATCAAGCTGAGTTGGCTGTACTTTTTCAATAATCGCCGTGGGAAGATCTTGTTGCGTTGAGACCTCAGCTTCAGTTGGTGGTAGAGACGATTCTTCCGTCACGGGGGTAGCAAGAGAAACCTTGCGCTTATTCTTCTTGCCCTTCTTTTTCGACAAAGATGCCGCCCATTCATCCTCAGGCTCTGCGACGGGCCTAGTCCCAGGCTGTGCGATCTCGGAGTGCTTGCTTTCTTCAATAGGCTGTTGAGTATGTGGCTGCTCTTCAGGTTGTGGTTCTGGCACTGGCTCGGCCTGAGATTCGGCACCTTCCGTGAGCTTCGGCTCTTCGATAGGTTGCTCAATCGTGGCTTCCTGTCCTAGAGGCTCTTGTGGCATCGTTTTGGCATCTTCAATCTCTGTTGGCGCGTCGATAGGTACCTCAGGAGCGATCTTTTCTTCGGCGGGACGTTCCACAAGCGCCTCGGGGATAGGCGTCGCTGTTCCAGATTTCTTGCCCTTCTTCCCCTTCTTCTTCTTCGCAGGCAAAACGGCCAACTCATCGACGTCAGCCTCTTCTTGTTTCGGCTCAGATGTAGGAACGATCTGAGCATCGTCGATCTTGGGGTCCTCGGGAATGTCTCGAGACTCCACGACCTCAACGGAGGGCACGGCAATGTCTTCCGCCACTGGCTGAGCATCGGCTGTCGCAACATCCTTTGAAAGCTTTTCTTTAATCTCAGGGACTTCCTCAGCAAGGGGTTCAATCACAGGAGTCGCTGTGCCGGACTTCTTGCCCTTCTTGCCCTTCTTCTTCGCGGGGATAGGTGCCCATTCGTCAACTGCGGTCTCCTCCTGCTCGGGTGTAGGTTGTGAGATAGATTCTGCGGGTTTGTCCTCTTGAAGTACCTGCGCGGGGCTTTGTTGAACGTCCTTGACGCTGTCGTCGATGGCCGCAGGGACAATGTGTGCCTCATGAGTAGCAGCAACATCGTTAACCTCTGGAATAACAGGCGCGATTTCGCGTGAGCTGTCGGTTTGCACTTCAGGAATGTCTTCGACAATTGACGTTGATGGTTCCGAAACCTTGCCCTTACCATTCTTCGCCTTCTTTTTGGCCTTCTTTGACAGTCCACTCAACTCATCCACAACCTGTACTTCGGTCACAGGTGCCGTTGGTGTAGTGGATGCTTGCTCTGTGGAGTCCGCTGCAAGCACATGCGTCTCAACAGTGTCGGGCGTGGGCTCCAATGGCGCTTGTTCAAGTGGAACTTCAGAGAGAATCTCCTTCGACGCCTCAACCTGGGTAGTAGGAGCAGCACTGAGTGGCTCTTCGGCCGGGCTCTCAATGCGCGGGCTGGACTCTTTCTCTTCGACCTCCAGCTGAGGAAAATCTTCAATGACAGGTGTTGCGGTTCCGGAAAGCTTTGCCTTCCCTTTCTTGGCCTTTTTCTTGGCCTTACTTGACATCGAGGGGGAATCGTCTCCGGTAGGCTGTTCAGCCTCGATGGTTGAGTGGGGGACTGCATGTTTAACAGGCTCGGGAAGCGCAGCCATTTCGATGGCTTCTTCGGGGACAGGGGCAGAAGGGGCGACTTCAGAATCTACTGGTGTGGTAAGAGCGACGTCTTGACCAAGCTCGTCGCTCTGCGTTTCGGGCACCTTGAGATCAGCATCAAGATCCACATGCGCTTCGGCGGTTGCTACATCAGGCTGTGCTTCGACTGCGACGGTAGCATGGTCCTCGACTGTGGCAGTAGGCTGCTCCTTGATCGTGGCCGTAGTCTGTTCATCGACCGTAGCGGCAGCCCGTTCGACCTCCCCAGCCACCTCAGGTACACCATCCGCAACCGGCGTCGCCGTTCCCGACTGCTTAGCCTTAGTCTTCTTCGCCTTCTTCTTGTCCTTCTTCGATAGTCCAGCCCAGTTATCTTCCACTGGTTCCTGCACTTGCTCTTTTGTGTCAAGAGTCGAGACCTCTTCGTTGGGCACGGCAATTGTTTCGATACTAGGTTCGGGCTCGGCGTCTTCGCTGGGCACGACAACTTGCTCTACGGCAGGCTCCAATTGAGAGTCCCCGACGGGTACCGCAGTTGGCTCAACGACAAGTTCGGGCCGTGCTTCAGCAACGAGTTCAGGGATGGGAGTGGAAGTGCCAGATTGGTCCTTGCTCTTCTTCGCTTTCTTATTTTTCTTGGAAATCTTCGTAGGTGGCGCTGGTTCTTCGACAAATTGGCTCCCTGATGGTGGTGCAGGGTCGATCGGTGTGGGTACGACTGGGGCGTCCGCTTCGTTGTGGCTATCCCCTTCTGGGACGCCATCGCGAGAACTCTGGGCGATATCCAGATCAGTTGGCTCGGCTACCGGCGCATTCTCCAGCGGTTGTAGCTCTTCGCTGAGCTCAGGGATGCTTGACTGTGACGCATCAGGCACGATACCAGAAGGCTCTTCGACGATCTGTTGCTCGGTGATTTGCTCAAATGCGGGCTCGGCAGTTGGGACCTCGGGCGTGGGCTCCTCAATCGTCGAAGCGCGCTTGCCCTTCTTCCCTTTCTTCTTCTTGGAAGACGAAGGAGCCTCTGGTTCAACGTTGACGATCTTCTCCAGTGAGGTTGCGGCCGTCTCGGAGGGCTCAATTTGAATGCCCTTGACAAGTTCTTCGGTGGCCTGCACTTCGGGCTCGTGTAGGTTTGAAGTAGCAGGTGCGATGACTGGCTCGGATGGAAGAGATAGCTCCTCTTGCTTGGGGTGGGCTAGAGATTCCGATATAGGAATATCGGCAGAGTCGATAACAGTTTGAGTGGGAGGCTCAGGTGCAGCCTCTTCAGCGATGGACTCGCGCTTCTGTTTTCCTTTTTTGCTCTTCTTGTCTTTCTTTGTCGACGAGGAGGCCCAATCATCTTCAAAAGGTTCCTCAGGCGTCTCCGCAGGATGTTCCTCGATTCCCTTCGGCGCAGAAGTAGATAAAATCTCTTCAGAAGGTTCTTGAGCCCCATCAGGTCCAGACGCAGCCAATGACCCTTCACGAAGCTCCAAGCTTTCCTGATCCGCAATTGTCGCTTCCAGTCCCATCTCCCGCTCCACATCAACAGACGCATCTGCCTCAGCGAGCGGGGCTTCCAAAGACCGTTCCACAGCCAGCTCGGGTAGTGTGGTGTCTGCAGCCCCACCGTCGTGGCGCTCTGCATCACCAACGAGACGCTCACCCGTCTCAGACGCTAAAAAAGCATCGTCCTGCGACGCCGCAGGTACCTCTTCGACGACGGACCCGCGTTTCGCCTTCTTCGCTTTCTTCTTGTCTTTCTTGGAGAGCGGCGCAGTGGCTTCGACACTGGCTTCTTCAAGGGCTAGCGTTTCGGGGGCGGGCGGATCTTGCGCCGGTGGATCTGGATCCGGAGGCGGCGGCGGATCGACCATGAGCGGGTCTTTGGCTTCCTCGACCGGAGTCGCTGGGCTCGTGGAGGGTTCGCTGTCAACGACAGAACCACGTTTTGCTTTCTTCGCTTTCTTCTTGTCCTTTTTGGAAAGCGGCACCGTGGCTGCGTTATCCTGAGTAGGTCCATCCTTGGTCTCATCCATAAGAGGTTGCTGTAGTTCATTGCGGCTCTCGTCTACAGACAGAGTTGGAAGAGGGGCTGTTTCATTCCTGTTGACGTCCAGGGCAGGCTTTGCAGGTTCTTGCTCGATTTGACCGTCTGTCTCTGGCTGAGGCACCACAGGGAGTTGCTGGTCGGAAGGGACGTCCCTGGCTTGCTCTTCGGGAAGCGCTGGTGTTGTTGGCCCACTAGTTTCAACGATAGATGCACGCTTCGCTTTCTTAGCTTTCTTCTCGCCCTTTTTCGAAAGTGGTGCAGCTTGGCCTTCTTCGTGAGTCAATTCGGCAACTGGCTCTTCGACGCTCGGCACAGCGGTGGCCTCTCCGTCCTTCGTCTCGTCACCAGGTACGGGAAGGAGAGTTGGTGGCTCAGCCGGTGTTGCTGCGGAAGTAGGGTCGGCAGGCTCCTCGACCACTTGCAGATCCTTCGCTTGCTCAATGGGAGCTTCAGGCGTTGGCGGAGCCGGTACTTCAGCAGTGCGAGTACTCTCAGCTGTTTCCGCTGCCTCGCGTTCCTCCCGAGCGATGCGCTCTCGCTGCTCCTCATCCCACTTCTCCTTCTCTTGCTGCTCCCTTTTCAGCCTCCTCTTTCTCTGGGTAGCCGTCTCTTTCTCCGGAGCCGGAGGAGGGACATATTCGATCCAGGTGCTCTTCGAAGGTTTCAGGGCAGGCATCTCCGGTGCCTGACTCTTTAGCTCCTCTTCTGGTACATTTTCGTCATGCAATAATGCGGGTTCGGCTGGAGACACATCAGTTTGGAGTTCGGAAGGCTGTGCTTCAAGTACTGGCTCGGGGATTTGTTGCACCGGCGTGACAGGCTCGATGTCGATGATAGAGACGCTCTTGCTCTTCTTCTTTTTCTTCTTATCTTTCTTGGACAAAGTTGAGTCGTCAAGTTCCTTCTGTTCCTGTTCCGCGAAACTTGTTTCGGCCTGGGGTTCTGAGGTTGACTGTTCGACCGGGGTGCTATCCTGCTGAAGAAGAGCTTCGGGCTGCGCAATTTCTTGCGGTTCAGAGACGACAACTGTGTCCAGAATGGGTTGCTCAAAGGGAGAGAGAACCTCTTCGCTCGGTGTCGACACAGGAGGTGTGTCCGTTTCACTGGCACCCTTCTTCGCCTTCTTGGCCTTTTTCTTGTCTTTCTTCGAGAGAGGTATGGTAGGCTCTTGTTCGGAGATAGGCTCATCAACGACAGGCCGGAGCTTGGTATCAGCGGAAAGGTCCCGAGAAGTGGGCTGGATCTCAGGCTGGGCGATAGGCTCATCAATGATCGGCTGAACTTCAATTGCAGCGGGAAGTTCCACGGAAGTAGGCTGGATCGCAGGCGCAGCAGCAGCTTCCTGAGCAGTGGGCTCAACGTCGACAGGCTCGGCAGGTGCAGCAACAGTATCCCCAGCCGAAATGTCGCGAGTTTCGAGTTCAGCATCAGCCACGATAGGCGTCACAGTTCCCGACGCCGACTTCCCCTTCTTGCCTTTCTTCTTCTCTTTCTTCGAAAGGACGACCACCTCCTCATCGACAGGCTCCGCAGGCTGCGATATAGTCTTCTCGTCAGCAGTACCAGCACCCTGAGATGCAGGCGTTTTATCCAAAACCGGCACATCTTCGGTTGGCTCAGAAATTTCCAGACCGTGTTGCTCAACAGGCGCGATGATCTCCGCCGCTTGTGCAGCCTCCCCCTCCACATCACGGGCCGCGCTTTCCTCAAAGATAGGTTCATCCGCAGCGGGCATAGGCGGAACCTCAGGCTCGACCTCCTGGCTGATCGATCCTTTCTTCGCCTTCTTCTTCTTGCTCTTCTTCGACAAAGTCCCAGTGACAACCTCCTCTACAGGGTCTTCGGTAGCCGGAGTAGGATCTGACTCAACCGGCTCTGCGACATCTTGACTGGCTTCATCTATCACAGGCTCAGGCAGTGCAGATTCAACACTCTGCTCCGCTACAACAGGCTCCCCAGCTTCCGCGAGGGGATCAATACGCTCATCGACGGCCGGGGTGCTAGGCTCGCTCGCTTTGCCCTTCTTCCCTTTCTTCTTCTTGTCCTTCTTCGACGGCATAGCCCCACCGTCTTCCACATGTGTAGCACCCTCAGCAGAGTTCTCCACAGGCTCGCTGTGCACGGGCGCGTCTGGAGTAGCGGTGAGCACGTGCACGCTAGACTCGATTGGAGGAGAATCCGATGGCCCTGACGTCTTCTGCGAGTCGAGCGGAACAGCGAATGGGATGGTGACATCACTTTCTTTTTGGTCTTTGGGCGCCGCGGAGGAAGGAGCCCGGGTGTCGGAGTTGGGTTCCTGGGATTCTGCGATATCGTCGGGGAGGGTTGAGAGCGGGTCAATGTCGACGGATTTGCCCCTCTTTGCTTTCTTCTTCTTGGCCTTTTTGGAAAGAGGAGTCGCGGGTTCGTCGTCGACGTGGGTAGCAACGGAAGGAGAATAATCTTCTACTGGCTTGTCGTCCACCTGAGTTACTGGTGATGCAGCAAGTTCTTCAGTAGGCGCGACTGGCGTAGCTTCAGGAAGGGGATGGGACTGCTGCTCATCGAGATACCCTGTGACGATCGGCTCAACTTGGGCAGAAGCAGACGGGTCTGATATGACTTTGTCGTCCACTTGGGTCATACGCGGCACAGAACGCTCTTCGGCCTCTGCCACTGACGTAGCTTCTGCAACGAGTTTGGGTTGCTGCTGTTTGGCAGCATCTGCGTTTACATGCTCAACCGGAGCAGGAGCAGAAGATTCCTCAGCTACCTCAGCTTCCATCTGAGTCTCTTGCGGTGCAGCAATCTCTTCAGCAGGCTGGTCTCTCGGGGCCTCAGCCGACTCAACGGGTGTAACTTCCGAAAGGAGCTTGGGCTGGGGAGCGTCTGTAATCATCGATTCAACTCGAGCATCCTCAACGGGCATTTTAGCCTCTGCCTCTTCCGTCAGAGCTGGCTGAACGTCTACAGACTGTCCTTTCTTGCCCTTCTTCTTTTTCTTCTTGTCCTTCTTGGAGAAAGCTTCCGTTGGTGCCTCGATCGCAGTCTCCGCGGGTGCAGGCACATCCTCGGAAAGGGCGTTTTCAGGCATGGGAATGCCATCCGTTGGCTTGTCTTCCGTGATGGTGGTAGGTTCGACCTGGGCAGGATCGATGGGCGTAGGGAATTCTTCCACAGGCTTACCCGCGGTGGCTGTAGTAGACTCGCCCGTGCCATCTTTCGCGAGTACTTTGTCATCCGCCTCATGAACCGTCTCTGTGGTGCTAGGTTCGATATCAACAAGAGAGCCACGTTTTGCCGCCTTCTTCGCCTTCTTCTTGTCCTTCTTGGAGACGGATGCCGGCTCCTCTTCGACCGCAATTTGTACAGATGCATCTTCAAGCGGAGCATCCACTGGCAGGGTAGAATCTTCCACTATTGGCTTATCGTCTGCGGTCGCAGGAGGCTCGGCCGTGATCCCAGTCCTATCTTGCTCCACAAGAGCATCCAGAGTAGCCACCTTTGGCATCGCGCCATCGGCAAGGACATCACTCTCCAGCCGCAACGTGCTTGAATCCTTCACACTAGCTTCAGCAGCGGCCTGCTTCCCCTTCGTGCCCTTTTTCTTCTTCTCGGACTTGGAAACAGGTGCTGCCCACTCGTCCTCGGCTTGCTGTTGCGCCGGCGTGGGGTTGTCCTCTGTAGAGTTCTCTTCGTTGGATAACTGAGTGTCGGAATGTACGGGTGTGGTTGCTTCTTCGATACGCTGGCCTTCGGTGACGATTTCTGACTCAGCAGGCGCGTCGAGGTCTTTACTCTGTTCATCAGCATCAGGGGTAGTAGGCTCAGTAACTGTCTCCGGAGGGACCGTTGCCGACTCATTCGCACCCACAGAACTCCGCTTCGCCGCCTTCTTGGCCTTCTTCTTATCCTTTTTGGACAGAGAAGCGCTCGCCTCATCCGTAACTGGCGGCTCGATCGAAGCCGGAATTTCTTGGCTAGGCTTGTCCTCCAAGGGCGCTTCGGGCTCCGCTGGCACTGGCTTTCCTCTCTGCTCTTCGAGAACGTCGGCGTTTCCAGGTTTGTCTTCAGGTACGAGTTCAGCATTGCTCGGCAACGAATCGGCGAAATCCACAGTGCTAGACTCAGCCGTGTCGTCAACACTAAGCCCCTTGCTCTTCTTCTGCGTTTTCTTGCCTTTCTTCGAAAGCGGGACTGATTGTACAGCTGGCTGTTCGGCCGGTGCAGACACATCCTCCATGGGGTTCTCCTCGGTACGCACAACATCCTCAGCCGGGGAGGAAATCTCCACAGGCTTGTCTTCAACGGTTTGTTCAGGCTCGGCTTGCCTGGCTTCAACATCAAGTCCATTATTGATGGGCTCTTTCATCGGCTTTTCGTCAAGCAGTTCATTATCAACAGGTGTGCCAGGCGTGCCAGACATAATGGGTTCGGCCTTCGCAGCTACAGGATCAGTCTCCCCGGCCTTCCCCTTCTTGCCCTTCTTTTTCCTGTCTTTCTTAGACAGCGGCGCCCAGTCGTCATCTGCCTGCTCAAGAGGTGCGGCAGTATCTTCACCGGGCTTGTCGTCCGCAGCCACAGTCTCCCCATCAACCGAAGGTTGATCGAATGGCTTGGCTGGTTCGGTATCCAGGGGAAGGACAGATTCTGCCGGCTGCTGGACGTCATTGTTCACGCTGAGGTCGCGCGGAACATCGGCGGTGGTGTGGGATGGCGCTTTGGGGGCTGTTTCGATCACGGGGGCGAGGTGTTCAAACTCCAGGGGAGCACTAGGCTGTACGCTTTCACGCTTGTCCGTCTTCGCTTTCCTCTCTTTCTGTTTCTTGCTGGAAGATGTCGGGACCCATTCGTCCGCGGCACCGGGCGCCGAAGGTTCAGGGGCAGTTTCCACCGGAGCTCCCTCTCTGCTAGCTGTTTTGATGGCGGGCTCAGCGACGACTTCTCCGGGGATTGTGGGAGGTTCGGGGATAGGCTCGGAGTGGGTTGCGTCTTCGGTTGATGCTTCAACAGCAGGCTCAGAGATGGTTTCTTTGCGGTCGGTCTGGACCTCTGGTACAGTCTCAGGCAGCGGCTCATTCTCCATTGTCTCAACCGCAGGCGTACCCACACGCTCAGGCGTTGCATCCCCAGAATCCGCGACGAGATACTGCGCCACATCACCAGCGTCGTACACAGACTTGGCTTCTTCAACAGACCGGATATGTTCAAGAGCAGTTCCCTCAGCCACGGGTGGAGGTACAATCTCAGCGCTAGCCTCAACCTTCTCCTCCGTTGGCGATTTCTTACCACTCTTCAAGTCAGACGTGCTCGCCTTCTTCTTCCCCCACCCGAGCGCGCCGAAGAGACTCTTGCCCCAGCCGGACGTAGTTTCAGGCGTGGCAGGTTTCGCCTTCTCGTTCTTGCCCTTCTTCTTGTCCGACGTTTCAGGCGTTGTTTCCTTGGCTGCCTGGACGGTGGATGGAGCAGCGACGAGTTCAGGAGGAGGCGATGGGGTCGAAGACGAAGCAACGAGATACTGCGTTACATCGCCAGCGTCGTAAACAGGCTTGCCTTCGCTCGTGCTGAGTTTGGTCTCTTCCGCGGGCGTGATTTCTTTGCTGAAGGCGGGCTGGAGGACGTCGTGCTCGAACTGTTCTTGGATCGACGCCGCGGCAGGCAACGCCGCATCTGCATCTCTAACAGCCTCAGGCTCGGACGAGAGAGCAGCAGGCTCAACACCAACGACCTGGCTCCCGCGCTTCCCCTTCTTCCCCTTCTTCTTGTCTTTCTTGCTCTTCGACGCAGAGGCAGCGTCTTCAGCTTCAGCGGCTGGTTCGAGTTCCCTTGCAACAGGCTCAATCGCAATCCCGGTGGGCGCAACAAGGCTCAACCTGCTCTCCTGTCTGCTCACCTCCTTCGGCTCCTCAAACAGCCCCATCTTGCTCGCCAGCATCTCCCTCGCCAGGGGACTGTCATCCCCATACCCCATAACCGCGCGCTGCACTGCAACTTCGTCGTTGCTCCGCGGCGCCGTGTTGTCGAGCAGTTTCTGGCGGCGGAATTCCTTGGACAGCATCTCGGGCGATGCGCCGGCACCGGGCTCGCCCACGAGCGTGGCGTCGTCTTCGCCCGTGGGGCGGTCCCACGCGTCTTCGTTGTCGTTGAAGGTAGGGACGTAGGAGGATGCGGAGCCGGGGATGTAGCCTGTGTCGTGTGGCTCGCTCACGTCTTTGGATGAGCTGGGGAGAAAAGGTTCGGTCGGCACGTCTTGCGATGAGCTGGGGAGAAGAGGCTCCTCGACAGCCTGTGCATTGTCAGACAATAAGGGCCGGGATTCCTCGGTGGGCGTCGGTGCCTCCACGGCTTCAGAAACGCTGCCCTTCTTCCCCTTCTTCTTCTTCGCCTTGCCCTTCCCTTTGCTCTCTCTCCTGAGCAGCTCCGGACTAGGCTCTGACTGCTTGGCTTCCTCTACCTTCTTCTCCTGCTGCTCCTCGACAACCTTGGGCTCCTGCACTGGCGCACTAAACCACCCGTCAACCGCATCTGCAGCATCGGCTTCGCGAATCTTGGCATAGTCTTCAGCCGTGAGTTCCTTAGGTGGTTCATTGCTCAGGTCAATACTCTTTCCCTTCGAGCCCTTCTTGCTTTTCTTTGTTTTCTTCGAGCTAGAAAGAGCACGCTCCAACGCAGGACGTTCAGGCTCTGAGGGTGCCGGAAGCGGGGCGGCAGAATCGATGGTATCTGGGTCGGGAGACCCGCCCATGAAGTCGTCTTCGGAAACGACCGGTGATGAAGCGCGATGATGGAGGACAGCCGCGGCGGCGCCTCCTACAAGGGTGCCCAGCGCGGCATCTTGAAGGCGTGAGGAGGACTTGGATGGTGAAGGGTCTCTGGTACGAGTGCCAGGAATGTCTCGCGTCTGGATGTCGTCAATAGGCGGGCTGGGTGCCAAGGGAGCTGTATGCACAGGGCCGCGAGGCAAGTACGGCGTAGCAAAGTGTGCGACATTCTGCCCTGGAAACTGATCTTGCACAAGAGATGACAGGGCAAAGTGGCTAGCAACCGGCTCATCCACCGATAGGCCAAGACCTCTCGCCTCTCCCTGCTGGACCTGCTCGAGTCTGGCAGAAAGGTCCTCAGCAGGTATCGCAGCCTGATCCCACCTCACATCCAGCACGCCAGCCGGGAACGATGAAGCCTTGGGGGTTGTCTGTTGCGACTCGGTCAACTCCTCAATCTCGCGATCGGCAAGCTCCGGATGTTGCATCTCAGGTCTAGGGCCTGTGTAAAGCGGAGGCACGAACTGGAACGGGTCTGCGAGGGCATCTTCGAAAGCATCGCTCACGCTAGCGCTGGGCGATTCGTGAGCCGACTCGTACGCGGACTGGTACTCATCTTCTGTGCCGCTTGTAGACGATGCGCGCGATGGGCTTCCGCTTGAGGGCAGCGCTGGGAACTCCTCTTCTTCAATCTCGGCAGACTTACGGTTGCGCTCTACGAGGTACAGCGGCCTGTATTCGCGCGTGTGAACGAACTCGCCGGAGTGCGTCTTGGCATGTCGAGGACCTGGCGGTCGGAGAGGAGAGCTACTAGGACTGGAAGCGTTTTTCAATTCCAGTCTAAGATCATCACGTGTTGTTCCCGGGCTGACTGGGGGTCGACGGAAGCGAATAGGCACCGACGTAGATGACAGTCTTCGCTCCGAAAGCGGGCTTCTCGATGGTTCTGGGGTCTGTAGCAATGGGCTCGTTGGTCTGCTGACGGGGAGTGGGGGTAGCTCATCGGGGAATGCTTCTAATTGCCATGGTTGCAAACCAGTGAGCTTAGTCAGGAACGCGCGAGGGTCCTCCATGTTGGTAGGTGTAATAGGACGCTCGACGTGGTGTTTCTCGTTGGGGAAAGCGATAGCAGTATCGAGGACTGGAAGAGAACGATCGGGCTTGTCGCCAGGCACGCCACTATCCTGCAACTCTTCAATGGGAGACGATGTCTCACCGGAGGGCAGTGGTGTGGCTGCCACTGCCCGATCGTCTAAAAAAGCCTGTTCTTCGTCGTCATTGCGTAATCGGGAGGAGCGTTCCTAACACCCAATATATTAACGTCTATAATACATGATGGAAAATAGTACAACAAGTTAAAAGTGTGCTATACCTTTTCTTCCCAGCCGTCGGTGCGACTCCTACGCTTCTCACGGCGACTGGAAGACGAGATGGTCGATCGCGCATCATCGTCATCCGAGCCGTATGCCGAGCCCTCCCTATGCTTCTTCCTGCGGCGCCTACGCTCACCGGCGTCTTCATCCTCCCTCGGCTTGGAGGATTTGCTAGTGTCCGCCAGGTTCTCCTTCGATCTGCTGAATAAACCAAAAAGCCCCGATGATCGCTTCTCTTTGTCCTTCGTCGAGGATTTCTCCTCATCGTAGCGTGGCGCTGAAGACACGGACATGTTGTCATCATCATCCCGTTTCGATCGGCGGCGGGAGGATTTGCGCTCGTTCTCGAGGTCACCCGGCTCGGATCGGGCGGATGAACGACGGTATTCTTCGGGTGAACGAGTGCGCTCGCCTTCCCGGTGCCTGTGCTTGCGGCGACGTTCACTAGTTGCTTCTGATCGAGCTTCAGAGATTACAGATCGGGAGTCCCAGTCGTCGGACCGTTCGTCAGTCTCGCGTCGACGGTGATGTCTTCGTTTGTTTGGTGAGTCACCCTTGTCCAGCTCATAGCCACGATCACGACTCTGTGAGCGGGAGCGGGTCTCATAGCGAACATGGCGTCGCTCTTCACGTTCCAAATCATCGTCGTAAGTCTTGGGCGGCGATACCATATATGTCTTCTCACGATCGGAGAACTTATCCGCTGGTGGGGTTTTATCCTTGGCCGGCTGTTGCTCATCTGAGCCGGCCGAGAAGAACTCGTCAGAATCACGGTCGGCAGAGTTGGGCTGAACAGGATCGTCCGGTGCGTAATGTCCAGAAGCATGAGCATCTCGGATCGTCGAGGGGAATACATGGCTCAAACCAAGATCCCTAGGAGGGGATTTCGACGATTCCGTAGCAGCTCGGGAATTGGAAGGGTCCGCAATGGACCCAACATAGTCTTTGTACTGGACCTCCGAGCGTAGTGGAGATCCGATGGATGGGGACCACCTGCCACTCGATACTCTCTTCTGTTTCTTCGGTGTCTTGACGTCGCCGAGCTCTTCTACATCGTGAAATGCTGTGCTTGGAAGAGCACGTGCGTATTCCATGCTTTCGCGTGCGTGCTCAAAGTCTGACGTAATACGATCTTGGTCCTGCTTCATTGCAGCACCTACGAGTGCGGCGAAACCACCGGCCATGGCCGCATTGGTGGCATTAGCGGAAGTGCCATTACTGCGGGGTTCGTCCGGTGAGGTACCGGGTGTGAAGGTTGGCTCAATATCTCTCGGATCACGTTCGAGAACTGGGGTGGAAGGTTGGCTCGACTCGGTATCATCGAAACTGTCGGCGGTGCCTTTCTTTGCCGCCTTCTTGGCTTTCTTCTTGTCCTTCTTGCTAAGCCTAGCATACGCGGCACCCTCGTCTTCCATTGGCTTTTCAGGCTCCGGCTTCGGCTCCGGTAACTGTTCTCTGGCATATTCAGGCTCAGCAACAGCGCGCGAGTCAAACGTGCTAGACGAGGCTTGATCGAAGAACTCATCTACTGCACCCTTTGACTTATTGTTCTTATCGTTCTTACTGAGCTTAGAAGGAGCAGCCGAGTCATCTTCTACGAGCGTCTCCGGTTCTGGTCTGCGTTCCTCAACAATCACTGGCTCAGGCTCTGGAACGACCGCTGTTCGCGCATCTTGAGCGAAAGGGACTTCGTCAGCGCTCGTGGACTTTTTTTTCTTCTTCTTGTCCTTCTTGCTCGACTTGGTCTCGGGTTCAATTATGACTTCCCTTACGGGCTCCGGTTCAGGCTCTCGGATCTGTTCAATCGTTCTCGGTGGTTCTGAGAGGGCGAAGGTGTCCTCGTCAGTACTCTTCGACTTCTTACCTTTCTTGCCCTTCTTGCTGGGAGCGGTCCACTCGTCTTCCGTGGGCGCTTCCGTGGTTGGCGCAGACGAGTCGTCGAAGCCGCCAGGCATGTGCATGGGCTCGGGGTCAGAAATGAGCTCACCCTGGATCGACCTCGTTGGCTTGGCCGGTACAACGGTGACATCAGAGGCAGACTCGGGGAATGGAGTCGACCAAGAGCTCATAGTCGAAGGTGCAGCAGATACAGTGGATGCAGCGTACTTGTCAGCGAAAGGGTCGGTCATGATAGACACGTTGTCAGCGTCGTCGCGAGCACGGATATGTCTATCGTCATCCCGTGAAGCGAGTGCAGCAGTTGTCACAACTGTTGCCGCCGCTGCCGCTGCCGCTGCAGCTGCTTTGGCCTTCTTCTTGTCCTTCTTGCTGACCTTCTTTGACATCGTACCGGCCCAATCATCGTTGTCCTGGCCGGGGACGTACTGCGTGCTGGCAGGAACCTCGGGCTCGGGGAGTTTTGGTTCATAAGTTGTTGTCTTCCGCCCAGATTTGGGAGAGTCAGCCTCGACGTAGATCTTGTCCTGGGATTGTTTTGTGTACTTGTCAAGGTCATGATCAGACACAAAGTTCTCGCGGATAGAGTCTGGTGTGGGAACTTCGTAGTTGTGGAACTGATTCGCGCCCCAACTGACCCTTGAGCCCCGGCGATTCGCTTCTTCCTGTTTGGTATCTTCTTTAGTCGGCTCTGGGACAGGCTCCATAGCAGGTGAAGCTGGGACAGAGACGACGCGTGGTGTAGGCGCTCGACTTCCAGGGGGGGTTGGCTGAATAAGATTGAGCTCAGGGACAGGATAAGGTGGGTTTGCTGGGCCACGACCGTCTTTGGTGGCGGTGAACGAATACGAAGTAGGATAAGGCGGGCGGCGTGGTGGGCCATAATCATGGTCGTCGTGGGCTTGGTAGACAAGAAGATCAGGAGCACCTTCGTTCGGGTCAACTTTGGCCACAGGAGCTGCCGTCTTGTCAAGCAATTCCTTCGGCGCGAAGAAGTCCGCCTGGGACACCTGTTCGTGTGTGTATCGATCTTCCCATTCTTGAAGAACCTCTTGTGCGCTGCCCGGCTGCCGAATGGGAGAAGCTCTCCTTTTCTTGAAGATGTCAGGGTTGAAGATATCATCATCGGCGTAGTCCTGCGCAATCATGCTGGGTGCAATTGTTTTGACCGCAGCCGGCTCTACTGTCTTGACAGAAGACGGCTCCACCTCCTTCGTGCGGCGGTCATCGTACTTATCGTACTTGGACGATGCCTCCTTCTTGGTGCGGCGATCGTCGTGCTTCGAGGATGATATAGCAGCGCTCGTAATCGCGGCAGCGGCTACAGCAGCAGTGGCAACAGCGGCAGGCTTCTTCCAAACATCTGGCTGAACAATGTCTCGCTCCCGGTCTTCGAGCTCTTGTTCTTTGCGCCGAACGTCGCTAGTAACAGAGCTTCCAGTGCGTTGCTGCTCAATCGTGCGGCGGTCTCGATCACTTTCGTAGCGGCTAGAATACTCTTCTGCCTCGCGTTCTCGCCGCCTGCGCTCCAGGTCTTGCTGAATCTCGGCTTCGCGCTGCTCAGCCTCTCGTTGCTCAGCTACACGTTGATCCAGCTCCCGGCGTTCTCGTCGCTTTTGTTCAAGCTCTTGTTCGAATTCGATGTCACGCTTACGTTGCTCTGCCATGCGACGTTCCTGCTCGAGGCGTTCCCGGTGCTTCTGCTCTTCTTCGAGCTCAAGTTCGTGCCTCCGTTGCTCGGCAATACGAGCTTCATGTTCACGGCGCTCTTGTTCCTCGGCCTTCTCCCTGGCCCGGCGAGCAATACGTTCTTCTTGTTCGCGGCGCTCTTTCGCCTCGTGCTCACGACGGCGTTCAGCCTCGCGGCGCTCGATCTCCAGCTTGGCCAATTGCTCGGCCTCCTGGTACTTTCTCGCCTCTTCCTGCTGGCGTTGGAGCTCAAGCTTGCGACGCTCTTGTTCTCTGCGTTCTGTTTCATCAAGACGGCGGCGTCGCTCATCTTCCTCGTCGCGTTCAATATCCTTGAGGCGCTGGCGCTCCTTGTGCGCTTGTTCCTCGGTGAAGCCAAAGCGTACGTTTGATTGAGAGCTGGAAGGTCGAGAAGGCCGATCCTTATTCTTCATAGAAGATATTGCGGCGCCAGCGAGTCCACCGGCAGCGGCGGCGAGAGCAGCATCACGCTTCCAAGAGGATGACTGTACGGGAGACGAGTTGGCACGACGAGGTGGAGCCGGATGCTGCGGAGAGTCGAAAGCAGTGGGATAAGGAGGCTGCGAAAAGACTGGAGGGCCACTGGGAACAATGTAGCCAGGTTCAGGTGGCGCTTGCGTGGAGTACATAGCTCCAGGTACCTGCTGCATAGGCTGTGGATGCTGAATGGTCGTTGGGCCAGATTGGGAAGTTAGGAGTGGTTGTGGCGTGGGCAGAGAGTTTGTCCGTCTGGCATCGAACGAATTGGGATCAGCGGTTGCCTGGACTGGGACGACATTCTGGAGCGAAGGGATGCTGCTGGCGCTGCTGTCCTGTCGATGAAGGCCAGCGCCGATTGCTGTTCCAGCCACAGCACCGACTGCGGCAGGACCGATGAGCGAATTGTTGGCGTTAGCGTTGTACAAGCTTTCAGTGGAAGGCTTTTTCTTCTCCTTCTTACTGCCCCATCGCCAGCCCCACTTGCTAGTACCTGAACCATTCGAGTTGAGAGACTCCCTACTCTTAGTCTTGTATAGGTCATGGTCGCCAAAGGCAAGGCCCGAGCTGATGCTTCCTGAATCGGTTGTGTCATCGTCCGGAAGATCCTCCCAGCCATCCGCATCTACGTTGCCGTAACGAGAGCCTCCAGACTGGCGTCGATATCTGCTTTGGGTTTGATGTCGGTTCTCGCGAACGGCAACAACTTCAGGGCGATGTCGGCCACTGCTGCGTCCGGCTTTTGCTGCAGCAATCGCGGCGGCGGTCGCACCTAGCCCGATCAGAGTGGCATTGAGCTTTTCGTCGGAACTTCGTCGCGAGGGACGCTTTTCGAGACGCTTCTTGCGCCTGACGAATCCCTCGCCGAACGCGATGTCGGAATCGGAAGATGATGATGATGCATTTCCGAAGTTGAAGAAACCCTTCTTTTTCTTGGATTGGCTGTGAGTTTTCCGCTTCTTCTCCTTTGATTTTTCCTTGGGCGGAGCGGCGGCGAAGAAACCTCCCAGAAAGCCTCCTTGCGATTGATGGGGTCTGGAAACTTCAACGAAGGAAGCACCGCTGACCGAGCTCCGAGATGACTTGCTCTTCAAGCGTTGGTTCTTCGAGTATCTCCGTTCGCGATCACTGCTATCCCGACGATGGTGAACAAACGCATTCTGTGGTGAGTGAGAGCGGCTGCGGCTTCGGCTATGATGCTTCTTCCGAGAAGCGCCAACAGCTGACGCTGCCAGGCCAGCACCGAGTGCAGCGCCTAGGATACCAGATTTGCGATCTCGCGAGTGGGACCGTGACCGCGAATGTGAACGGTGCTGGACAACCTTGTAGTCTCTGCGATCTTTGCGATTTCCCGTGATTCCCGTAGACATATATGATATGCGATCTTCCGATGGGCTTCTGTGTCGGATCCCCGATCGGCCATAAGAGTAATGCTTACTCTCTCGAGACCGGCTTCGACTTCGGCGTGATGTTCGTGAACGCGGGTCGCGGCCAGATTTGATGCTGTAGGTGTCGTCAAAATCGTTCCGCTGGTTGAAGAGTGCCTGTCCAGCCTTTGCAAGACCGACGCCACCCAAGCCCGCTGCGATCCAGCCAGCCGCAGAGCTGCTATTGCTCTTGCGTTTGTCTCGTCTCTCATCGCCAGAGAGTGACGTTCGCGAAGCCTTCTCATTCAGTCCATAGCGGGAATGCTTCTCCTTGATTCCAGATGGGCGAAGCTCACCCGAGCGTTTCCTTCGATTGTAATGATGAGGTCGAGGCGCGTCCATGGGTGAAGATCGCGGATCAAAGCAATACTTGCAGACGCCAATGTACTCGGTGTACTCTTCCATCTTCCGCACGTCGTCATAGTTCTTCCACCAGTCTGCGAACTTGGACACGGGCCCTTTGTGTTCGTGTCGCTGCGCCATGCCGCCGGACATCAAGGTTCCAGGTGATGAACCGTAGCTGCCGTAATGCTCTCCAGGGAAGCCTCCAGGCATAGAGTGGGTATGGTTGTGGTTGTGCGTGTGGTGTGCGTTGTGGTGGGCTAGGCTGTAAGCTGCAAGTCCGGCAGCACCTGCAGTATATAGCCCAGCATGAGATGAGCCGGACGGCTGCTTCTCGGGTTTGCCAGGCCTGGGAGGCTTCGGTGGGGGCATGCCTTCCATGGCTTCGTTGTATGTGGGAACGTAGCTGCTGGTCCCATTATAGTTATGGCTGCCGTCTGTTGCTGCCGTCGACGGATTCTCGCCTTGGTAGTATATGGAAGCAGCATCACCCGAGATGCCGTTCGTGTAGGTTGTGGCTTGTTGAGAGTGAGTTTGAGAGGACTCGTGGCCAAAGGCATATCCCACACCAGCGGCACCAGCCATGGCAGCAGCAGAGCTCAGTTTGCCTGGCTTGTCGGGTCTGGATGAAGGTCTCGGGGGCTTCGCAGGTAAAGGCTCGTCATCAGTGAAGGCGCCAGGCATAGACGAGGGCCGCGGCGGCTTCGAGGGTTGCTGTGGTTCGGCGCTTGCCATGCTGTAGAATTCGGCAGCTGCGCCCGCTCCAGTGTCGGCGACCGGGTTCGCCTGAGATGAGCCTGTGATCAGGTGCTGCTGATCTTGCGGTATAATGACCGAAGGGCGCTCTATTCGCACGCCCGGCTGGTGCTGGACAGACTGGCCTTGGTCGCCGTAGTACTCCGCAGCCTCTCCGAACGACGCAGTGTGCACAGGAGCGTGAGGCACAAAGGGTGTCGCGAACTGCTGCGGGTTCTGTCCAGGGAACTGGTCTTGCACGTGCGACGACATGGTGCCAGCAGGCAGTCCTCCCGACATCATCGGCGGGCCGTCCAGGTCGGGAAACCGCGATGATTCTCCACGCTCAAGAGGGCCGGCCACAGACCGCACCGCCCGTCGCGGCGCCTCTACGATGTCCTGCGGGCGCGGACCGCCAGCCTCGGAACGGCTCTTCTTCTTCTTGTCGTGTTTCCTATCTTTGTCGCTGCGGTCGCGGCTCCGCGAGCGGTCTCTGCGCAATGTCGTCGAGCGCTCGTCGTCGTCCCGGCGGCGGCGTCTGCGCTCGTCGTCGCGCGGGCCGTCGTACAGGTCGGCGTTGGACCTCATGTCGTCGCGATCGTGGTCGTCTCGGGCTGTCGCAAAGGTCGCATAGCTCGACGCGGGGCTGTCGGGCGCTCGTGATCGTGAGTCGCGCCCCGAGGGCTTGCGCGTCGAAGCAGACGACACGACCGACTCGGACGTTTTCGATCGACGCGTCGCCGACGAGTCGCTCCTCTTGCGCTTCTCGTCGTCGCGGTCCTTTGCGCCATCGCCTTTGGAAGAGCGACGGGTCCACATTATTACAACTGCCGCACAGGGGCACCGCTAGCTATGTATGCGCCGGGTGCAGTGCTGTGCAGAATTACGCTCGTCGGTCGGTCGCTGGAATGGGTCGACGTGGGATGCTGGGGTATCGAAACTCAAGAACGGATGCGCGCAAGAGTCGTCACGTCGTCATGTCGTTATGGTACAGTATACAAGGAAACAAGGACCACGAGAAATGCACGCCGACAGGCTGCCACCGACCGTCCGATTATGCGCGCGACGGATAGCTGAGTTGTTGCAAGTGGCGACCTGAGCTGGAGTGAGGGTTGACCGGCGCTACCCCCTGCAACTGATCGCAAGCTGCCGAGTGGGGGCTGGGCCAATCGACATGTCCGCGGTGGAGACATCTGTCTGCATTGGCCATGCAAGCACTGGTGCATTGGGCATAATTGTGCTCTCGGTTGCTGTTTATCGTGGATGCACTTGTTTCATCAAAAACACACAAACATGGTTGATTTTATAGACAAAGGGCAGGAATGCATTCAGAGCTGGACCGCTATCCACTGGGTCCCGCTAGCCTCAGGCACAGGACCATTCCCGGCTGGAAGCTTGTTCCAACCACATCAATGCCTATTGCACGGAAAAGACCAGGGCAGTATCTGAAGACCATCTTGGTCTGCTGCGCAAGAGAGTGGCGGACCCGGACGGTTATCAGGCGACCGCGAGGAAGAAGCGCAATGTTGTGCAACCTGCGCCAGCTCATCAATTGTTCAGGGTACATGCCGGCGGCGGCGGATGCCCCGATGCTAACTAGCAGACTACTGTGCCCAACATCGTCCCCGTTCGAGAACATTGCCCGAAAGACACAATTTCCCAGCCCAAACTCCGCGCTATCATCTAGCATGTCCTTCCTAACCAGTGACGCCATGTATGTTACAAAATGCATCGCCCAAAGCGCCCATCTGACTCAGTTTCTCGAGCCATCTTGTGAACGTCATTATACATTTGCCTACGCTGTTTCCCAACCCTATATGCGTCCGACCATGGCGGCAAACTGCTGCCTCAATGTCATGATCTGGTTGCGCGACGTAGGGTCCAACGCGTCGATTTGCGCCTGACTCAGTGCCATGACTTGCTGGTATGCTGCGAGCTGTTCCGGCGTCAAAGCCGGTTGCGCTTGCGGAGGCGGCTGTCCATACGGCTGCTGCATTTGTTGCGGTGGTGTCGGGACAGGCTGTGGAGGATAGCCCGCGTAAGTTTGCGGTGGCCGGGTGGGCTGTGGGGCAGGTGGTTGTGCTTGTGGCGGAGGAGCCGCTGCTGCAGCGGGAGCTGGGTCGATGAGCGAGCCGAGCACATTCGTGTCCACGAGGTTTAGGAGGAGGAGGGCCTGGAATATCGCGTAAGCGAGCTGCGGCGCTTGCCTGAAGACCTCGGCAGCTTTTGCGGGTTCTGTCATAACCAAGCCCTTCATCTGGGAGATGATGTCGAGGAGCTGGGGTGGCGGAAGTGTATTGAGTGTGGAAGAGATAGAATCGGGGCAAGATAGGTTGGGCTGGAGCTCGGCGCCCGGTGGGAGAGGAGGGATCGCGGCGGACTGTGGTGCTGCCGCAGCGACGTCGGGCTGGCCATTGACTGGCACTGGGTTGTTGGCAGGCGCGTTGTCGCCTGCGCCGTTATCGTTGGACCAATCCACGCGCAGCTTCCTTCCCATCAGCTCGTAGTCGTTGAGGTTGCGCACTGCAGAGGCTGCTGAATCGCTGTCTGCGAACTCTGCGAAGCCGAAGCCCTTGGGTCGGCCAGTCTCCTTGTCGTATACGAGCCGGAAGTTGAGCACCTGGCCAACGCGGCCCAGTGTCTCTATGATGATTTCCTCATTGCCGCCTGCAAAAGGTTAGCCGTTCCGCGCGAGGGCTCAACTGCGCTGTGTGGTGCGCGACTCCCAAATCGACTTACCATATGGGATGTTGCCGATGAACACAACGCGACCCGCTTTGTCGTTGGGTGCCATAGCAGTGGTTGTGCGTGAGGGAAAGCTGGGGTTGTTTCTTGGAGGTTCGAGACTGGGATGCGACAGCGCAACGACCGCGCTGAAGCTCAGGCCACATCAATTTCCTCTAGCCGTTTACAGTTAGTTCAGCCTCGCATTCACCATGGGTAGCGTACTACCCATGTAGAGTGATTATCTTAAGCCTCAGTATTGGTGACGGTTCAACGCCTGTTTGACAGATTTGTGCTTTTTCACGAATGATTGATCAAGGCCCAAGTCACAATGTTTCATTTCGTTGACTAGTCTCATGTCGAAGGGTTGTCCGACACATTTCCTACAGCTTTGGTCCGCAGCATGCGCCTCCTTGCCCAACAACAGCCTCTACTGTAGGCTGGTGGTGCTGCTCACTCACCAGGGTACTCTTGTTGAAGCTCTGCTCACTCGGCGGTACGTCTAGTGCCGGATTCTGTGATCAAAATGTCAGTAATTATTTTATGCTTACGGGAATGTTACTTTGCTCGTGTCTGGAGGGGGAAAGGCGTCCTCGTCCGCAAAGACGCATCTGCACTTTGTACCCAGGAGACTTACCTTGTCGAAAAAGTTTACAGGCTTCATATGGATCTTCAAGATCTCGCATGGCATCACAGGGAAGTCCTAATCAACGTGAGTGCCAATCCAACCACGACAGTCGTGTAAACTTACTTCAATTCTTGGTACGTGGTTGATACCTGCCTGAATGTAGAGGACGAAGTCGTCATCTTTCACGTTCTCTTTGCGGTCGGCCCATGACCTGACACCAGTGCCTCCTCTGCTCTGGTTGGTGTATTTTCCGCCCGCATATAGTTCGTCGTCTCGGTACTTGACAACGTAGATGTTATGATCTGAGAACTCCGCACGCTTGTAATTGAAGCTGTCCTTGTCCGACAGAATCTTCTGGAAAGCAGGCGCTTGAATCTTATACGCTACAGGCTTGCCGTTGATAGGGTTGCGTTTGTCAACGTTCTGGATCTTGAACGTGCGGTTATTGTCGTAGTCGATGTCGTAGCCGCCTGATTGCTCGACGACTGTCTCCTGGACGTAGTAACCTGTACCATGAGGGTTGAAGTCGGATCGTGGCATGGGAAATGCTTCATCGTAGACGAGCCGGTTGTGCTGACCCTCCAGGAATGGATCCACTCTCAGTGAGAAGATATGTTGGTGATGAACAGCAAGAACACCAGGATGCACAACTGTGCCGAACGGTACCTCCACACCTTCGTCGATGGGCTGTGTACTCAAGATACCCGTTGCGCGGATTTCATAGTCGACTTCTCCAGCTTGATTAAAGATGAAGGCCAGAATGTACTCGTAGTTTGAAACCGTGATGATCGACTGCAACACAAGTTCGCGCGAGCGAGCCACAGCTGCTCGGCCAGTGCGGTAGTTGGTGTGCTTCCATCCAATACCACCGTCTTGCTCATGGATGCAGACGCAATTCTCCATCGGAATCACACCACCTTTGTCGTCCGAGAGTACAGCGTCAAGGTAGTAGATGGAACCCAAGCAGTCGCACCCTAGCTTGAGGTTGTTAGCCATGATGCCAGCCCCAGCATCTCCAAGATCAAAAGCTAGATTGCAAGTTAGATCATTTTATAGCAGGTTTTGAGAGATTGCATACCTGATTTCTTGTGGTATGGGTGCCGGGGGTCTGCGTAAGGAATGTTCATGTCGCTCAAGCTTAGTCGATAGAACAAGCTACGGTTATCGTATCGCACATCGTAAAGCACCATGCCTTCGCGTTGGTTGAACCCTACCCTAAATTTCCACTTCTGCCATTGCAGTACACTTGAGGTGCCCTCCTGAGTGACGGTAAAACTGGCACCTTCCGGTTGGACTACATTCAATGGCTTCAGATCTGTCCTCAAGGTCTGATGCTCTGGAATGTATTCGTTCGGTGGGTGGACGGGCCATTTTCCTAATGGTTTGATCGTGTTATCGGGACCAGTGGGCAAAGTGTCAATGCGAATAACCTTCATGGCATCCGTGGTGACAACCGGGCTGATCGGTAGTGGTAGTGCATAGTGGTTGGAGTCGGCTTCTGAGGGGTTGAGCGGGTCTCGCATGTACAAGAAACATTGGTATAGTCGCTCCTCATCATTGACTCCGTCGGAGCCATAGATCCAGGGATCTGAGATAACCACTGTGCCCTCCGGAAGCTCTAATTTTGCAATCGCATCTTTGACTCCCTGGTCCTCGAGCGCAATCTTCTCGATACGCACAATCTCTTCGCCGTCTCCATTTGCATGGACGAATGGGCCCAGCTGGACGTTGTGGAGCACGCGACCTGACTGGAGGTCTACGATCGCTTCGTGAAATTTGTTCTGAAAGTCGAACCATTACTAATGATCAAGGTTATGGAACTGGTCGACTCACTGTATTGCGGATGTAGTAATTTATGAAAGCTCTCCTGCTGACGGGAGGCAACTGAGTTCCACTGTGCTCAGCTTCCAAATACGGGACAACCTCCGCTTTGGGAGGTTCCTGCAGCGTCACAACTTTGAAATGGACATCCGTATGCGCCGGCCATGAAGCCCGGATTATCGCTGCTGCGGATGTGAGTTCTTTTTCCGAAAGGGGCGCCAGTGGGTGTGCGGCGAAACCCTTAACAAGGCGTGATGACGGTGTATCGGCGACAACTTCGGTAGACATGTTAACGGTGTGGGATTGGCGTTAATGTCACTCCTCCGTACACGAAGATTGGAAACAAAGTGTTCTTAAAAGATGTTTTGTCTTCCGCGGATGACGCCCAGCACTAAACGTTACCTAGTGGGGACATTTGCTCCTCACCGGCGATGTTCGCTGCGACGATAAGAGGTGGTGCTCTATTGGTATCATGCTGATTCGTACACGCCGCGCCATTGTGGATTTCGCATGGACCTAACAGATCGGGCTTAGTGAAGTCAGGAAACGGGTGCATCTGTTGGAGGGCGGGTGTGAGGCTGGTGGCAAGGGAAGTCGCTACCCCGCTTTTAGGCCGTCGCTCGGAACTGGCTACAACCCGCGATACACGCCCGATACAGAACGTTGGCCGAAATGTTGGGAGATATTACAATAGAAGAGTAAGTCACCTGAAAGAGTGATCTGTGAAGATGCTGACTGCAGCAAGGCATGCGCACTGCCTTGCCTTCCGATGGTCCACATAGGCACTGGTGCGATGGCTTTCTCTCACGGTCGCGACCACCTTCTTGATTCCAGTGGTCCTGACCTTGGTGATAATTTCCATATCGAACGAGATGCAAAGATAGCGGAAGCGCTCTCAGCACTGAAAATCATTTTCAGCAAATACGTTATATTTGCTACGTGGATAGAAGCCGAAGAGCTGAGTCGCGCAAAGAGAAACAGGACATCCTATACTATTGAAACTAGGCCGGGGGGATGGCAAGTCCATATCTGCCATTACATGTTCTCGCTTACGCTGGCATCAGACGGCATCTTCATGCATACCAAAAACAACCGTGATTACATTACATTATAGATGTTGGTAGGTCTAGTGAGGCAATAATACCAAGTCTGGGACTAGCACAGACCGAGATACAGTCACTCCAGCGAACTGTGTTCAGCGTAACAGCGACGAGTACTACACCGGAGAAAGTGTGGCAAGATCTACCCACAGGTAAGACCAAGTGCCAGAACTAACAGGTGATTCATTGTACAGGACAATCTGCACAGCCGCTGCGTCTGTGGATGCATCTGCACCCCATGAACCAGGAAACTCTGTCCAGCCTTGTTCAAGGGTCACTGGCGTGGACGTAAGAACCCTGACGCCATTGATGAAAACTTGTACCAACGTTGGCCTGCTTGCAGTGCTCGCTGAGATAGTCCGCAGCCAGATGCTGAATCGGTACTGCTGGCCTGGGCAGACACGAACGGCCTGTGTAATTCGGTGGCCACTGTTCACATCTAACACACGATCAATCGCCGACTGGACCAGATAGAGGCCGTCTTTTGGCGGATTCGCGGAGCCGGAGGAGCCGCGGATAAGCCCGCTACTAATAGCAGTGTTGGGAGTGAACGCCCAAACACCATTCGACTCAAAGGACGGGTTTTTGAGTGCCTGGACCGCACTGCAGGAGGGCGCTGAAGTGGTAGTGCTGGTGATAGTCGTCGTTACCGTACTGGCATCAGGAGCTGGGAGCGTAATTGTGCTTGCATCGGGGGCGGGAAGTGTGATAGTTGACGCAGGAAGAGTCTCGGCAGGCAACGTAACAGTGCTTGCTTCTGGGGCAGGCAATGTTATCGTGGTGGCTGGAAGCGTCTCGGCAGGTAATGTGATGGTTGATGCCGGGAGTGTCTCCGCCGGAAGAGTAATTGTACTCGGTTCCGGCGCTGGCAGCGTAAGAGTCGAGGCTGGAAGCGTAACTGAAAATGATCAGTTCCTTGACATGCATGCCTGGGATCGTGAAATACGTACTAGTGGCAGGGACAGTAATTGTCACTACTTCGCCTTCTCCTGGTATTGTAACAGTTGTTGCAGGCTCAGTGATGGTAGCTGGGACAGTAACTGTCACTACCTCGCCTTCTCCAGGAATCGTGATGATAGTCGCGGGTTCGGTAATGGTGACAGCAGAGCAGATGCTTGGTGAAGCACTGGTGAGGACAACGGACGAACTCGAAGATGGACTGGACGAGCGCGAGGATGGCTTTGTTGAAGTTCTTCGGACCGACGAAGAGGTGCGGATGCTTGTGGACAAGGTAGTACGCTTGGTAGAACTCGGCACGACATATCCTCCTTTGCATGTACCGAAGTCGCCCTGGCACTTCTTTGCTACCTCGCAGTGGTCTTTGGTGCTCCCACAGTAGCTACACTTCGGTTAGTACCGCCAGTATCTGCAGTCAATCAATCATGCTTACCCGTTTTGTGAGCAGCAGTTTCCCCATTTGCTACCCTGACACGTCGCTCCGCCGTATTTTTTCCCGCATCGTGCATTCTTAGACACAGGCTTCGACGTAACATAGGCAGCTTCGACGCCTGTAAGTCCCAGAAGTGCGAGAGCCACAATCGAATTCAACAACATGGTTTAAGGGAAAGGCTGAGACCGCTGGTATCGATGTTAAAATAAAATAAAAACTCAGACTGATTAGACGATGAATTGGATCCCGCACAACACAAAGTTGCAGGACCTTTGTCATTCTATAAGTACACATCATCATGCTCCTAGCCAAGACTCTTGCGGGTCCTCGTTTGCCAATGCCACGACAAGCCGTCTAGGCCTGCTAGCTTTCGTGTCTTGGTCTACTTTGAGTTGTCACAGCTAATGTTCTGGAGGAAGTTTCTAAGAGGCCCTGTAAAAGCCTCCTAGAGGTACAGTAAGGGAAGCCAGCTAGCGTTGATGGTACTAGCGGTAATTGGCGGTGGAAATTAGGAACCCCAATCTAGAAATAAGAGGCGAAAGGCGAGGCTGTGGGTTCTTCGAACAAGTTCAGGTGCATCGCTTACAACAAAAGCATCGCTTGGGACTGTCAACTTCAGTAGAGGTCACTGAGTACATCAATTTACCCAGGTGAAGAGGGCGCGTCCTGTCTGAAGCCATGTTAAGGAGCGGCCAGCGACATAGACCAGTATTCGGTGTGCAGTCGTATTGGAATTGGAAGCGTGGGCAACGATATGCAATCATGGAGAAGCAGGGACCTTTGGACGCCTAAGAATAGATTTCGCCCAGGTGCGTTTTGCCCTATTCATCTCCACAGAAGCCACTAAGGCCGAGAGATGACTCTGTAACTTTCGAGCATTGTCTAGGTGTGTACAAGAGGTTGAGAAAATTGTTCGCGACCTTCGAGGGGTGAACCCTCGAGAGTGCCTCAGAGTCGCTCCAAGAGTCCAGGCAAGTCACGTGGAAGTCCATCCAATCAAAAAGTGGCTGCTTTTCCAGGCTGTGCGAAGATCACGTGACTGAAGCCTCCGCCGCGATCCCAGAACATCGAAGGCAGCCGTCGAACGAAACAACCACTAGTCCCAACAACAGGCTCTGTAACTTCTCCGCCTGCATTATTACACAAAACGATGCGCACATTTGACGTCACTACACTGCCTCTGGCTGCTTCATTCTCGCCCGCCAGCTTACCAATGTTTCACTCTCCCTGTGGTCACTTCCAAATTCGCGAGATAGTAATATATCCTTCGCTTGGAACCGGAACCCCAGCTCATGCTCCCCACAAAATCGTTTCTATCGCGCACATACCCCAGTCATACCATTCCCACTTATTGGCCGAGTACAATCTCGGTCCATCTTACGAAGATGGCGACTATCATCTACTTTGATTGCTTGTCCACACACCAGCCTTGCCATGATCTTGGTCAATATTGTTGTCGCCTTGTCCGGCTCTAGAATGGTTGCCGGCTATCATCTTTCGATACCGGACGCTGAATGACCGGTTTGTGGCTGAAGTGTCCACCGGTAGGTCCTGGCAGAGGTAAAGGCTTTCGGTGTTCCGTGATTTGGGCTGCAATGCAGAGTTTTGGGACCCTATCGTTGTGTTAATATGGGGGTCAGTGTCTGGTGCGGCCACAGTACTTAAAGCCCTGGGGGGAAGACTTGGGAAGGTCAAAACCCCAAGCACACTAAGCAGTTTGACTATCCGATACCACCAGACCCGTCTACCTTCACAATGAAGTCCTTCGTTGCCGCAGGTTTTCTCCTCGCCACCCTCGCCGAGGTTGCGCAAGGCCACTGTAAAGATATCGTGGCTCGCCGTGATGCACTATGACTGATAGTCCTATAGACATCTTCCAATACCTGACGGCGAACGGCCAGAAGGGGGCGCAGTATCAGAACATCAGAAAAAACACAAATAACAATTCTCCGGTCACGGTCTTGAGCGACACCAACCTACGCTGCAACGTAGGAGGCGCATCAGGAAGTGCTACGACCGTTGTCTCGGTAGCTGCGGGCTCTTCGGTTTCCTTCACAGCAGACCAGGTGTGTAACGGAAGCCCAATGAACTCTTTGTGATAGTTATCGCTTTGCTGACTTGTGTGCTCGTATCAGGCTGTGTATCATCAGGGCCCTGTATCCTTTTACATGACCAAGGTTTCCGACGCGCCTTCCGCCGATGGCTCCTCCGACTGGTTTAAGGCAAGTCTCGATCCTCTCTCTGGCTGTAGTCGTCGTCGTCTTCGTCGTGCTAATCTCTTTCAGATCAAGGAGATCGGTCCAACATTCAGCGGCGGCCAGGCGAAGTGGGACATGAGCAGTAGGTCTCGCCAGCTCTAAACACAAACCTCTGGCTGACACAATCTCACAGCGACCTACTCCGTGAACATTCCAAGCTGCATCGCCCCAGGTGACTACCTCCTCCGCATCGAACAGCTCGGCATCCACAACCCCGGATCGCCCCCACAATTCTACATCTCTTGCGCGCAGGTCAAGGTAACTGGTGGAGGCTCAACGACACTTTCCCCGACAACGAAGATTCCCGGCCACGTCAAGTCCACTGACTCGGGCTACACGGCAAACATCTACAACCCCGACTTCAAGAGCTACGTTGTTCCGGGACCCAAGGTCGCGACTTGCTAAATGATTCATGACGGTCTTGACGAGGGACTTGGTAGTTGTTGATATATGACATGCCAATATGGTTGTAGAACCATGTTAGAACCTGTAATGTGTCTCTAATTTATGTGATCCCTTGTATACCTGCCTCGCGAAAGACCACTGTGCATAAGATTGCTAAGAGGGCTCAAGGACCTACTCGTCCAACAACAGGCCGACATACTGTCACACTTAAGCCGTTCTAGAGACTGGCGCAACGACCAGGATAACGCAAAGGCACCGTAACTTCTGCGCCCTGTGGTAGTTCTGTAAGAGTTTGAACGCTGTTACTCCATCGTAGGAAGACTTTTCAGTCTTTTCATCTCAAATATTAGAATATCCGTACGCTCCAACCCCAGATCCCGCTAGAGATTTACTATAGGGAATTGGCCAAATAACGAGCCTCGTTGAGTACACCCAAGAACGAGTCCGCGCGTTCGAAACTGAAAACAATGTGGTAGGCAAAAGACGGAATTCGGGGGTATTTATACCGTCTGCGGAGCATCAAAGCCTTTGGGAATAATTATACCCACCACCATCATCACCAACGACGCTTCACCCTACATAAAACTTCGGCCCAAACGCGAATTGTTCTCGAGTACTCTTGAGTATACAATATTCTCATTCTCGCATACATGAAGACAGGGCGAACGATCTCTTCTGGGGAGTGTTGGTTCCACTCTTGCTGATACCGCAAATTCACAGCTTGTCATTCGCTCTCCTTGCATAAGCTATATACAAATCAATCCTCCTCTACCCTTCCATCCTCTCAATTTATGCTGGGCTCGAGACAGAAGTAGTGAGCGAGCCGCTCTCAACGTACGTGCCACTGAAGTACCAGTCCTCAGCTCCAGTCCCATCATTGCCGGAGCGCGGCAAGCGCAGAACACCCAGGTGCCAGTCCGCGCCATTAGACGAAGTGCTCGTGGAGAACGGACCGGCAGTCTTGGTGAGAGCGTCGGAGCCGGTAGAGTGCCAGAACGTAACTTGGTTCGCGGAAAAGTCCTGTGCATCTTCACGTCAGTGCATGTTTTTGTTCTTTCAGAGACAGATCGAGGGTTGCGCACACAGAGCAGGGAAGGGAAAGACTTACAATCTCATACGCAACATTGTGCCACACATCCGCCACCAACTCCACCTTCCACTTACTCTGCCCACCCACGAACCACTGCAAGTTCGTGTTGCTCGTCCCGCTCTCCCCGTTGACCCACCCGTACTTCAGCTCCGTAAAGTGGCTCTCGAAGAACGCAATCTGGTGTTCGTTCGTCGCGCTCGGGACATTCGTCGTGCTGCGCTTGATGCTGAAGTGGTAGTACACCTTTCCACTGTTGATGGCGGCCTTGGTCTGCGGGATGAGCTCCGTGCGCCACATGTCGCTGTTCCACTTTGCGGTGTTGTCGATGGTGATCTTGGCGCCTTGCTTGCTGCCGGCGTCTGCGGGGTTCTTGTACGAGGGGGAGAGATTGACGTATTTTGTGACAGCGCCTGAGCCGTGGATGTAGTATTGGTAGGGTCCGACTTGGTTTGCCCATGACCCTGGGCGGTGTAAGCTGAGCATCGAAGAGAAAGACGGGGGACGGCATACATTTGTTAAGGTCGGCAGAAGAGGTGAACTCATTGAATCGACCGTCCCAGAGGATTGTGCCTGGATTTCAGTTAGGTTTGTGTAGTGAACACAGTCTAGTCTAGACGAACCAGCAGATACAGCGCTCACGAGAGCGCTCACAAGCGCTGCTTTACCGAACATGATGATAATAGTAGCGCGCAATCTAGTGAAGTGCACAGCAGGCGATCAAGAGCAGGACGACCGTCTAACACACGATGCCCTCGTTGCGCTATATAAAGTCCTACCTCTCACGGCCAATCTCACCATCCATGCATCGTTTCGTGGATCAACTATCCTGCATTCGTAATTCCAGGAAACAAACAACAGTGCTGTGTCCAGGCCACGCATACCCGTCGTGGCAAATGGGAGCGTGACCGACAATTTTAATCAATATAGATGTAGCCGTCGGGATTTCAGGCACGATCCTCGTTTAGTGGCGGCGAGGCGGACCGGGATTGGGCTCTAGCATCAAGGCGCGAGATTCTCCGGTCGGGAGTGAAGCAATGTCGTGCTCGTTATTTAATTGTGTTGGAGCCCTCCACAGCTTCGTTTTTCCATCCTGTGACAGAGGAAGTCGTGGTGATGCAGGCGCTTGCGTCGTCTCGGGGAGGGAACCTTCCCACAAATTGCCTAGTGCGGCCTAGCTCGTACAGCCTCCACAGATCGCAATTCATTCACACCCCCGAAAGCAGATGACCACCAACCCCATCCCCAAAATGACACAACCCGCCCCCACCCTGCCCCCAAACGTCACCATATTCAACCCCAAATCCCGCTCCACCGCACAGTCTCTACTCCACGGCCGCCGCTTCACGCGCCTCTCAGCAAGCGCCTCCACATCCCCCGAGCAGCTCTCCAAAGCGTTACGCTCACATGCCGGGCTCGATGAGACATTCTACTTCAGCCATGGTCGTGCTGTTTTGATTTTCCATGGTGGTGATGGGACGGAAGGAGGGGATGCGCACCTGGAGAACGCCCATCATGAGCATTTTCGAGCCGTGTGCTTGGCGCTCAAGGACGCGGATATCGGGCTCGATGTTGCCAAGTGCGTGCACGACGCCGAGAGCGTGTTGCAAGCGGGGTATCAACTCGATGCGATGAATGACGGGTCGGTGCTGGTGATTGATCTGATGCATACGGATGACGAAGATGATGTGGACAGTGAGGAAGAGGATGAGGGGCCAACGCGAAGGACGGGCCATGATGACGGTACGGTACCAGAGAAAGATGTCGAAAGGTCATGAGCTTGGGGAACATTTGAAGAGAAGAATCATTACTGTCATCATTGACAACTACAACTGCACGCTGAGCAATTTAGCGAATCCAACACAACTCCTCCACCAACGCCTGGAATGAATACAACCATCTAACGCCATCATGACCTTGTTTCCCAAAACATCGTGTATACAAGAATCGTACGACGGCTAGCAAGGCGCCAAAACGCAAAATATATCCTAGTTCCGTCTTCCCAACACCATGGATCTTCCTCCAACTGCACCTGATCGCCTGTCGTAGGTTTCTCAGCCTCCCGTAGACCACAACGACTGGACGTGCACTCTCGAGCATCGTGACTTTACCGACAGGAGCATGTCAAATGCACACTATGCTGCGGGACTTCGATATAGCTCTCACCCTACAACACTTTCCTCTTCAGCGGCGCGACGAAAATAATCTGCATCGGCCCCACTTTCGTTGCGAAGCGCCACTTGATTATCCAGAGCCGCGGTTGGCAAATCTGTTCCGACTCCACTGTCGCTAGGCGGCGCATACATTGCCTCCTTTGCCATCTCTTCCTTAACGGCCTCCACAGCGCGATCGACTTCAGATTCCGTAGGCATAGATAGTTCGGAACCGGCAGTTGCCGTGGAAACCTCTGAGGCAGTAATTTCGGACGGCGCGGCGATCTCTGTCTTCGCAATGGTAGTAGTGGGCTCGTCATCTTCTGCGTCCGATTGCTCGTCGCGAGAGCCGTCGTCACTGCGGTCGTCGATCGACTGGTCGTCCCGATGCGTCCCGGAAGGGGCATGGGAACCATAAGAAGTGCGGCGATCGATATCACTGCCACTCATATAAGACCCAGATGCGTAAGTGTACTCGCTTCCTGCCCCTCCAAACTCCGAACGTCCATCGTATCCCGGGGTCTCGCCTTCCGCGTAGCTTTCAGCGTAGGAGCCGGTTCCAAAGCTGTGGCGACGCTCAGTACCAGTTTGACTTTGGATCTCGTCGTGGTCCTCTTCGATGATTGAATGAGTTTGGCCTGGCTGGATTGCAGCGTCTTCGTCTTCTTCGCTCAAGATTTCGTTCTCTTTGTTCGCGACCACAGCGCTGGACCGACCTCCCCAAGAGCCCTTGCGCAGAGAACTAGTCTTGACCGAGTGAGCTCGTTTGAGCCCTCCAGCGTTGTTGATCGTAGGCACGCTGAGGGGATAGGCTTGGGCGCCCGTTGGCGTGTTGCCACTGATCTGGCTCAAAGAGTGTATGCGACGAGTTGCCGGATTCTGGGGTGGGCCATTTCGACGAATCGCGGGTCGAGGCTTCAGAGCGAACGAAAGGCCATTTGCAGCAGTGCTTGGAGGCGGCATCAGTTTGCTTGCATCGCCTGTAGAGTCTGTACTGATGCGCTTCTTGTGTTTGGTTGGGCTCTTTTGCCCGTTCTTTGCAATCATGAGGGCACGTGAGTGGTCCATGATGCCGTTTAGAATACGGCGTTCGAGAGCATCTGCTTTGGCATCCATCATATGCAGCTCTTCGCGTCGGATCTCAAGCGCGGTGTGCAGCGAAGACACTTCTCCGGTCAGGCGAACTCTTTGATTGGCCAAGTTCTCGCGTTCGGCTTGAAGGGATGCGACAACAGCCAAGAGCGAGTCTTTCTCTTCTTTTAGCTCCAGCATCGTGCGATCCTTCTCTTCCTTCAATTCCGCCATGGCGCGTTCTTTCTCTTCCTTGAGTTCTTGCATCATGCGTTCTTTCTCCGCTCTCAGGCCTTCAATGTCGGCCTCCAGCAACTCTTTTTGTGTAGTTCTGCGCTCGACAACAAGGGCCAGCTCCTCCGCCTCACGCTCTTTTGATTCGTTGCCGTCGGTGATAAGCTGGGTCTGCTTTGCGACAAATTCACTCACTTCGGCGGCAGTGATCTTGACTTGAGCGTGGATGTCGTCAAGGCGTTCCAGATGAGTGGTGGACTTTGATGCTTCGTCGACTTGTTCGAGGAGCTTATCGAGCTTCTCCTGTACGGGAGCGTCGTCGTACTTTGGAGGCTCCGGTAACGCAAGAAGCTTGTCAAGCTTCTCTCGTACAGGGGCATCGTCATACTTCTCAGGCAGTTCGATGGCGGGAGGAGGCGGTGGAAGGAGTGCTGGCAGGCTTGCGAAATGCTTCTGCAGCTCTTCGGAGCGCGTACGTGCCTCCTCGTTCAAGTTACGGGTGTGCTCCTCGTGTTCTTCCTTGGCTTTCTGTGCATGCTCGTAGTGAGCTTTTACCAAAGCCTCGATCTCGCGAAGAGCAACCATGAACTTGGGATGATACTCAGTCACGTTGTCTTGGAGACCGTTGAAGATGTTCTCGATGTTCTTGAGCTCGTCGCGGGTGTGCGAGTGTTCCGTTTTGTCGTCCATCCTCTGGTCTTCGAACTTGGCCATGTACTCATCAAGCTTTCCGGTCATCGCAGTAGAGTCGGTGGACCACTTGGTGGTGGCTTCTTCAAATCGATCGTTCATGCCGGTGATAGACGCACCGAGAGTGTCGATGGTGAGTCGCAATTCTTCGGCCATCGTCTTGGTACTCTCGAGAATCTTTTCTTGCTCCTCGGCTTTCTCTTTCATCACCTTGGCTTGTTCGTCGGCGAGAAGCTGAGCATCGTCGTACTTGGCCATGAGGATGTCGAACCGACTATCAATCTTCTCTACCATGCCAGCGATGATTGCTTCCTTGGCCTCATCGTGCTTCTCGAGGTTCAATGTAGATTTTTCAGCTTGGTCGTTCTGCAAAGCTTCAATCGAACCGTGGGCACGCTCGAATTCACGAGCCACGGTCTCCATCAGCTCCTTGACATCGGTGGTGACATTGAAGTTGCTGGTGACATTGTCTTCCAGGCTCTTGAAAGACTCCTTGAGACCATCAAGAGGGCCGCCCTCTTCCAGACTCTTCTTCATTTCATCCTTCATGTCATCGAGAAGGACCTTCACATCAGTAAGGTTCTCTAAAAGGCTTGCGGCCTCCTGCTTGCGATCGTCTGCGGTCTTGGCTGTGACTTCGATATCGTGCTCATACTGGTCTTTCATCTTGTCGTAGCTGTCGCGGAAGTCCTGGAAGAGACCGGTCAGCTGCTCCACGTCGGCCTTTGTCGGTAGATCCTCCGGATTGGGAATTTTCATGTCGTCGAGTTTGAGCTTTACTTCGTCCACGAGCAAGGTAACTGCGTCGACATCGGCCTTTGTTGCCTTGGGGTCTTCTTCGTCATCCGCCTTGCCAGCCTTCATTTCATCCAAGACTACCTTGATGTCGTCGGCGATGACCTGGACTACGGTAACGTCGGCCTTGGATGCGCCCTCTTCTTCGAACTTCTTAGCCAGTGCTTCGATGGCCTCTGAGGTAGTGCGAACAATCAGTTCAACATCGTCAAGATTCTCCTTCGTAACCATGGATGCTGGATCGGGTAACGCAAGCTCTTCGATCTTCGCTTTCATGTTACCAAGAAGGACCTCGATAGCGTCGGTGTCGTCTTTCATTGCAACACCTTCCACCACAGGAGCAGACTGTTCTCGCTCCTGCAGTACCAACACAGCGGCTTGAACTTCTTTCAGCAATTCCTCAACACCGACAAGATCGTCTTTCATAGCTGTTCCAGGCGCTGGCGTAGACTCTCCTGCTGCTGGTGGCGCTTGGATGTTGGCATCCATGGCATCTACCTTGACCTGGAGTTGTGATAGCATGACCTCCATTCGCTCAATGTCGCCGCGGTGTAGGGATTCACTGACAATCTCTCGGCTGGTAGATTCAGCCGAGGCGTGCGCCGGTGCCTGCGCTGGATCCTCGGCAAGCACAATCTCGTTGCCAGTGGGTGTAGACTCTTCCTCTATGTCGCGTGTAGTGTTGATGCCCTTCATTTTGTCAATATCTTCACGCAAGCCCGCGAGACCACTCTTCAACGTGTCGAGGATCTCGTATGTAACCGTCATGTCCACTGGCTTGTCAACTGCCTTGATGATATCAGATCGAAGCCCGTCAAGTCCTTCATTCAGTGCATCCAGGACGTCGCTTGTGGCGGACTGTTGTCGGTCGGGGTTATCAAGCTTCTTGTCAAGGTGTGAGCGGAGGTCATCGAGACCAAGGCGTACAGCTTCCAAGACCTCTTCGGCATCGGCACGAGCATGTTGGCGAGTCAGTCCATTGGATTCCCGGACTTGTTCAAGCTCGCCACGGAAGGCCTCCAAGAGCTCCTCGCTGAAGCCAGTCGCTTTCGAGCTCGCCTTGATCTCCTCAAGACCAGCTTTGAGCGCTTCCAAAAGCTCCTCCCTGTCGGCAGGATCTTCAGCACGCACTAATGCGCTACCCAGTGACTCTTTCAGATTCTCAAGGTCTCCTTGGATAGCGGCAATGCTTTCCTTGGAGGCATCTTGCTGGGATGAGCGAAGGCCGTCCATCAGTTCGCGAATGGCATCGATAATATCATCCTTGTCGGCCGCAGCGCCTGATTTGACGAGGCTGGCTCCGAGGGTTTCCCGCAGATGCTCGAATTCTTCTTTCATCGTCGTGATCACATCGTCATTGGTGCCCGCTGCTGTGGGGCCTTGATCTAATCGAGCCTGCATGTCGGCAAAACCGGCCTGGACCTTCTCCAGGATCTCGTCTTTATAGATTGAGGATTCACCGAGGATAACATCCTTCAACTGCTCGAACTCTTGCTTCATGGCTTCGTTGATCTCTTCATCCGTGTCCAGATCAAGGCCTCGTACCGCAACCTGCGATTTCATCCCTTCAAACCCGGCGTGCAGGGCCTCAAGAATTTCGTCCTTGTGCACTTCGGTGGCACTGGAACGCTCAGTAAGTTGTTCAAGTAGGTGCTCGAATTCAGACTTGATGAGGGATGCTATTTCCGCTCGAGCTGATGGTTCCTCTGCACGTGGGGCTTGCTCCATGAAACCCTGGAAGTCCCCTCGCAGACCCTCGAGTTGAGAGCGGAGGTACTCGACCGTCTCGTCCTTCTGATTGGTCTGCGTGGTGTTGTCGATGTAGCTCTCCAGCTGGGTACGCAAGTGATCCAGTCCGTCTCGGAGCGCGTCCAGGACCTGTTCCGTGTCTCGCCCGCCTGCCGAAGAATATGCTTGGAATTCGGAGTGCATGTCGTCAATAAGAGACTGCAATCGTTGCATGACAGCTTCGTCGGTGCCCAACGACATAGCCCCAGACGATTCAAGAGCGGCCTTTACGGCGCCGTACAGGCTCTCTTGGGGAATCTCAAGCTCTTGACTGCCAGGATTGTGGGTCGACAAAGCCTCTTTGACAACGTCGTAGAGGGCTTCCCGTGACAGGCCGTCGGAGGGAGAGGAGTTGTGCGCGAACGCCGGCTTGAGCTCTTCCAAGCACTCGCGCACAGCCATGATCACCTCTTCTCGAATCTCGTGCGCTTCGTTGATCGGTGGGGGAAGTTTCGTATGTTGAAGAGATTCCTGGACGATCTGTTCGATCTCCTCTTTCGTCGCACCGGATCCACGATAATCCTGGAGTCCTTCGCGCAGGCATTCCAACACTTCGTCGCGCTCCAGCCCAATGGTTTCGACGTCGATGTTCGGCTTATAGGCCTCGAACGCCTCACGGATTGCGGAGAGGATGGCCTCTTGACCTAAGCTTGCGGCCTGCGGCGGGCATTCCGCCAAAGCATGTTTGACCACATCGTAGATTTCGTTGTTGTCCACAGTAGTCCGAGTCATGGTGGAGGAAATAGATTGTCGACGTCGCTCGCGCATCACCTTGTCCATGTGCTCTTTGAGGTCTGCGAGACCTTCCTGGACAATGACACTGACTTGCTCCCGGTCGTTCGCTTGGCCTGCTTCGAGCATGGGCTGCTCCGCCTTCGCCTGCTCAGCTTCCTCGATTTTGCGAGCAAGTTCCCGGCCCATACCGAGCACCTCGCCCCTCAATTCCTGGATCAGAGTCTTCGTGCCCATCGTGACACAGCCCGATTCGGCAACGCTGTCCTTGATCTTACGCAGAAATTTGAGCATCTCCTCGCTGACGAAGTCGGCTGCTTTAGGGCTGGCATATGGCTTCCCGCCCTCCGCAACTTGGTGCAACGACAAACCCTCTGACGTTGCACGCGTCAACGGGCCAGGTGAAGCCTGGAAAGGTGCTGAAGTGGTGCGAACGAGAGAATTGGTGCCCGAGCTCTGCTTCACGAACTCCACTAGCTCTGTAACCTTCTTTGCCGTCTCACCATTTGCATTGTCAACAATCTTTTGCAGATTGTTGATCAGTCGTTCCTGCCCGTCCTTTGTAACCATCTCTCGGATGATCTTTTCCAGCATAGCAACGCTAGCTGCACCCTCGACGGAGTACGGATTGGGGCTTCCGGTTCGGTCGTCCAAGAAGAAGCTGCTCGGAGATGCTATCCTGGGAAGGGTAAATTGCTTGGTGGGCGTCATGTGAGGATCCTTGAGGCTCATGCTGCTCTGTGAATGAGAGAGCTCGGCTGTTGGACTCGAAACGTCTCGCGAATGGTTCATCGTCGCGACGAGGTCCTTCAATGATTTCCGAATATCCTCATCTCGCGAATTGGTGGCTTCCTTGAGACTGATGAGATCGGTCGCGTTGTCCTTGCTTCGCCGACTCAGTTGCGTCATGTCCTTCTGCAAGTTTGACACGATACTTGCGATGCTGTGTAGCTGGCTCGAGATGGCGTCCGAGGTTTGTGACGCGGATTGCGGCGTCTTGGACGGATTCTTGTCGATATTGAGCGGCGGAGGCGGGTCCAGGATGTGAGGCGGCACGTTCATGGTTTGTAGAGCCATCATTGTCGCAGAGGGTGGCGTGTTCTCTCCCAAAATCGCCTTGTGTGTAGATCGCGCCGACGGTCGCAGTGAAGGGGTCTCGCGGCCCGAGGGGGTCGGAGTCCCTAGGCGTGAGGGACTAAGGTCACCGCCGAAGTAGTCCTTGCTTGAATCTCGTGGGGGTGTTCCGGATCTAGTGGCGGGTCGTTCTGGGGATTTTTCGGGCGACTTGTGCGAGTCCAAGTAGCTCCGTAGATCCTTGACAGCTGGGTTCTGGAACGATTGCATGCGCTTGTGGTGGGCACCTTTGATGAGTGATCGCTCAGGAGACCTCTGTGGCATCGGGTTAGTAGTGTATGAGCTCATGGACATGCTCTCTCGCGCCTTCTCTTCCAACGCCTTGGCTGCCTGCGCGATCGCGGACGAGGTGCCTTGGCGTGTGGTGAGAACAGGCGATCCAGGGTTTAGTGGCAGAGGCGGCGGAGCGCGCTCTGGGTCCGAGCTATCCCACCTGGTGCGGCGGAAGCGTGTCAGCGACGGCATTGCGAGTGGTGCTGGGGCAGCAGAAAGATGGCAGGATGTGAGACATACATGGGGATGTGAAGTCTCGAATCAATTGAGAAAGAATGTCTGGCTCGGACGAGCTCTCTGTCACGGGAGCTATCCCTGTCGGTGGAGGACATTGTGTATGATAGTGGTGAGAGTCAGTCCAAACTTGCGATTGGAATGAGGTGTGGAATGGAGCGCAGGATTATGGTCTGCTCCAGATGCGATCAGGGGTCGTGTAGCTGGGAGATGCTGCGAGCCTGCGCGGGTATATGAACGTTCGTGAGGTCGTGGATGGGAGGGTGCGAGAGCAGCGGTGTGTGTATTGGGATGGGGAGCTCCCATGTTTATCTGTTTATGTGCACGGGCCGATGAGCTCATTGATTGGCTCCTATCGCGCCATGTCACTGTCTATCACCCCGGCAGCGCCCACTTCGCGCAGCCGCGCGGTGAGGCTGCATGCGCCAGAGGGGCTGCACAGTGGATGCACTGCGTCTTGAATAATTCGAAAACGTCTGTTGCGGCTGCTGTTCGTGCAGCGAAACCGTGGTTGTTATAGCGACATGTCCCGGAATATTGTCGGCCCGGCGGCGTGATCGCCGCGTTCACGGAAGCTACCATCAGTGTGCCATCGAGAGCTCACCAGCTTTGCCCGCCACCCCGCCATCAAACGTACCCACCACCACCGTCGACCCCGTCGTCTCCCCCGCATATCCCGAAACCCTTCTCGCCGCCCCGATCCTCGCCATGGCTGCCGCCGACAACGGCAAACGGATAGCGGAGGCGCAGAAGCTCGCAAAGACGGAGCCGGCCAAGGCAGAGGAGGTGTACAAGGACGTGCTGTCGACAAATCCGGGATCCAATGAAGCCGCGATAAAGAACTACGAGGGCGCGTTGGTCGGCCTGGGCGAGCTATACCGTGACCAGCGGCGGGTGGATGCCCTCGCGGAGCTTGTCAAGCAGACGCGGTCGGTGCTATCCTCATTCGCAAAGGCAAAGACGGCAAAGCTAGGCAAGTCGACATCTTTTCTTGTCACGTAGCGTGTGACTAACTTGCAGACAGTGCGCCAGCTGCTCGAACTCTTCACATCCATCCCCAACACGACCGACGTCCAGATCAGCGTCACCAAGTCATGCATAGAGTGGGCTGTGTCCGAGCGGAGAGGCTTCCTCCGCCAGAATTTGGAGACTCGCCTCGTATCCTTGTACATGCAGAAACGCGCCTACTACGATGCACTCACGCTTATCAACGGCCTGCTCAAGGAGCTCAAGCGATTGGACGACAAGCTGGTGCTGGTCGAGGTACAGCTGCTCGAGTCACGCGTCTACCATGCTCTAGGCAACATACCGAAGGGCCGAGCCGCACTCACTTCTGCCCGCACCTCGGCGGCGTCAGTGTACACCCCACCCTTGCTGCAAGCGGGGCTCGACATGCAGAGCGGTATGCTCCATGCCGAGGACGGCGACTTCAACACCTCCTTCTCATACTTTATTGAAGCTATGGAGGGCTACCACTCGCAAGATGAGGCGCAGAAGGCAACGTCAGCGCTGCAGTACATGCTGCTCTGCAAGATCATGCTCAACGCTGGGGATGATGTGACCTCATTGATGACCTCAAAACACGCCATCAAATATGCCGGTAAGAGCCTAGACGCAATGAAGGCCGTCGCACGTGCGCACACCAACCGCAGCTTGGAGGAGTACGAGACGGCATTAACCGACTACCGCCAGGAGCTAGGCAGCGATACATTCGTCACGGGCCATCTCCGGCGCCTGTACGACAACATGCTCGAGCAGAACCTTATCAAGGTGATTGAGCCGTTCAGCAGGGTAGAGATCGACCATGTCGCCAAGATGGTGGGTCTCGATACGGTTCAAGTGGAGCGGAAGCTTTCGCAAATGATCCTGGATAAAGTCATCATTGGAGTTCTTGACCAAGGGGCTGGGTGTTTAATCGTCTTTGATGAGTCCGAAAGGGACCAGTCCTACGACGCAGCCTTGGGGACAATCGAGAAATTGAGCAATGTGGTCGACGTGCTGTACACGAACCAGGCGTCACTGCTGGAGTAAGACCAGGTCGGCAAGCGGTCATTGTAGAGGATTGGCATGCAGATAGAGTCGTGCAGACATTAACCTACTTCTGGGTCCACTCAGGCTGGATCACTCCGGGATGCTTGAAGGCTGTCGATTATGTACTGTACTAGCAAGCGGTCCGGCGTATGGAGATGAGCCTGCCGGTGTCCGCAATAGAACATAATGACACACTGTGGGCCTGTCACATTGTCAATCTCGTATCTTCTCCACCCCACGCGGCTTGTTGCAACACTATGTATTGATGGAGTTTGCCAGACGGACGAAGCGTGGTGTCTTCCTTTCTATCTGCTCCAGCCGAACTGTGAGCTAATGAAATGTGTCGTGTCCAGGTTGCTGGAGCTAGCTAGCCATCTCGCTGCGCAAGCGAGCTGGAGTTTTTGGCGGGCGTTGCAGATCCCAGAATCCGCCCAATAATGCACGTCGGCATGGGATGTCTCCACCGGATTTCATAGCATAGCAACGAATATAAAATCTGACCCTGCAGCAGTGGCCTTGGGCGCCGGGCTTACTGAAGCTGGAACCTTGCGCGAGCCGCTACACGTGACCTGAGTTAAACTGGATTGGCGCCGCAGGAGCTAAGAACTACCCAAGGTGCGGTGCCACTCGATTGCGGTTGCCGAACCCTCGCGAACGACGTCGTCCCTCAGCCATTCAGCACTACATACGCGCCATCATGCATCTGGCATGGTACACAAATTGTCCCGGTATTCACGGACCCGGCACTAGGCGTGCATACACCATCCCCACCATATAGTAGCCGCAGCTTACCGCACGATAACTTCTGCTTTACCGCACGACGCGACCACTAAAATCCCAGCCTGGTGCAGCCACAGACGCCGCTCGCGGACATGAATAGCGAGAATTTTCAACTTTAGACAGTACGGGGGTTCTCGAGGTTGCCGTCTCCGCGCATTGGAGACTCCCTTGCAGCCCAACTGGCAATGCCGCTAGGTGCTTTCGGCCCCCGACAAATCAACACATAAGTGGAGAGGCTGGGACATGAGAGCTGAAGCCCTGCTCATCCTCGCCTTGCCAAGCTTTTCTCATTACCATCCCATTCTCTGTTTCGCTACATCCTTCCCGGCAGCGGATCGAGGCGAAGCTCTTTCCTCGCTGGATACTAAGCTCTAGCTGGGTATGATTGGCGACCCGCATGACAGCCCCAATGTCGAGGTCGAGAGCTCAGCGGTGAGAGATGACGATAGGACCCCGACAGTGCATCGCCTGTAGCACTCCGACCCACACACAAGTCTGGCATCTGGCATCAAATGACAGTCCAAATGTCTTCGCCGCAATATCGTTCGGTCTAGCATTATTTATGCTGCCCGCTTCAGGATCTTGCATGGGTAAGCCCTCCTTCGGGTACACTAGTGGGAAGACTTTCCCGTGGACTGCTCTGTTATTCAAGCTTGGATGATCCTGATTAAGTTCTGCCTTTTAGGCACACTGTGGCTGTGGATGGGTGTCTTGACCGCTACCGGCCTCATGGTTCCACAGTTATTCCCACGTGGAGTGTGACGCTAATATGCCATGAGAGTGTCGGCGGGGCTTGTCATGTACGGAACACGCAGCTACAGCTTCGGTAGCGTCTCACCAATGACAGCTTGACAGGCCTTAATGGTCACCCAGCTCAGGGGTGACCGTCTCCTCTGGCCTTCAGTCGTTTTCAACTTGAGTCGCCGCGATGCCATCTGTATGCACGAAAAGGCGGTAACCAACCAGATCTGTCGACTATGGAAGGCCCTGGAAGCTCTTCTCCCGAGTGCCCGCACAGAAAGGATACTCTGTTCCCTCGCGAACAGAACTAAACTCTGGTATCCCAAGTAACAGTATCACATTGAATCTTATTCATCACAGTTTCGACCTTGAGAACAGTGCCTTGTTGACACGGGCAATGACTAGCACAATGCCACGCTGAGCATCTGATGGTAGGTAAAGACCTCTTCGCCGCCTGCGTCTGAACTGTCATTCTCTACACTGGAGCCTATAAGACTATTCATGTAAGCTACAAACGCGAGTCAATGTTGATCGCCCCCCAGCATACCGTGGCGTCCTTCATGGCTCGTACACAGGTGATGGCCTAATCTTCGTTGCCAGAAACGTGACCTGTATAGACTGGCTAGTCCCCTGCCACCCAGAATCCTTCCACCCACCTTTAGCGGTCTCACCACCTACATTCTTAAGTGTCACCACGTCAACACCTGGCCATGGCTAGAAGACGCATTCTTCTTACAGGCGTCGATAGTCTCATCGGAGGACGAACACTGAACCAGTTACTGGCCTACGATGTCTCTGTCCGGGCTGTCGTTAGCTCACAAGACCAAGGCCAGGTCCACCTCCTGAGGCAGCAGTATCCAGCGACCCGCTATCCGTGGCTAGAGATCGCCATGGTACCTCGAAGCAGGCTCTCCACGCCCGGTGCTTTCGACGATGCGCTCCGAGACCATCCAGAGCCTTTCGATACGATTATCCATGTTGCCGCAGATCATTCCGAAGAGGCCAACTGCCTCGCCCGCTTCGTGAATCTCCAGTCCGAATACATACTCAACCTCTTCAGATCCATCACTCGGTTGAACGCGAGGGTACATAGAGTTGTCGTTGTAACTTCGCTCTCATCTTTCGCACGATGGTTGGTTCAGCCGGATCCAAGTCCTTACAACCGATCACATCGAAGTTCAGAGGTCGACCCAGAGTATATTCTTGCAACTAGCCAAGCGAGTGATAACATTGTTTACGCAGCGATCAAGAACTGGATGCACGTGGCTCGTACGCGATTCGAACTTGCTTACGTCGCTGCGCCTAGTGTGTATGGACCGAATATGCGAGCTTTAGGAAATTCATCGGATATCCAAGAGGCAAATCGAAGGATATGGAACATCTGCAGCAGCGACTCGCACGAGCGTGTGAGATCACCACCCTATGGTATCGACTACTATGTTGATGTCAGAGTGAGTCGAATCTGCCTGGCCGGAGTGTTGACTTCGATTTTCAGCGCTCATATTATGCTAGGATCTTGCAATTGCAGGTGTTCAGGCAGCTTTTGCTCCACAAGCTGGCAATAGACGGTTCATGATAACTGCTGGTATAATGCCGACTGGCGATACGATCGCTCAACTTTTGGTCAGCCGCTTCCCAGAACTTGTGGGTCGCGTACGTTCTGATGGTTCGCCTCCACGGCGACCGTCTTCTAATTATCCATCGGCGGTGCTATCAGACACCCAGATTGCTGGGCCAATCCTGGGGCTCGTGCAATATCGTCAGGTCGAAGAGACGCTGATTGACGTGGCTCAGCAGATTGTGGAATTGCAACGGCGGCAGAATTGGAGAGCGGTCGTACAAAGCTAAGGTTGTACGTGGTACATTTCCTTAAAGGACCGACAGAGTAGCGTGCGCTGTCTCTTAACGTCAGCAGAGAACGCAAAGCAGAGCTCGAAGTCTGCAGCATCTGCATGGCAGAAGTCTGTATCTCTTACCAACTTGCGACCCATAATGCTCGCTCTTTCTAAGCCCAAATCCGGCTTCAGCGTTTGACCTTCTCCGAGATTTCGCACTGCGCGACGACAGTGTCTGTTGTGTCGCCATGTCTTGTTCATGAGACGTCCAGAAGACCCATGGGCGTAACAGTCGAACTTTGGTATAACTCTTCTACCTTCCAGAGCGGATCCGTAACTTTTCCCCTAGCGTCTAAAACTTGTCCTACAACCTGACCCGGAGCTTGTCATCCTTTGGCGACTCCGCCGAAAGACCCATAATGTTGCTAACTCCGTTCGCTCCCGACATCCCACTATCCCCTTGTGCCAACTGATTGCTCGCTTTCGACGAGGCGGTACCCTCATCGTGGTCCAGGACATGCACACTCGCTCTTGATGGTAGAACCGAGTGGTAGCTCGGCACGGTGCAGAGCAATAAGCGTCACTTGTGTCCACAAAACCTTTATGTGTCGAGGATGCAGCTCGACCAGATATCACGATGTAGGGACGGGCAAAAAAGCTATATCAGGAAGGTGCCGCTTCAACAATCCAATTGCCAACAGCCGGGCTCCGACTTCCCAACCCAACCAACACAACACTCCCCCAAGCACACTCGAATAGCCTACGGGCCCAACGGCTCCGCCCGGACACTTCTTTTCGCTAACATTGCGGAATTCCCTGGAATCGAAGAGGCTATTGAGAACATTCCCGGAAGTTCCTGTTGTGTCGAGTGTTTTCCGCAATCCATGGCATCTGGCATACAGAAGCGCAGATTTTCTTCAGCATCAAGAGTTCCCCTACCAGTATTCGGTGACCGCGTCTTCGAAAGAGCGCTTAACTCTGTGTTCTGGAACATTTCCTTGAAGATGTCATCGCTAGTGTTCAAGCTTGTACGGTCTCAAGATGTCCCACCCAACTCCTGGCCTTCGCAGATCTGACATTCTCGTCATCACAGGCTCATCCTCGCTTTTCTGTCTAATATAGCGCACATCTGCGCTTCGTTGCCTTCGTCCAAACATGTTTCCACCAAATCCTTGCGCGATGATTGACATGCCTGGGAGTAGGGTACAAGGATGACGACGGCATGGGTCAGGTATTATCAATGTGGCCTTCCATGATCCTGATGCTTTCCTGGCTTTGCGGATTGAGACCAGATACCCAATCATAACCTTGGGATCCGAATCGTTCAGAGCATGGCGCATTGGTAGGTATACCACCCTCGATACTCTAGCCCATCAGCCATATCGACTGACTACACGATGTCCCACCGGCCTCTATTTACTCGCTTTTATTTCATCTCGCAACATAAGCAAGCAACAATTGTGACGCTAGCCAATCACGGTCGAAGGACGTCGTCTGAGAGATGTCAAATGTAAGCTTCGACAAGGCTCAGAAAGAGAAGCCGGCTGTATGGCATCCAGGAGCCGCAATCCTTCGGCTGTGCCGACTTTTGATATTACCTGCAGCCATCTCGCATAACCCTCCGCTTCTGTCCGAGTCAAATTAACGGAGGCGTAGCCGCACTGCGCGCGTGCGAATAGTAATCCTCACCATGGATACGCCCCAAACGGATACGGGTACGTGTTTGCGGTCCTACTTGCGCAACCCTTGAAGATTGACCCTGTCGTTTGCTTACGACGTGGGATAAAGAACAACACAGTCGGATGATTCACCGCTACCGTACCAGAGTCCCGGAATTTCTGTCATCGTCTCGGTTGCTCGACATTTGCAACGCCGAGACGCGGCGCCATGTGTCTGCCATTTGTGGGCAGACTTCGGCTTTCGGCGTCCGAAGGCAGCGACGGTCTCCGACTTGACTGTGCATACCGCGCACGTGGATGCGCGCACGCGTCCTGAACACGATAGGCCATGTGAATATCGGACCTCCCGTGGCGGCGAATCCGTAGAATGCCGTTATCTGCGATCGATTTGTCTCGTAATAGTGGATGGCATTACAGCCAATCAGAAACACTGCCGTATGCATACAGACGGACACATCCGCTAAAGGATCCTCGTGCTGCCATAACCCTGTTCTCGCTGCTCACCTGCGATGCGTCCTGCGCCATCGCAAGCCATGTTCTCCATCTCTCGACCGGTCACGCCCTAGTATCTACGAGGAAGCTGCTGAAGCTCGGCGGAGCATGCCCTGCGCCTCCATGTTGCTATGAAAACTGCGGGCCGGGGTGCAGCTGCGGCGTGAGATCCCCAAATGTGTACGCACATGTCACACTGGTCTCCAATACGATTCGTTAACGTATTGAGGGCGATTGCCCCTCTTGCACGGCAATTGCCAGCGGGTTCCTCAGCACGAGTTTGGAGTCGAAAGCAGGGAACGGTCGCTCTTCGCGACGCATGCTAACAAATGAGCGCAGTCAACATGCAGCCACTGGAGAAACTGCTGTAAACAAACATGTTTTGCGAGTGCCTGTTGCGATGGCACTTAGGTCACCGGGCTATCTAATGTCAACACCACTGTGACCTTGACGAGAACCTGGTGCAGATATGATCAACAAGGGGAACTCGTGGACACAGCATGTACCAAGATCCCAGCCCCAGCTACCTACTCCGCACCCGCGAGTGATATGCTGTCGGACACCCTCTTGCATACCGTTTACGCCACATCTGGTTTCTTCTCTCTCCAGCGGTCACGGCTTACGGTGACCACATGGCGAGTCTGTCTGAGGTCACAAGCAATTCACAATGTAGGCCTTTTCGAGTACAAGATGTAAAGCTGCGTCAGTGCTAGATCTAAGTGTAAACACCGGTTCCTTCCGCTATCTGGGATGCCTGAACCAAGCGACTCAACGACGGCGGCTGTGCCGCAATACATACGAGACCACGGTAAGGCAAGCATGTCTATCACCTACATACGCGAGGCCTCCACTAGGCAGTATCAATCACTCTCCAGACCCGCCGCATCTGGCATCGTGTACGCGTCTGCCATGTCGTCTTGGGTCCCTCCCAGCCGCCCACATACCAATCACAAATCCCCCATGCTACGCTCGACGGATCCCCCAAACCTCATATATGTCTTAGCTCTAAATCTCCCCCAGCACCAATCATCCGCCTCTTCTCATCCGACACGTACCGCCCCGCCTCCCCAGCCGCAACCCTCGCCAACACACGCCCCCAAATCGCTCGCAGGGACATCGCCTTCCCCACCGCGCCGCTCACACTAGCCAATCTCGACCAGCTAAACAATGTCGGGGCCAGGGGCGGCGAGGATGTCTACCTCACCAGCACCGCGGACGTGACCACGCAGCCTACCTGGCTTCGCGGCATCCAGCCCTCCGCCAGCGGCGACGAGAAGACGTGTGCGGTCATCGTCGTGGACAAAGGAAATGGCGTCGTCGATGCATTTTACATGTATTTCTGGGCGTTCAACTGGGGCGGGGTGGTCCTGGGGAACCAACTCGGCGACCACGTAGGCGACTGGGAGCACAACCTCGTGCGGTTTGAGCACGGCGTGCCAACTGCTATGTGGTTCAGCCAGCATGCGAACGGCGAGGCGTTTGCGTGGGGCACGGTGCTGAAAGACGGCGCCACAGGGACACGGCCGGTGGTGTACGCGGCGAACGGGAGCCATGCGCTGTATGCGACGCCGGTGCGTGCAACCCCCTCTCTCCTCTGCCAAATCCACGCATACGTCAATCTTTGATTCCCCCCCGCAAGAGGGAAGGTAGCCAACTGAGTCAACAGGGCACACACGACCACACCCTCCCCAACCTCAACCTCCCCACCCCGCTCCTCCTCGTCGACGAAACAGACCCCGGGCCCCTCTACGACCCCCTCCTCTCCGCATACTACTACGCCTACACCCCGTCCTCGCGCTCCTTCACCCCGCTCGCCCCAACGCCAGACGCCCCGACCGGCTGGCTGTACTACAAGGGCCGCTGGGGGGATGAGGAGTATCCAAAGGACGACAAAAGGCAGCACGACCTGCTGGGAAACAAGAAGTTCGTTGGGTAGGTCGAGCCTCCTTGTATCTGTGATTGCGCGAGAAGGTATGCTGACGTGTGCGTGTGCAGGGGCCCTACTGGCCCGGCGGACAAGCAGCTCGACCGGAAGGAGATGTGGCCTGAGAACCAATTTAGCAAGGGGCAGAAGGTGCGGAAGAGTTTGGGCGTGGGCTGGAGCTGCAAGGAGTGGGTTGGGAAGGTGAAGCTGCAGTGCTTTGGGCGGAAGAAGAAAGGTGGGAGGGGTGTGAGGAGGGTGAAGGTCAGCGGGGAGGTCGTCGGGTAGGGCACCATGCGCGCATATTGACTTGCGTGCACAGCGTTGGCCGTGGCTGTGGCTTTTGGGCCGGTGGTTGTGTGTTGTAATCAAACGTGGGCCACACTCGGCGGAACTGTACATGGACAATTCTGATTGTATTCTGCTCAACTGCGGAGGCTAAGCCGAGCGAATCCATACGGCATAGCCAGCAATATCTTCAAAGCACCGACAGACTCAACTTTTACATGGCGCAACGTAACATGACACATAAACATGCTCCAAACCCCGTCCATGCCGCCAGAACGCCAAAGCAAAATCAGCAATACACGATAACAGCACCATTACGCATCCTCCATCTCGACATCCTCGTCCACCGTCGGCAGCACCTCCTCCCGGAGCGGATCCTGCACAAGCACCGGCGCAAGCACATCAAAGCTCCCCGTGCCCATCGAACCCAGCTTGCCCACCACAATCCGTGCGCTGGGGTTATCCAGGGCCTCTGCTTCCTTTTCGAGCACGGCATCCTTCAGGAAGCCCACCGTGGTCTCGAAGCTCATCTTCATGAACGGCGACGGGTTGCTCTTCATGCCGATGCGGTTGAACGCCGTGAAACCGCCACCCTTGGTCATGGCGTCGGCGATGAGACTGAGGTGGCGCTGGTCGACGCTGATGCCGTGGCCGCTGAAGACGGCGTGGATTTCCTTGACAATGGAGGAGCGGCAGGCTTCGACGCCGTAGAGGCGGAGCATCGAGTGGATGTCGTTGGTGGCGATGCGCGAGGTGTCGATGATGTGGCCGAAGTCGCGCATGGCGATCAGGTTGGAGCCTTCGGTGAGGATGTAGGGCTCGTCGAGGTCTTTTCCGGTGCCCGAGTCTTTGGTGACGAGCACGGCGCTGGTGATGCCGGGGATCACGTGGATGGTGGCGAACTCGGCGGCGGCTTCGACGTGGTTGAGCATGAGGATCTTGGGCGTGTGCACGCTATACTCGAAGGTGATTTCGCAGTAGGCACCGGCTTTGTCGTCGAACTTGAAGGTGGAGACGTCGGCACAGGCGTGGGTTACGCGCCCTTCACGGATTTCGGAGGACTCTTCGGAAGGTACCAGAGGCCCGGCGTCCTCGTCGTCGGACCCGGCCTCTGGGGTGGAGGCACGAGAGGCCTTGGGGCTACCGCCATAGGTTTCGTCCTCGCTTTCTGCATCGACGTCTTCGGCAGCTTGCTCGCCTTCTTCGGGGGCGTCAAACTCAACGCTATCTTCACGCCGGCCTCGCTGCTTGGCGTCAGTTGCGTCGCCTTCCGCCTCACCATCATCGCTCATCACATCGTCGTCCCTGCCACCTTCCTCGCCAGCATCATCTTGGCGAATGGTTTGTTGCTCGATGCTGCCAGAGGCTTCGCCGATGGTAGGAACACCCCCTGATCTGGCTGTGGAAAGTGATCTGTTCTCACCCTTCTTCTTGAGATCCATGCGAACCATCTTGTGCAATCGGGGGCAAAACTTCTTCTCGATCGACTCAGCAACGTCGCGGACCTGGATGGCATACTCTTGCGTGTACTCCTTGGCAGGGTAAAAGTCAAGTCGGATCTTGTACTGGCGGGCTTGGGTGAACTGTGTACCGGTGCCGACATTCTCAGTCACGGTGACCTTGTCCAACACTGACGACAAAGGAAGGCGGCTGATACTCTTGGCAAACTTGTCCATGTCACTGACTGGCATCTCTTTATGAGGATACAACGTCATCGAGGGGGTGCTGATGTTGGCACTAGCAGTCATGACAATCTCTCGAAGACGCGGGATACCCAAAGTAACGTTCTTGGCAGCGTGACCAGCCAAATGGAAGGTGTTCAGTGTCATCTGAGTCGAAGGCTCGCCAATGGACTGACCGGCGACCACACCGACAGCTTCTCCTGGTTCGACCAGTGAGCGTAGGTATTTGACGTCCAAGATTCTTTCGAAGTTTCTCCGCAGGATGTCACCGGATGCGTCCGACTTCTTCTTTTTGATCAGACCATCAGGGTTTTTGTCGAGGTACTACGGATGGTTAGATAATAGACCATGAAGCTGGAGCCATTACTTACTTCAGCTTTCGCAGCGTAGAAGGCCTCCGAGGTACTTCCACTGAAGCGACTGGGAGGATACTCTGCGAGAGCCGGACCCTTGGCGGAGAGTTTTCCGCTCTTCTTGTACTTCTTGTAGGCGGACTTGGTGTACTCCGTGGCCTCTTCGCTGAAGACCTTCTCGTAGGCGTCTCCAAGCTGGAGAGACTCGGTCAATGACCAGAAGTTCTCAGCCTGGAACTTGAAATCCTTGAGGTACTTTTGTTTCGTGGAATCGAGACCATCTTCTCCGTACAAGAACTGGACCATACTACCATCGGAATCACGGACTGACGTGTCATACTCGACGCGAAGACCCTCCAGGCCCTTGATGACACATCGCTGGAGGTACCCTGAACGCGAGGTCTTGACAGCGGTATCAATGAGACCTTCTCGGCCAGCCATGGTATGGAAGTAGTACTCCTGCGGCCGGATTCCGGTCAAGAAACGGTTGACGACGTAACCTCCGGCTCGAACACTGGTCTCGTATGGCTTGAAGCAGGGGAGCGACTTGCCACTGATCATGATTGGGACACGTCGACCTTCAAGAACCTGCTGGCCGAGATTGCACGAAATCTGGTTGGCGTTGACCAGACTACCCTTCGCTCCAGAGCCTGTCATGGTCTGCATCTGGTTCTTCGGGAAAAGTTTGATGAGCTGATGGGGCAGACACGCTTGAGTGACAGCTGAAGAAATCTTGGCCGATGCACCGTTGGTGAGCATATCAAGCGTTTTCGACTTGGAGTCGTCCCGGAGCACCTGTTCCAGTCGTCTCTTTAACTCCTTGTTGGTCGGTGTGATCTTGCTCGAATCCAGTGTTACGTAGCTTGAGGCAACTTCAAACCCGACCTTCTCCGCTTTCCTGAGCTCCTGCAGTCTCGCTTCGTCACCTTCCCGTGTGAGAATGAGATCTTCAACACCGCAAGAGAATGCACGCATGTTCAATAGCCTCGTTAGCAACCGACCAAGAACACTGAGTACTTGACCGGCAGACCTGGCTCCATGAGCTTCGTAGATGCCGTTCACTAGACCGCCACCTGCTGGACCAATTTGGCTCTTGTCAAGGATACCGCATAGGAGCTCGCCATCCTGTATGATGACCTCTTGCTCTTCGGTGAACGGACCCCATAGATTTTTGTTTGTCTGCGACTTCGACGTCAAAGTCAAACCGTGGTAGTCTGCTGGCTGGATGTTCTTCAATACTGTAGTGATGAGTTGTTTTCCTGTCCACAGCGGACGGGGCTTCCATATCGTGGGTTCAAGGGTGACCAAAGTACCTGAAGTCGTGTGTCCATTCTCAGGCCTCAGACAGGAGTACAGCAGCTCTTGGTATTCTTCTCGCGTGAAGAACATATCTTTGCTTGTCAGCCATACGGCCATGGAGATGTGATCTTGGATAAGACCTCTTAGAGGCTTTCCTGCAGTTGCAGAAAGGTACTGGTTGTCGGTGTTGGCTACGAGATTTGCTTCCGCTCGAGCCAGCTCGTTCTGTGGGAAATGCATGTTCATCTCATCACCATCAAAATCGGCGTTGTATGTGTTGCAGTTGGCGTAGTGCATGCGGATCGTCCTTTCGCCAGGTAGAACGCGAGCACGATGTGCCATCATGGAAGGCTTGTGGAGTGTTGGCTGACGGTTCATAATGACCACGTCGCCGTTGACGAGATGCCTATGAACCTTCTTGTTCTTGGATCCGTTCAAGAAAGCATTGGAAGGCGCAAGCAATTGGTTAGCCAAGGCTTGTCGCTCTTCGTAGTTCTTCTTCCTTAATGAAACGACTTGGCCGTACTCGTTCTCAATAGCGACAGCTCCCGGCCATTTGTCGGGTCCGTTCAGCACAGCCTCTTTCATGTCGTAAAAGTTGTGATTCGTAACGGGTTCCGGGAAGGTCAGTTTCTGTGCGAATACAGGTGGTACACCAATCTCGTTGGTTTCAATGTTGGGGTCCGGAGAGATGACACTTCGAGCGGCGAAGTTGACGCGCTTGCCCATCATGTTCTTGCGGAAGAGACCTTCTTTCTTCTCCAGGAGCTGCTTGACACCATCTGCACTGTTCTTCCCAGCAAGGCCGGACGCCGGGTTCGCATCCTTGTCGACCAGCGAGTTGACAGCACCCTGGAGAGTGACCCAGATGTTTTGCAGGTCGCCGAAATCGCGTCGCCTGTAGCCTGCTTCATTCTCCGCTCCGCGCATCTCTCGGGTGATCTGACGCATCGACTCGCAAGCATTCAAAACGTTCTTGTAGAGTGAGTTCCTCGGGTTCTCAGCAATGGAGTCTCCAGTCTTGTCTTCCATCCTGTATTTGTTGGGCGGGACTATGACGTTCCTGAAGAAGAACATATCCGCATTCACCTCGGCCATTGATGCTTTGGAATGCGCGTAGGGGCTGTAGAGTAGTCGCAGGATTTCGGCTTCATTCTCGAACAGCAGCACCATGTGCGCGTGGACTTCCGAGGCGTTGATGTATTCTTGGACGTTGTCGCGCGCAGCCGCTGCGGACTTTGTCTTTGTCTTGGAAGCTGTCATGGACTCAGATGCCACCAAGGAGCCGTCGGCCTCTTGCGCATCGAGCATGTCGGCGATGTCGTCCTCCTCGGAGAGGTCTGCAACGCCCTCGTCATCGTGTACGGTCTGCTTCTTGGCCCTCTCGTCTCTCCGTCGCAGAATGTCGAGCGGGTTCTCCATCCTCTTCTCCAATGTGGCCATCTGCACCCTCTCCTTCTCACTGAGGTTCTTGCGGAAGATCTTGACGCTTCGGTCCTTGCGGAAGGTGGGATTGACACCCTGGCAGTTCTTGCACTTCTTGCCCACGGAAATAGCGCCATAGAAGTCTTTGATGACTTGGCGCCTGGCGTCGGAAACGGCCTCGGTCATCTTGCTCCGCGAGTGCGCATCATGCTTGGAGATGCCCGCGCGCTTCATGCACTTTTTGACATAGCTATTCCGCTCGGCAATGATGCCATCCTCGTCCTGCTCGTCATCGTCTGAGTCGACTTGCTTGCTGGTCTTCCCCTTGTTGGCGTCAACGTGCTCATGCATGCCATTCGCGTCCTCTATCAAGCCGTGCCGCAGGAGTCGAAGTTTTGCAGCGTATTCGTTGACCTGGGCGCGGGAGAGTTTAAAGTTGTGGCAGTAACAGCACTTTCCTCGGAGGACGCGCAGAAGCTGATCGAGGAAGCTGATGTGGTAGACGGGAACGGGAAGCTCGATGTGTCCGCAGTGGCCCGGGCAGCCGTTCATGGTGGTGAGGCCGCATGTTGCGCATCTGTGGCGGTCAGTCTGGGTGGGGCAAGATGCCGGTGTGAGAGCTTACATGTTGTCTAGGAAAGCTCCCAAGGCAGCATCGTGCAGACCTCCCGGGACTGGGTGCAGGAGGGAGTCAAAGGTGGTCGGATTGGATATGCGCTTCACCGAGACGGTTCGGACGTCTTGCGCGGAGAAGAATTGGAACTCCACGCCACTGATGGCAGAGGCGACGGGGAGCGACGGGTTCATGGTTGGAAATTGGCGCGCGCTGCACCCGCGTCCCGTGTCTTTTGAGAAGTTGCAGCGCAATGCGACCGGCCGGGATGGGAAGCTCGTAGGCAGCGGGGACAATTTTTCGAGACTCGAAAAAGTTGGGCCGGGATTCTGCCGACGCTACGCTGCAAGGCCGCCGCGGCCCCAGCGCGTCACCTCTGCACAATTCACCCACGACGCCCGCGCTCCACCCACCGCTGCTGCATCTCCCCCGCCACGGGGGCCCTCGCTGTCGACGTTGGTTGACCCCGCTGCGCCGCCTGCCGTGCATAGCGAGTGCTTCTGGGCGCCCCCCGGACAGTCGACCCTCGCGCCTTCCGCGATACCACCCGCGACTGCCCCTTCGGCCACGCCCGCTCTTCCCGACTCCCACCCCCACGATGCCCGAGAAACGGCCGTACCCAGGCGACCACGGCGATGCCGTCAAGCGCGCAAAGCCCGCCGTCGACCCTGTTGCTGCTGCGAAGGCTGCCGCCGCCGCAAAGGCTGCCGAGATCAGAGCCAGGATCGCTGCGAGGAAACCACAGAGCAATGGCGCATCGCCGGCCCCATCGCCGTCGCCCGCACCGACACCCGCGCCCTCGGCAGCGAGTTCCATGTCCAAGCTCGAGGCCATGAAGGCGCGGACCGCCGCGCTGCTGGCCAGCAAGAAGATCGACTCCAAAATCGAGGCCAGCACCGCAGCCGCTGCAGACAGGCCGCATGCCGCGGCCGCATTCGACGCCCGCAGGCCGGCCGAGACCAAGGCCAAAGCACCCGCGCAGCCGTCCGAGGAGGACAAGAAGAACCCCTACTACGATCCAAAGCCCGTTCCTGGTGCCAAGGCTCGCGTCTCGCGCGGTCTATTGTTCAACTCACGGGGCAAGTACCTCGAGCAGGCCTCCAAGCTACGTGCGCAGAACCGCTTAGAGGAGATCAAGAAAGCGCTTGCCTTGCAAGCCCGCCGCGCTGGCCTGGACGAGAACAGCGAGCGCGGCTTCTTGGTGCAGCCGCCGCCGGACGTCGAGTGGTGGGACGAAGGTCTACTCGATGAGAAGACATACGACTGTATCCAAGACGAGTCCAAGGTCAAGATCGACGGTGACGATTCCATCATCACCATCTATATCCAGCATCCCGCTTTGGTCAAAGCTCCGCAAGACAAGCGCCTCATCGAGACGAAACCCATGTATCTCACCCCCAAGGAGCAGGCCAAACTACGCAGGATGCGCCGGGCTGAGGACCTCAAAGAGCACCAGGCCAAGATCCGTCTTGGTTTAGAGCCCCCGCCGCCTCCGAAGGTGAAGCGCGGAAACATGATGCGCGTCATGGGAGAGCAAGCCATTGCTGACCCGACCGCGGTGGAGATGCTGGTCGAATCACAGATTGCACAACGCCATGAAGACCACGTGAAGACCAACGAGGAGCGAAAACTTACCAAGGAGCAGCGACTTGCGAAGCTTGAGACCAACCAGCAAAAGGACGCTCAAAAGGGTCTCTACATGTGCGTTTTCAAGATCAACACCTTGGCTTATGGAAAGCACCGCTACCAGGTCGACCAAAACGCAAAGCAGCTGGCTCTCACCGGCATCACTATATTCAATCCGAAGATGTGTCTGGTCATAGTCGAGGGCGGCATTCATTCTGTCAACAAGTACAAGAAGCTCATGCTCAATCGTATCAAGTGGGATGAGAATGCCCGGCCTACTGAGATTCAGGCCGAAAAGCAAGCGCTGGAACCGAAGTGGATGCGTTCTATGGACGAGAACGGAGAGCTAAAGGACCACTCCCACAACACGTGCGTTCTTGTCTTTGAGGGCGAGCTCAAACAGCACGGCTTTCGCAAGTGGGGTTCGAAGATGTGCGAGACAGATGGTGAAGCCCGACAAGTCCTTGGGAGGAGCAAGATTGACAGTATGTGGGCACTAGCGCTTGCCAAGGGCCCCGAGTAGAAGGCCGCGCGGACGCCACAATCAACAACGTCAAGATGGGTACACTTGACTATACAGACTCTTCGCTTAGCGGTCGAGAGCACGCAAGGCTCACTCGAGTGACAGATCAACCAAAATTATGGATACCGTTCGAAGTGAACTGGCGGTCAGGCGAGAGCAGAGTGACTATGACCTGCTCGGAAGGAAACCGCTTACCAGACCGCTGCTCCATCGGCGTCCAGGTTCTTCCGGTGCGAGCACCTACGCCGTGGTGTATCATCTTGCTCGGTCGTGCAGTCCAGTATGTACGTCTGCAGAGATGTATATTGTTTTGTTCAGTGACTGTAAGTTTACTCTACCGCCCATAGTTGGAATGCACATATTAATGCAAACCGTGTTGCTAGCCCTACTCTCCACTGTCTTTGCATCTGGTACCCTGTCCTAGACGAGTGCTTTCCTGTGCCCGGACTCTCGCAGCCCTACTCGTGACCATGTGTGCCCAATTTGTTCTTCCTTCCCCTCACCTAGATCATGTCCCCACAGCGTAAGTCATATTATTAGATCACCCGTGTGCTAAACAAGCCCATGTCGTGGAATCTGCCCAATTGCGTGGGTGAAGGCCGTTCGCACCATAAGGTCTTTGTAGAAGCAATGCGCTTCCCGTTCATCATAAGCATCATTAACAAACCAGACTAACACGCAAGTAGGACATGTAGACACGACTGGGTATCTTCCGTAGTCTATTCGAACAATGTCCTACCATGTGCAGAAACAGATACAGTACATGTGTTTCCCTCACTCCGGACTGCTTTCCAAACCCTTCTGTCTCCCCCCTTCTCACCGCACACTCCTCTCCGCTTCCTCAGCCAACAACCTCGCCATCCACTCCGCCTGGCTCCAATGCGGGCAATGTCCCACCTTCCTCCTCACGACGCGATCAACCGCACACCGCCCGCTCTCCACCGCACTCTTGACAATCCACTCCTCGGCCGCGACCGTCGCCTTCTGGTCGCCCAGCGCGATTACGTATGTGGAAGGGATCCAGCGCCACGCCGCAAAGGAACTCGTGCACCAGTTCCCCGCCAGACTCTGCGGCACGAGCTGCGCTGCGATGGCCGCGATCTCGGCGTCCGAGACGTCCTGGTACATCATCGCCTTGACCTGCGCGGGGTGCACGTAGTAGATGCCGCGGGCGAGGTCGACGGTGATGTTCCGATCCTGCACGGTACAGTCGTCAGCTTCCTCGTCTTCAAACCATTCCCGGCATCCCGTCGTCGTCCTCGACATGAAGATGCTCCGAGAGGCGCAAGGCAAGGCAAGAGATTGGAACGAGACTCACCAACCCTTCCCCCGTCCCCGGCGGGACCTGCGTCCACCCCTCCCCAAACATGAACGCACACACATACACCAATCTCACCACGCCCCCCCTCCACCCCCTCTCGCCGCACGCCTGCTTCTCCAGCCCCGAAAGCCCCTCGCTCCCCGCAAGCCCGGCATGCGCGTGCATAACCACCACGACGTCCCGCCCCTCGTCCCTAGCGAGCCGCGTCACGCTGTCCCGTATCACGGCGATATCCGGGTCCCAATTGTGCAGCGGGGGATTTGCGCCGCTGGAGGGCAGGTGCGGGGCGCAGACGGGGTGGCCGTGGGCTTGGAGGAGGGGTGCGAGGCGGGACCAGCAGGTGGGCGTGTGCCAGGCGCCGTGGAGGAGGAGGAAGGCTGGTTTGCTCTGGGTGGTGCGGGAGCTGGAGGGGGGCGTGTGGGTGCGGGTTGGGGTAAGGAAAGCGGGGTTGAAGGTGGAGATGGGGCTGCGCTGGCGGTGGTGGAGGAGGGGGGGCTCTGTGTCTTCGCGGGAGACTATGTCTTGGGGGGTCGTCAGTGATTGCTTGGGGGGATGGCGGTGGCTTACGGCTTAGTTTGGAGAGAGCGTTCCACAGCGGCTCTGGGAGTTGGGGGTCGGGCTTGTCGTTTGCCATCGCTTCATGCACAGGGATTCTCGTAGTATGGTTGGAATGAATACACCGTGCCATACGAGAATCGAGGTTCGCCCGCGCTATGTACGCACTGTCGGACGTGCCGTTGTGGTTCATCGGCTGATCCTACTTGGGCCCTCGAGGCAGATACGTGCAGTACTTGAGGTCGATGTATGTAAACCGTGGCATCCACCAATCAGATATACCTGAGCACCGCTCTATGTTCCTTCGGCTCTCGAGGCAGAAACCGATGCCAGGACCTCGAATGCATCAACCAATCAGGCAGACGTCGGTCACAGGAGGAGAAGAAAAACAGGAACCGCAGTGCAGATGCAGAACCGCTAAAGCAGGTTCGACGTTGAAATCAGCCCCGTTTTGCGCGCCCGTTGCATGTACCTGTACACCCACATGCTGCCGAGCCAGCGTGGTTGTCACGGACTACCTCTAACGGCAAGCCCAGCTGCTAATCTGATCCCCTTACACGCACGCAGGCTCTGGGGCGGTATACATGCCCGTCACAGGGCCCTTGACGCCTCCCGTAGACCCCAAATCCTTCAAATCTTCGCCAGTAGTGGGTGCAGCCAGCGCGCTGCTCCGGGGCCTAGTGCGTTCGCTTGGCAGACCATGCTCTGTGATGTCGACGGTGTAGCCGGGGAGGGCGCAGTCGTGACGAGGGTGTGCGAGCGTAGGAGGGAGGGCCCGGGCAGCGCGCCATGGCTTTGGTTCAAGTTATACCGGTAGCGGAGATAAGTGGGTGTTTAGACGAGATACGGACGTATGCGCGCTTGGGAGCCGGTTTAGGTAGAGTGTCTGTGCGGGCGTTGGGGTCCATGGACTTGCCCTCCGTGTGTCGAGAGCGAGAACATGAATTTGAAATTGTAATGTGGGGGTGTAGAACAAGAGCACTGTACGGGCATGCATGTGATTCTCAGGTACGGTATGTAAGTAAGATGTATGTACCTGTGGCGCATGTAGTTCTATGTGTGCTGCAAGTAAGCTTCCAGCGATCGTGAACGAATACTTACTCGTCATTCAAGCTCATGATTCAGCCCGGTCAAGCGGCGGTAGCGCCCAGGCCGATCACCGTGGCCACAGCGTTCGTACATTCCCTAAGCCGACTGTGGGGGCCACATTCACGTGATCTCGCGTACCTGTGTCCTTCGGGGCTTAGCGGGCATGAATATGCTCTAGGGTGGGCGGGGGCGCGGTCGCACCACTGTGGGCAATAGTCTGACGATCCTGCCTGGAGCGGAACTTCGCATTCCTTACACGATAGGTTACCGTAGGAAGTAAGACTGAAGGAAGTAGCGCCTGTTGTATTCGCCTCGCCGGCCTACCATACGTCTGAGATTCCTTCCGCTTGATGCTTGTTCCTTCCCGTTCTTGGCTCACGCTCTGGCTAAGTATCGGACGTGCATCAGATACAGGGTGTACTATTGGTAATTTCATCATATACCGGTTCTCTTCTGTAGAAGCCTACGTCAACCGAGGCTGGTTCGAGGGACCTGACTAGGTATAGTATACGTCGCCCCCGTGTCAGTATGGTCGGAGGTTCTCAGTGCCTACTCACTGGGACAGCAACTGCGGGAGAAGGGTCTACTACTTCAGGACGCGGGCGAATACTAACCTTGAACCAAACGTAGTGTCTCGGGATTATTGCAAATACACCGAGGTCGACCCGGCGTGGGTATGTCATGTCGTATCTACACATGGTGGCCAAGCACACAGAGCTTGTACTTCGGTACGGCGGCCCAATAACACCAGCAAACGGTGTCAACTGTAAGATCCTCATGGCAATGGGGAACTTAAACGCGGCGCGTGTGTTGGCAAAGATGCTCCCTGGATAGGCGGACATAGACGAGTTTGGAGCAGAAGATCTCAACGGAAAGACAGCGGAAAAGGAAGGTGCTGGTCCAACAAAAGGACGCGTGCGAATATCCCCAGTACGATCCCTACGTCTATTTTTGTATGTCCCTAGAGGCGTTTGGATTCCATCCCTCCGAAGTCCGGCAACCTCAATCCAAACTCATAGGAGAACCTGGCAACAGCGAGAACGCACTCTAACGAAAACTCGAATCGTTGTTTGTCTCGAGCCATATGGAACGACAAAAGGTTACATGATGGATATACTACTGAGCCTAGATCTACAGCGCCTTCCAATGTAATAACATTCCCCGCAACTACGCCTCCCAGCCAGCAGGCACTCCCCACCTACCCCCTCAACTCAGGAGCATCATTCTACATGCCGTTGTGCACACCTCGGTTCGAGAACCTCCCTCCCTTTCCTGGAACCGTAGACTCGTTAGTATCCCGCGCACTGACGCGCGCCTTTTGCGCCCCCACTCACCTTCCTCGAGCTCGTACCCCTCCGCCCTCGGCCGCGCCGAGAGCGGCGCCGAAATTCTCCTCTTGACTTCGGAACTCTGCGCGACTCAGTACCAATCTCCACCGTGGAACGAACCTGGGCCGATGCATGTGTACCTTGCGCGCTTTCCGGCCCCGTACGCGGACAAGGAATAGTAGCGCGAATGTGCCTGCCGTGAGTCCCACACTGCCCAAGGCGATGCCGGCGGCGTATGCGTCCGGAAACGTAGCTGGTGTCCATGGATAAGCGTTGAACGCCATGACGAGTGGGTGGTGGTGGTGATGAAGGAGACTGTGGGGAAGGGACGTCAGAAAGATGGGTCGACGCGTGAGCTGAGGCTGTGTCCGGGGGCGAAAAGGCGGAAAGGCTACACAGAACGTTGTGACGAGATGGTGTGGCGACTTGGTTGGCTGTGTGCGTCGCGTGGTTGTACTCGTGCGCTGTGTTACGCTGACTACGGCTTGGTTGTGTTGTACGAGCCGATGGGGCGCTTCTAGGTGCAGTCTACCGGGTTGTGCTAGGCATGAATTGCGATGTTGTGGACAGAGTTGATATCGAGGTCTGATAAGACGTTCCACACGCATTGTGCTTCTCGATCAGCGCGTTTGCGTTACAGAATAGAGTGAGCATGACCAAGTGCGGGCGTAGCTGACTTCATCCGACATGTTGTGTGTATAGAGCCAGTAGGATGGAATTCGGCCTAGTGTGTAGGTATCGAGATAACAGGAGAAGGAGCAAATGTCTATGCCATGGCTTTGTGCCTGTTGTTGATCAATTTAGGGCAGCTATCAACGCGGGCAGACAACTGTTCCTACATAGTCCTTTGTGATGGGCGTTCGAAACTACCCACCGGTACCGTGCGACGCTTCTGTTACCCCGTGGCCATAACATACCGTCGATGTGGATACGTAAACGTACGAGAACTAGAACTCCGCAGTGCAAGCCTCACATTGTGACGGGGACTTTTGTTCTTCGGTGCCATGGTGCTCACCCAGCTGCGCCTTCTCAACGTCTCTACCACTCGTCAAGCCAAAGTATTACCACACCTCTACCAGCTAGCACGTGCACGAAATGCTTTCAGACCAGAAACTCCGCATGTACCACTCAGATCCCGATACGTAGCACCTGACCGAATCAGCGATCTTCATATAGACAAGAAGGTCGGCTTTACGTCTGTATTGAGATCGTAATATCTGCTGCGCAATATGAAGTCTATGCTACCGATGAAATCCCTACCACAACACCAGCGCGCAAAATGCCGGGATTGTAACAAATGCAAGCTGTAACGCCAATCATGCAGAGACTATTGCGGTCAGTGTGCAAGTCCGATAACCAAGCCGACTCGTCCCCGAACCAGTAAGTTCCAACGAAAGCATCATCGTAGCCATTTCATGTCTGAGGCTCATTGCACCGCGTTCCTCGGCTCGAGCAACAGCTTCCCCTTTGGCCCAGCCTTCTCCACGAAGCCCTCTTCCCTGGTGAACACCCGCTCCCCCCTCAACCACGTCTCCCTTACAACACCCTTGAGCGTCTTGTCCTGGTACGGCGAGACCTTGTTCCGGAACAGCATTGTGCTCGGCTCCACGCAGAATTCGGCCGTCTCATCGAACACCACGATATCCGCGTCAAAGCCGACTCCCAAATCGCCCTTGCTGTGCTCCAGTCCAACCTGCTTGGCCGTGTTCTTGCAGCACCAGCGCACAATTTCTTCCACGCTGAAGTTCGCATCGCGGCGTGTGCCTTCTGTCCAGAGAATTGGTAGGCCAAGCCCGACAGAGGAAATGCCGCCCCAGGCGCTGAAGAAGTCACCCTTCTCCTCGGCGAGCTCTTCCTCGCCTTCCGAGGAAGAACAGCTGTTGCAATCTTTTTCATGGCCTGGCTTGCGCGTGCTCTGCTTCTTGGGTGCGAGGTGGGCGGGTAGAAGCTTGATGTCGGGTGTGCAGGGCGAATGGTCGGATACGACAGTTTGGATAACCCCGCCGTTGAGGTCTTGTAGGAGCTCATTCCATAGACCGTCTTGGTTGGATTGTTCGCGGATAGGTGGGCAGCATTTGTGGCGCGTGTCGCCAGCTTGAATGTTCTCGGCTGCGAGGGTCAGATAGTGGAAGCAGGTCTCCGCGGTGATTTTGATTCCCTTTGCGCGGGCTTCGCGGAGCATCGGAATGGCTTCAATGGCGGAGAGGTGAACGATGTGGAGTTGGAGTTCCGGGGCTAGGTGGGATAGGGAGAGGATCTCTGCGATGGCATAGGTTTCGAAAGAAGGGGGACGGGAATCGAGGAAGGTTGAGTAGTGGGTAAGAGGACCGCTTGGCGCAACAGGTGGGTGCGCGCGCTGAACATCGTCGCCTACTGAGTCAGTGATCGGAGGGATCATCTCGGCGTGGAACATAAGCGTTGTGGCGGAGTCCTTGAGTTCCTTGAGGGCCAGCTCGATGTCGTTGGGCTTAACAGCTGGGAATTCGTCGACCTGCCATATGTCAGCTTCGCTTGGTTTATTCGGGCCAATGGAACATACGCCACTGTCAATCAAAAAGCCCTTGAACCCTCTGACACCTTCCTTTACAAGACCCTGAAGCTCGCTAGCATTGCCTGGGATCACTCCACCGTAGAAGCCGACGTCAACCCAACACTTGCCTTTGGCAGCTTCTATCTTGATGTGCAGATTCTCGACCGTAGTCGTAGGCGGGATAGCGTTGAGGGGCATATCAACGACAGTGGTCACACCACCAAAAGCCGCAGCGCGAGTACCAGTCCAAAAGCCTTCCCATTCTGTCCGGCCGGGCTCATTGAGATGTACATGAGCATCCACCAGACCGGGAAGAAGGATGTGTGGTGAGTAGTCAGTATACGAAGTGCCCTCGGGGACTAAGATTGTGCGCCTCGTTAGTGTGCTGCTGTGATGGCATATCGCGATTGTTGGGGTGACTTACAGTCTGTTGGTGGAAGAACGGAATGGAATAGGGATGTGATTTTGCCGGTAATATTAGATACCACAATGGTGGCCTCCGTTAGTCTTCCAGCAACCACTGCTCTTGACGAAGCGAAAACAGTGATGGGGTGGACTGGCGTGCTGTGAGGCATGGGTGGGGGAGTAGTTGCGTGGGGAGCCATGTCAGAATGGCAGACAAAGAATCTGGGGAAGTGGCTGCGATACGGAGATATGCGTACTCCAGCTGGGGTATGGAGCTATAAGCAATTGCACGCTGCGGCTTTTACCGTCCAGTGTCTCAGTAAGGGAGGTCTAGTCAGGCAGGCCCGTATAGATAAGCAAGATAAGCCACAGTTGGTATGCTTAATTAATGTATTTGAAGCCGCTCTGAGCAATGCTGATTCTTGTGTAACACAGCAAGACAAAGAGGAAGAGGCGCTGGAAGACAAGCCGGATTTGTCGAAGCAAAACCTGGGGTGCAGACCCTTATCTATCCGTCTTTGCAATCGCTGTGCCCAGTCGGCAACCTTGGATCCACATGAACTCCTGAAGTAGCGGCCATAGGCACTCGGTAGGCCTCGGGATGGCGGTAAGACAGTGGGGATTTGGGATTACTCGATAAAAATTGGTATGTGCTGCTACATGTAGGTTATCGGAGCCGACCTAGGCTTGCTTCGTCCTTCTCCAACCAGCATGGTCTCACCACGCGCAAGGATGTGTCAATCCACCATGCACGCTTGCAGACCAGCGGGGCACCAGTCTGGACAACGTTGTTGGCAGCCCGGCGAAGACAACCGTTGGCTTTTTGCTAAAATCGAAACGGACAGACTTGGTTCGATGTGGAGTTGGTGGGCGGCCGCGATAAGCACACATTTCGATGCGCCAGGGTTCTGCCGCTTATCTGTCAAGTAAGGGCGCGTCCAACCGAGATCGCGTAGGGCTAGCGCAGGTGCCCCAGACGACTCCAATAAAAGCCGCAACGTTCGTCATGCCTCTCAGACGGTATGAGCATTTCCTGGGAGCTCGTCTTTGTTGTCTTTTTGAATGTGATCGACACACCCTTTGGAATTTCTTGCTGCTCTTCTGTTTGAGCATTGCTCGGACATGGCAGGATCGGAACTAGGACCGGCGTGTCCTGATTGGGTCAAGCTAACAGGATTGTCAGCGAGCTGCCAGCAGTACATTACTCGATAGAAACGCAATCCCCATCAAGTCACGGTAACGAAGCGCGACCTTACCACCGCTTACCGCTTGCGAGTTCCCTGCCCATCGGAGGCGGCCGAAATCTCAGCACCTCCTACGTTCACCTGCCGACACTAGGACCGATGAATTTTCGAGCCTTTCTGTTTCATCACGGTAGCCGTCTTTCGGCGAGTGCAGCCCTAGATCATCCGTAGCGGCGGCAGTTTGGCTACACGGTCGGAAGCTGAGCCACCTCCCATCGAACACCTTCGTAAAGACAGAAACAACAAAGTCTCATATAGCACTTCCCAAACGCATGGTACGTCTAGCCTTGCCTCGAATGAAGCCCAAAACAAGATGACGGACACGTCTGGGTCCCGCGGTACGGGGTGAGGTGGCGAACGTCGTGGCCCAGTTTTGATCGAGTAATAAGAATCCCCTGCATGCGTCCGGACCGCGGGCACTTCACAGTAGCGCATCGAGTAATACAAACACGCAAGATGGCAGGCCGAAGGCACATCCACCTTCTAGCTGCGTTTTGCAATATTCGGCCGATGGATAAAGTTGAATTTTCATGCCGCTTCTGCATTCGACCCTTGTCAGTAGGCGAGTGTGAATTTCTCTTACGTTGCGCCCGTTTGAAACTGTTGGGCGGCACCAACTGTGCACATGGTGATCAAGAGCCGCTTTGCAAAGTGAAGGCGGCGTCGGTTCAGAGTAGAAAGTATCATTATGTTGCAATAAATTGAAGTAGCTTCGCGATCCCCGTACAATAGAGACAGCTGGGAGTAAATTTTGGAGATAGATCGATACATATCGGGCACGGTTAATGCCTCTTTGTGGACTGTTGTGGTTCTGCTCAAGATGTACGATCAATAGGCAACTTGCCCGTAAGCCCATCAATCGTCGTGTCACGATCTGGTGAATCGATTAAGGCTCGATTGCGTTCGAGGAGTCAAAGCAGCATGTTGTAGTTTTTCATCCGCCAGCAGCTTCTGGCTCGAGTAGGTGCTGGCTTGGAGGCCGTAGTCACCTGCTGATGCTTTGTAGATGTTCAGATAGGTATATGCATCGGCCTTGTAGTAGATTGGCTTGAGCTTGGGGTTGACCACCTGAATCCAGTTAGTATTAGCTCCATGTACCAAAGGCAGATTGAAATTCACTTACGCCAATGGAGACTAGCTCTCTTAACACGCGCAAAACATCGTTTTTGTCCTTGAAATCTTTGGTGTAGATGCAGATCAGTCGCTCTCCTGGTTTACCCTCATCCGGAGCTACCTTCGCAGAAGGTCCCAAGCGATTACTAATGACGCCATCAATCACAAGTCGCCAGATACGTGTGAGATCCTCAACTGAGGGGAACAACATCCACTACTGCTGGTTAGAATGGAACGCGTGAAATTCGAGTTCATAAGCTCACTTTGCCGAGTACCACATTGGTCTCCGTGGCCAAATCGGTGATACGCTGTTGAAGGAGCCTGCTTTCTTCATTCAAGCGCCGAGTGACCAGGCTCTTGTTCTTCTTCTGTACGTCCGATTCAATGTCCTTGCGCGTCTGGAGACTACGCGCGAGAAGCTCTCGTCCACGAATGGTGAAATTGTTGATGTCGGGAACTTTGGATTTGTCTTGGACCTGTGGGTAAGGATTATGCACCCAAATCCACTCATAATCGTAAGCGGAAGTCGAGACAGGAGGAATGCGTTTCGCAAAGCCTTCCACCGTCTCACCCAGCTGCCAGCATCCTGATTGGCCTTCGCCGGGATTGCTGAGTGGAGGTGGAGGTATATCTCTATGTTCAAAGACCACAGCATTTAGGTCTGTCTTGCGTGTGGACCATGACTTGACAGGCAGGAACTCTTCGCAGCGTATCTCAAGCCGATCCTGTTCATGCTCATCGCCTAAAAGAATGTCAGCGTGAGCTGCTAGACTTACAGGCGGCTGTGCATAGACGCATAGAGGTCTATGGCTATGCTAGCTATCAGGGCATTTCACAGTAGGTTGCCAGTACGTGCTGGCTTAGCACAGATTACGCGAAAGATCGCTTCAATAGTGTATATCTGATGTTCACATACACGCAGAGGCAGCTGATTACGTACCGTAGAAACTTGAATCGTCCGAAATCCAGCCATCGCCAGAAACCATCTCCTCCTGTTCCATCTTCGAAATGGGAGAGGCTCTGTCTCATCCCACAAGCACAAAGGTTGTGACGATGGTCGAAATCATGCCTTGGCGATATGACGATTGAGTGTTACACGGGAAGCACATCAGTACACGCTAAACCCACGAGCGCACGCGCCACCCCATTTACGCGCTCGCTCGACGCGTTTCGGCCGCGACCCCTCGACTTCGCTGTACTGACCACTGGTCGCGATACAACTCACACGTAATTGCCGATACCCTCAAAAAGCAGTCACGATGCCTCACTCGGTCACACCAGAATCGACGGCCGCCGAGGAACAGCCCGCCATTAAGGCCGAACAGAACGCACAAGACATTGCAATGGCCGATGCACCGAGTTCCGGGGAAGCGGAAGATAAAGCGAAGGTAAACCTAGAAGAGCTTTTTGACGACGATGACGATTCGGATGGAGAGTTTGCTTCGAGTGCTCCAGTCAAGTCGGAAGAGGAAGCCTCGCAGCCTGCCCAGACTTTGTACGCCGATGATTCCTACTCACGAAGATCACTTACTAACAGCTTGCAGCAAAATCTCAGACAAGTCACAATACTCAGACCCAGATGTCATGCGAGCCTTCTACCAGCGCCTCTTCCCGTTCCGGTACCTTTTCCAGTGGCTGAACCACTCTGCCGTTCCCTCCACCGACTTTGCACACCGCGAATTCGCTTTCACGCTGCCCAACGACGTCCTGCAGCGATACCAGTCGTTCCCTACCGCTGATACGTTTCGCAAGCGATGCATTGCAGACACCCCGCCACGTATCGACATCGGTCCTGTGTACTCGACGAACCCTCGCGACCGGAAAACACTGCGAAAGGCTAGTGCGTTCCGCCCAATATCACGAGAACTTGTGTTTGATATCGATATGGATGCCTACGACGATATCCGAACATGCTGCACGGGCGCAAACATATGTCAAAAGTGCTGGACATTCATTACAATGTCTATCAAAGTGGTAGATGTAGCGCTGCGCGACGACTTTGGGTTTAAACACGTTCTGTGGGTGTATTCTGGTCGAAGAGGAGCCCACGCGTGGGTGTGCGACAAGCGTGCGCGAGAGATGGACGATTCTAAGCGACGTGCAGTATATGGCTATCTGGAGGTGCTCAAGGGAGGCGACCAGGGCGGAAAGAAGGTCAATGTCTGGCGTCCACTGCATCCGCATCTGGAACGGAGTCTCAAAATCCTACCAGAATATTTCCAAACCACGATCCTTGCTGAGCAGGATCCTTGGGCAGGCGAAAACGCCGCGCACTTGCTGAACCTGATTCCGGACACCAAGCTTCGCGAGGCGTTGCAGAAGAAATGGGATTCCTCACCAGGGCGACCTAGCGCGTCGAAGTGGGCCGACATCGACAGCGTTGCAAAGTCTGGCGCGCTCTCCAAGTCTTCCAAGGAGCTGCTGGAAGCGAAACAAGACATTGTTCTGGAGTACACCTATCCACGGCTCGACGCCGACGTCGGCAAGAAGCTCAACCATTTGCTCAAATCACCATTCGTTGTCCATCCTGCCACAGGGCGGATATGCGTGCCGATTGACCCGAGGAAAGCAGAGGAGTTCGACCCGCTTAGTGTGCCCAAGGTCACGGAGCTGCTGGTTGAGATTGATGAGTGGAAAGAAGAAGATGTCGAAAAGAAGATACAGGACTGGGAGAAAACCAGCTTGAAGCCGTACATTGATTACTTCAGAGGGTTCGTTGCGGGGCTGCTGAAGGAAGAGAAGGAGAGCGAGAAGGGCGGGGTCAAGAGGGAGCGAGATGAGCATGGCGAAGCCATGGAGTTCTAGTTGTGTATACCCTCGCCCCTGTGGCCTTGTAATGTGATATGTCCGATATGCAACGCAATTATTCTAATCTACAAGCCCTAGCTATTGTTGTTCTTCCCGCCTAGCCTTGCCCGTTGAGGACATGCATACTCAAGTACTTAGTAACCGTCCTATTGGGTAACATGAAGCTTGTAACTTGGCACAAGCCGTGGCAATTCTACCGTATAATGGCGAAAGATTGGCGTGCCAGAAGGTGCAATGCATTCGAGTCACGATTCACAGCCAGCACACATCACGACGGATACAAAGAAGCAGCATTTGTGAAGTCCCAAGACAGATTTGATTGGTGATTCCATGTCCGGCATGTGAAGAACCTATGCGGTTCAACTTGTCGTTCGTAGCTGTCGTCCGATCATCTCATATCTCGTATCGCACCCCGAATTCGTTTACTTGGACTCGTCGAAGACGTAGGTGAGGTGGCAACGGCCGCAGTACTGGCGGTTGTGCATGGCAGCCATGAAGACACCAGCACCGCACTCGGGCTGCGGGCACTCGCGGCGGAGACGCTCGATCTTGCCGTCGCCATCGACCTTGTAGTACTTGAGGACAGCGAGCTTGGTCTTCTTGCGCTTGTGCTTGATCTTCTTGGGGGTGGTGTACACCTTCTTCTTCCTCTTCTTGGCCATACCACCACGCAGGCGGAGGACCAAGTGGAGTGTCGACTCCTTCTGGATGTTGTAGTCGGAGAGGGTGCGGCCATCCTCGAGCTGCTTTCCGGCGAAGATGAGACGCTGCTGGTCCGGGGGAATTCCCTCCTTGTCTGGGCGGCGTTAGCGGGTGCCTCCGGTTCTGCACAGCGGCGTGCAACATACCCTGAATCTTGGACTTCACATTGTCGATGGTGTCCGAAGACTCCACCTCAAGGGTGATAGTCTTACCCGTGAGGGTCTTGACGAAGATCTGCATGGCGGCCTGGGGGATGTTAGCTGAGCTCGAGACAGAACGCGGCGCAGATGGCAAAACGCGCAGATTCATTCAAGAACTGCGCGCTTCCCGGTGCATCAGACGCGCTGCTGATATGGGCGTGCGTACCTAGACAATCTGGTTGTCTTCCTCAGTCGTCAGTACAGAAAGTTTGATGGTGGGGAGCGAAATTAAATGTGGGCGGCAAAAGTGTGCACGGCGATAGGTTTTGCCGGTCACCGGTCTTGGCCGCGCCTTTCCGGATTAGGCCAGATGACGTGAGCTGCCTTGTTACATGCTGGCTAGCGCCCGCCCGTCGCGCGGGCGAGCGTTGCTGGGTAACGGAGCGGGCGCCTGTGTTGATTTCCATCCAGATACGGACTTCAAGATCGTCATCTGCGGAGCATCCTTCTTCACCCACCCCAATCCACATCTACTTTTATCAAACCCACTTCTATCGCATTGGGTCTGCAGAGCTAGACCGCGCATTTTCTGACGTTACACGCACGCTTTTGACAGGCTTCGGCCACATACTTACTTGAGCAGGCTGCTAGGAGACTGCGACTGTACTGAGGAGACCTTAAGGACCTAAACCGCCCGGCGGAGCGCCGCTTGCACTGCGTGAGGTATGCATTATTCTTCTGCGCGCAGCATTGGACTTCGTTGCTGACAGTAGACATCAGATTCGGACCCATCAGGACTATCATTTCCTCGGACAACAACACCCGGACTCGACGAGCATACAATATGCTGTCCACAAATGCACCATCGGGCATCCAGCGCCGACGAACGCTCCACCGCCGACAAAACTCAACACCGGCGGCGTTCGAGGCGCCCCGACTGCACCAACTACCGACTAACATACAGCAACGACGAACGCAGCGGACAGGCATGAGTCTTGACCTCCGGGGCCTTAACCTCGAGGCAATGACGAGGCCTGGGACTGCTGCTACCATTCCGGAATACGCGACACCGGATGGAACGGTAAGCAATACTAACCTAGGACAACAACCACAGCATACTATGCAAGTAGCGCATTCGCACAGCCAGCACCAGCCGGGCCCCCAGCAACCCTTTTTGCGATCCCCAGTACAGTCTCTTCCATCACCCCGGACTCCTCATCGGACGCTCCGGCCGCAGTCTCCCCCGCGGCCTTCTCACTCTCCTTCGCGAGCTCCCAACTCGCCCACCAAAGCAATTGTAGATCAGAGGATCAAAGATCTACAAGAAGACGTACTAGCAGTGTACGGTCCCAATGCTAACCTCTTCATCACTCTCCCCACACCGAATGCGACACCACAGAAGCCGGCCCAAATCGCGCCACAAGAGCAACTTCAGCCAGCTGCATTGGCACCGAGCTTCTCAGATCTCGCAGACATCAAATTCTCACCGAGCTCAAATGCGATGGCCTTCAATTTCGAGAACCTCGACTACGACATGGGCTACGAATCCTCGTCGTATTACACGTCCGATGCGCTCTCTCCATCACCTATCTCCTCTCCAAACCAAAAATCGATGCAAGCGTTCCTGGAGAACATTCCCGAGTTTCCTACGCAGGAACAGATGGCGGAGCTTACACCGCATAGCTCCGCATTTTCACAAGCTCCCATGTTCTCTCCCTCTAGCGCATCAATGTCCATGAACGGAATACCTTCTACCGCTTTGTCGCAGTCCGCGCTTTTGCCTGAGCTAGAAATCGACGCCAGCCTAGAATACACCGGCATTTCTCCAGAGGAAGTGCAGCGCTACATCAGCGAACAAGACCAAACTACGAACAAGTGGACATGTCTTTACCCCGAATGCGGCAAGGTCTTCGGTCGGCGAGAAAACATCCGCTCCCACGTCCAGACACACCTCGGCGACAGGCAATACAAGTGCAACGGATGTGGAAAGAAGTTCGTCCGTCAGCATGACCTAAAGCGACATGCAAAGATACACACCGGAAACAAGCCTTACAAGTGCCCCTGCGGTGCCGGTTTCGCGAGGCAAGACGCACTAACGCGCCACCGACAGCGTGGGATGTGCGTAGGCGGGTTCGAGAACGTAGTACGAAAGAACGTGAAGCGCGGCCGTCCGAAGAAGCATCGCCCAGAGTTGGATGAGCGTATTGATAAAGCCAACAAGACTCGCCGTGCACTAGCATCTGCGTCCTCCTCAGTCTCTGGAGGCTCGCCTATGTCAGATCCACGTTCTTCTCCGCCACCGTTCGAGAACGATCTACGGGCGCAAACATCGTCAACAATGCTTCACGAGTCGGTGAGCTATCACGAACAGATGAGCTCGAATTCAGACCATTACACGTACGTGATACCATGCCAAGTCCCCGGATATCCACTAACGACTGCAACAGTTATGAATCCGATGCGAAGCCTTACATCGAGCACTCTACCTCCAGCTTCGCGTCTAACAGCTCATATGCTGATGATGCGACATCAATGGCTCTCCTACAACACTTTTCACAACCTACACATACGCCTCCCATGTCGCCAGCCAACCAACGTCCGAATTCTTCCGGATCAGCAAGCAGCGGGAAGGCACCTATCCACTCAAGTCCTCTGAAAGTCGCATCTACGCCCTCTCAGTCATCGACCCAGTCAAATCCGTTCACGACCCCTCCCACATCACCCGCCGAGCCGAAAGACGAAATAGATGAGCTGTTCGAGTTACCCGATAACTCGTATTCCCAGTTTGAGCTCGAGCTTCAAGCTATGGGCACCTTGGACGGGTCGTGCGACTTCTTGGATTTCACTGTGTAAATTTGGCAACCGCCTCTATTGAGAATGTTGTATGATACTTTTTTGAGCTTTTACGAACGCGACACGAAACGGCGTTCTAATATCTCAGGGAGCACACCTGCTGGCTGGGTGCCAATCGGCGAATATGGCTTTGGACGGATACGTTTTAATGGGCTGCATCACGACAGAATGAATCTTCTTGATACTGTGTTATAGGGTTTGCTTGCCACCAACGCTCTTTAGCCGTTGTTTTGGAGGAGCAGGCAAACGGAGGGGATGTGGCTTTTTGCTTCTTTTCTTGCTTGCCCTTGAGCGTTTGAATAACGTGGATAGTGCAGATAGCTGTGCAACGACGGCAATGTCCGTAATGGAATATCACATCGACTTCATAAAACGGTCTACAGACTACAATACCCTAAATGAACGATCAACAAGCAGAAAGAGCTTTCCAAGATCGCCACTGATCCAGACCCAGAAGAAGCAGTAGAAGAACACCTCATACAGCACAACAATACAAGTCCCTCACCCGCCAACCTAGCCGTCTACTCCTCCGCTGTCTACTCCTCCGCGTGCGCCCCCTTCTTCTTACCCCCATGCTGCACATCAATGCTGTAGAAATGCACCTCGCTCGCGCTATTCCCCTGGTTATAATTCCCCGCCTTGAAATAACTCTTCGGGCTCTTCAAGCTCCCGGTCCCCAGCACCTTCATCTTCCCCCCGTCAATCGCCACACTCAATTTACCACCCTCATACCGAATCTCATACTCGAACTTCTTCCCAATTGTCACCTTACCCACCTTGGTGTACTTGAGACTGCTCTCGTCGGGGATCTGCTCCACGCCCATGGTCACCTCGCCCTTGGCGTTGACGAACAGCTCGCAGACCGGTTTCTTGGACACAGCATCGTCGACGTGGATCTGGCCGACGACGGTGCCGTGCGCGGAGTCGTCCGCCTTGACGACCTTGAGGCTGGCGCGTAGGCGGTTGACCGCGGCCTTGGGGGACCATGAGGTGGGGTCTTTCTCGCGCAGCTCGGTGCGGCAGTGCTTGCTGTTCTTGGTGGTCACGCAGCCGCAGGTGTCGGATGAGCCGCAGACTTTCAGGACGAGCGCGCCGTCGGACTTGTTCGTGTAGAAGACGTTGGACTTGTAGCCGGAGCAGCCCGCGAGCTTGCTGCCTGTGATCTGGTCGGGGTGGAACGCTGAGCCGGTGGGGAGCTGGAGATTGAACTTGGAGAGGTCGAAGTTGCCGCCGGGGGCGCAGGAGGGGTTGAGGCTACGAGTGTAGAGGGGGTTTGGGGTTATGGGGGCGGGAGCGGCGAGCGTGAGGCCGAGGGTGAAGAGGATGGTTGCAGTTGGGAGGGAGAACATGGTGGAGCTCCTCAAATAGAGTAGGATATGAAAAGATATGTTTTGAAAGTAAAAGGATTGGAACAAGTGTGTAGAAGTGATAGAATGAGCGAGTGATGTAAGTGGGGTAGAGACAAACGACCTGAGAAAAGAAGACGAGGAAGAAGGAAAGAATAGACTGTATGTGTGCTGGATGATACTCATTGCGAAGCTGAGATCTACTTATACAAGCCTGTATCCCCTACTTTGCAGTTTGTTCGGGGGCTCCATACACGGAGTGGCAGCTTCGCCACTAAGCACCGCTTCAAGAATCAATCACCGTAAACGTCAACAGTAAGAAACTCTCCGGGGGATTCAGTCGAATGCATTGAGTCCATGAACTATGTTAGATGGTACACGGATATTCCTCGTGCTCTGAAGCCGTACAACGGTGGTGAATAAGCATGGGGAATGTCCGGTCCGATGCTCGCTTAGGTTGTTTGAACCCAGCTAGAGTGCTGCGCAGCCCGAACTCTTGTTTCAGTGACGCTTGTCCGTGGTTTATCGGTGCACTCATTCAGTCAAGGTCCTGTAGCTTCTGCCGTGGTATCAGCTATATTTGTGTACCACATGCTCGATGACCAGGGCGCAAAGGGACCTCGGGAAAGACGGACGAAGTTCCACGGTCAGCAATGCATTACCCCTGAAAACCTTGGAAGTGGAAGGGATAGCCGCGTAATATTGATTGTTACCTAGGGATGCATGAAGCAATACGGTATTCGCTGCATCGTGGTTGCTGATGATAAAGCTGTGAGGAAAGTCTCCACGGCGGGCGTTTGCGCTGCCCGCCAAGCCCTGGTCGGCGTTACCTGTTCTTCCGTGCCGACCCCCTCGAGCATTGACCGCCTGTATCGTAAACACCGCTTATGTCATGTACCGTGTCTCCTACGTCGAAGATTCAGTGCAGAAGTTTGTGGTTCTCGGGCCAGAAGAGTATGAGTACAGGCGGACTGTGAATACAGCCTCCACAGTCATTCAATGCTAGAGGGAACTTATCGCCCAGGCTGACTCTACTGTTCTCCTAGATAAAAGGCGCGAGGACCTAGGGAATTACTAGCTGTGGCGACTCAAGTTCATAGATCATACGAATCAACGCGGACAGGGTCCTGTCTTTGAGATCTGCCAGGTAGGTACCCTGTTTCGACTATCCTAAATCCCCAAGAACGCTAATCTCTCTATTTAGTGGATCTTCTATACCCTTGCAAAGGAGCACAAACTCGCAACCACTCTCACTTTTAAGAAGATTGAAGCTACTGCTGAAGACGTCATCGTCCTCCTTAAGACGCTGTGTCAGCGTGCTGATGATATACCCTGCCAGCCTAGCACCCGCGTCTCCTTCCACGGCATCCTCCTCCTAGCTGCTATTAGAGGCTTCAGGCGGGCGACGATAACAAGCATTAAGTATAGGGACGTCAGCCTAGCCGTAGTACGGGACCCCAACAACTAGTTAAAGATAAAGCTGGTCGTCACCCCCACCATTAGGAAGAATAAGCTGAAGCTAGCTTTACGCGTCTCTAGAGCTCTTGCGTAAGTATAACTGCGTTACTTCTCCTCTTGCCCTATTGCCTCTATCTCTTACCACCACAATTGCTCACCTTTGTCAAACTGTATAGGATATCCTTCTCGATAACTCTCGTCCCATACAGCACCATCTATCTTGCCAGCATTATCACCACGCGAGCAATTAAAGACAATGCTTTTAAGGTAGGGTTTAAGTCTATTAAGGCACTGCTCTCCCGCCCTACCCTTAAAAGCGTAGACTTCTTGCTGCTGGACTAGAAGGAGGAGATGCTTAATTAGCCCATTTTTAATCTTTCTAACGGCACGTTCTACGATCTATGGTATTAGACTTACCTCATTAGCGGGTTATGCGAGGATCCATAGTTCTACATAATGCGGGTGGGCGCCGGCGGAAGACTTAATAGTAAACAAGACCCCATAAAGCTCGCACTATGTGAGGCAACTACTAACTCTAGAACCTTATAGGCGTTCTCACTAATGCCCTACGCAATTACATCCTCTCCAACACCACCTAGGTCTTCTAGGGAAGTTACCAAACGAAATGGGTCCGCGAGGATCTCATAAAGCTAGCCTTTGGGTCTATGGCTAGGCACAACAATGACCTCTTCCAGAGCCTCCGTAGTATGTCTCTAAGCCGGGATGTAGGCGCTCCTATGAACGTAAGTGCAGAGAACTTAGGAGAATTTAAGAAGCATCACAATATGCAAGGCCTTCGCGCCAATCTTAAGAAAGCATAACATAAGGATAACAAAGAGATCTGGTTAGTTAAAGCGCAGATTGAGAATCTCATTGAAGCCCTATTGCATCTAAAATTGCAAGAAAAGAGGGCAGCGTATTTCAAACACATAGATAGCCTAAGGGCCTAAGGATTACCCACTACGGCTTCCTTAGGAAAAATCCGTAGTAGCGGCGCGCCATCTACTATTACACAGTTCCTTTAAAGCTGCGCCCAGGAGCTTAAGGAAGGCTGTTTGGTGGAACAACGCGCACAACACTACATGGAGCTGCTAGTCAATTACCTGGCTCGTCGGCCGTCGCGCCCACCCCCAGGGCTGGGCACTCCAAAGATCGCAGTCGAAGGTAGTGGCGACGTGGCAGAGCGTGCCTACGAGAGTGTCGACCTCAATCGCACATCTACGCAGCAGTCCAGGTGCCTTCTCTGCGACTCCGCCTTCCGCGGCCGGAGTGAGCTCACTAAGCACTACCAGAAGATCCACGTCAAGGATGGGACGTTCGATCGGCCTTTCTCATGCCCCAAATGTCTCCGCCTAGGAAGGGGGCACGTCACGATTACCGCGGGCCCTCCAGCTTGGAACCGTCACGCCGAGGCATCCCACGGCAAAATGTCCGCGCCAAACCTTCCGTCGATCCCTCGTTCAGTGGAGGGTTCTGAGCGCTGTTTGCTCTGCCAGCGCTTTTTCCTAGGCGAAGGGGGCCTTTGGAGACACACACGTTAGATCTATAACCAGAACGGAAAGAACTTCGCGCAGTCGTTCTCATGCCCCGAATGCCTCCGTTAAGGAAATGGCGACGCTTCTATCAGCGGTTTTGATGATTGGAAGAATCACGTCTAATCAGACCACACAGAGATGGAAGGGCTACAGCCTCTGCCCAGCCGACCATGTTCACCTCCTAATGCCTGTAGTCGCCAAGGAAGCAATGGAGGCAAGCGCAAGCGTACGAGGGACGACGCCGACGCCGACCCTACAGTCGATGGTGCTGGCGGCGATCGGCCAGAGGATACCGAAGCCGCATCAGATACGACCTGCACTACACCAGCGACGGCCACCAATTCCATGTCGAGCACCCAAACCCCAGCCTCTTTAGTAGAAATGGAAAACATCCGGAACATCAATCCTCGCCTACTACCAGACCACTTAAGACAAGGCTCGAAGAAGGTAAAGAGCAGCCATTTCGACGATCCTAAGGCTGGCAACAGCGAGCGACGCGTGTGGCCCTGGGAAACGGAGCCAGGCCCGATTGTGCTCAGCGGATCAGGCACCGAACTGGAAGACCTGGAAGGTGACTGTATCCCAGCCGCAGATCCACAGCCAGAGGATCATGGTCTGTCCTATACTGGATTGTTGGACGCTGAACTGCATGAGCCAATGGCCGCAGACCGCTTCCACCCGCAAGGGCAAGAGGGCACGGAAATCCTCGAGAATCCACCATCAGAAGCAATCACGACCTCGGCGCTCGCGATGATTGATCTCGGAGACAGCTATCCACGAGGGATGAGTTCCGAGAGCCTTTCACCTACCCACGTCCCTGACGATGAGGACGTCGGGCAACTCCAACCAGCCGCACTCATTCAATACCCAGCCGAGGAAGAGACGGAGATAGGTGGTAGCCTGACTTCAGCCTTGACGATAGATCCTGGAGACCTAAGCCACGCAGCCAAGCTTTACTGGGGTAGAGGGTACGCTCTCGTACCAGAGGGTCGCGAGCTCAACCGAACCGCGAATAATGCACAGAGACGTGAGGAGATAAGCAGCAACATCAGCTCACAGCATGTGATCACGGGCAAAAGATTGAGGACCTCGGTTAGGAATCGCGCGTAGGTGCAGGCTGGTAACGCTGTCAAAGAGGGGTTCCAAGACTGCTCCTCGGTGATCTTCCCAGCAAAGAACCGGTTAGCAATTCATTCTTTAAATTACGAAGAAACATTGAAAGGCTTCTGCACGTCATTAAGTGCTTGTATTGAAGACAGGGCTGCCGAGAATTGCACGGGCGAAACTGTGGATCACCATTGATTCGAGGATGCGGAATGCGCTCTCTCCGACCTAAGAGGCCGAGCATTCGCATAGCGCAGCCAGGTGAGCGCGAAGCCCTCCAGTCAGATGCTGCGGAGGTAGCTCTGGTAGCCACCAAAGGCGCAGTATCTTTCGAGACGAGGCCTACTATATATCTCATGTGCCCAGGCGAGCAGCGCATCCAGGCATTTCAGTCGCCCACGGAGCTCAGCAATCACCTTCAGAGACACCTAGCTCATATGAAGGAAGGCAACATTCCAAACGCAGGCTATGTTGAAGTCGCATTGGACAAGCAGCATTTTCTTATATGCGAGCACCTCTAGATGGAAGAAAGAGGTACTGCGACATCGGTACTAATCGGCGTTCAGGGCAGGTGTTTGCAGCTAGAATTTACGTTAATTCCAGGAATTGAGATTCTCGCTATTGTGGTGTTTTTCCAGTCGGGAGAGTGTGATTTCAGGAAAATCAGTCACCAGAGATGTGACTAAGCTGCCTATTATTAGGAGGGTCCTATTTGGGGCCGTCGAAACCCATTTAGAGAAATTGCTATCAAGGGAGTTATTTTGGTGCTAGCTATTCATAACCCAGTTTCAATTTTGGACCGTTATATACTGGTTGCCCGCATTGGGTTCTAACAGTACCATAAAATGTGTTAGATTTTATGGTATTGCTGATGGATTCAAGAAGTATCTTATCAGGTTCTCTTGGTTGCTTGTTGTGCCCCTTTTATCATCCAGAGATGAGGTCGGGTCTTTTGATCCCGTTTGTGTGTCACGTGCCAAGGTCCCACAGCTGGTTCCCACAGCAGGATTCCAGGAGTAGAATTGCGATAAGCTGATTCCATACTTGGAGGCAATAGCTGCGCAACCGTCCCCATCGACTACTTTGTGAAAGGCGTCGCAGTTGCTCGCGATGCCGCTCTGAACAGGTGTTGGCGTGGTGATACCGTTGGTGGGCTTTGTCAATGTTGTAACGGGAACTGTAGACGAGGGTGTAGGATCCTCCCCAATGATGGAAACACAGACATACGCATCGAGCCAAAGGTCTGCGCAGTTCGAGCCGATCTTAGGGTTCCATTTGTAGAACTGCGCTACACTGATACCATACTAGGACGCGATCGCTGCGCAACCATCACCTGACTTGACAAGGTGGAAGGCATCACAATCGCCAACCATGCCCGACTGTATAGGTGTCGGTGTCATGATACCGTTGGTAGCAGTGGGTGTAGCGGCGTTTGTGCTGGTAGTGACTGGAGTCCAGCCGGGAACACCGGTACAAACCTGTGAGTCTTAGACAAGTATAAGAAACGCTTTAAACCAGACTTACATAACTATCGAGCCACAGATTCTGGCACTAAGCGCCAATATCGGGGTTCCACGCCACAAGGTCCTTTAGCGTCAAACCCGGGTATTTCTGGATGAAAGTTCCACAGTCGTTGCCTTCTTGCACCAAGTCCCATCGATTGCAAGTATTAATTTGGCCAGGCTGTGTTGGTCCAGGTGCGCCAGCAGTCGAGGTAGGACTAGCAGTGGCAGAATAAGAGATTATCGCCGAAGATGTCTCGGGCGCAGGCTCGTTGAATGCCTCCACGCAGTAGGATTTTCCAGTCTCAAATCCACCACATTCAGCGGTGATGGTGGGGTTCTGAATATTTGTTAGAAATTGAACATCAAGACGACCGACCCCACAGGAAAGACTTGCCCATCTTCTGAAGTCAGCCAAGGTTATTGCCCAAGCAGCAGGCATCCCACTGCACGGTACGGAACCATCGTTGTCGTACCACCAAGTGCAATACTTAGTGGTATTCGGGTCAGCAGGGAGCACGCTAAGTGCTTACAAACTTTATCTGCGTACGAGCCCGTCTATTTGAAGGTAAACGCTTGAGCAACTCTCCAGCCAGGGTTCTCCAACTAAACCTCACTCAGCCTTTCCTATAGAATCAATTTCTTCTCGCCCAAAATCGCGGCCTAGTGTCGAGGTCAGATGCTATGACGCCCTGCACAGCCTATCTAATCTCTCCAGATTAGGACCCGCTTGGCGATCGATACCTGCAGGTACTCTCATCACCGCAGCGTGAATACCATGGATGTCGATCCTGGGACAGCGCAAAAAACTTTTGATCCCCGATCCTAGTAACATGTCGCTTGTGGTAAGCCAGGAACATCAGCCCTATGCCATACAATTTCATCAGATGGTGAATGTATACCCGCATAACCATTCTGTACCTCCAAATGCCCGTGAACTCACACCTCGAATACACCAATTCCGCGATTCCCCCAAATCCCTCATCGACTAACCGAATTGAGGTAGCGTTGCATGCCAGTAATCCAGTCGTCATCGCCTTGTCATTGAATGTCGGTCCAGACCCAAAATAGTAACTGTCTGTACCCTTCGTACGATACCATGCGGTTCGTCTGGCTAGGCCAGTGTACCGCACCTTTGTACGACACCACAGCGGCTGACTGGTACACTAGCCAGCCGCCGGTGGCAGCAAGGGATGCCAAGGCTCAGGGGATTAAAACATGCCACTCTGGCATCCTTCGTACAAGACAGACATAATGAAATACCTGACTTTGTTTCTCACCCCCTTGTACGAAAGTGCACTTTACCTTTAGATGCTTTATTGCAGCTAGGGCCAACCAACAGTAACCGTATTAACCCGTGTTACGCCCCGCATGTTCACGCCGCAAAAGCACATGCGCACAGCCGTATAGCCGTGGATGAACCTATATTTTGGCCCCAGTATTGTCACGTAACCTGACATAATCACTCTCCATTAGATTAATATTCGTCCTCTTGTGGTCCTATTACCGCCAATGCACATCGAATGCTGCTACCTACGCCGTGATACATAGTATCCAGCTTGGCGAAACCCACTCGGGGAGATATTATCCCGCAAAGCCCAGGGACGAAAAGGCAGTATTATCGTCCGACCGCGGACTGTGCCGCCAGCATTCCTCAACCCTCTAATCTGCCTAGACGTCGAATCCTCAGTCTAACCAGAAGCCATCTCGCTACAACCCACACCCGACAGTAGGAAGGCTATCGTCAGCACTTCGGTTCACCTTTCCGCAAGATCCACACAACACGCTAAAGATGGTTCCTCCAAGGATGGGCACGCGAGATGTCCCTCCATTTGGGAGCCAACCATTCGATCACTTCATCATGGTGCGCACTGCTCGATGGGAAATTTACGGATTTTCGATAGTTTGCATAGCTGATAATTTTTAGGAAAGATGGGATCCCTCATCAACGTTAAGCAAGAAGGAACAGCACAAGGTGCTCGTGGCGGTCTGGCTCAGCCTTGGGCAGTACGGTCGCAATGTAGGCCCCCACTCTATACGGCACAGCATACACTCGCCGCCCCCTATTATTAAAACTAGCTTAGCGAGGTCTTGGTTCTATCGCTAACTAGCAAAAAGATTTTCTATCAGCGAATGAGGACTTGGGCCAATGACAGTGACATTCCAGAGCACGTTCCGCAGGATCTTCTTACAAACGAACAACGGGCCAAAAACGAGGTGCCTTACTGCGCATTCTGGATCCGGACATGGTATGGAACCGAAGACAAGGGCAGTGATGGGTCTAAACCGGTCACTCGGGCTACTGCTAATAAATGCTACCATCATCTATATCGAAGGGCCGTTCTAAGCATAGAGGAAGACGGAGATGAGAACGAGCCTTACGACGGCGATTTGACGATCGAAGAGGATGCCATTTTCGATGATGACCCGGATTCCTTTGGAATGGCTCAGCAAACCCCTGAGGAAGATATTGCACCTGCAGGAGCGATTCCTTCGGCCCTGGCTGGTGCTTTCATGCGGGTCCCAGACTCATTCGATGGTACTTCTAAGGCGGAGTGGCGATCAGATAATGCAGAGATGATTTTAAAGGAAGAAAAACGTTTGGAGGATTCACAGCACGTACTAGTACTCTTGGCAGACCGCCAGGCCTGTGAGCGGGGATGGGTGTTATTCCTCAGTATTAACCACAAGGGTCAGGTGATGCCACTTCGTATTAGACACAAAGCCGGAGACACCCGAGACCAAGTGAATCAATGGTTGGGTCTTGGTCACGGTATCGATGCAGCACCTGAGGATCGCACGGATGAGGTGATCTATGCAGATGATGGTGATGGGTGGGATAAGTGCTAGAGTCTGGTTTCTATCTAGTACAGAAGCTATCAAACAAGGAGTGTATGCTATCCATATCATTCAATGATGAGCATTATACTGTAGATGCTTCTTAAAATGGCGTTGATGCTCGCGTTCCCCATCGACCAACTCCACTGGAATGAGTACGTCAATATCTGGTATATCCTCATCTTAGACACCTAATCAATGTTAGTGAAGCTCTAGCTTGTGTAATCTGGCTCCAACTTACTCATAATGTTGAACATCTCCTCTAGCGTGGGCTTTTCTCCTCTCTTCATCTTGGCAGCCGCGACACTATTGTCGAACTCAACGTTACAGCCACCCGTTTTGTAATAGTTGCCCCAGAGATGAGTCTTCGAGGGTGCGCCCGTAACGTCTTTAATACAATACGCATTAAAGTTGTTATAGCCGTATTTCTTATTGTCCATAAAGTTAACCGCGGCCACCACTCTGCCAATGTCGGTTTCGCGGTTTACTCCTAACTTAGACGTGAGCTAATGATTAAGAGGGGAGTATACTCCACCTAATGGAGTATTGGTGTTATCTAAGTCGAACAGGTGCATAGTGAACGACTTAATATTGTTTTCATCACGGTTCCACGCTTTATCCAAGTCGATCGGCTTCGTTTCTAAGTCCACGCCTCTTGTTGCTTTGTTGTCTTTCCATTCGTCCGCCCAATTCTTCTGGTCTGTCTTAGCTTCGCCGTCCGAGTCGGTCCAATACACCTCCTGCCATATTCTGCGCAGGACGTTCAGATTAGCATTCCCTTATATGGTTTGCTGATATCCGGGAACGCATGCCCGGGCGTTTCGCTGTTACACACGTCAATAAGAACCACCCAAATAGTCCCAAAAGGATAGCATACATTGGGATCGCCTCCTTCTAGCACAGCGTTGAACGGAAACTCATCGCAGCTCGCCCAATTACCATTACCATTGTTCTTCGACGCTTTCTGGTTCATCTCGCGCCAATATCTGTCAGAATAAGCGATGCAGCTTTTAGACCACGTGTCCCTAACGTTGACGTATTTGTTCTCCTTCTCGTCCCATCTTTCGAAGGATATTCTCTCTCCACACACATCATTGCGGTTGCTCCTACACGTGGTCGAAAAATTAGCATGGTTCAGATTAACGTGGATTAAAGGGATCAGCAGGTGTTCCGGTCGCCGAGCCAGAACGATGCAAAGGTTCGCGATGAAGAACCGCCCACTTCGTCCCTCACGTCTACTCACCCACTGGCCTTCCCTTCCCAATTATAAGTCAAGTCGACTGGGCCCAAACCTCCGCCCTCGTGGTCACGCATGTAATCCAAGATGTTGTGGCAGATTCCTTTGAACTGGTAACCTCCCCCCCCGTCACGGTCCGGGAAATATTTGCAATCTATTTTTGCACGCAAGAGTCAGTTCAAGTCAGAAAAACGGGGACTGGGTACCTAGTGTATGCCATAGCCAGCCTAAAGGATGGTTCCTCCGGCGATGCCTAAGCACATCCACTTAGATGCCGGTCTGACATACTGTACATGAAGGCTGGAACGGAATTTTGACAAGGCGCGTTTGGATCGGCGTCTTCGGGGTCGCCTTCTTCGGGATCCCCGTCCGCGCGCGCTAGTTTGCGTTGTGAAGCTGGGGGCTTCCACTCGCACTTATCGCCCGAACAGCCTCCCTGTTCGCATTTCCCGCCATCGTTGCATGTGAATCGTTTGGCCTTATCTCCCAGTGCGGCATGGTCTGCGAGTTGGTCTCGCTTTCCTAGGGATGGTGAGAGAGCTCCACTGGAGCCGTACCATTCGTCATCAAGCTGATACGATGAGTTGTACAGCGGCTCGAACTTATCTATGTACGCATCGCCACCTTCCGAGATGAAGGGATTACGCTTCGAAAGGGAAACCTCACCATAGTGCTCGTATAGGATCTTCGTTCGACCGTTCTTCGCGTCCCACATGTAGTAGGGCTTCAGCGCGTACTCTCCCAACCACTTGAATTTAGCGATACCCCCGACGCCGAAGTTGTAAATGTATTTGATATAGATGTCTATGTTATGTTTTTAGCATTGTGGCGGCTTCATCATTTGCAATTCAGAAGAGTGTGGTAAGGGTGTGCTTACGGTAACTTCCAGCACGGGTATTTCCGATTCCAGCCTTGCCATCGGCTTGGACCTCGAATCTGAAAGTGTTGTTCACAAAACCAACGATCTGAGCATTCAAGACATCGCCCGATACCTTAGGAGCAGTGACCTTGATGCCAAGATTAACCTCTGGGGTAATGAGCAAGTCCACGTTGACAGATGCCTGCACAGCAGCATCTAGGATTGGCACAAAATCTGAGCACAAGTTAGCTAGGATAGTTGCGTGAGGTAGCACTTCAAGCTTACCAGTACCCTTACTGCTACTCTCATCACCTTCTGTTGCTTGGGGTTGCTTGATATAGTCTTTCGCCTCCTCGACCTGGGGAAAGTACATTAATTGCTTGGGGAAAGTAATCTTGGCACCCGCTCGCAACTGACCTGAAATGGTCGCTTTTGCTTTCATCTGGCCATACAGATCAAGGGTAGGCCCTATCGCAGCGATACCCTTAATCGCTAAGCCAGGGTAAGATAGCGTATCAATGATCTTGAGCCGTTTCGAAACCCATTCCATCTCTGCGTTACCTGCAACCTCTAGCACTACTTGAGCCACAGGCTCCATCTCGAAATAGGTGTAGACGTTGTCAATTGCAAGTGGCACAATCGTGCCGGATGCATAGTACGCCCATCAAGCGTTCATGTCGAGCTTTGCATCGAGGATAACATCTAGGCCGGCTTTGAGTTTGACGTTCCCTCTAGCGCACGATGCTCTCTTGCGATACAAAAGCATCCGCTTGTGCAGACTCATTGGCAGTTTACCCTCATCGGAGGCTTCTACTTTCGTCATCTTTTTCAGCCAATCAGTGAACGATCCCCACCATCGTTTCTCATGACGCGACTCAAGGGATCGCTTTGTACCCATGTCTGAGTCCGAGCCAGTCATCTCATCCCAGTAGGGAACGAGGTTCGTATATGATGCGAATGATAAGCAGTATCTACTTGCAGCTTTCGAGCGAAGGTTCCTGGATGTGCCTAGCAGTTGAAGCGATAGTCAGTATTTCCGATGTACAGGATGACACACTGGATCAACTCACTTCTTCAATCAATTGTTGGAGCTCGAGAATAGCATCCGTGTCCCCTGAAACCGTGACACTAGAAGGACTGTTGATGCAAGCAATTCTGGCCTCGCCCACGCAACGAAGAATGCGCTCAAGAAGAGGAGCGATGTCTGCTTGGCCAGCACCTACGGCCATCATGCTGCCATCCAAAGTAGGGAATTTCTCCTTTAGGATTGGAATGAGACGTCCTCTGTGGTACACTACAGTCATCGCGTCTTCAAAATCAATAATACCTGCGGCATATGCAGCGCCGATCTCTCCGCTAGAGTGACCAGCAACAGCTTTGGCGGTTATACCCCACGTTCTCAGTAAGTCAACCAGAGCCAGCTGCACAGCGGTACATGATGGTTGGCTAAGATGAGCATTATTAATCTTCGTGCTTGTCTCATCTTTTTGGAGTTCCTTGAGTAGGGAGAAGGTCGCACCAAGTGAAAGCAGGTGTTTGTCAGCTCGGTCAATCGCTGATGTGTAAACAGGATAACGCTCATAGAGTTCGCGACCCATAGCCCACCATTATGCTCCTGTAAGTGGCAATCGTCAGTGAACATCACTCAGAGCACATTCGACCCGCGGTCTCTTGCCTTGACCAGTGAAGATGAAACCCAACCGAATCGCCTCCAAGTCTTGCTTGACTGGACGAATTTTGCCACTCGAGAGTGCTTCGACAAAATCGACAGAGCTTGATGCAGTCACGGCTAAACGCCATGGATGATGCGTCTTGCGCTGACCAAGTGTATATGCCAGGTTGCTCAACAAGTCGTTTTGAAACACCTCGGGACGTTGTTCAGTGCGTCACTTGCCGACCATAACCATCTTATTGCGACGTTTAAGTGCTCCTTCATTGCCAGCCATCATGCATTGAACGATCTCTCCTCTTAAGATGACCATTCGCGCCTATCGCAGAACGCATGCAAGATTCGAAACGCCAAAGGCTGATATGACGCTGCCACATTCACCAGAACCACAGTTGACAGCCTACTTTTTTACTATTCTGGTATGATCGGGTATGCAATGGCGTGTAAAGTAGTAAAATGGAAGAAGGGCACTTCTTTCGGTGCCTCTCTCTGGTTTGTTATTGAGATTATTGTGTTGAGATAAAGATGTGGTGTTCCATCACGGCGTGCGTCCCGCCACGCAGGGATGGACGTTACTGCGAACAGGTATGTAATCACGTGTTTTGCCGCTTCAGATGAGTTAAACAATAAGACATCAACCGCGAGTGAGTGCAAAGTTGAAGGGCAAGCGTCTCTAAATTGGAATTCCGCTCGATTCGGCAGCCAATGTAATTTATGGGCTTCCCAAGCGGCTCCGTTTTGCTATTTTTAGTTCGTGGGCTGAGCGAGGTGCTGCACAATAGAAGTCGTGACCTGGTTAGTGCTAACGAGCAACACGCGCACAGAATGCGTATGTCTTACAAGCCCGCCCACGCATTATGAAGGCACACGAGTGAGACTACGTCAACCAAATTTAATGTATGAGCACTTACCTCGACGGAAAAACCACGTGCTCTAAGGCAGGTGTGTCTTTTGAAATGACGCAATGTTCCAGGTGATTGTGTTCAGCTTCGTAAATTTCACAGCTTCCAGTGTGAGATGGAAGGAACAGACTATCAATAGCAGAGGCTCACCTTCCGACTCCGACTTGTTTTCCGTCGGACGCCGATACATGGTGGCTTCCCTATCTACGCAGCGGAAGGCTTCTTCCGTCGATAGTTCGATGTTTGTCATCAACGGGCTACTTGGCGGCGTTGACGGTAGTCGTCACTGCGCGAGCTCACTCGACTGAGCCTTCGCTTTACCAGCCGTCCCGGAGTTGATTGCATCGGTCCAAGTACTGGGAATTCAAGTCGATCGTACGTGAGCAGACCTATATATCCTTCGTAAAGGTCGCCAAAGTCAGGGTCGGAGCTCGAGTCCGAGTAATTGTCATTGACAACACCCACAATGCCTACGCATCGTCAGAAAATGCATGCTTACGCTACTATCGCGATCGATCAAAGGTGCTTACCCTGACTACTATCCTCAGAAGGGCCCGGCCGAAGTGGAGTTCTATCCCCTGTGTCTCCTTGATAATTTGGCATTAAGACGCCTGTTCCTCCATGGGATCGGCACTACTAACATCGTTGCTTTCTATCCCGATGCCGCTAATCTAGTAGTCGGCTTCGGTCTCGGCTACATCTCTATTAGACGTCATAGGATCCATAAACAAACAAAAATGTTACGTCGGCTACGCGGATGCCTACCTAAGCAAGTCAAGTCGACGACTTTAACACCATGCGCCGCGTGTGCAGGTTCCTCTCCATTCCCCCTTATACTGTTCGAATCAGGTTCGATACCCAGAATATTATCGAAATTAGGGTACTTACTCGTCGTCGTCAGAAAGGGCTTTCTTCTTCGTTGGGAGGGTTCGAGGGGTCTGCTTTGGAGACCCATTACAAGGTACAAAGTGGGGGGAACCCTGCGTCTGCTGGGCAGGGAAAGTACTGAAAAGTGTTGCCATCGTGGCGTTGGTGTTCAGAAGTCCTAGAAATCTAAAGAAGCGAGAAACGCAGACATTAAGTAGGCCATGAGCACGCTTGAGGAGCTCTCCGCGCCCAACATCGCACAGCCGCCGAATGCTAGCAATAGTACAGCTTTCGCATTAAGCCATTTCGCCATTGGATGGAGCCGTTAGCACGTATCCCAAGAATACTCGCCCCGAGACCGAGGAATGGTGGCGCCAGCTTCCCAGAAGAGATGCCGTAGGAAGCAGATTCATCTCCTTTTTGTCAGAGGCCGCCCGACAATCGTACGAGCCTGTAGATGACAATTCTGTCTGATCCGGTGCCTGGACGTTGATCAGGAGGCTCCCAGCAATGGCTCTCCACTCGTCGGCACCTCCGAGACCCAAACCTGGGCTCATTTCTTCATTCAGGCCTCCAACTTCATGCTCCTGGCGGGGGTGGATCGAATCATGGAAGCAGATTGGCGCCCGGCAGGCTCCTGATTGATTAATAGGATGCTCTAGCCGTTCCCTCCGTTTACTCTGTGATGCCGGAACGTAACCTGCCGTCATGCATGCGGTCAAGCAGACCCAGACTCCACCAATCGGTGTCGAGTGCACACTGGGCGAGTACGTGCTGGTATCGTCCTGCCTAGCTGTACGGCGGGTCGTAGCCTGGCCGAGTCTGCCTCATCTGACTCTCTCTAAAACTGACTTTGCAGGAGCGGCAATCCAAGCCAATCATCTTCCCGAGGCTAACAGTTCCGTGCAATGGGTGACGGCCCAGCTGGGATTGCACAGGCCTGGCCCCTCCCGCTCAGACGCTATCGAGACGTGCAAGGCGCTTCTGTTGCCGACATGCGTGATTGATGACGCGGCAGGTCGACGATTTCCGAGATGAACTGGCATACGGGACCTTCTGAAAGGAGGAACCGAAGGGATGGCTGGATTCCGTTCATCGGCGGTGCCAGAGTAGGGGGTGTATGCCATGAACACTGCTTATCCATGTAGAAGGCGAGGGACCCAGAGCGGCGAAAATCCAGTCGGCAAGACTGAGGCCACTTGTATGCTGAACTTGAAACGGTGCTTCCCGCTTTCGATGGCGCAGCTTTGGTCATGCTAAGTCATCGAAGCCTGCAATATCCGCCTGTCCAGCTAAGGTGTCTCACATTGAAGCTGCCGTCTCCTCGGTGGAGCTCCCTCAAATCGAGGTTCCAATTGATCCGAAGGTAATGGTCGAACCCAGAATTGGGGCCGGCGGTTGACACTGGAACACCGAAAGCCGGATATTGATGCAAATATGAGCTAGAGCGTTCGGCAACGCCGGTTTCCTTTGAGGCGCAGCAAAGAAAGGGCACCATTAGTCTTGGTGAGGCATTTTGCTGATTGGGCTGGTTTCATTGTATGGCATGGCGCGTAGCTTCGTGGCCATTCAGTGCAGCAACTGAGCTTGGTGTCTTGGCTGTGGCAGCGAATTGGGTCGCATGAGCATCAATATCTGAGCCGTTGTTCAGCTGAGTGCAATTTGTAATGCCGTCCGTTCATCCGAGCAAAGTGTTGGCGGTGTAACGTAGCCTTCTGGCGTAGGCACAGAGATCAAGCTTTGGAGTATTCTAAGGACACTGTTCCTGACGTCGTCAAAAGGCAATGCGAATAATGGGATCGAAATACTAGACAGGTGCAATGAAGCGGGGAGGCTGCCTCATGGAGAGAATTGACGACAGTCAAAGTTACCGTCCGTGAAATGCAGACCTGAAGCATCATGTGGGTACACTTGCCATCGTTCTGATAAGTATGAATAGTAGAAAGAAAAGAGTTTGGGTGAAATGAAACTAAGAAGGGGAAAGCTTCTTATATCTTACAACGATTATGTAATGAACATGGATTGGTGGCGGATCTAAGAATCTCCGATGCCAAGATTTTGCTGGCTTGGAGGCGCCCATTTTTGGACGCAAAACACTCCAGAAATGGAGGCATCTAAGCCAACCCAACATCGTTTATGAGGAAAGAGCGGAGTGCCGCGGACCGCTAACTTAGAGCTGTCAGCAAGACCCGCTTACCCCAGAGGACGTTGGGCAACATCACAAAGTCCACAACATTGGGCCACACACTCCCAACATTTCTTACTCCCACCACGCTGCGAATTGCGCTCTCCTGTAACTGTCTTTGAGCCTTGCAACTTTGATCATAGGTCCTCTTCCAACTCCCTCACGCGATGACAACAACGAGGTTGAACGACTTCTAGTCCAACGATCGGCAAGCCACGTCGCGTGCGGTCTGCTCTAGAACGTTCAAGCTAAGGTAGACTGCGAGCGAGTTCCCCAATTCGCAATGCACTGTGGTATAGGCCGTATAATCTCACGGAACCTCTAGCAGGGGGCTACACTATTTACGGCGCCGAGGAGCACACCAGCCTAGCATCAAACACTGGCGCACCCAAACTAGCAACCCCAAAATTAACAGCCTGCAAACACTTCGGCGACTCCGTAGCTGCCACATAGATCCCTGGCCCTACTTGAGGTCCACAGATAATGGATATGGTATGAACGAGCTGACGCGATTGTTCTCAGCTGAACATCTTACACCCTTTGACGCATTAGGCGCGATCTCATTATACGTTCCAATCCATATCATCATATTGCGTTGTACTGGCCCCGCTCTTGAGCCGGCGCGACGATATTGGAGTATACTAGCAGTACTCGACCTTACACCTGCGACATCACCGTTGCGATAATATACCAACTGTTTGTCCCCCTTGTGCAATGATCGATGGGTTGATATACAGTGTTTGCTCAATAACTCGAGAGGCGATATGGTGGGGGTACCCAAAAGCACTGGTAAGTGACACACCATATCTACACACATATTCGTTGAATACAGCTAGGTTGCGCTATATGTCGGAAGCGGAAAGTCAAGGTACGCTCTACTCAATAAGTAAGCATTGCGTATGCTCAAGCAAGATGTTTAGTGTGATGAGACGTGGCCGACATGCGTGAACTGTCGCAAGAATGGAAAACTCTGCCCAGGTCCGCCTTCCCGACATACCTTTAGAGACGCTGGACCACAACTAGACAAGCAGAGCACCAGCATCAAGACAAATCAGAATTCAGCACCCCAAGACCAAGGTCAGTAGCTCCAAGGGGTTCGGGACTATGCTAATACCCAGCCAAGTTCATCAGAAGACCCAATTGACTCATCTCAAAGCAATATGGTCCAATACAGGAGCCGCTGTTCTCAAATTCCGCCTTTCTCCAACGGGGGATGATCAGGAAGCCAGCAAGGGACATTCGAAGGGACGTTCCCCCACCGAGCATTCATCGAACCTGCCGATGTCGATCCGCTACGGACCTCTGCAAACATCCCCGCACCACGAATTAGCCCGAGCTTTGATAGAAGCGATGGAAACGGATGATGCTGGCTATAGTATATCAGATTTCGGCTCTTTCATGCACGAGGTTCCATGCCGTATCGGTCGCAATGCTGCACTGGACACCGCCGTGGCTTGCTTGCTACGTACGCGCTCCGCTCTACTCTCCAAGAACACTCTGGACAATCTTCAGACCCCCAAATATTATCTCGCTGCCGTGCAAAGACTTCAGCGTTCCTTGGAAGACCCTGTTGAGGGCATGTCTTCCAACACGCTGTGTGCGGCTGTTATACTGAGCCTGGTTGAGGTGAGTACATCGAACTACTCGCGTGTTCCATGCTGAACTTCGAAGGCGCTTGCCGGTCCTCGGCTCGACAACTCCTATCTTGCGCATATCGGTGGCGCGGGCCGCCTACTAGAGATCCAGGGCCCACAGACTTGCAGGGATGGTTTTGCAAAGGAAATACTGCGCTTCACGAGAGGTGGCATTGTAAGTGCGGAACTTTTCATATCGAAGCTGGATTCGTGCCGGTAAAGGCTGACAATTATTGGCAGATAGTGACGTCCATCTACAAATCCGAACCTTCTTTCTTGTCAATGCCAGGCTGGCGCCATGTTGCATTCGACAACACGAAGTCAAATATTGAAGAGAGCCTTTACACAGAAGTTCTCCATTTGATGTCCCAACTGTCGGTACTGCTCAAAGAGGTGAAAGAGCTACAGACACTCACAGAAGCAACTTGTCAGCCCTCATCAAGCCTCGATACCAAAAACTTGTTCCCCGAAGACGACGTCCTCCCACGATACCCCGCCCCGCACACCGACTTCGAAACAGCGTATACCACGTACATAGGTCCCGAGCTCTCACACACCCAACCCACGAATCTTCACTTCGAACCCGGGCAGCCACTCTCCCTCCAGGACCCACCCTCAACACACCCACTCCTCGAGAAAGCCTACGCCCTCAAAGCCTCCCTAGACACCACAAGCGCGCAGCTACAATCCCACCTCCAAGACGGCACCTTCGCCCTCCCCCTCCCTGCCCTCGACCCCGCCGCCCCCTTTCCCACCGCCTACCGCTTCCCCCACTGGCGCACCGCCCGCATCTATACCATACAATGGTCCCTTACCATCCTGGTCGCCAAAACTCTGCTCAAACTCCTCCCAGAACACGACCCCGTGCGCTACGCGCTCGAAGCCGAGTGCCGCGCCGTCGCGCTCGAGATCTGCAAGACGTGGGACAATGCGTGGGCGAACCGGCCGATCGGCGCGTGCCACGTGTGGCTGGGTTTCGTGGTCGCGTATGAGTTCTGCAGCGTGGAGGCACGGGGGTGGGTGCTTGGGGCGCTGAATCGGTTTTTGATGGATCAGGGGGTCGAGGGGTGGAGGTGGACGGAGGAGGTAGTCGGGGCGATGAATCGGCGGTTGATGGGGGAGGGGGAGGGCTTTGTATCTGGGCATGGTTCGGGGGGGCTGCGATAGTCATGTGTGTTATTGCGTTCTTGCTTTGCTGTGTGTCGAGTCGAATCCAGTCACTGTTCTCGCGCACTCCTCTCGTTGTTTTTGCTTCACTATGTTTTTCACCTCCCCGAAGCGCCACGCGACCTCACAATCAAATAACGCAGTGCATCTCATGTATTGACCTCTTCTGCATTGCCCCAAATGCCGGATGCCACCCCAGACACCCCTCCGCGCCATCTACTAAATCTCAAATCGAAGCAAACAAAAACAAAACCAAGGAACATGCAGTCACAGAAGAAAGTGGCGCTAGCGAAAGTGAACCAGCGGAATCACCTCTTACAGAAAGTAAAACCGCACGAAAAAAAAATAAACCATCGCAGCAGTGAAAGGGCGAACATCATTCCAAGGAAACCATCTTGTACGAGACAAATATCTTACTATTGTGCCAAAACCAAAAAAAAGTATGAGCAAATTAGAGAAAGCGGGTTGGACAGCTGGTAGATTTTTGTTAGAACAACAAGTCTGCGAAGACAGCAGGCGCAACATGTTGCGAAAGCATATGCAGAGAAAAAAGTCTCCTCGTAACTAGCGTCAGATCTTAGAGCGCTTCAGGTGAACGGAGAATTTACATGCTAGGTGAAAGCAAGCAAGCCACAGTAGTAATATGATAAAAAATGAGGATGTAAACAGGAAAGGACGTGTCTACAAGCAATATGAGAAGAGCAACAGAGTATTGAAAGAAGGAGATGACGATCCGAACATAATCGACATATACGCCAGGATATCGGACCTCTGCGTACGATAGCGCAAAAGCTAATGAAGAAATTTGCGGGTCGCGTCATCGGTAACATCCGACTCTGGGGCTTTGCCTACATGGAGACACTCTGAGCGTGCTGAGGACTGCCGCCGTGGCCTGTGTTCCACCTTTTTACCCTTCCCACCACCATAATGCTGTCATAATCCATCCAAAGTGCACCGCGAAGCCCTGGAGGAGGAAATCGAAAGCCGTGAAATGATCTCCGTCGTTAGTACACGCCGAACGCCGAAGTAGTGTGTTGTACAAAACGTATGATCCGGCGGGACCACAGTGTCAGGCCGCTGAATGGCGAAGCTCATAGTCGCAGGGATACGAGCCTCGATTTGCCGATAGAGAAGAACTAGCGCATTGTGCCTCAGACATTGTCTACGGAGGAGTAGCTGCTCTCGCGTTCCTTCTTATGGACGTTTCTCTCGTGCTCGTCTCTTTTGTCCTTCCGGGTGCCGAAACTGCGACCCCTACCGCCCGTTGGTGCATGGGATCTTGAGCATCCGCTCACGCTGCAGAAGTATTGGACACGATTCTTCGCGTGCGTTTGGTCATAGTGTCTACGCAGGTCGGCCATACGTCCGAATTGGAGTTCCTTACACTCGCTTCTATTGCACTTGAACTTCGACTTGTTGGCATAGACGTATCCGATCGGTTCATCGTCGGCATAGGATTGCTGAGAACGGCGGGATTTCTTTGCAGCGCGGACTGCGTTGGAGAGTGATGATGGAGCGGGAGGGAACGGTGACGGAATCTGGGTCGAGACGAGAGGCGATCGCGTGTCGATGGTCGTGGGAGCGGGATAAACAGGCCTTGGAATTTCTGTAAGTAAGGACAATGAGTTTATTGGAGGCTCACTCACTCGGGCAACTCCGCGAGAGTTATCTGTGGTGGAAATTGCGGGCCTGTTCGACTGAAGGAACCCGAGGTTGAGTGCCGAGGGGTAGGCATCGGATTGACCATACTGTTACCACGCTCGTTAGAACTGGACGTGGAGATCGCTGACCAAATATGAATATCCAATCATGGGACAGCCGTGGAATATTATTGTGCAATGTATGGATTGGCAGATCCTGGCAGGATAGTGAAGCATTATTTTGTTGTTGAAAAGCATTGTCGACAACCCAATGGCAATTACGGAGCGTTCTAGACCGCATAAGAGGAAGATTGTACGAACGAGTAACGTACTTCATCAATAAGAAGAGATAGTCGACCGATACCTCATTGGGAAGATGAGGACGATAGCAAAAGGCCATAGGAGTCGTCGTAAATGTTGTCCTGGTATGTATCACAGGTCACCATAGCAGAACTGCACCGGAAATCCTCGATACGGTGGTACGATCAAATGGAGGAATTGAGGATGCTTTCGGGTCACCTGGACATTGATCGATCTGGGATTAGAACGAAAGCGCGAAGAGCGCCTTTATTGGGCGTCGACCACATTCAGTAGGCAGAAGCTGACACATCAGGGAGTCGTCAAATCACAGTGGAATGGTCCGAGGGAGCGGATCGACCGGAGGGAAAGGTCCTTGGGTCGTTTGGTAATGATATTGATTGTAGGTCGTAAACCCGAGTAAGTCTGAAACCTCCTCGGAGCAGATGGGAAGAAGGGAGAGGATTGCAAAGAAACCTACCCGTGCAAGGCAAAAGGTGCTCTTGCCTGCCATACTGTACCTGTGGGGTTGGAATTGCTTGCTTGAGACCTATAAGGGTGACATCCGGAAATAAGGTGGGTACAGCTCCGTTGTGATGCGCGGCTGTCCTTTATCGACGTCCGGGGTCCGTTCCGTGATTCTACTTGGAGCTGAGCTTCCGGCGATAATCTAGCTGATCCCTGGCAGGCGATGCAGCGTCGAAATGGAGATCGTGGGACTCAACCACGAGATGCGTTCACCCTCGTTCCTCATTTGCGGATGCAACAATTGGTCGAGGCAAAAGGTCTTCCGGGATAGACCATGTCCCTTTTTAAGTTCGTCTATTTGGGTACAATCCTGGGTGGGTGACCGAACCTGGCTTCACTTGACTTGCGACACCGTCTTTCAGCGGATCGCCTTCCGTGGTATGACGAGGGGTTCGTAGCGACTCGACTTGGCCAGTGGAGGGTCCTGTCCGACAGAGTGATGAGAAAAAAAGTGTTCGGCTGGCACATCTTCCATGTCGAATTTCAAAGAGTATCTGGACGCGGTGGTGGTGCGAGCCAGGAATATCAGGCAACTGCAGGGTACGGTTCAGACCTCGTGGTGGCTATATTCCAGGCAAAGAAGTGAGCTTCCAGGTATCTACGAAGATGGGAATCCTTCCATGTCGGGAGTTCCTCGAGGTCTCCCGGGCTTCCACTCCAATCCAAATAATGGCTTGAGGTTCATCTATCTCCCGTAATTTCACAAATGTGCAAAGGGCACTTACTTTTCAGAGTCGTTCAGCTTCACAATCCCATTCCCACCATGCATTGACATCTGGTTGTAATTTCCTCCATACCCATAGTCGAACCCAGAATTCATCGAATCGGATCGCGACATATCGTACGTCGCAGTGACCGGTGAAGGTGTTGGAGGCAGGGGTCCGGTGTTACCAATGGAGAAGTAGCTATGATTCGACTGGGTTACAGAAGGCTGAGACATGGACGACCGGTGAGCTGAGGTAGGCGAAGTGGGCGAGCCATTGAAGCTCGAGCCGCGGGATCTAGGCTGGCCCGGTGAGAGCGGCTGATGTTGGTATTGTTCGCTGTGTCGCTGCTGTGACTGCTGACCGAAGATGTTCAGGTGGTTGCTGTTGAGACCATTGGGAGGGTAGTTGTTCTGAAATTCGTGGAAACCACGATCCACGAAGTAGGAGCTGTCCATAGATTCGGATGCCAATGGAGGAAGGTGCGCAAGAGCGAATAGAAATTGATGGTGTGGTTCAAGCGTGGTTTGAAGGGATGAGCTAGGGGAGAATAGCAGATGCAAGAGGAACGAGGCAGCCTATGTATACCCTCTGACCAGGCTGTTACAGGGCAAAGGGCCCTGACATTGGCTGTGGAGGACTGCTCTTGGCAAGCCACAGCCTGCTTGCGCGATTATTCGACGAGGCAGAGCAGGCAAACATCTGGCGCGACACCGCGTGTTTTCATAGCAGAAGAGTCCTGCGATCACATGTCATGCGGGAACTGGTCACACTGCACCGTATGCGAACCTGTGGAGCTCTATGAGTGGGTGGATTTCGCCCGCCTCACCTTTCACGTAGCCCCGCACACCGCTTACCCACCCTGTAGCTATCTGCACTGCATATTCACCAGTTCTGCGGACTAGGTTCCCAGGACAGTGACTGTCGGACTGTTCCGCCCGTTCAACCGGTCAGCTTCCACGCCTTGATGCTAGAATCCCCACCCGCGGAAAGTACCTTGCCTGATGGCTCCCACGCAACACCAGTGACACCATCTTTGTGTGCATTCATAGCCTTGATCCGTTTACCAGGGTCCTCGACGCTCCACACCATGACGTTCGTGTCAAGTGAGCCGCTCGCTACGAGCTTCGCGTCGGCATCCCATGCGAGCGCAGTGATGCGTGCAGTGTGTGCAGACCACCTATCGGTGATAATTTTCCAATCACCTGAAGTATTGAAAGCGTAAATCTTGCCGTTGTTTGCACCTGCGGCAATCTTGTCGCCCGAGGCAGAAAAGGCAAGAGCTGATATCGGTGCTGTGGCGCGACGGAGCTCGATACCAGTATCTTTGAGCTCCGTGCCAGAAAGCGTGTAGATGTGGACCAATTTATCATCGCCGCCCACAGCGACATTGGAGCCATGCGCCGCTATGGATGTCGGAGAATATTTGACGGACAATGAGCTCACCTTGTTGCCGTCCTTGTACACTATGATGGCATCGGAAGAGGGCACAAGAACTACATCGGATGCCGCTGCCACACCCTTGGGCTGAAACTTGAGCTCATTCGCAGCGCCGGTAAAGATTTTGTTTTGAACCGAAATAGAACGCAGAGTGTCATCCCAACCGACACTGAGTACGCCGGCCTCACTCTTGGAGTCGGAGGGAACCAGGCCTGCCACGTAGTTGGAATGGCTTTCGCCGTCGACCTTCTCTGCAATGCCTGTGTTGGTGTCCCACGCCAGTATCCGGCCATCGTAACTGCCAGTCACAAAGGTAGATCCTGACAAGGCAGCGGCAGTGATATTCTTTTGGTGGCCACGGACCACACGCGTGGGCTTGGGATTGCCGTCGACAAGATAGTTGAGATTGCCTTCCAGATCAACACTGACAATAAGCCCATCACTGCGGCCCGTGGGCCAGACGACACCCACTTGCTGGTCAGGGATGCTGGGGACGCCCTCGTCGCCCATCCTCCACGTCTGGATGGCCTTGCCGGCTTCCGGGTCCCATATGCGGACGGTCTGGTCCGCACTGGCCGTTACGAAGCGCTTCGAGTCTTTTGCCCAGGAGATGCCGAAGATGCTGCCAGTGTGGACGCCCTCGCCAATCTGGCCCTTTGCCTCTCCCGTCTTGCCGTCGTATAACCAGATGCGCTTGTCTGCACCTACACTAGCGAAGACGGAGCCATCGGGGGAGAAGGCGGTGCCGAAAACGAAGCGGTTGTGCTGCCCTCTGAGGCTAGTGTTGAACTTGAACGGGGCGCCATGGTAGAAGACGAGGCTCGTGTCGTCGGAGCCGGTGGCAGCGCGGAGCGGCCGTTGCTGGCGGATGGAGACGGTGTTGATTTGCGACGAGTGTCCTGATATCTCGCCCACGCTGTTGCCGCTGTCGGCCGTGATGCAGTGCCCAAAGCGCTCCTTGCCGTCGCCCACGGCGATGATGCGCTGCGAGTCACCGTCCCATGCTAGGTCGTTGATGCGTCCTGCAATGATGTGGTATTCGCCTGTTCCCGTCAGCCTCACTCTGCAACGCCGCCCGGGCAGTCTCGCGCTGCCTGCGAGCATGGCCGAGCCATACCCTTTGTAGCTCCCTCGCCCACGCAGTCCCACACACGGACGGTTCCCGAGGCGTCTCCACTGGCAACATAGAAGCCGGAGGGCGCAAAACGCGCGACCGTTGTCTGGGCCGTGTGTTGGGTGTACTGTTTACTGACGGCGGGGTCGTCGATGGACCGCAGGAAGATGGACTTGCCAGCCTATAGCGGGCCGTCAGAATGTGAGGCTGCTCCTCGGCAGGCGTGCGTGGGCGTGCATACCGCGTACGCTATCCGCTCGCCTTTGGGGTCTGAGGAGAGCGGTGTCGGCTGTCCGCGCGTGGTGGTGGGCGATGCGGCCCAGATGGCGTCTGTGTGCCTACGTCAGCTTCGTGTGCGTTTCTCGTACGCGGGGGCTTGTAGCCTTACCAGGAACAAGTGACATTGGAGGTGCGGGCGACTTTGCGAGGTCGTAGGATACGGATTGTAGCTTGTGGTGCCCTTCGTAAGGAGTTGCAAATGTCCCTGTGGGCTGCCTGCGTCAGAGCGCGCGTTTCACGGGCATCCAAGCCAGCCCCTCGTTGGCGGGGCTGGTCCCTGCAGCAGGTGCCACATGAGCTCACGCGAGCGCACCATGGTTATAGGTGCTTGTGTTCCGAATTGAACACTTCACAAACAGGCAGCATAGGAATGCTCCACTACAGGTGAACAAGTATGCAGGAAATCCCTCTCTCTAACCAAGCGAATGTTCAAACATGAGCTGGATACAAACATATATAAGCATCTGGGAAACTCGACGCTTCAAGTCCTTCCGCAGACCCGAGTCCCATCGCATAGAGCTGGTGTCTGCATGTCCTGAGGTTAGGCTTGGTGCCGTTCTGGAGCTGATGTGTCCAGGAGCCTTCTGGCATCTCAACTAGGACCAGGCGCGCCAAGAAGAACCACGTGATAACGCGGGCCCACGGCCCTGCGCGCGACATCCCAGACATTGAAGTTTGTGAGCATCGTCGCCCGCCGACCACCTCTTCTCACTGCTCGGGTTGCGCCAGCAAAATTTGATGGATTTTCAGCGCCCGCGTCGCCAGGCTCCAGTATTCCGTCCCGCTCCCTGCCAGACTCATTGAACCCTTGCACCATGCAAGACGATACCCGCGAGCGGGACTTCCATCATCCATACGAGCCCTACGACATCCAAAAGCAGTTCATGAACGCTGTGTACGATTGCCTGGAGGATGGTAAAGTCGGCATATTTGAGTCTCCTACCGGAACCGGAAAATCGCTCAGCCTCATATGCGCATCACTGACCTGGCTTCGCAATTACAAGAGACGAAATCTCGAGGAGGGGGTCGTTGCAGATGCCGCTAACAGTGACGAGCCCGCATGGATCCTAGAACATGCCAGTAAACAGAAAAAGCAGGCAGCACTTGCTCGAAGGCAGGACCTTGAAAGTCGCATTGCCAAAATCAAAGCCAAGGAGAAAAGGACGAAAGACCGCTACAAGAATGGAGAGCCGCTGAACAAGCGACAAAAGACTGCAGCTGTCAATGGAATTGATGACGCGGACGACGAGCAATTCGCTTTGAATGACTACGAGAGTGACAACGATGGCACCAATCATCAAAAGTCACAAGGCTTGAACGAGCTCGGGCTGTCTACAGAGAATCAAATCCTCCTAGAGCAGATGGGATACTCAGCAAAGCCAAAAGATGAAGATAATAACGAGATCCCTGACGAAACGAAGATATTTTTCTGTTCTCGCACGCATTCTCAACTTACGCAATTCTCAAACGAGCTTAGTCGTGTCAAGATGCCGCCTGCTATAACTCCTGAAGCAGACAATGAGGCGGATAGCGAAGCCTCATTGATAGAAGATGTCAAACATCTCACTTTAGGCTCACGAAAGAACCTTTGCATTAACCCAAAAGTCAGCAAGCTGCGCAGTGCCACCGCAATCAATGAACGATGTATGGAGTTGCAACAGCCCAATACCTCCGCCGAGTGCAAATGTCCATTTATCCCGCGCAGAGGGAATGAAGCTTTAGTGAACGATTTCCGAGACCACGCACTCGCCAAGGTCAGGGACATCGAAGACCTGGGCACCTTGGGTAAGAAGCTCGGAATATGTCCGTACTATGCTTCACGCCCGGCGACCAAGTATTGCGAGGTGAGACTCCGTACTAAGAGCATAAAAAGCATCAACTGACGTGCCCAGATCGTGACGCTCCCGTATCCTCTACTTCTTCAAAAGTCTGCTCGTGAAGCCCTCGATCTATCTCTCAAGGATCACATTGTCATCATTGACGAAGCGCACAACTTAATGGACGCGATTGCCGGAATATATTCGGTCTCTGTCACTCTCCATCAGGCCCAAGAAGCTCGCTCTCAGCTCACAACATATTTGCAAAAGTTTCGCAACAAACTCAAAGGCAAAAACAGGGTATATGTCGCGCAGATACTGCGGCTGATCGACTCGGTCATCGCATACCTGCAGACGAAGGCGGCCAGTTCAATGACCTCCGATGGTATGGTTGATGTTCGCACGTTGCTGACCGGCAAGGGGCTTGACCAGATCAACGTCTACAAGCTTAATGCATACCTACAGGAAAGCCGCTTAGCTCGGAAGGTTGATGGGTACACCACGTATGCAGGACAGGCTCAAGACCCCAGCCAGAAAGGCACCGAACGCCGGAACTCGAGGCAGACCGTTCCCGTTCTAACCCAAGTTCAAGCCTTCCTCATGGCTTTGATGAATCCTTCGGAAGAAGGCCGCTTTTTCTACTCGTCGGACGAGGCCTCCAGTATGACGCTCAAGTACATGCTTTTGGATCCTACCTTCCACTTCAAGGATGTGGTAGAGGATGCCCGTGCTGTTGTTTTAGCGGGAGGTACCATGTCCCCGGTACGTCGATCCTACAAGAACACCATGTGCTGTTGGGGCTAAACGTAACTAGATGAGTGACTATGCAGACCATCTGCTTTCATATCTAGACTGTTCAAAGATCATGACCCTTTCATGTGGTCATGTCATACCTCCTTCAAACTTACTTGCAGTCCCGGTCGTGCAAACTCTGCGAGGAAACGAGTTCGACTTTACTTTCGAGAAGCGTAACTCGGAACAGATGGTAAGGATTCCGCGTGCCGCGCCGGAGACAGGCTAACCGCGGTAGATGATCGACCTCGCACATACCGTGTTGAGTCTCGTACAGCATGTGCCCGATGGTGTAGTGGTTTTCTTCCCAAGCTATTCATACTTGGACACGTGCACTGCCGCCTGGAAAAAGATGCGATCTACATCATCGCCGGAATCTTCCTCGCTGTGGGATTCTATCCTCAACACTAAGCCTATATTTCTCGAACAACGCAGCCAGCCGTCATCGGACAACAGTTCAGCTGCACCGGAAGATGCAAGAGATTCGGTCTTGGGTGCATACAGTAGCGCGGTTGATTTGGGTAAAGGTCGCGGCGCAGTCCTCTTTGCCGTTATTGGTGGCACACTTTCTGAGGGCATCAATTTCAGTGATGCCTTGGGCCGCGCAGTTGCTGTTATTGGGCTGCCTTTCCCAAACCCTCACTCTGCAGAGTGGAAAGCTAAGACACAGTACGTCTCCGCCAAGGCAACAGGTCAAGGACGTGACGGCAAAGCGGCTGCGCGCGACTTTTACGAGAACGTGTGCATGCGAGCCGTGAACCAGAGCGTGGGACGAGCTATCCGACATCGTGGAGACTACGCTGCCATCCTTTTGCTCGACAGGCGGTACGCTGCGCCGCGCATTCAGGCTAAGTTGCCTGGCTGGATCCGGAATAGCCTGGCAAATGGGACGGGAGTCCGAGAGGTGGAAAAACGTCTAGATACATTCTTCGCGGGGAAGAATATATAGGTACGTGCATGCACGACAGACATTGCTAGCACACCTCTTGACGATGTTAGGGAATGATGATCGTCGCGTAGAATAACAGGCTGCGGAAGTGGCGCGTGATCACCGCCCTGTTCAGATCTTTGCAAGCATGAAAACAATAATCCGAGTCAAATAAGGTGGGGAATGACTACGACATGCGTCGAACCCGCACAGCTGCATCGAACCGATTACTTCTGTTGGACTGGTGTTTCGCACAGGGAATCGATCGTCACCCACGCAAACGGACCTTCCGCTGCTGCATCTTTGTCCCACCTTCCCAACTGCCACTGCCATCGTATGGGCAGAGATCTGGCAGGCAGTCAAGACTTATTTACCAAAAGTACATCATGTACCGCTCATCGGCCAGGACTTTTACCCCCATATTGCTTCATCGCTCGCGGCTGCATGTGGAACATTCACGTCTGCTAAGCTCGTTCGTCCGTCGGCCGTGTATACGGAACCCGTGCGATTTGGTGTCTCATTTAGCGTAATTACCCTGCAGGGCACACCTCTGATAGTGAACCTTATCTCAACCAGCCAGGGCGTACCGCCCGAGACGGGTCAAGTACTAGACTGGTGGCTCGTACATGCTGCCGCGAGATTCCTATCACGTTTCGCCGTTTACGTGCTGGACGACGATAGGTACAACAGACTTGAACGAATCTCCTTCCAATCCTGAGTCAGTCTCACACCAACTACACTGACCCATGACCACCATACTCGCGTCTCCGCTGCTGCAGCGATCAGCACTTCCAGACCTCGAGAACCTCTTCGGAGACGCTACGTTTGAAGCTCAACCGACCACGCAGAGCAATACTGCGTCTCCACAATGGAGCGCACCAACGGGAGCAAACGATATGCCTATGACATACGTACACCAGCCATCGGCTGCCGATCCGCAACCGACCGACATAACCCATGATGACGAGAACCTAAGCGCCCTATACCAAGGTCTACCCAGAGACGCCAAAATCGGGATAATAGTTGGAATCGTGGTCATTGTGTCGCTCTCCTTGCTCAGCTGCGGGATGTGCTTCCTCAACTGCAGAAGACGACAAAGAAAACGGAAGGCGCGCCGCGAGAGTCGCGAAGCAGAAACGGTGATGCTGGAGATGGAGATGCGAAACAGACACGCGGAGCCGCAGCGGCGCGTGCGAAAGGGCCTTTGGGATCACTTGAAGCCGGCGGGTGGTGATGGGGCCGTCAATGCAATCCAAATGGCAGAGGCGGAAGCTCGACACGATGCGATGGAAAGAAATCCGCGAGATGGGAGGAATGATAGCATCGTGGAGACCGCGAGGAGTGAGAGTGAGAGTGTAGCGTCGCGTTCGCTGATTTTGCCGCGAGACCGGGTCAGCATTGTGTCGTCAGTACCTAGCGTTATCTCTTCGACGGGCGCGAGGCCAGCTCTGCCTCGAAGTTTTCTGGATAGTGGAACGCGGAGATAAAGGGCATAGCGCGTACATAGATCGCTTCAGTTCAGGCTGTTCCTCAATGAAACCCCATCACGATTGGCAACGCTAGCTCTCCAGCCGGGCTCTAGTACTTGTCAAATTGCGTACCCAGCTTTCCGAAATAGCTACAATGTCATCCTGATGGCGACGCGTGTAGTGACGCGCCGTATCGTGACTACGAATTGTGGATCCCTGATCCCCCGCCAACGGGCGCTATTCACGTCCCGTTGCGGGCTAGCGTGAGTCCTTCGGTCTTACGAGACACAGAAACACGTACCGTGTCTTCAACATCACAAGTCGACTCGAAAACTCCGAATGCATCGCCTCACCGAAATTGGACCCTTTGAAGATTCCTGAGGCAAGTCTACAGTATTTCGCTGGATTGTCGAGCCTGTCTCCGGAAAGCACAGCCCGTCGATAGTCGTGCCCCTAAGCGCCGGCATGCGCCATTGCGACAACATATGATGAAAAGAGCCTGAAATTGCTGTGCTACTTGACGTAGCGATTGAGCTAGCTGAACACTGGCGATGCACCCAGGATGGGGTCAGGAGGATCGGGGCGCATATACCACCGTTGCGCAGACCGAAGATGCAAGCGCGGAATTAGCAGCGCACGGGAAGGAGATCCAAAATGGTGCGCCTAGTCTTGCAAATGGTCACAGCAACGGGCAAATTGGCTCCTCTTCGGGTCCAGATCCATACGATGACACACCAACAGCAGAAGATTACGCATTGCTACCTAAAGTGGCCGACAAACTTCCCTGGGGAGCCTTCCTTGTTGCCATTGTGGAACTCTGCGAGCGTTTCGCATACTATGGTCTCTCTGGTCCCTTTCAGAATTACATGGCGAATGAATACAATGACCCGAATGGCCTCCCAGGAGCCCTAGGCCTGAAGCAATCCCGCGCAACCGCGCTCTCAAATTTCTTTCAGTTTTGGTGCTACATTACTCCAACCCTGGGTGCGATCGTTGCAGATCAGTACCTTGGAAAGTATCTGACCATCAAATACTTTTCGGTACTATACATGCTTGGAATAGTAATATTATTCGTCACAAGCTTGCCCTATTCCATTGAGCATGGGGGTGCATTCCCAGGACTCATCACCGCCATGGTCATCATTGGACTTGGCACAGGGGGGATCAAGAGCAATGTCTCCCCGCTCATTGCGGAGCAAGTACAGTCTACAAAACCTTTCATAAGGCATCTTCCAAGCGGCAAGCGCGTTATTGTGGACCCGGAAGTCACGGTGCAGCGGATCTACATGATCTTTTACATGTGTATCAACGTTGGATCTATATCTGCGATTGCCACTACAACACTTGAGCTGCACGTTGGCTTCTGGGCCGCGTTTCTCCTGCCACTGCTCATGTTTGTTGTGGGATTTTGGGTCCTCGTATCAGGGCGCAAGACATATGTAATCAAACCGCCACAGGGAGGCGTAATAAAGAACTGTCTCAAAGCCCTTTGGATCGCTGCCCGGAACCGCTTCGACCTTGACAGTGCGAAGCCGTCACTCCAAGGACCCGGCCAACAGAGGCATCGCATAACCTGGGATGATAGGTTCATCGATGAGCTCAAGACTGCATTAGTGGCTTGCAAAGTTTTTCTCTTCTTTCCGATCTACTGGCTCGCATTCTCGCAAATGATGAACAATTTCGTTTCCCAAGGTCCGAACCAACATCCCCGAAGTAAATGCACAGACTGACATCCCTCAGCGGGCCAGATGCAACTCCACGGCCTCCCAAACGACATCCTCCCAAACATCGACCCCGTAACCCTCATCGTTCTAATCCCTATCGTCGACCGCCTCGTCTACCCCTTCATCCGCACGCGCCTCCACCTCGCCCTCACACCCATCACGCGTATAACCTGGGGCTTCCTTATCGCCTCGCTCAGTATGGCGTACGCCGCTGTGTTGCAATCACGCATCTACGCCGCCGCACCCTGCTACTCCAGCCCCTCCAACTGCGACGCCGGAAAGATCAGCGAGGGCAAATACGAACCGAACCAAGTCCATGTCGCATGGCAGGCCCCCGCGTACGTCCTCATCGCGCTGAGCGAGATCCTGGCCAGTATCACCGGGCTGGAGCTCGCGTACGCGAAGGCGCCCGAGAACATGAAGAGTTTCATCATGAGCCTGTTCTTGCTGACCAGCGCGGCGGGGAGCGCGCTGGGCATCTTTATTGCGCCGTTTGGGACGGATCCGCATTTGGTGTGGTTTTATGGGGGGCTGGCGGTTGCGGCTGGGGCTACGGGTGGGGTGTTCCACTGGATGTTTAGGGGGGTGGATCGGGGAGTGGATGGGAGGAGGAAGGGGGTAAGTGTGGAGAGTGCGGAGGAGGAGATTGAGTTGTTGGAAAGGGAGAGTGGGGAGTATCGGGAGGCGGCTGAGGCGCGGTTGTAGGCTTGTTGTTTCTGCCTGCGAGGTACAGCTATCATAAATTTAGGAACCAGGTCCGCCAGCCGAGGTGTAACACTCGTGTGTCTGTATGGGCGAACTGTGCGATTCACCGAGACGCTAGAAGGCAAGATGGCGCTAGATACTCGACGTTCAGATGCCTTGCACAACGCTGCGAAACGATCAAACGCTCGAACGTGCCGCCCGACTCAAAACGAACGCACAGTCATACAACATTGTTCTCAGAACAGTGGGCGATTCGAAACAGCGGGCGTCGCTTCGCACGTTTTTCATCTATTCGATCCTGGCGCAAAGCGGCCCGCTGCAGGGTCGCTCAACCGAACCGAAGACCATTCTAGCCCAACTTTACAACCATCACAGATTCAATTGTTTCTTTGTGCATTTGCTCGGGGCGTGGGATCACAATGTGCTCATGGTTTGCTCAAATCGACTAGTATGCGATCCTAGCTCACGCCATCGCCAGTCTGGCGCCCCATGAGTGCATATGCGCAAGTTACGTACCCGACCAGCGCGAGAAACAAAACGGCACTCCGTCAGCGAGAACCGCTGCGTAAGTGGACTTGCGCGCAGTATAGTACAGGCACAGTGCTCTTTGTAAATCCTTCAATTGTGCTTCCAACTCGATGGATGACACAGCAGGAGGATGTCGCACGGTAGCCCAGTTGCCTACGTGCACGACGCACTTGCCGCACACCTAACTCCATACGAATCATTCGAATCCAATTCGATACTTCCTTCCTAGTCTCCTGTCAAAATGAGCTCTTTCCCTCGCGCCGTCCGTACTGTGCCTTTCTCTCTTGTGCTTGACCTATCACGCCTGCGTCTGTCCACTGCAAACACAACCTCCACCCCCACCCCGTGAGACAAACTTGCTCATTCCTGCGCGCTTACCTCCGTTATCTCTAGCAACGGCGTGCGATTGTGCCTCCGTGCCGACTATTCTTGTCAGCTTCTTATAGCTAGTCGTGGTGCCTGCGCTACCGATCACTTCTCTACCGCCCCCACGGCCAGCCGCATACAATGTCGCACTCTATGGATATGTCGATGTCGGGCATGGTAAGTATATACAGGAGAGTTGAGGAGTTGTGCGATGGATTGCTGACTTGTGGTTGGGTAGGATATGGGCACTGCGACGAGCACGGGCGTGATGCCCTCGGGTACTGCGAGCATGGACATGGGCGGGATGGGCGGGATGGATATGGGTGGCGGCGGTGGGAGCGCGTGCAAGATCAGCGTAGGTGACTTCCGTGCTGTGCGAGTCTTTCGGCTAACGATGGGTTTTAGATGTTGTGGAACTGGTACACCGTCGATACCTGTAAGTCGCTCTCTACGACACCTACATGTACCACGAATGCGGTTTTTTGTCGCCCAACATGTCAACCTGAGGTCCATCCCGTCATGAGATACAATTTGGGGACTGTGCCCGACAACATCGAAATCATGTGGACTGACACGAGCTAGGCTTCCTCTCTGAAACTTGGCACAACACTTCCAAAGGCATGTTTGCCGGCTCATGCATCGGCGTCATTTGTCTCGTCCTCATACTTGAGTTTCTTCGACGGGCTGGCAAAGAGTACGCAGACCACTACGCGACGTTTCCATTCACACTGACTGGACTTACACTGACTTGGCACCCGCGCTTTAGGTACGACCGCTACATCCTTGCGCAACACACTCGTTCGCTCGCAGAAGCTAGCCCCGTCCCAGACTCATCGTCTTCCGACGCCGTGAATAAGAACCCGGCAAGTTCTACGACGAGGACTGTTCCCCCGCGCTCGTTCCGCCCCACGATACTACAACAGGCCATCCGCGCCTTACTGCACATGTTGCAGTTTGCGGTAGCGTACTTCGTCATGTTGTTAGCTATGTACTACAACGGATACATCATCATCTGTATCTTCATTGGAGCGTTCCTCGGATTCTTCGTCTTCGGCTGGGAGTCGTTCAACGTGTCGCAGGGTGGTAAAGACCGAATGCAAGAGGAAGTAACGGTATGCTGCGGCTAGGAGGAGCATAGCTCACCAGAGCAACAGCGTGTACAACAGGAGGAACGCAATGCAGGGGGCATATTTCCGTTAATTTTTGTGAAGGATGGGGCACGTCTCATACCTGGCTCCTCAGATGTCTATTACGACGAAGAAGTTGCAAGGATCAGGTACATGACACCCGATGGTAGAACACGCGATGTTCTACTCGACACCTTCACCAAGACAGCATCTTTCTACCTGAACAAGTCGACTATGAACCGCTTTTGGTTGCACAAGACCAATCGGGAAGACGAAGCACCAAAGAACAAGGAAGATTCGATTACGCCCGCACCACCTTTGCGCGGTTCGGTTATATTCTAGCTCAAGGAGCGCATTCACGGAATCGAAATTGATTTTTAAATACAGACATTGCCAAGGTAGAAGCAAGTGGAGTACCGAGGCGCAGGTGTTCGAGTTCACTCTGAACCCCCTGTGCCTCTCGAATATCATGAAGCTGACTCCGGCCTTCACTTCGTCCTCTACAACCCCTGCCGATCTGCCCCTCAGGAAAGCATGATGGGATTTCCCGCTGGGTTTGTTAGCACCTGCTGCCTTCAGAACGGTGACACGGTCACTCACACTCTCCAACCGCCAGCCCCTAAGTGGGTCGATAAGTAAGAGGTTGCTTATTTGTGCTGCAAGTACATTCAGAACCAGTTCAAGACGGCAATTAAGCAGAGATACGTACTGGGCAGCTGTCACAGCCGCAGCTAGAGCCGCAGTTGCAGGTTCCGGAGGAAGCACAGCCGCAGTTGCCCATGGTGAAAGTAATGTGTGGTTTGGACTTCGAAAGACGGAAGTATGTAGACGAGCTCTTAGATCTCTGAGTGTTGTGAGGTGGAGGAATCTCCCCGCAAAGCTGGCCTCTTATATACGCCTCTCTGCGCTGTTTGTGCGGACGATCCAGCGCTCTAGATGGTCCGCACAAGTGCCTCAGCACGCTAAGAGATGCGGTGGCACGCTCTCGGCGCGCGGAGCGCCCCGTAAATGACTTCACAGGTTCGCTTGCGCGCCTGGTCATTGGCTCGGGGCTGGTTGCGAGTGGAGTTTGCGGCCGGGGGCAGAGCCGGGGGCCAGTGAGCGTTTGCGAAGGAGCGGGTGGGGTGGCGAACTTGCAACAAGGTGGGCGGTCTGGGTGGGAAGATTAGTCGTTTGAAAGGGGCGTTTGACATGCGCTGTGGGGGACGGGGGCCGGCTTTGGTAGGATGAGTACAAGCGTGGGGAGGGAAGGGAAGTGTGGCTTGCGGTTTTGAAGGGGGCGAGTGCTTGGAGATGTAAGATGCACTGGTTTCTGTGATTAATGCATGGTGTGGGGAGTGGGGTTTGCCTTTGTGCGTTTGGCAAGGGTAACTGGCACGGGTGCTGATGAGTGCGCGCAGTGGCCTTGGTGTCGAGACGGGTTTGCTTCAGTTGCTTTGGTAGTCCGCAGCGACGAGACAGACCGGAACAATGGAAGGTTTTGCCACACGAAGGCTTTCGACATTATTCTTGAATGCAGGCACATCTGGTGGATGCCATTTGTGAGACCTCGAGCTTACCCTCTCGCGTGGGGCCTGGGTTCAAGAAGGCTGCATATCAATGTGAAAGCGCTCAAGAACGCTTTACGCGTGGTCTATGAAGAGCCTCGTAGTCTTTAACAGACCTGATATAGCTTCATACGATGACTAGGAGGAAAGGTGCCTCTTGCAGCACGAGATGTAGTACTACTTTGTGATGATGAGTGTCGACATCAATCAACAGCTTTGGACCTATGAGAAAGTATAAGTAAAGCTCAAAATCCCTCACTGACAATCCGCACTTCACAGCTGCGGACACATGAAAACAGGATTCCATTCACAGTGATAGGGTCGCTTTGAAAAGCGATTTCATTCACTACATGTGGAGGCGTGCTGGCGAACTTAAAAGGACCATAAGACGATCAAACAGAGCCGAGGCCAAAACAGTCTATCTAAATTTTCATGTCCACAGACGGAGGTAAACTCCATCTAGGCTAGCAATGCGATCTTGAGCGCCATAAGGTAGCATCGGACTGAAGGTGTCATGGCGATGAACAGCACCACCACGTCTAATAACAAGGTCCCCAGCATCCTCCTCATGATACTCGCCTTGGTCATAGTACGTGCTGGATCGGCCTTGGAAGGGTATGAACACAACCTCTGCCGCTCCTGACTTTTCTTCTTCACACTCGCTTGAACTGGATAGCGCGAGAATGAAAGCATAAAAGAAGTGTCTGGGTCCGACTTGGGGCGGCCCCTCTTGTTTCCCACGTATGTTTGCCACTTGGAGGCATCGGTCGCAGCCTAATGGTAGTCTAGATACATTGATCGAATGGCTGGTGTGCTGGTGATGGTGATGGTGATAAGACGGGACAGGCAGCGACGGTGAAGGCGGTGGCCCGTGCGGTCGCGGTTGCCCCCAACGACGTCAGGGCCGCAAGCAGACAAAGCTGTGCGCCCGCCACAGCGAAGATCGATGTCTGCCGCCGCACATCCTTGATCTTGCGCCCACGCACGCTACCACGCACCCCGAGTGTTTCGCCCCAGCTGCGTCTGCTAAGCGTACTACTGTGGACAAGGTTTCCTGTCGCATACTTTCTCTTTGATCGTGCGCCCGCCGCAGACAGCCCACCATGGCCGACGCACGCGGCGAATACTGGTACCTCGACGACGGCGTCGAGCCTACCAAGATTACGGTGCCCGAGTTGCGTAGCATTCTCCTCAAGCACGGCGTACATTACCCAGCCTCGGCGAAAAAGCCCGCCCTCGTTGAACTCTTCACGGTCAACGTGCTTCCTCAAGCTGCAAAGATCCAGCGGCAAGCGGCGCGCACTGTGCGTTCCACACGCGGCATAGTCGATGTGCCTTCCAGCGCGAGCACTACGACCACCGATGACGCCGAGGACGAAGATACCCTGATTCCGCCGCCTTCAGCAGTGCGGCAGACGCCGCGGCGTAGGACGCGCGCAACCACAGCCGAACACGAAGAGGAAGAGCCTGCGCCGGCGCGCACGCCTGCACGCCGTGCGAAAACACCCTCACGAACGGTCCCGAACAAGCACGCTCGCGATGCTGATGCCGACACCGACGGGCAGCCAGCGTATCAGCGCACCCGAAAGAGCCTCGCCCCTCAGACAAAGGAGCCCACGCCAGACCCGGAAGCATGGCATCGCCCGACGGCAGACAGCCCTTTCACGCAAGAAAACCCGTTTCAGAGCGGTAGCTCGCCGGCTCCCGAGGCGCACGCGCGCGATCGTCGGAGAAAGACCATGGGATTCGAACAGAAAGAGAGGCGCAAGAGTGATGCGACCCGCAGGAGGACGTATCAGCCGCAAGTCAGCCAGCAAGACGACGGCGTGGTCGTTCCTACCCGGAAAACTTTCGAGATGCCCGTTGCTCGTGTCAAGAAGGAGCAAGCAGTAGTTGCAATGCCGGATAGCGGCGACGAGGGCGAAGAGTACACACCTGAGGAGCAGTTGGAACTGGTTCGGGAACGTGCTGAGAATGGCCAGGTGGATATCCTGCCTCCACGACGACGCAGGGATCCCTCTAAAACGGCCAGCACTGTCCAGGCCTTTTTGCTGACGCTCTTCGCGACCGCATTCGCCCTGCTTGGTGGAGTCTGGCGGGAGGAGAAGTTCGCGATCGGCTTCTGTAACACCGGCTCTGTTGCTCCGACAGCCATCGCTGGGGTCGAAATCCCAGAGTTTGCGACTGGGCTTCTTCCTCAGTGCGAGCCATGCCCGCCCCATGCATACTGCTACCCCAAGCTGCAAGTCGAGTGCGAGAAAGACTTCATCAAGAAGCCCCACCCGCTGTCCTTTGGAGGCTTACTCCCTCTGCCTCCGACCTGCGAGCCCGACACCGAAAAGACGCGCAAGGTCACCCAAGTCGCCGACCACGCCGTGCAAATGCTTCGGCAACGCCGTGCACAATACGAGTGCGGTGAGGAGGACGCCAAGGGCAACGTGGTCCAAAGCCCTGAGGTAAGCGTATCAGACCTCAAAGAGGGATTGCTAGCCAAGAAGAGCAAAAGCCTATCGAATGCCGAGTTTGAAGACCTATTTGCCAAAGCTCTCGGCGAGATACCGGCAAGGCAGGAAGTGGTCGAGCAAAGCGACGGGTAAGTTTGGGACTCCTTTATATTCCTATAATCGTATGTGTCTGACCGCACTGTACTAATCAGATCTCTTGCTTCTAATACAGAACTACCGGAGAACGACGACTCGCTTCAACATCCCTTGCAGAGCTCACCCTTGCCTGTAGTATCCGAAGATCCCTTAGAGAGTCACTGGAACGACATATTCTCGAGATTGTAGGCCTCGTCCTATTCATCGCAAGCGGGGCGTACGGCAAGCACACCATTACGTCCAACCGAGCTCTCGAAGCTCACGCGAAGCAACTGGCTAGCGATGTCTTCGATCGCCTGGCCAATCAGTCCGCCCTGGCCCAGCAAGAACCAGGCGCATACCAGGATCGTGGGCTTAGCATGAACCAGCTCCGAGATGACGTTCTACGCAATGAGTTCTCGTCTTCGCGGCGCATGAACCTCTGGAAGCGGGTGCAGAAGAAGGTGGAGCACAATTCGAACATCCGCGCTGCGGTACGAGAAGGTGCTAGCGGCGATGTCACGCGCATGTGGGAGTGGATCGGACCTGTTCGGTTGCTGGAAGATGGGTACAGCAGTGGGAAGCGCGACGGTGGACGGCGCAGTCTGGGCTGGACATCGACGCCCGGTAGCAGTCCACCTGAAGTCAAAGACATGAAGGAGGGCCAGCGTTGGGACGACGGCCATCCGCAGTACTAGTCTGCTCTTCTTTTCGTGTCCACGTTATCACGTTTTTTTGCCGCGTCGTGTGTGTGGCGGGTTTTCGGAAAGACTTGGGCGTTCAATGATACCACAGCTTATCTTTTAGCCAGCTACTCAATTTGTCTTCCACTCATTTCCAGCTCTCCTACCTCACAGCACGCAAGCAATGTGCACCCTAGATTGCCTCGATTACACTCGTATCCAAAAACGTCTCCAGCTCCGCCCGCGACATGGGCGCGCGCCGGTCGCTCTTTGCGAGCATCGCGTCCTCGTCGACCAGCAACGGCATCAGCTCCTCGTCCTTCCACGTCCCGCTCCACTTGTGGTCCGCCCAGACAGCTTCCACGACTTCAGCGTCCATGCCGACTCTGTCGGCGACGAAGCTGTACACGCTGGCGTTGGGGTGATTGTACACCTCGAGTGTCTGGTTGAGCGCGCGCACGAAGGCCACGATGTCGGCGCGCTTCTTGGGGTCGGCCAGCTTGTCGGTTGTCGTGTAGAGGCTGTAGACTTCGCGGTAGGTGGTGGCTGATTTCGCCGGGGGTCAGCTACGCACCGCAGACGGCATGAAGCAAGGCCATGGGAGGAAGAGGGAAAGGGGGTATGCATACCGTTCTGAAACACAACAGCGTTGTCCTTCCCAATGGCCCGGATGCCCAGCTCCACCGCCGGCTCCCAGATGCCAAACGCATCGACCTGTCCGCCCTTCAACATGGCGGGCAGAGTCCCGCTCCCGCACGGCGCCTTCATGCACACATTCCCGCTCACAATACTATATGCGCCGTCGTTGACCCCAGCCGAGGCGAGCATGCGCTGCACGAAGATGGCGGCAGAGGTGCCGGGCATCGACCCGATTTTCTTGCCCTTGAGGTCGGCAAGGGATTTTACATTGGCCGGGGAAGAGGACCGCGCGACGAGGCGGTACGACACTTCGGTGATGATGTAGATGAGGCGGAGCGACTTGTGATTGGCGTATTGCTTGAGGCCTTGGGTTTCGGCGTTGGCGGCGAGGTCTGCGGTTGTCATTAGCTTTTCAACCTGTTGGCTTGTATGTTGATGGATGGGATGGGATGGGTGGGCTGTGTGTACCGATGCTGGAGTCGGAGGCCAAGTTGGCGACGCCGCCCGAGGAGAGCGTCGCGGGGGAGGAGCCTTTGTAGAAGTTCTTGATGGCGTAGGCCTGGGGCGTGTGCTCAATCCATTGGAGGGAAGTGGCGATTTTGAGGGCAGAGATGTTGGGGAGGAGGGCGAAGGGGAGGAGCAGGTGTGTGAGGTACATGGTGAGCAAGTGATGGGTTTGGGAAACCGGATTGGAGATTGGGATGGCATTTTCGAGATGCTTGTGAACTTTATTCGGTTCCTGCAACTGCTGATTGTCTTGCTTTCACGCTGTGTTGTTTATGTCTGATATGAGCAGGGATGTTGGTTGTCTGGAAGATGCTTTTCATATGCTGCGCGACTGTGCGCACAACTGCCGAAGAATAAGCTAGTTATTGTTGCCAAAAAGGCAAGAATGCGATGCTTCCCTTTTTACAATGGCGTATGTTGCCGTATGAAATGTGTCCAATAGGACTTGTAACATTGCACATGAGACCCTAACTTGGTAAAACATCCATATGATGGCGTTGGGGTAATATGCCAAGCGACATTGAGACCTTCCTTAGTGATAGCAGAAACCCATAGAACCATAACGCCGACGCATGCACCCCGCAGACCCACGTTCGTGGACTCTTGCGTGTAGGCGCATTTGTGCCTAGTGTGCCTGTATCCAGCCAAGCATTAGACCGTACGCCTGAGTCTGTGCCTGCTTGATTTTCGAGTCATCGTAGTCCCCGTAGACCGCGAAGCCGTGAGGCACACCCGAGAAGACCTGAACCTCATGTTCGACCTGGTTCTTCTCCAATGTTTGCCGTCCGGGAGTGAGAACCTCCTCTTCTGGGAACAGCGGGTCGTCCTTGACTGCGACGATGTACATGGGCGTCTTCACTGCTTCCAGGTCTTCTTTCGTCACCATCGTGCCATGAGCGATGGCTCCGGCCTTGATGACAGGTGCTTTCTTCACCGTGCCCTGTTCCTCATCCTTGGGTGCTTCTTGACCCCAAGCTACTGTGTCTGGATGCTCACCTGCCAGTATGAGGATATACTTGGCACCGAAGCAGTAGCCCACGCCATAGATGCCGCCCCCGTTGGCAACCGCATCAGCGAACTCTTCTTTCGCGCCCTCGACTACCTTGTGCAGAATCGGCATGACCTTCTCAGGTGTATGCCTTGCGAGCCACATATCAATCATGAAAGACTTGATACCCTCGGCACTCTTCATCTTGATTGTTTCGAGCCATGACGCGTCCTTTGTGAGCTCGGCCATGTTGACCGTGTTGGGAGCGGGGTCATTGTCGAACTGGTCTGGCATAACGACTAGGTAGCCCTCGGCGGCATATTTGTCGGCCTGGAGCTGGTTGTTCGTAGACTTGATACCGGTACCGCCTGTAAGGAGCAGCAGGAGCTTGGAAGGTGAATGCGGATAGTCTGAGGGCTTCGTTACGTATACGTCGACACCGCCGAGCTTCGTCAATTCACCAGAGGGTACTTCACCCTCTGGCGTAGGCCTGTCTGTTGTGCAATGTTCCTAGAGATTATCAGCGAGAGCATACCAACTGCAGCCGCTACCTGCTTACACCCATGGTTGGACCTTCCTGGGCTATGCTGTCGCCAGGAATGGGGCTCTGGCCTGGCGCAGCGGGAGAAGGCACATGAAGTGCGGGTGTTTCTTGCGCATCGCTCTCGGGCGCTCTGGTTGCAATCTCGTTGTCGGCCATGATTGTTCTGGAATTGTTTCTGTTGCTGCTGCGAGTCCACTGTTGCTTGGTTGTGAGCTGAGGGTCCGGCCAATTACGTAGCCTAGCTTGGCTGCGCCTGCCATTAGTGCGGGGCTGGCGCCTTCCATTTTCATCACGTGAAATACTTTACGCGTCGACGCGTCGCGCAGGCAAGCACGACCGCCCGCCTCTCCACTCTCCACTTCCGCACAACACAACACCCACGCGTTACTTTATCCCGACGTGTGTGTTACACCTCAAATATGGCAGAACAAGCAATCACACAAGGTGCTATCAGGTATGTGTTCCTGCAAAGTGTGGCAACATGCCAGCTAACACCATTGCAGGAGCATCTTCGAATCCAGCGGCCCTTCCGTAGAACATCCGGTGCTGCAATGCGTGCAGATAAAGACGATGGATCCCAAGGGGGGAGAAGGTGGCAATGTCCAGCGCTTTCGTGTTGTCCTCAGTGACATCCGAAATTTCATTCAGACCATGATCGCGACGTGTGAGTGGATGTCGTGTGCGAATCCATTTGTCATGTGCTGACACTTCAAAGCGGCAAACGACATAGTTCTTTCTGGAAAGCTCAAGAAGGGCTCCATTGTTCGGCTTCTGAAGTTCAACCCGCAGCAGGTGAAGGAGAAGAAGATTCTCATCATCATGGACTTAGAAGTCCTTGACCAGTATGGCGAACATGACAAGATCGGTCAGCCGGAAGCGCTCGAGATTGTGAAATCGGAGCCGCAACCCGCCGCCATCTCCGGGGGCGGTTTCTATGGCTCGCGACCCGAGCAGCAGCAACAGGCACCGCAGCAACAACAGCGATCGCTTCCCGTCCATCAGAACAACCAAGGTACCTCCACGCACCCGCATCTGTACCCCATTGAGTCGCTGTCTCCGTATGCACACAAGTGGACGATCCGCGCGCGATGCACACACAAAGGCGATATAAAGACATGGCACAACCAAAAGGGCGAGGGAAAGCTGTTCTCTGTGAATTTGTTGGACGATACTGGCGAGATTCGCGGCACGGGCTTCAACGACGTTTGCGAGCGACTGTACCCAATCTTCGAGGAAGGCGTGGTGTATTATATCTCTGCGCCGTGCAAGGTGACACTAGCAAAGAAGCAGTTCTCAAACCTACCGAACGACTACGAGCTCCAATTCGACAGGGACACAGAGGTTGAGAAGGCTGAAGATCAAGACAACAAGCCCCAAATTCGGTACAACTTCACGAAAATTGGGGACCTTAACAACGTGGAGAAGGATACTACCATCGACACTATCGGTGTGTTGAAGGAAGTCGGCGAAGTCAGCACGATCACGTCCACAAAGACCAACAAGGACTTCAGCAAGCGAGAGCTGACACTAGCTGATGACAGTCAAACGTCTGTTAGGCTCACAATATGGGGTAACTCAGCTCAATCGTTCGAGGCGCCTCTGGAGTCTATAATTGCTTTTAAGGGCGTCAAAGTTAGTGACTTTGGTGGCCGAAGTCTGAGTCTGCTGAGCTCCGGAAACATGACCATCGACCCCGATATCGATGAGGCACATAAGTTGCGTGGATGGTTCAACGCTGCTGGTCAGAATGTAACGTTCTCGACCCATCAAAACATGGCGTCTGCAGGTGGCGGTCAGAGGAACGAGACTAAGCTCATCTCTCAGATCACGGAAGATGAGAATTATCTACAGATGGACGCGCCCTCATACTTTAATCTGAAGGCATCTGTCGTCTTCATAAGGAACAGCCCTACGTTTGCGTACCCGGCCTGCTCTACTGAAGGCTGCAACAAGAAGGTCATCGAAGAGAACAGCGGCGAGTGGTGGTGCGAAAAGTGCCAGAAGAAGTGGCCTGAACCGTTGTTCCGATATGTCCTGGGCATCAACGTCTCTGATCACACCGGTCAGATGTGGTTAAGCTGCTTCGACGACACGGCCCGCACAATCATGGGCATGTCGGCCAATGATCTCATGAAGCTTAAGAACGACAGCGAAGAGAATTCTACCCAAGACTTCAATACTGCTATGCAGGAGGGTACATGCAGGACATTCAACTTTAGGGTTAAGGCCAGGATGGAGACGTACAATGACCAGCCCAAGTGAGTAATGCTGCACATGGCGCTTGACATTCGGCTGACAATGATACAGGCCTCGGTACCAGGTGATGGGGATCAGCACACTCAACTATGCCCAGGAAGCCAACAAGCTTGCGCAACTCATCAAGCAGTACGACATGGACGGTGACAGCTTGTTTGTATCATAGAAGAATGGGCTGGATGTGCCGAGGCTGGAGCCGGTCTTGTGTTGCTGCAGTTTTGCCATGGCGCGAAGTCATTTGAAAGTCGCGGTATATGAAGACGTGCGACAAACGTTGACCATTCAGCAGTTGACAGGATTGTAGCTATATGACTGTGTTAATGTCACGTAAATGCATTGAAAACGAGCCTTTCTGCTTGTCAAACTTCCTGATTAGGCATGTTTACTTAGTGTCGTTCGCAGTGGATCAGCCTCCTGCTCACTGTACAGTGCCAAGGCGCCCGCGCGCTAACGGCAAATCGCTGACTAACGCGGGAGCCGAGCCTCCGCACACACGAAAATTAGACGAAGCCAACACCTATTCCCACCAACGCCTCCCCGTCGCCCTCTCTAACCGACACAGCAAAATCAGCCAAGATGGTGAGTCTCAAGCCTTTTCTCATACAAAGCGCAGCTTTGCACAATTGCGACACGACGAGCGATACGTGAACACCTGCCGACCACGAACCTCGCCTCCGAGAACCCGATACGACCATCTTAGGGAACATATCAGACGACATCGCGAAAGAAGGGATGCTGGGCGAAACAGGTGCTGCGAGTTGAATGTGTGCATAAGGAAAACAAGGGCGTGTGATTGAAGATGGCGGTTTTGGTGTCGAATTTCTGCCACGAGCGCAAAAAACCGCGTATCCCCGCCATGACAATGAAGGTCGACTTGTCTCGCATCAATACATTGCGATCTTGTCTCCGACATACTATTTTCCTGGGGCACTCGCGATGTGTCAGCGCCCACCAGGTCATCGACAGCCCACCGCATCGATTGCGAATGTCCACACCTCTTCAGCTCGATAATCGCTCGCTCGTGTCGCAATCGTCCTTAGCTCGCTCGAGAAAATACAAACGGTGGCCGTGATATTGGGAAATCCTAAGCTAACTTTCCGCGACAGGTCAACGTACCCAAGACCCGACGAACCTACTGCAAGGGCAAGGACTGCAAGAAGCGTTAGTTCTCAGCCCTCGGCCGGAATGGCATTGCCCATACTGAGACTTCGCAGACACCCAGCACAAGGTCACCCAGTACAAGGCCGGAAAGGCTTCGCTGTTCGCCCAAGGAAAGCGTCGTTATGACCGCAAGCAGAGTGGTTATGGTGGTCAGACCAAGCCCGTCTTCCACAAGGTACGATCGACGCGGTGATTCTTGTTACCTTCGCTCACAGTATCGCAGCGTGCGAAGACCACCAAGAAGGTTGTGCTCCGTCTAGAGTGCACTGCCTGCAAGGTATGATTTACTCCTAGCCATTAACTCAGGACGCATCTGACAATCACAGACCAAGGCACAGCTCGCTCTTAAGCGATGCAAGCACTTCGAGCTCGGTGGTGACAAGAAGACGAAGGGTGCGGCTCTTGTCTTCTAAGCGTGTTCCTTGTTCTCTCTTTTGCTGGGCCCTCGGCGTAGTCTTCTGGGGTGGATAGGGACGGGACGGCTTTCCCATTCGACACATACAAGCATGGTGGAGCAGCGAGGGCGGTTCTGCGGATGAAAACATGCCGGTCACGAATATTACGGACTGTAACCTACAAATGCATCAAATGGAGCTCGATTGAAGGCCCTCATGTAACCACTGTTGACCTTTTGGTTGTATTGAAAGTGATACTCGCGCTCGTTTCAGTCGTGTCTTCACATACAAGCGGGGTATTGCGCAAGAGTCATTGGGGAAGCGGGCAGCCCCGCTCAAATCACGCCGCACACGCCTGGGTTAGTACATGGCATAGTTTGACTTGATAAAACATAGGCAACCCAACGTCTTCTGCTCTTTTATCCTTGACATCCCATCATGACTAGTTCATCAAAGAAGAGTGTCCTGATTATCGGAGGTGGAGCGGTGGGAGCCATTGCTGCATTGAACCTTGAAGTCGGCGGACTTGCGAGTGTTACTCTCGTACTACGATCGAATTTCAACGCGGTAAACGAGCATGGTTTTGATATCAAATCATGCGATCATGGCAGGGTCAACAGCTGGAAGCCGAGCGTAGGTGAGACTCCCATATGACGATATTTCTCTTGCCATTGCTCGCCGATTATTTTCATTGCATAGTTGTGCTCTTTCGACGGTATCTGGCTTGGACTACTCCAGTGTCAATTCATGTTTACCGTCCTTCTTGGAATTAGCAAAGCTCTACTACCTTGCAGTCACCTTCACCTTGTCAATTACTAGTCGAAAATCTCAGCTTTCTGGTGTCTACCTCACCCCTCTAGTCCTTGGTAGTATAGAGATGGTTCCGAACGAATAATACGCACTATCGTCAACCGGCCATTTAACGATGCACCCAACGCGAATCACCATCCAATGAGCACTCAGAAAAGCTAACCTTATCACACAGTCCGCAACTCAATTCCCGATATCGCGAAAGAGTCTCTCCCATCGTACGACTACATCGTCCTCTGCACGAAGAATATCCCAGACGTTCCGCCCACAGTAGTCGATCTTGTTACGCCTGCCTTACCCGAAACCAACACGCACACCACCCTGATTCTCCTCCAGAATGGCCTCCACATCTACAGACCATTCTTGGAAACTCATCCCCAGACACCCGTGCTAAGCGGTATTTCCATGATCGGCAGCGAAGAGATTTTCCCCGGACAGATCATCCAAGACGAAGGCGACAAGCTCATCATCGGCGCATTCCCGAATCCCAACATCGATCCCCCTACTTCCGCAGCGCTCGAATTCGTCAACATCTACAAGAACGGCGGAAAGACGGACTGCAAGCTCAGTGAAGACGTGCTACACGATCGATGGCGGAAGCTCGTCTACAACGCGTGTCTGAACCCGATCTGCGCGATCCTAGGCCTAGATACAGGAAGACTGAGACTGTCTGCGGATGGAGAGGTGGTAGAGCACTTAGTTCGGCCGGCGATGTGGGAGATTGTGGAGGCAGCGAGGGCGAATGGGGTCGTGCTTGACGAGGATGTGGTGCAAAAGATGATCGATGCGGACCCGCTGCAGAGCTACCTGAACCCTTCCATGCTCGCAGATGTGAAGAAGGGGAATCTCATCGAGCACGAAAATTTGCTAGGTGAGCCGCTGAGGGAGGGGAAGAAAGCGGGTGTCATGATGCCGAAGATTGAGATGTTGTATTACATGGCGAAAGGGATTCAGTGGCGGACTATGGAGGTGAGGGGGATGGTGGAAATCCCGCCGAAGAATGTGTAGCTGCCTTGGGCAACCTCGAAGTAGAAGCTGAGTAGAAGCATTCCCATCACCTAGCTATGTGGCACTGTTCTTCTCGACGAGGTTTGTATCGTGTGGTACTGGAGTGGGTAACGTTGGAGCCGCGCAAAACGAACTTCTACGTTGAGCCTCTACCCATGTTTTTGACGGGATCCGGTAACACGCGATACAGCCGTTAGATACACGCACCCAAGGAACTCTGAGCCTCATGCAGGGAAAACCGCCTCGGCACGCACACGCCAGCTGTGCATCCGTTCCTTTGTGGCTCTAGACATTCCTTCCGCTAGGTATATGCTGGTAGCGAGGCGTGAGGAGCGATCTGGCCACAGCCTGTAGATTCACTTAGTCTCTGACATGCTCAGGTTCTGGGTGTCAGTACCAAATGAGCTGAGTTCAGATTTAAACCTACCTATACTGGTCGGATACGCCCATTCTCAACAAGCGGCTTCTTCCCCGCAACCCACAACCAAGAATGAGGAAGCGTCTCAAAGTAGTGCCCACTTCGGCAGAATAGAATAATTTGCAGTAAGTCTCCCAGTCACTCATTCCAGCCTCAAGAGAAAAGAGCACTCTATGCCTACCTTAGCCGACGTACCTGCCGCAACCGCCCGTGATGTCGGGCTGCTGGTGACAAAAGCGTCATTTCGCAGTGAGTACTGCTCCCTTGCAAAAGACAAGTCTCCCTCCAACTCTTATGGTGAGGAGGCATTTGTCTTTCTCGTCAGACGTCCGAGGTCAGACCAGTTCACATGTACTTACACGCAGACAGGCTTGGCATCGGAGCTCGCCTCAATGATCGCAGAAGCTATGCAGACAAATGAGGAGACCGGCGAACCAGAATGCATCCTTAGCACCAACGATCTCTGCAATCTTCGCTTGGTCAACAGGCAGACTGCTGCCTATGTCCAGCGCACATTTGCAGTACGGTTTTTTCGACATCGCAAACACCTGTTGTCGGAGCACGGTTTAAACGCACTCATTCGGATTGCTAGACATTCCGTCTTTTCGACATACGTTCAAAAGCTCTCCCTAGGGCCTGAGCGCATGTCCAAGCTCATCCTCCCACCCGCTCTCGAACCCGCAGGAGTAATTAAAACACCCTACATCATCGCCCAGTCACAATCACAGTCGTCGGATGCAGAGGCATCCTACATTTCTTTGCATGGCAAGAAAATGCACGACGCTTGGTCTCTATGGTATAGGGTGCGAATTGGAGAACAAGAGGCTTTCCACAACAGTGATAGAGGGACCCTTCTATTGAAGGAAACCTTGAGGCACTTTACCGACCTGCGAGTGATAAGCATCGAATCTTATCCCGGAACTAACACGGATAGAGGGTACGACGGCCCTTGGAGCAATTGGACGCTTCCTTGGGGGGCGAACACTCTTGTGCGGGAGCTGGACTCCATAATCACACCACATCGCGTGGATGCTCGGAGGTTATTCTACGATGTCGATCCGGACATTGTCAACTGGCATCTCAATCCAATACTCGAGGCTTTGGAAGTGATAAAAGGTCGTCCGAACTGGAGAATGGAATTCTACCTCAACTCGGGTGAGAAGTACGTCCAAGCAGGATCGCCTTTCAATATCGATTCACTCTGGTGGCAAGCTTGTAAGGGCCGTGTCCAACATGTCCACCTCCATCGCTCGATACAAACTATGGAAAAGGTGTACGATAGAGCAAATTGGCTCACTAAGCTGTTGGAGAGCTGTGGGCGATGTGTAGAGGAAATGAGCTGCCAAAACACATTCTATTGGTCGAAGATCGTCTGCAATGCTCCCCTGCCTGCGCTGCGTCGTCTGAACATCCATCACGCTACTGTCCAGGACATGTACTTCGACACGTTCCTGGAGCGGCATGCTGAGTGTCTCGAATCAATCAACCTCAGCCGTGTCGGGTTGTCTATAATCGATTTGCGGCAGGTGCATGAGGATATGTATCCTACGGTTGTGCTTCAAGCAGCCAAGTACGAGCGCGAAGATGCCTCCTGGAGAAGGAAGTTCAAACTCATGTTAAAGCTTGTACAGCTCCGCAGCATCCAGCTAGAACATTTGACATGGGTGCATGGTAGCTTAGGGTTCTCACACAAGAGGATCCCACAGGTGGTTGGATCGACCGACTACGGGAGATGGAAGACGACGGTCATGGCTGAAGGTGAGGATATCAAGACTCTTCTGAATCAAGCTATTCGCGACGACAAGATCACGCTTGTATGGTACGAGGAGGATTGGGTATGGGAAGTGGTCTTTCTAGAGGAGAAAGAGTCAGTCAAGATGGCGGTCATGGAGTCGCTGTTAGTTCGAAGTGTTGTAGGGTGAAGAGTTGCGGGAAGGAGATCGCTCTGTTGGGGTGCGGGTTGGGATATCTGGGTTTTGAATGCGACCGAGTATCCTGGCTGTTGTTCTATTTGTATCAGCAGATTTACTAAATCTAAATAATAATCTTTACAAAACCTGCTGGCAATGCCTGCATCACTGTGGTGCAGCTGAGAGCTGTACTGCACCTTTGGAGCCTTCGCGTTATGCGTGCAAGACACACCAAACCAGGTGTAGCGCATTGCTCAGGATCTTAAGCACATCCATCTTTACGTCAATTGACCCTGTGTTTGACATCATATAGTAGCATCTGCCAGTCGAAAGAACCTGGCCCCAGCTTGTGTCGCGGAGGAGATGTCCTCCAGTTGTTCACCATATTGCTCAAAGATGCAATAAGTCGCTTCGCTTCACACCCGTACCTGCCATGCTTGCAGCGAGAGGTGTTTTAAATGATGTTACCAACGCAAATAATTGGTGCACAATCTGGCTGCCCGCGATCTTGAACATGATCAAAGGTGCCTTTGTGCTTAGGTTTGTGCCTCTGGCATCGGTACTACATGTCCCCTAACGCATACAGAGTGTATCTCAAGCCAATAAACGCACTAAAACAGCCGTCTTCGATCGTCTATCTCCTGGAATGAGAGATTATCGGGGCAGCGACTCTCATCGTGCAAGCCATGTTGAGCTACCAGTGCGTGGCAAGTCCAAGATTGCGATGTAAGTCATTGTTATTTCCACGCTGCAACAAATATACCGCCAGTAGCTCAAACGAGTGCAGGTAGTCAAGATTGTGTGTTGAGGCAATTCTGACCGGGATCTTGGAGATGGCCTCGAAAAAGTCGACGGGCCCACGAGCAAGTTCTGGGTCAAAGACGGCATGAAGTGAAGCTGTCTGTGCACTGACGGCACAAAGAGCCATCGAGAGCATATATGACGGACTAGTTGGGTCAGGGATTCCATCTCTCCAACGCACCTATAGATCATCTTCAAGAAGGAAGGGAAAGTAGCATTGATACATGATGTCGCGTTAAATCCTGACCAAGCGCCGGGTCTAATCGTTCGATATAAAGTCCTAATCTGAGTTTGAGAATGAGGAATGTTCCTGGTCATGTGGTGTTCCAATAGCGTGAGAGTACTCAACGGGTTGTGCAGTTTCAGCGGCGGTAATCATTAGAAGAAGGCATGAACCCTACGGTGGGGCGTATCACTAAGACAATGAACACATACTCTTTCACCAGCTCTGGAAAAGATACCCGAGGTTCTTTCGCGTCACACCATCAGTCCTACTTCTCTCAGCTAGATGTGATATGTAGCCCTTGACACTGCACCGGAGGCACTTGAAGTAGTCGTCGTCGTCGTCGTCGTCGTCGTCCAGTTCGCGTTACGGGCCCCGATGTCAGCCCAAGACACATATTCCACAGATGAGCATGTGGACATCTAGAGTGATCTCGTCGGTACACAACATCAAATTCACTCCTGATTGCTTCACGTTATAGCGCCGCACAAGCTGCTCATATTTCTTAACGGCCCGTCCAATACCCTTGCCGTTGAGCAAAAGAATCATTCGAAATAGCTCTAAGAATAACCTGCTCCACAGGTCGCATCCACAGCCGCAGGACAAGACACCAGCACCTCGACGACAATCACCTCGCTTGCAAATCTTTACATGCCCATGGCGCAGGGCTAACGATGGATATTCAGTCTATGAAGAACTATATACAGTCATACAAGCCATCTCCCATATTTCCTACCCGTCAATCTCGAGCCCAATCTAGAAGGCCGGCTTCGCGTTCTTGAGCAGCTGTTCAAAGTACGCCTGGTTCCACTGGCCTGCCTCAGGGCTGGGCTTGAACGCATCATCGTTACCGCAGAAAGAGTCGTATCGCGTAGCAGAAGTGTCGCTCGTGCCGTCGGACTCACCGCCGGGCTTGCCCCAGACGAAAGCGTCGACGAGCTCCGCGCCAGTGCTGGATGTGGGGCGCACACCGAAACCTGCGCCCTTGACGTTGCACCAGTGACCCCATTCCTTGCGGAGGCCGGTGACGGCGTTGCTGGGGAAATGTTAGTGGTCTGCAGGGGGAAAAGAGGAAGGGTGGGTACGTACCGGCCAGTGTCGACGATGGCGTGGTTGGGGTGGCCTGCGGTCTTGAGGGCGGCACCGAAGAGCTCGGTGTAGAGCTTCTCGTTCTGGGCCTTGTTCCACTGGGCGTCGGTGGCCTTGGAGAACTCACCGGGGGTCAAGTCGCTGCGGACAGTCAGTTGCCTTGCTCCTACAGCGCAAGCTGTGTGTTACTTACAAGGCGTTCCAGCCGGCAATGTTGGTGGAAATACCACGGACCTGGCTGGGCGAACCCGCAGCCTTGTACACCTTCGCAAGCCCCTCGGCACCGGGCTTGAGGTTGTCGTTCCAGCCGAGCCAGCCTCCGTGGCCAGCGTCGACGTACATGACGACGTTGGGGAGATTAAGGGTCTTGAGCGCGTACGCGACGCCCTCCTCGTAGCCAGACTTAGACTGCTGGCACGCGGTCTCGTCGATGTTGGTGACGAGGTTGGGCAGGGAGTCGGGCTCGATGATCAAGGCGAAGGCCTGGTTGGGGTGGGCCTTGAGGATGCCGGCGATGACTTTGTCTCTGCTTAGCTGTGCGTGTATGTGTAGAGGGTGAGAACCTACCATCGATGTACTGGGTCTTATATTTGTTGATCTCGCCGACCGCGAGCTCACCGTTAGAAGCCTTAGCAGCACAGTCACGTCCGGGAAGATCGTAGATGACAAGACCCAGGATGTTCTTGCAGGGAATATCAGTGGCAAGCTCAGTCTTCAGCTTCTCGATGTTGGCAATGGTGTCGAGCCAGAGGAATGACCCGACATTGCCGACCTTGGCGGCGGCGGTGGCAAGGCTCTTGTCGCTCAAGTTCTTGACGGCCTCTGCAACCTCAGCCTTGTAAAAGGAGTTGGCGTGGAGGGTGTAGGACTTGAAGACGTTCTCGCTGCCGCTGAGCTTGACCGCGGAGGTGCAGGCCCTCTTGTTCACAGATTGGGAGGGAAGGGCAGAGGCGAGGGTGGCCAAGGCCAGGATGGAGGTTGAGGTCTTCATGGTTGAGGATTGTGGTGAGGCAGGCCTTCGATGTGATGAGTTGATGGCTTGGATATCGAATTGAAACGGACGACGAAGGTTTATATATTCAGGACACTGGTAGGTACTTTCGCCCTGCCGTACGATTCATTTTGCCCAAGTCGACTTGATTGCAGCGTTGGGTCAGTGCACGGGGTTTGTTTTCCGCCCATTGATTACCCCAGGAAGCGCAAGGTCACGTACGTGAGCCCGCTGAGCCTCATGATGGGGTAACATCCCTTCGATAGGAGGAAATGTTCTCCACTCCACACTTTGGAGGCTGGCGTGCTCAGCGGCGACCGGACCGTATTCGAGTCGAATGTAGAACCGTGCCCGTGGAAGAATAGAAGTCTCATGGAAACAGCTTCGATGATATATTTCTCTGGGCAGCCCACCTTTTGTATCAAAGATCTTCTTATTCCTCGACATATCGAGAGGGTACGGCGCGTACCTCCAAGATGATAGGTACAGAGCAGTACAAGGAGGTTTACAGCCCCTGCACGAAAGAAGACCCAAGGCGGAGGGCAGGGCCGGCTGAGATCCAGGATCCCTCGCAGTGTTGTTTACAAGTTCTTGGGACCCTATATCTCGTGACAGTGGAATTCCTGGGTTGCGAAGCTTGATCTGATGTTTCAAATAAAATTCGGCGATCCGTTGCCGTTTGCGTAGCAAATCGGCACTCCGGGTTCTGAACAGGGTATGGCGGGACTGCAAGCCTAAATTGTCTTGTGACGACAAACCGCAAACTTTCCGGGTAAACTAACTTAACTCACTTAATATCCATAGAGCCGCCAGCCGATCGATGTCTTGGCGAGAAAGTCGATGGTATTTCCTAATTGACAACCGCATGGTCGGAGCATTTTGCGCGTTCTGTGGATGTAGCCGCACTATATGGCTCGGAGGCGTGCCGAGATCGTGGATCATATGTCTCACAGATGTGCACGCATGCGTAAGTCCACGGGCTTTTAGACGTTCTGTATCAAATCTGAACATAAGGTCGAGTAGGCCTCACATAGGATGTATATTGAAAGTCACATCTCATGTAATAACGTGTGCTTGGTATTTGAATCGATTCTGGGCACTGTCTGATCAATATGCCGAGCCTTGTCTATCATCTATAGCGCGTACCAAGTCAACAAAGCGCCACTAAAAGCTAGTTGTAGGGGGGAAGACGGAGGGTGGGGAAAGTTCTGGGCAGGGAATTGCGTGGGTGATCGTATTGGTAAGGATTTGACTTACAGTTCGCACCCATAGCCTTCCGCAGCTTCATCTCAACTACATCCGCCTTAAGGTCGTGCTTGTCACTGGTCTGTACCTCCACCGCGTACGTCCTGATAACTTGCTTGACCTGTCCGCTTTGAAAGCTCATCTTTGCTTTCCGCATGATCTTCGTCTGAGGACCTACATTATTAATGTTAACTCAAAATTATCTTCACTTGGAAGTTTCCCTGGTGCGAAATCTCATATAGGCCCAGCATCGCACTTACCCGCCCAGACGACGAAGCAGAATTTTGTTCGTTCGGAATATTCATCGTTTCCCAGTTTCATGCGAACATAAGCGTATGCTGCCTCATCGTCTCCCAGCGTCTCGGTCATTTCCGCGATATCGCCGGTGCCGGTTTGAGCAAGTTTCAAGGAATCCGACGTAGCAGACGCATACTTGAGAACTAGCCACGTGGTCTCTGATTTGTCGGAACGCACATCCTCGTACGCTTGCGCGATGTCGGGGTCTGATAGGATGTCACCCGGTGGGGCCATTGTGGTTGTTGTACAATTTTGACAGGGCTTTTGCAACGTTGCTGTGGTTTGTTCTTGAACTCAGGGGATAGCGGTGAAGATGGTGGGGAGGGTTTTGAGATTCGGCGTTAATGCGGGGCCATAAATCTGGGCCTGAACAACCAATGAGAGGCAAGTCGCTTTGATGCCTCAGCCCTGAAGCGAGTCCTGTGGACGATGATGTTCTGTTATCAACGGCACTGTATGAAAGGAAAAAAGGAATTGGTAACATCAGGATTGATGGCGTAGCCATCAAGCAGTTCGACGATTTGCGCCATGTCGCAGTAGGTACGACAAACACCGTAGAGTGACGAGTGGATATACTGGGCCTAACATTTACAAATGGTTTCAGAGCAGGCAACATTCTTTGCGTTCCTCATCGCATGTCAGCCGTGCGCGTCGTATCTCTTCAGGTCCATGCCTTGCTACGCAAGTCGTGGAGAACGCCCAAATTCCAGTCCAGGAAGCGCCCGCTTCACCATGCTATCCCAACCTTGACGCCCGATGCTAGAAGGATGCCTCAATAGTATACAGTGAATTATGGCGGAGTGAGGTTGCAAGCAGTGCAATAACTCAGCAGTATGTGCGCAACAAAGATCACGAAAATTATTCGACAAAGGGTATTCCTATAGAGCAGAGCTCTGCTGATAGTATGTTCGCGGTTGTGGCCGAGATCGGGGTATAAGATCTGAGTTGCTCGTCGAATCTCTTCAACGGGAGTTGCGATTAGTCTCTGACCTGTCGTTAGTGTTGTACACACGCTACGAGCCTCATTCCGGGTACGTACTTGAAACTAATCGTATGTTGTCATTCCGCTCTCATCGATATCCGCTGCCTCTGCGCGCCCTTCTCCTCTCATACTCGCTTTCTTCTTCGATAACCTCGACCATGTCGTCGCCGGGCACGCGCCGCCGGGTTTCCTCCACCACGATACTGCGCGGTCGCGACCTCGTCCTCTCTTCTACAATCACTGTTGACCGACCTCCCGACCTCCGAGGACTCCTCTCGTATTCGCGCACCTCGCTGCGGGTTCCGCGCCGTGAGCGATGCGAGTTCGAATTGCGCCTCGGCCGTTTGCGCACGACTATCTCCTCCTCACCAGAAATCGCGTTACGGCTGTTGTTCGTGAGGGTCCAGAGGAGCCAAACCAGTAGAAGAAAGCCGGCGACACTGCCCAAGGTTATGCCGACCACAGCACCAGCGCCGGGACCATCTTGTCGGTAATAGGTGGGAATTAGGCCTTGCACAATCTGCCGTGATTCGAGTGGTCTTGCCTTGATCCCAAATGTAGCAAACGTGTCGTCGGACGCGAATTGAGTCGTCGGGTCCCGCGGCGTCAGGCTGTCGAGGTTGGGCGCGCCTTGTGCTTGCGCGCCACCGTTGGATGGGGCAAGGGCGGGCATGGCGCGATTCCAGGCAAAGATATGGTATCTTAAAGTTGTGCGAGGCTATGAGCGCCGCCCTGGGAGAGCAGATGTCTGGTGTTGATGGTTGGCCGGGCGGAGCCGGGGCGCTAGGCGCGGGGGTCCAATACCGTAAACACTGGTGGAAGGAACGACTGAATGTCGCAATTACCACCGAGGCAGGCGCGAGGGCGAAGTGTAGAGAGGGATTAAGGAACGTGCAGAAGAGAAGATAGAATTGTCACCCTCAGTCGACCGAACATTGCAGCGGACGAGAGCATGATGCAATTTGCGCGTAGCGGTGCTGGTGGCTGGGAGTACCTGCGGAATCAATTCGGGGGGCTTGACTACCTCAACACCACGAGCCTATCACCACTGTTTGCGCAAGCATCCCTGCACGTCCCACTCTGTCCCGCATGATGTGAGCGGCGCCGTCTCAGGAACGCGTGCATCTGGGGGGCAAGACCCACGGCGCAGCTCCACTCAAGCTTGGGCAAAAGACATCTGGAATGTTTTTTTGGACACGTGTGACCAAACTCTGCGAGGTTTGCGCAGCTGCGCCGTGTGCGATTCACTGCATGATCCTCCGCTGATTCTAATAGTGCGGCTTTGCCTCCTTTGAGCAGGGATCCTGGACAACCTTACATAACACCGAAATTGCGACTAGGTAGCCCAGAGGTACCGGCAACAAATGCCGCTGTCCTCAATACCTCTGCAATGTCGCCTGCAACACCACGTTGAGAAGACGCTGAGTTGTTGTAAACTCCATCGGCGTTTTGAACAACTCCCAACAAGAATTGCAGCCTTGTTAGCTATTACAACAAGTTGATGGGAAGCGCCAAGAGATCACGTGAAGACATGTGAACGGATGCGGCACAGCAACTCTGCTACATCGTGTCTTGCTTTGCCTTCAATCAGCAGAAAATTTGCTCGATATGTAGTGAAAGCTATGCCACCGTCGACTTAACATCAGAACACTTGTTCTTTCTCTCGATCGCTTCCGGCGATCGTCCCGCTGTCTGCGCCCGCAAGTAATCCTCAAACACCACGCCGCCATGCCATCGCTCTTAGTGTGAGCTAGAACTGGGTCATGCTCCATCCGTCGACTCTTTGCACTACAACTGAGCCGTTCAAGATCGTGTCACGACATCATAACGCCCGAGTGAGCTGCCCACATACGACGCCAAGCTGGCGGTCATACGTCTTCCCCTGCCTCAAACCTAGGGCCTACTGAGGCCATGCTACACAAGAGCCTCGAACCTGTGACAGCTGCCTGGTAACATTTGTCGATCACTCTATATACGCCGCATCCCTCGTATGTCATTAGTACCACCACATCCTACAGTGAAGGTATAAAGTTTCCATCATCATCATCATGTCTCGCAGAACCACCAGTGGATCTTAGATTCATCGGTTTTTTCTATTGCAACTTCGTAAAATACACTGTCTCATTGATTTTCTTCCGTGATGCGAATCGACGGCGCCACTCTGGTATTGCTCACGCTGATCACGGGCAGAGTCTACGGAAACGTAGATAGGGACCTCGGATTGGGCAAGTATCTCAGCTGTTGGAGACCGAATCATGCCTTGCTAATGATCTACGAATTCAGGCCAGTCGAAGGTTGAGCGAGACGAGTTCCCTTCCGCCGAGACCTTCAAATCCACAGTAGTCAATTCAACGGAAATACCTATCGTTACTGGACACCTCCCTATTATAACGACATCTACACGTTCAGAGCACTCTACTCACTACACTGTATCAATATCCCAACTCAGTAGTACATCCCAGGGCACGTTGTCTGCCCATCATAACACGTCTTCTTTATCAATTGGAAGTCCTTCCAGATCTTCATTGACTGTCTCAATCCTAACTTCTCCATCTACTGATTCCGCCTACAATATCGGTACTGGAACAATATCCACAGCTTCCCATTTGAAAGGATCATCCTTGACCTCGTTATTGAAGTCATCACAAAGCGGGAGTGCGTACCCCACCACAGGGAAATCTTCCAGCCACGCTCAATCCTCCAATTCTGGAACCCTGACGAAACCTGCACAGTCTGTGAAGACTTCAGTAAGTGTGTCTTCTGGAAGCCTGGGCTCATCCCATCTATCAGCAAACATCTCAACCGGCATCCAGTCAGCGTCAACAATACCTTCGATAAAACCTTCGCTGTCAACGCAGCTTGCCTATCCTACCGTGCACTCCAACTCGACTTCACAACATTCGTCCAATAGTGCCAAGTTTACAGGATATTCTACCGTAGTGAACAACTCGACTAAGGCCTCTTCCATAATGTCATCAAAATCTCAGTCCACGGAGGGTGAAGGAAGTGCAACCGTTTCAGCGTCCCAGAGCTCTCTTAGTGGAGGCTCTACAGCGCCTCCGAGTTCGGAGATAGCCACAAGTGAGAAGCAGTCGACATCAACAAAGCAGAGCTCGGGCTCAAACAACCCCACGGCCGCTCCTTCCGTGAAATCCTCATCTGAGTCCAGCCACGCCTCATCAAGTCAGCCGCATACCGAGAATGAATCTACAACTTCAGCCGATGCACTGACGGAGACGCAATATATTATCAGTACTGTTACCGCTTCCGATTCCTCGGGTCTTGTGACCTTCACCACGACGGTAGAGGCTGCGTCTTCCTCGCGCGGATCCGGAGAAACTACACCAGTAGAACCTTCTCATTCAGACACTCCTTCTTCAACGCAAGGATCACCGATCTATTCTCCGTTCCCGAGCGCCTTTATTTTCGACGCAGTCATCGCTGGTCAATCATACCACCTACCATCTTCTGATGGGCCACCCACGGTAATCATCTTGCATGACGGTAAGACCGCAGAGCTTTCTCACGATAAAATCACGATCGAGGGGGAGTCTGTCCCCGTTTCTCAATTGTCGGAAGATACCAAGATCGCTGGTGTAAGTGTCCAAAAGAAACCAGGAGAAGCAGACGAGCCCCAGGAAGAAGAAGGTGGAGGTGGTGGCGGCGGTGGTGGCATCGGCGGCCTCATCGGAGGTCTTGTTGGTGGTGCCAAAAAGGCTGTCGATGGCGTGAAGGAGGCGGGTGAAAGCGCCCTTGGGGTACCCGCTGCTGCGGCGGCGGGTGCCAGTACAGCTACTTTTGCAGGCATAGCCGGCAAACTTTCAACAGCTGGCAACGGTGTCAACGCGCTTGTATCTGGGCTGAACGGTATCCAGAAAGCCATGCCTGTGGACAAGCTCACGCAGGCTGGCCTGGGCGCGGCAATGGATGCGCAGAATCTTGGTCGGCAAGCATCGAACTGGCTCAGCTCGACCAGCGGCCTGGTCAAAGACTTTCCGAATCTTCCGAAAAAGGTCCAGGATCAAGTTTCTGACGATATCAAGAAGTTCGCGGGAGAAGGGGGACAGCTTGGGAAAGCTCAAGCTGCGCTGGAAGCCTTTAAAGACTTTCCTTGGGAAAGCGAGCTTCCGCAGACACAGCTCCCTTCGGCAACTCAGAATCCCACGGCTTCGGCGACGAATCGACCCAGCGGGACAAGCATGCCAACCGATACAGCTTCGCGTTCCATCTCACAGGACCAGTCAACTACACATTCGAGCTGGGAGTCAACTCAAAGCTTCACCTCTGCTTCGACTACAAGTGCACAGAATACTACATCTCTGCAGAGCACTCAGTTCACAAGCACTACTTCGGCATCGAACACCACTTCCGCAACGTCATCAACATCGAGTGCCGAGCCTTCACCTACAGAGACCACACAGTATTACATCCGGACGAAGGAAGGAACATCGCTGGAAACATTCAAAAAGTTCATAAAAGAGCTCGATAATGCTGCCGGGAGATCGATTACATATGACCCGAAGCTGATTCCGCACCAAGGGTATATGACAAGATTGACTTCCACTCAAGCGGAGGGACTCGAGTCAAAACATAAATTCATCCTCAGCGCCGTCCCGATCGTTTTCAAGCTAGAAGACCTCGAGATTAGCAAAAAAGAAGAATTTCGCGCTCTTCCCCAGCAGCGTAACGACACAGATCTCAATCTACTTGATGCTCTGTTGTCTGAGGAACCTGGCGAATTCTTTGGCCACTCGCAAAAAGTTACTAGGGATTTCGAGGAACCAGACAACAATGCACCCTACTGGAAGAAGATGTTATCAGCCCCTCCACGTACCGAGCTTGAGCATGACGACCCACCGTATAAGAGAGATAAAGCAGAGGGGAAGGGCGCGACGGTGTACATTATCGACGATGGTTTCGATACGGACCAACCAGTAAGCTTGACCTGTGTAGCCATATATTCAAGAGCCATGTTAACGAATAACGCGCACAGGAGCTCCAATCTACCGCAGATCGGCAAGTCTGGTCTCACTTGGTCCCGAATGATTTTACGTTCCCTGAAAACTTTCTGGAGACCATGAAGAGGGTCCACAATGATGTGAGCTTGAAGGAAGATGTCAAGCTCGGTCATCATGGTACAAAGATGGCGATTGTGACAGCCGGAAAGACGCTTGGCATCTCACCGAAGGCAAATCTCGTCTTGTTTAAAGCAAAAGGATCTTGGGTGCCTAGTACAGGCGCTAAGTTCCAGACCGTGAGCTACCAATATCAAGCTCTTGACTATGCGTTAGATAACATTCGAGCTATGATTATGCGGAAGCGTATTGACGACGCTGAGAGACCCGTAGACCAACATGAGAGATCCGTGGTACAAATGTCCTGGGGTGAGTCACATTTGATCTCGTTTCGATAGAAGTTCCCCTTCTCACCAGCGTAGGACTTGAATTCGGCAACAACAGGCAAGCAGAATCCATGGTACCATTGTTCGACGAATTCTTTCAGTGGTGTCAGAGCATGAACGTCCCAGTCGTGCTTGCGGCGGGAAACAGTAACAGATCCCCCTTGGATAAGAAAACGCCCCAGTCCAGTGGTACTACTACAAATACAGTAATCACCGTTGGTGGGGTTACGAAACGTGGAAGTTTGTGGCGAGATACTTCTCCTGCTTATAATGGTGCCGCTGGATCCATGACGGTCTTCGCACCTGCTGTTGACATCGTGGTGCCTGGAGATGCTTCGATACAAGATATGGGAACCAGCCAAGCAGCAGCCATTGTGGTGAGTTATACCCACTACTGATGCACATGCTGCGCTGTCACACGCTATACATCATATCAGACAACTGGATTTGTTCGATGCACAAGCATCACCTTATCATTGATCACGTTCTTACTGACTTGAACGAAGGGCGGCCTCGCAGCCTACCTCTATAGCGTTGTTCCGGAACTGAAATCAGGCGAGAACACGGATATGAAAAACTTCATCGTCCAGCATGCATGGGTTCGAGCACATCCTGAACCACCTGTGGTATTCGGGGATTTCGCCAGAGACGGATGGCCGCCCCGGCTCAATGTTGTGTACAATCTTGCAGCTGGGGATCCTCTTCATCAGAACAATCCATGCGCGCCTGGTCACATCGGAAAGCGGGACAACAGCTCGGCATCCGCGTGTTCAGCGTCGTATGCATCGCAGAGCTCTACTCCCGCCTCATCCATCAAGTAAGTATGCTTCACTATGATTAAAGCTTGCCGACCCTAATTCTATAAGCTCCGCTTCTTCGAAGACAATTAAGAAGTCAACTTCGCATCCTACCATCACAACGCCCGCTACAAGCGCAAGCCACAGCAAGAACAGCGCCTCCTCGACCTCTGACAGCGATTTCGAATACTCCACCACAACAGGAACATGGTCCGGCAAGTATTACACCACTGAAACCAAAGTCATCGTCTCAACGGTTCACGTAACGGACATCATGACCGTTGCTCCGCCCCCAGACACCACTGAGGCTCCGCCGCCACCTCCCCCACCGCCATCATCAGAAGCCCCACCTCCGGCCGAAACTTCTCACAGGGAAAAGCCGGACTCCCTACCGTTCTGTTGCAAAAGGGATGGAAACGGCGACTTGATTGTGGGCCATTTGCAGCCTAGGTGTTGTCGTAGAGCTGTTGGCATTTAGCATGTTGTGTGTTCACGCGCTCTTGCTTCTGCATGTCAGAACACTCTTTGACTTTCTTTGGGTTCTTTCTGTCTCGCGCCTGTCATTACAGATCTCGCCCACGTATCGGCACAACCATATATAGAATGCCTCTCAGTTTAAGCGCAATGGACTTTTATGGATAATATCAATAGAGCACTTGTTGCAAGAAGTCGAACAACCGCACTTCGATCAACCCGCTTCTATAAAACAGCGCGCACCATCAATCCAACGGCTAACGCGACCTCATAGTGCATGATGTGTGGTCTGTACGTACCTGCAAGCAAGTGGAACAATATACCTTGCAACTGGACCGCACAATACACGAGGATAATGCAAAAAGCTAAGCTTTTTGCAGAGATTCATGCATTGTTGCCAATGGAAAGTACATGCAAGGAAACAACAATGTTTCGATATTTATGTACTTTATTTTCTTTGTTGGGAACGAGACTAGTCATAACGCCCCGCAGCAACACGTCCCCTACGAAACTTAGTCTTCCAGAAATCCCGGTCCTGTACCCTACAGTCATACACAAAGAGCAAGGTCGTAGACGTCGCCCTTTTGATTCACCATGTCAATGGGTTCCAGTGCTTCAGCTGTTGTCGCATGAAATCCTCTCGTGAAAGCGCTAAACAAACGCCAATGATTGATCATTCGATAGCTGGCCAGGGAAATCATGTCCGCGGGTGGATAGTGAGTACCATTCAAAGAAGGTAGCCAGTTTCACGTCGCGACTTCTTGAGATCCGAGTTGGGTTCGATGTAGATGATTTTGAGCGTTCGAAACTTCAGCACTAACACATAGTGCCCAAAGCCGAGAGACGGACTATCCTAGGATGGACGGATCCCGTTCTGAAGCCAGTTCGTAGCGTGCGCGGCCCATGCTTCCTTGCTCAATCCCCGCAAGGCATGGGCCTCTCCATCCTCAATTAAGGCTGTGCTTGGTATCTCGCCCGTGCCATAGTGCTCACGCGTCAACTGTGGGTTGCATTGATAGAACGTAAGATTCTTCACGTCGGTGAAAATGCCGCGGTCGGCAAGTATCCGTCCGATTGAAACCGCTTTCTGGACGAAGCAGTCATTCCAGATGTAAGTTTTAGCCGGAGCGCTCTGTGCAAAACTTCCCTGGGGATCAAACGCGATACTAGCGAGTACACCAAGTTTCACGAAGTTCCAGAGAGGGCGCGAGTGGGGGTTCCGGTCGACGACGTCGGACAAGGTTTCGCCTAATTGGTAAGGGTTGCCATGCCAGGTAATTGCGTAGTCCACTTGGATCTTGGGGTTCTGCTTGCAGAAGGCGGCAAGGTCGCTGAGAAAATTGATGTACGAGTCGAAAGTCCATCTTCCTGGGCTAGCTCTCGCGAGTATTGTGAGGTCCCTCCAACAGAGCTCCCAGAGGAGATTGTCAGGGAAGGAGATCAGGGTTACTGAAGTGATAAAGGGCATCAAAGAGGATTGCATCCTGTGCGTAAAGTTGTCCATAGCTGTGAGCGAGCCAGTGAAAGCAATGTTGTTGAATTCGAATTCCAGGCCTTTCGTTTCGTTGTACAATTGCTTGTTTACGAACTGTAACTGGTTAAAGCTCCGCGGCCCTAGGTTTTATTGAGCCGTTAGCTGTTTGGAGTAAATGTATCGTTCTGGTGCGTACTTACGATATGAGCCAAACTCCTTTGCATGCTTATGGCTAGTAAAGACTACTAGTTGAGCACCAAAAGGCTCCAGGGGGCCGCGAACGTTTGAGGTACCGGGTCGTTCCATGATACATGCCATTAAAGGAGTAGAGTGGCTAGCCGCGAGTTGCAGAGAGATATTCTGTGGACGTTGATAGCAGGACTGTGAGCCCGTGCTCAGTGCCAGTTCGTAGATACGGTTTCGAAGCTCAGCGGGAAGTGTCAAGAGACTCCGTGCGCCCTGAGGTGTAGCATGGCTAATATCTTGGAAGAAAACGTTAGAAGGCGTGTTGAACATATATTCTGTCCGAGCTGGAATTACTTTTGAGGGAAAGTCGTTGGAGCGCATCTGTGCCGGTATATTTCGAAGGTTCGCCATAATGACCCAGTTAAGAGTCCTTTTGAGGTGAGCATTAGACTAGTGGAAGGACTGATGGGTTTATAAGGGCAGGCGCTGTCCTCGAGGCGCACCTAACGATCGAGGCACAAGGGACGCCTTGACCCGAGGTCTGTGCCCATCATCATCTTTGTCCGTGCTCATTCTCATCTTCTTTCGCCTTCAATGAAAATGTCTAGCTCTTCAAGACGTGCATTGATCTTCAAGGCGTCCGTATTGGGTAAGACAACCGCATATCTTCACGCAAAGTTTCGTAAAGGGCAAGGTGGCACTATGTGATTCTCATTCTCATGATACGAATAGCTCGCTGGTCTATATGAAACTCTTCTTTAGACAATATAAAGCGTCTTCTTCTCCATGTCTTCCGACCCGTCGCACAAGAATACTTGACCCATCCCGATTCGCTCATATGTTTGCTCTGCGTCTGTCTTCCTCAGAAACAGTACCTGGTAACTGTCCTTGAACTGGTCCGCACTTAGCTTTGCGGTGTCTATATCTTTCCTCGTCATCTGTCTCATAAACAGAGCGGTTACCTCTTGCTGTTGCAAATCCTCCACATCCACGTTGTCGTCTAGTGCTGCGAACCCGAACCACTGCTGATCCTGACTTCGAACAGGCTCATACCTCGCCATATTGGTCTTCACATCTATCGTCTCCATCCTATTGTAGAATTTGACCATTTGGTTCCAGTCCCACGGTCCCTGTAAACCTAATTTACCACGATGCAAGCTGATCAGTCGACCGCTGACGGTCAATGTCCCATCTGTGCCGACGTCAATGATGTCGATGGCATTGGTAGTATGTGCCTCCAATATTTCGGTACCGAATTCGGCAAAGTAAATTCTTCCATCCATGCTTGCCCAGCTCCAGGTCGGTGCTCGACCTCTGACTCTACCTCTTCGTTCGTCGGCGTCAGCATATGGGGCTGACCTCCACATCAACCCTATTTCGAGACTCGCTCTCCATAGCCCGAAGCAATATCGATCCTCTGTCAATTCTGCGATGTAATTTGCTAGTCCCTCTAGCGCAGGAAGCTTATCTGACTCCACTGTCAACTTGCGAGTCGTGTAATCTTCGATGATTCTACACCAGCGTGAGTTTACCAAGTATGGTATGAGGATCGCCGTTGCAGTCGCATTATCACGTATTCCCAAGATGGTCCAGTAGAGGTATTGGAAAGAAACAGATCGTGCTTTTGTTCCTACCCCGGGTCGTTGCGTTTCGAATTCAATGCTCTCGTGGCATTCAAATGAGACTTGGTCGGAAGCGAAGTGAAGCGTGCGTCGCGCTAGCTCCTTCTCTTGAAGTGTCCATGCCCTACTTGCTAAAACAGACCGACGGACGTGTTCTGACCAATTACTGTTCCTGTTATGTATCGTCCATATACCGTCTTGTGCTCCGGTCAAGTGGTCAATGTACTTCAAAGACACACTGGATGGTGGAGGTACCCGTGCAGCAAACAAACCTCCGTTACCATCCACCGCAAATGTAGCTGAGAGTGTGACGTACGCATTCATGTATACAGAAGCCATGCGTGAGGCTTCGTAGGCCCAGTCTTCAGTAGAGTCTTGGACGATGCATATAGAATCGATCCAGAGATAGCGAATACCAAGTTTCCGAGTGATCTCAACAGCGTCTCTAAAGGTTTTCGGCAGCTCGTGGATACATATTTTCGTCTTACGTTGATCGTACGTAGCGTGTTCTGTCTTGAAATGCTTGATCTTGCCCCAACAGTGGCTCAGGGCGGTGAAACATCCCTTCCCACCAACAGATGAGCTTTCTACTAATTTGACCCCGTCCTCAAAAGCCTGGACGTCTATCACTCTTGTAGGCAGCTCGATTTTGTCCTCGCTGTATTTTGCTTTCAGTCTAGCCCCCTCCTGTTCGCTGGGTCCAGCCAAGTCGAGCTCCTTCCGACTGTACCCCCACTGGCACTTGTGGTGATCATCTACGCAGGTCTTTATCCACTTCTCCATGAGACGCAGCGCTCCTTCGCTGCTAGCATTATTGGTGAGCGGCCTCGTCATCACTGCTTCTGCTGCTGCTGATCCCTCTTCAGCATAAATGTTCAGCCACGTCGCTGGCGCTTTGTAGTACTCGGTTTGGCGCATGAAACGCTCCCGCTTCATGGGCCCACAGGATATGATCAGCGTCCATGCTTTTTCGTCTGCACGTGCATCATGACCGTTGATCGACACTGTGACAGATGTGTCGTTGACAAGCACATATGCGGAATCCTCGTCGCCATCCTTGTGGGCCCTGTATTCTTCTGCTTTCTTGATGAGGTCGGCCCTCTCAAGTGCGCCGAGGATCATATAGCAAAGAGGGCAGAACAGCGCAGACTCGCGCAGACTGCTAACATCTGGATGCAATCTGAGCAATCGAGTTGCAGGTGAGATTTTCGCGCAGGCAGTGCAGATCGATGACATTGCTTAGTGGACTTAATGCGCAACGTACGACGCGGTGATCTAAGGTGCGGCTGTCATCGTGGTGCAAGTCTCGGTTGCCCCACGATATCGTATCCACGCGCGGTCGAAGCGATGTGTCCTCCAATCACCATACTACGTTGGCGCCAACTACTATTATGCGTATTCTTGCCGAGGTAGTCTACATTCTTAGTTGAGCGGCCTACGAGAAATCCTCAGCAGATCAGCCGTCTGTCTGGCTCAATGTGCGTGTTAGTAAGAATCCTAGACCCTGGAGTTGGCTGGCCTCTTCGCGACGTTAGGATTGAAACACCAGGCAACAGCAGGTACATATGGTAACACAGAGCATCCATCCATCTTGGCTGCTGCGCCTTGCTGGATGCTTGCGGCCTGCGACAAGGTTCCAGATTCGATGTGACGAGACACTACAAATATGATCCAAGTATGTATGCGAAGGCCGTTGGCTCGGGGAGGTGGACCGGACCCTGATGATCACAGCCTTGCTCGCTCCGCGGCGATCGGTTGTATAACCGCTGTCTTACGAGGCGATGCCCATCGTCCACCGGTGGTGTTCTGGACAATTAGATCGCGTTATCGTCGCATTCTTTCACGTGGAATCCTATCTAGCAGGTCGCTGTGACTGATCGCATTGTCTTAGATGTTCCTGTCCGGTGGTAACACCCAGCGACCTGGGACTTTCGATTTCCGAGAGATATCCTGTAGGGTTTTCAATCTACAGTGACGAGTATACTCGTGCTGTGAGGCGATCCACACGTAAATCCCATTTTTCAGTATACTCAATTATCTAACCTTCTAATAATCCGCCTCTGAAAGAGCCTGCCTTTGGTCAATGTGCACGTCCAGCACGTCTACCGTTCCAAAGCATCCCGAGAATGACTTGCTAATACTTCCACAGAAGGCGAATATACCTCCTCTAATGTCGCCAGATACTTGTGTTGATATCAGTAGTATGGTTACAGCAATGTAGCACTGACGAAGATAATTCCAGAGCCCTATGACATATTGGTAAGGATGCGGTTAAGAGCAAGATAGATCCTGGCCTAGACACAATCTGACTGAGAAACTTGAACACTGTAACGATTGAGCACAATCTCTGCCTCGTGCTAGAGGCGGTTACTACAAGGTTGCAACGTGCATGTTATGAAGATGCCACAGCCCGCAGGCTACCCGAAGCCACAATGGTTGGCATCAACTGGACTCATCTGCAAACAGACATGTTTTGTCTCTCATGCAGTCCAATCGCTAAGGTATTATTAGCTGTGTGTTTATCGAATTGTCGAGCCAAGATGGTGGTATATATCAATGCAACATGCCTTCAATGTTGAGTATGTACAATCGCGGTGCATATAGTACAAGAACGAATCCTGGAACCAAAAATAAAAAAATGAACGGCCCAAGTCCCGAACTTCGAAGACGAATAACGAATCACAGCAAAATTTCGATTTCTCAAATATCAAATGTAAGTTGAGCGGACACCCTGACACAGCCCGCACTAATCCACTTTCTTAGAGCTCTCAGGATACCAATTCCGCAAATCTAACGAAGCTGAAGCAATTGGCAGCCTGTATTAAACGGCGCATCGAGCGCTTGGCAAATACATCCCGCGCGGACATACACAGCGACGACGAGAACATGGACTCTTTGTCGTGCTTCGGACTGCGACAACCGGAACCCAACCCTTACCAGGCACGATTGAACCCCGTAATGCGCCATATGCCTTTGCCACTTGATCCATCGATGCAAAATTGTACTCAATACTATATGGACGAAGGCAACCACCCGTTTATCACCACTCCCGGCTGGATGAAAAAGATATAGTGATATAATTATTCTATTCTCTTTGTTACACCGAGCTTGATGGTGATTGCATATATTCGGGGCGGAGATGTTCGGGCATATACATGGTAACGCTACACGATGTTGACGAGCTACGAGAACACAAGTACAAGAGGGAAGGGTAACATCTGCTGCTCTTTGTTATCAAGTTTATGGGATATTGAGAAGTTACGGTATTGGAACAGGATGTGTTCGAAGGTCGATATAATCTACGATAGCGAGAATTAATGGGATGATGAATCTTTCATCGAGTGGCAGATCAGTGCGTTCCCAGCGTAACACTTGGCACAAGCCCACGGCTACATTAGCCAAACAAGCTGACAAAAACTTCGAGATAGGAATGCTATCTGAACACACCATGTACAAAGACATGGTTCTCTACATATCGCCAATGCCGTGGATGGCCAGGGACGGAAGAAGCCCCCGCACACGGCCACGGTCCGGCTTGCATCCGCCATCCGCGCATCCCACTCCCTTCATATACCGGCGAACTCAAGTTCCATCTAGTCACGAATTGAATTCTTGCCATCCAAGGATCAGCTAAGAGACGCACGCACATCCTTACGCGCGTTTCAGTTTTCACAGCACACCGTCCACCTTCACTGTGCCTCAAATCCTCTCGACCATACAGCCATCAACGCCCTCCACAACACATCCCAGTCTTGTTCACTTTCCCCAAAATGTCAACATACGACCTCATCGGCGGCGCTGCCTATGTCTCCTTTGTCGGCATGCTGGCCTATATCACGGGATACTCGTACTATTTCATTCGTGCATCGAAGATCTCGCCATCGGAGTTTCCAAAGAAACCGGGGACCTTTGAGTGGTCGTAAAGATAGGGCGGAGGTATTCGGGAGGCGCTAGAAAGCGTTTGGAAATGGAGAGCGGGGCTTGTTTTCTTATTGTAAGCTTCATAGGGAGGCTTAAGAAAGGGAGTAGAAGTTTTGGAGTAGGACGCTGAGACATTGGAACAGTTGGTATCTTGATGAAGCTGGACATGAAAAGTCCTGAAATGGAATTGAAATGTGATGCTAGTATTGACGTATCTACGTATGATATTCGCCCCATTAAACAAGAACGTCGTTGATGAATTGCATGTTGAGCATCCTTGCGCACGGCTAGTACATATACATGGATGCTTTTTATTCCTTTTGCCGATGGCATTTGACTATATCACGTCAGAGAATCGTTCTACTCTCAACGCTTGCTGGTCAGCACCCCCTCCTACATCCACGAAGCCTCGTCCTAGAACGGCTTGCTTCCGTTGCGAGCCCGGGAGACCGCCATTCGAGCCCAGACCTTCTTCCAAGCGTCGTAATTAGGGAATGAAATTCTTTCGGCAGATGTGATACGAAGGGCTCGCCCTGTGTAGTCTCCATAATCTTCATATTTTCTGTTTTCATATCCGGGTAGGTTGACAGATTCTCCATTCCGTCACACAGTTCACGAAGTCCAGATTTCTCTCTTGCATAGCGAAGAGATCGGAAGAAGACGTAGTCATTGTATTTGGGTAGCACGGGTTGATATAACCCGGGTGTGGTGGACACATGGAGGGAAGGTGAGGGGCATCGGGGTTTTTATATATCTATGGATGAAGCGACCCAACCTGTGCTAGCCAACCTGTGCTAGCGAGGAACAAAGAGCGAGGAACAAAGGCACGACTTAGACACTGATTAACTCACCACTGTCGCAGGAGTGGCACGATGATAGCACCGGCACCAGCTCTAGTCTCCAACCTTATTTCACATTACTTGGCTACCCCTACACGTACACCTCGTTACTACACAATACATACCAAGCCGCAATTGAACCAGCCCAGTTAGCTTAGATACCGTTCAGACGATTCGAGGCAGTACGCTTCTTGCGCAGGCACTGTGTCGCGGCTTTGCGATGTTGCCGTCACTGGCTCTGTTCACGCTCAGTGAACGCACTGCAATTATTCGGAACCAAGTTAATCAGCGGCCCACCAGTCATAGAGTCACGATCTTCGAGATGCTATATTATCATCATGGACAACAAAGCAAGCAGAGGGTGCAGCGAGGACAAGAGCCTAGTCGGACCTGCTCCTTTGTTCTATCATCCCTAATATGCAACGGAAAAGAGCATTCCACAAATGCATATTTGAACGAAAATGGAGGCCAGAAACTGATGCAGTCGATAATACCCACAATACATGTTCTGAAGAGACAGCCAGAGTCCCATCGAATCCACTTCACGTGCCCTCGCGACACGCCCTAACCGTATCCATCCTAGCTTCTCACCGCAACGTTCTCACCACCACGCGCACCCGGCATGCGCACGCGTCGAACCCGCTCGCGCAGCGCTGCCCCCTCCTCAATGGCAGTCAGCGCGCCCCTCCCCAACGGCACAACTCCCCTTGGCGCGAAAGAGAGCGCAAACGGCGACCCCAACGCCGCCGAAAAAGCTGCGCAACCGTCCGCTCGCAATGTCCATAATGTCGTCCTGGGGAGCCTGGTCATCGAGCCGTGGTTCTCGTCCGAAGGCTACCCGGAGGAAATAGTCGGGAAGGAGGTGGATAAGCTGTATGTGTGCCAGTGGTGCTTCAAGTACACGAAGGAGCTTGTGCCGTTTCTGCAGCACATGGTTCGTCGTCCCCCGTCCTCCCTCCCTCCCCATGCACTCACCAGCATGTCCGCAGAAAGCCTGTCCGGCGCGCACCTCGCCGCCCCCCGGCACCTGCATCTACACCCGGGACCACATTTCGATCCACGAACTCGACGGCGCCTCGGCAAAGCTCTACGCGCAAAACCTCTCCCTCTTCGCCAAGCTCTTCCTGCACGCCAAATCCGTCTTCTACGACGTCTCGGCCTTTCTCTTCTACCTGCTCGTCCTGGACCCAGCGCACCCGTCCATCCCCAATACCCTCTCCTCCTCCCCCGACACCCCGGCCCAGGTTGTAGGCTTCTTCAGCAAGGAAAAGACCTCCTGGGATAATAACAATCTGGCGTGTATATGCGTATTTCCGCCGTGGCAGAAACAGGGACTCGCGCAGGTCCTGATCGCCGCGAGCTACGTGCTGGGCCGCAACGATGGGAGGACCGGGGGACCGGAGAAGCCGTTGAGTGCGCATGGGTACGCAGCGTATGTGCACTACTGGTCGCAGACGCTGGCGCGGAGCATACTCCAATGGTCTGGGAAGACGCTCACGGTGGCGGAGCTGCACGAGGAAACAGGGATTGCTGTGGACGATGTGCAGAATACGCTAGGGGCGATGGGGGTGCTGGAGCGCCGGAAGAAGGGGTGGGTTGTCAACCGGGGGAGGGTGAGAGCGTGGGTTGAGGTTGTGGGTGGGAGGGTGGAGAGCCCGGTTGATGAGGAGGCGTTTGTGGTGAGGGACGATGAGGGAACTGAGGAGGAAAACGAGGAGGATAGCGAGGAGTAGATGGTGGGTGGGCGGGCAAGGGACGGCGTTTGGAGTAAGATACCCTATGAATTTACGTACGCTATGCGCATTGAGTCCTTTCTGCTATACATGAGCACGCCAAGCTGTCTGTAATCTCTGTTTCGGCATGCCGACGAGTTCCCGTGCTGCGTTTTGCCGCGGCTTGCAAAAGCTCGCGAAGAGTCAACGATTGTAACATGGACACGCGAATGGATTGAGTGATGAGCTCCATTAATGTCAAACGAACGACCAAAACAAATTGAACTGCGGGTATCTCCGGAACCCTGAACTCCAATCCCAAAATGACAACACACACCAAAGCCTTCACTCAACCCTCCCTCTTCCCGCCAAGATACCCCACCACCTCCCCTGCCCTTTCCAGCCTCGCCCTCGTCTCAGGCAACCCCCCATTTAACCTCCCCAATCCCTCCACGGCCCTTCCCCACGCCCTCTCCACCTCCTCCTGCCTCTTCAACGCCTCCACACCCCCAACATCCACATCCTGCTCCCCTTGTACTACGGGCGCAACCAACCCCTCCCCACTCCTCACCCACTCCTCCTCCCACCGCCTCGCCGCCGCCCTCCCCGTCTCCCTCCTATGCTTACTAATCGCTTCAACCAGTCTGTCTCTCTTCTCTACCGCCGCACCCACCCTTTTCCTCAGCTTCTCATCAAACGCCTCAAACTCCTCGATCACAACCTCCCCCTCGTCCTCCACCACCCCAACCATCTCGCCATTCTCATCGACCGCGCCGCGCGGAATGACGTCCACGCCGTTGATGCTGATGTTCTGGCGCATGCCGGCGAGCAGCTGGGCCACGAAGGCATCCACCAGGCCTTCGACCTGTGCGCGGAGGTCGTCCGGGGTCGAAGTGTCGGGCTGAGGGGGGAGGTGAAGGTCGAGCTTTTGGCGGGCGAGGGTGCGGAGTTGCGTTGTGAGGTGGGACAGATCGGCGGGGGATTGGAGCTCGATTTTGCGGTGCTCGGGGTCCATTGTGTGTTGTGGGGTGCGCAAGCGTGCGACTGGAGGGCGTCGGTGTTGGCGTTCTTTGATCAAAGGTGCGGTGTCTTCGCGCTGTGGGCGAGCGCGGTGTTTTGCGTTGTTGCGTCCAACGTCGAGCCAGGCGTCGTGAATGCGCGACGGAATGCGCGAGTGGGGTGGATGCGCTGCACGTCTATCGTCCAGCGCTTTGAATCTCGCCCTCAGAATCTTTGGCCGTGCGCGATATATCCGTGAGTCTCGCGCAGTCGCGTCCGGTATGTTGTTGCGTCGCCGGTTGTCGTGGTAAATAGTTCACCTTGTGCGTCTCCGTTGTTTGTTGATGCGGGAGCTAGCCTAGCACCGGGCGCGGCGTCGATCGCGCGCCCACGTGATGATAGCGATAACGCTCGATAACGCTGGCTGTCGTCATGCCCCACCTGCCACGACTGCTCGGAACTGGTTGCGGTGGAAAAGCGCCTATACATAACGACAAGGCCTTCTCCTGTGCACTGTACACATGTGTGGTAGAAGTTTAGTAATTGAGATATATTTGTTGTAGGATGTACATTGCAAAGATAAATAGAGTGGAAAGTGAACCACCTTCTATCAACTCCAGCCATCCCGTCCCGCCGAAATGAATGCCACCCATAATGCCTGTATCCATAATCGTATTCCATAATCCATAAAAGAACGAGAATACCCACCCGAACGCCTTCCCATACCAGTCCCAATCCCAATCAAAAGCACAAGTATCCAAACCCCGATGGTGGCACGCCGCCCATGCCGTATGCAAGACGTCGGCCACCCAATCCAATCCTATACGCTCCGTTCCGTGTACAATAGCGCCTCTTGCATGCAAGTCCTTCCATAAGATGCAGCATGTTGTTACGAAGGAAACATCTTCTCCCTCTCCTCATCCGTAACCACAATCTCCTGCACAGGATCCTGCTTGCGCTCGAGGTCGTCGAAGTCGAAGTTGGCGTAGCTCGGGAGGAAGATTTCTACTCACGCAAACAACACATTAGCCAAGCTGGGTAACGCACATACATCCCTCCGTCGTGCTCTTGTCGTGTGGAGTGCGAGTCGAGTCCCACCCTCGGGCGACCAGCCTTCGACCGGTGTGAAACTGAAACAGTACTCGGGGAAGAGGGGAGACTCGGAACAAAACATGAAACATACCCTGATTCCAGTCGAAGCCCTGCGACGCCTTGACGCACGTAATCTGCTCTCCGTCAGCGGTGCGCTTCCCCTGCTCGGCGTCACGAGGCCGCGCTCCAACCAAGGCCAACGTACCAGCCGCGGCATATCCGAGTTGCCAATGTTAACCACCGTGTGCTCAGCGTGGGAAAACGCGGGCGCTGTACGCTTCAATTAGCATCTCCTATCCTGCATGACCGCTGCGCACCGCAAGTAGTAGTGTGTTGTTGGGAGGCCATGTCGTGCTGTGACGTGACTCGCGGGCAGTGGGAGACAGGACATACACATCAAGCTGGGCCTGCGCTCGGCGCCCGCCTTCGGGCTCGCTGCACTGTCGTCCCCCCTCACGCTGCCGTAGCTGCCGTATTCGAAGCTGTTGGTCGCGGGCGAGGCGTTCGCGCTGGAGCCGCCGCGGCTCTGCTTCCTGCGGCGCTGCGGGATGGCGATTGCGGTGCTGCTCGACATACTTGCAGCCGGTATCTCCGTTGTCTGGTACGTTCACTGTAGGACAATGGAATGCTATGATATACGAGTACTCTCCCGCAGTCTACCAGCGGGAACGGGAGTATGAGTGTAGAGGAAGAGTCAAAGCCGCAAGACAAGTGCATGTCAAGTCAAGTCAGGCCAAGTACGGTACCCAGCTCTGTCCAGTCATCCCTCCAAGCTGCCCCGAGCCAATCACAGCCACAACGCCTCGTTTCCGCCTGGCGATCACTTGCGCAAGCAGCCGCGCCTCCAACACGACAGGGGTGCTGCTGGCCGAACAGATACGCCGTCAGCCGTCAGATTCCGCAGCAGTCGAGTACACGCACTGCTACTCTGAACTGCTCCGCTCAAATCACGCCACTGCCAATCCATGATCGAGCGGCGTCCCTGAATCTCAACAAAGACAAAGGCAGCGCAGCTCGCAAGCCCTTATCTTGGGCACTATCAACATGTGACCAGCTATCGTCATGCTAACACCCAGACTAGCGCATGGATGCACGAAACAACCCGAGTACAGCCGTCGCTGATCGATTGCAGGGGCTGGTCAGCCAGCACCCTCACCATCACAATCACGATGTTCACAGTCATAATCACAGGAAGCAGTCTCTTCAGCAGTACAACCCAATTCCATCATCCATACACCTCGCTATGAACCCTCCCCTATCTTACACCCGGGATATCGTCTGTTAACTAAAAGCCCACAATCCTCAACAGCATTCGACTCGGTCCTGCCGACACGAAAAGAAACAACAAAGCACGAACTCAAATAACGAACAACAGGAAGAAAGAAAGAAAAATCGCCCATCGAGGTACCCAGCCCAGTGCCATCCCTCGAATGCTGCAAAACTGCGTATTAGAAGCGAGAGATGCGAAGATGTAGTAAGGGAAACGGTATAGATGACAAGGAGAAGCTTTGACCACCTGAAGTTCTGCATTTCACAGCAACGGCCATCCGGCATTGCTGTTTGGACAGACCCTCCTCTTTCTGCTCATTCTCAATTCGTTTCGTATCCGTAGTCCGCCTTTCATTTTCGATGATCATAGTCGCTCACCGCCCAGGGGTATCCTCAAAGAACTGAATAACAAGCAAACTTCCCAATGCTCCGGACTCCTTGGCTCCCAGATGTGTTACGTTCATGGTTGTGAAAGTCGGAGAATTACGTGCGTCATATATGACATCGAAAAGGCACGGAGCTGGAGGAAATGGTGTATCATAGCGTCGTCGCAGGGTTAAGGGAGTGATTCTACCAGCCCTTCTTGCGAGCGAATCGCTTGTTCAAGAGCACGAGCACCTTGGAGACGTTGAACTGGACATACTCGAGATCAAGATCTTCCTGGTTGTCTTTTTGCATCTCCAGCAGATCGTCCAGCTTCAGGTCCAGCTCGAGCAGGCCACGGTTGCGGCCCTTGTAGTGGAGGGAGATGACGAAGGTCCCCGGCAATGGACTGGTGAAGTTGAAGTAGATGTTAGCTCTCCTATTCTCAGGCACATTGCTCTTTTGAATGACTCCTTCCTTCTCAAGCTGCTGGTGGGTAAATTTGTATGGTCCCAGTACTTGGTGCTTCTGCTGTTTCCTGGTCTTGCCTTCGGACTGACTGCGGACGTTGTGGAGGTACGACTTATATGTCTCGAGCTGGCCGACGAGATAGGCGTTGTGATCGCGAATGGTGCGGAACACTTCCTCAAGCTTCCGGGTTTCCTCGATAACCTTCTCCTTCATGGAGCCAAGGTGCACGAGTTCCTGTTCAACCTCATCGCGAAGTAGGGAGAAGCCATCTTCTTTGTCAACGACTCCAAGCTCCTGTAGCTGGCTCAGCAGCTCCATGCTGCGAATACCCTTCTTTACCATGACCGAGTCATTCTTTGTGGTGGCCGCCGCTTCGGCAATGCGATCAAGTCGTAGTGGTCTCCGGGTGATGGAGCTGTTTGGTGGCAATGACCTTAGGATCATCACGAAGGTCGACTTGGCTTCCATGAAGAAGATTTCTTCTTGTGTAATGTCAAGAGCAGCAGTCAGATCGTCAATGGGCGTTTCCCACTTGCTGAACAAAGGAAGGTTAATCGCTCGGTTCTCCTTGCGGGGGAGCTGCGCAGGAGCAGGCCCAAGCTCTCCCAGAATGACACCAAGATGCGAGCTGTCGTCTTTGGACAGTTCCCCGGCATGTCGCTCTAGCAGGGAGTGTGTGGCATAGACTTCGTTCAAAGTGATGGAAAGCTCAAGATCTCTCTTGGAAAGCGCCACATAGTTGTCCATTTCCAGAGTGTCGTAGAAATCTTGGACTTCACACAGGTCAAGCAGGAACTTGTTGATGCGTTCCTTGTTGAGCTGAATAAAGGGCTGGAGCTTCACCATGTATGGCTCCTTTGCATATGAAGGCTTGTTGGCCAGGTTCTGGAGCATCTTTGCAATGTACGTCAGTGTCCTCTTAGGGTTCTCCGCTGGGGTAGCATCGATGAGCATGTATGACCGCGGAGTTACGATGGCCGGGTTGATGAACCGAAGAAAGAAGAAGCCGCCAATAAGCGTGCAAATGGTCTGATCCTGCGCATCTGGGTACTTTCGCTTCGATAGACTTCGAATCTGTTTGCATATCCATCGGATACCGTAAGGTGTCTCTTCCAGTCCGTTGATGATGGTGGTCAGGAAGTTGTTGGCAATCTCCATTAGCATCGTCAAACGGGGAGCGATGATTTGCTGAACGGTCTCGTTCTCCGCCGCCTGTTCAGCAGTAACACCCTTGGGCAGGTTCGGAGGAAGAGTACCCTGCTGGTCCTCGATTTCGGTTACCATCTTCTCGTACACCTTGAGGGGGTTAATTTCCAAATCGAGATCCTTAAGCTCGATCAGTGAGTTGATGCTGTCCTGCAGGACGACTTTTAGGTAACTTTGACCGGGGCCTCGTCGGGTGTAGGTAGTCATCATGCGAGAAACGGGAGTGTTGGCACGGAGAAGCGAGCTGTAATCGGGTGTGTTGTCAAACTGATACGTCAGGACAGACTAGTCTTCGTTAGCTATGATGGGTTGCCGCACGACGGGAAGTGTACCTGGAACATTGTAAGTAGCAGATGTTCTTCACGGCTCTCGTATTGGTTGCCGTAAATCGTGAACATGACTGTCTGGAGTAGCGCATCGATCTCGGCCATGGAAACGAGACGGCACAGATGCGCGATGTGTCTGGGCTCGGACTGGAGCAAGAATAGCAAGTTTCCGTACTGCTGTGTCTTCTGGTCGTTCGGGAAGAAACCCTCTTGCAGCTCGGTAGCGTCATCCAGGTGGTTCGCGACTTCGTTTTGCTACACGTAGGATTAGGCTGAACCATCATACGCGGAGGGAAAACACATACCTCTTCCAAAGCCATACGGTTCTGAATGAGCAGTGCTATCCGTGAATCCAGATAGCGCACGTCTTTCTCGAGGACGAAGTTCTTCTTCGACTGCGACGAGATCTTGGACTTGAGTTCCCGCAATATCTTCTGGGCTGCACATAAGTTAGTATCTGCTGCACGCTTGCATGTTGGAGCCACTTGTACCTTTGGCCAAGTCGTCCTCGATCTCCAAGTCTTTGTCCTTTGCAGACATGGACAGATACAGTGCAGTGACCGAGTAGCGCTTCGACTGGCGCACCGAGCGCGAGCCATCATGCGACGACATTGTGTTCTGGCGCGAGACGGGTATGAAGGAGGACGAGGACGACGTCGAGGCCCGCGAGGGGGCGTGCAGCATGGAGACGGCCATGGTGAGAGCTCGTGGGCGGCGCGCGAGGAGCTTGTCGGGGCAGGCGCGGCCTGGGGTGTGGTAGAGGAATGCGGTTGTACGAGCTGTCGCGGGGTGATTGGCGACAAAGGAGCAGACTCAGGTACGCGTGTAACGCTGCCACCAGCAGTCACCCACACGCCTGGCGTCGCGGTGTGTGTCGCCTTGTCCGCGTCCCAGGGGCTCGTTGGCTGCAGTGCGGCGGGTCTTCTTTGAGTGCGGGCGTGGTGCGGTCAGTGGGCGTGGGCGTGCGAGAATGCCGGGGCAGTCCGACCAGCGCGAGGCGTCAGGGTCTTTGGGCACGAGATTGCTGCGGCGCTGGTGGTGGTGGTGGTGCGCGGTTAGTACAGCAGAGTGGCAGGCGCAGGCTGGGACGCAGGCGGCGGAAGGTGCGCTGGTGTGGTCGCGGGCAGGCGCAAGCGGGCGCGGGGGTTCAGACGGACCAGGCAGGCAGGGCGTGGGCAGCAGAGGGAGTGCGCTTGTGTTGTGCTATGCTGTGTGTTGCGCGCAATAGGAGTTGGGTGTTGTTGTTCTGTTAGCACCAGCGCGTTCAGCGGCGCCCGGTGCGAATTGGTGTCGGCGGGAGGGTGCAGGAGAGCGGGTCGCTTGGTAAGTACACAGTAGGTGGTCGGACGGATGGTCCTAGACGTGTTTCAGGATAGGGCGATGGTCTCCGGCGGGTTTAGTCGGCCACAAACGCTGCAACAGGGGCACGGCTCGGCGCAGGTGGAGCGGCGGGAGGGTGCAGACGCAGAGCGAGCAGGGACAGAGAGCGGACACGCATTGACTGCGGACGCGTGTTGCGCAAGCAGCCTTCAAACGCCCTCTCTCTCGATTCCACACGCCCGCACAGCCCATCTGAAACTGCCCGTAGACGTGCGATTAGGGGGCAAGGGGCGCACTGGGCCCGGCGCTACACGACGTGCCTGGCTACACCATGCCAATCAGCCGAAGCGCGAGGCCAGCCCAAAATCCGCGCGGGGCCTCGAGATACCGATCGTCGACTGCATGCCGACCTTCACCACGCCCTGCGTCCTCTCCGTCTCCGCCGCATGACAGCCGCTGCGCCATCGCTCACGCAGGCCCGGCGCCGTGGATGCATGGAGCAGACGCAGCCAGGTCTCGTCGCACAAGCATTGCTGCACCACCGTGACCGTCCCTGCCCAATTACAGTGACACTCGCAGCCCACTGATCTGACACTGCGGAAACATGGCCGCCGCTGCCATCCTCGTAGAAACAGGTAGGTTTGAATCCAGTCGCCATCACGCGCATCCTCCCCCGCGCTTGTCTCGGCGGGCCCTTCAGTCAATATTGCCTCGCCGCGCCATTGCGGCCTCGTGTAGAGTACGCGAGTAAAGTCAGTCCGCAAAGAGTCACCGTTGCAAGTTTCGGCATCGCTGCAATATACCAATCCGTGTCTTGGTCACGCCAGCCTCCGCATTAGGTGGCTTCCGCTGCCGACAACCGCACTGCAGCTGGCACTAAATCACGTAGAATCAGGTAAACTTGGAGTGGCTCCCGTGTCGAAGCCTCAATTGCAGGTCCATTGCGCCGGTCATTCCGCTCACTTCTGCACGCCAAGCTCCTTATCCGAACATCTCTCTTCGAACGCCCGTATCGTCAGGGACCCATCATCACCATCGTCAGCACACCATTGCATAGCGCTCCCCGCAGAGGAAACCCCTAACGAGTGATCGTGCCCAGATATGTCCGTCTATCGCCCCGCCAAGCATGCAGTGCAGATCCACGCTTCATAAACGCATAAGAAAAACAATTGTGATGCGCAGCAAAGGACTCGTAAAAAAAAAAGTCTATAACATGCAATGTCCGAGCAAGTGCCGCGGTCCCTGAGAGCCATGTCGCGGCCGTACCTGTCTGTGCGGCGCGCGTGCCTGGTCGATCAATATCGACTCCGCAGTGGCGTTCGCTCGAGTCAGTGAGCCAATGCCGCAAGAAGCGCCATAAATCCAAAATAACTACACGTTTATCAGTCTATGGCTTGCAAAGGGCAGTACTGACGTAGGTAAGGGGTGGGGACGGCCGGGTAAAAGCGAACGGACGTCGTTCGTCCTTTGGATGCACTTCGATAGGGAGTGACAACACCCTTGCAGCAACGATAGACAAGCTGAGCTGCGGAGGAGTCAGGACCCCCGCAGGCGCCAATTCGCGACGCTGCGTCCTAACTGGTCATGGCGTTTGCTCCAGCGGTTCATGCGAGCACTGGCATACACACAAATAAACAGTCAACTTACACAGAGAAACAACCTGCCCACTCATGAGCCGTCATCATGTCCATCAGCTCTTTGGTGGACGCTATCAGCTTCATGATCGCCGCCCCAGTCAAGCTTAAGATGACCAGTCTCCCGAGCAAGCCGGGCACTATCGCGAATGCCATCAGAGGCAGGACGAGCACCAGCGGAAGCCATATTGCTCCAGATTGGCGGGGTATCACGCCACCAACTGTGCTTGCTGACCCTCCCTCGGAGACTGTAAGTAAATCGTTCTTGTGTTCCAGAAACCTCGTTTCCGTATGGTCAATCGGTGTGCACTTTTCCATCCATGAACGGTAGGCCTGAACATCTTCGGCGTTGGCGGGGTCCAACGTTTTCACCATGGTGTTAAAAGAGGTCAGTGCTGAATCTGCACGCAAGGTCAGCTTTATGACAGCAAGGTCACCGTTCACATGAACGACACTTTCGTTTCATGCATCATAGTCTATCAAGAAACCGCGAAAACTTACTGTATTGCCCCAGCTTCAGATAGATGCGTCCCAGCAATTCTGTCCTCCGGTAATGCAGCTCACCTCCGTAGCGTGCATCGCCGCGCCGAGACGCAGGGTGGTGGCGTCCCGCATGATCTCTCGGCGAGCACTGCGCAATGCACTCGTCTAGATAGCGTAATTCCTCCTCTAGTTCCGCGATTTCGTCCTGTAGGTGGAGCAGGACACGATGGTTAAGGTTTTCGAACTTTCGATACATAGGTGCTACAGCTTCTTCCCCAGACTTGGCTTGACTATCCTCCGAACCCTTGCTCAGTTTGTCTGCAAGTAGCTCGTACCCAACCATGGTGGTTTTGGACAAATCCGGTCCTGGTGGACGGACCTGATGGTAGTGTGGTTGCATAGGCGAGTATTGAGCCTGAGTGGACTGTGCCACTGCACTAGAAGCCATCGGTGGCCGAGCTGCCACGGCGAATTGGTTGTCATACCCTGGTGAGTATGGGGCTGAAGGTGCATGGGGAGGCGAATAGTATCCTATCGCTTGTGATACTGGAGGCGCAGGTGGGGGTGGAGGAGGGGCCGCTGGAGGAGCATAGTGTGCTGTAGGGGCAAAGCTGACAGGTGAAGCTCCCGACTGGGAATACGGATCGTAGAGAGGCATTGTCGGAGGGTAGTGTGGAGATGGTGCTCCCGTGAAGTGGAAGTCCCTATGGGGTTGGGGATTTTGCAGGATGTGCTCAGCGAGGGCCTGTTCCTGCCGCTTAAGACGCCTTATGTGACGGTCGGAGTGGTGAGAGGAAGCTGTAGAAGGAACTCTCGGCGGGGGCACACGCTCCAAAGCCATGCGGTCCGCGGGAGACGCCCGACGTGAAGGTCTAGCAGCAGTTGAGGCTCTGCTATTTTGCTTTCCTGTTGAATCACTGCTACTTTCGTCGTCCTCCTCAGCATTATCGTCCTGCCCCTCGCTGTCGTCTGTCGGTTCACTCACAGTGGGCTGAAGGGTGGGTCCTGAATTCGGGTGTGGTTCTGAGTCAGTCTCATCATCTTCGTAAGAGTCTTCGGCATTTGGTCTCCGCATTGACGCTGGCGAGGTTGGCGGTGACTCGACCACCGGATCCTCGGCGGTCAAAGAAACATCATCGTGCTCAGAATCCGTGGATGAGGATGAAGCACTTGATGAATGGCTTGCCTGGTGTTGCTTCTGGTTGAACGCGACTGGCTCCGTTGTCGGGTCCATGTACTGGAACACACTTGGCGATGCCATGCTTGTAGAGTCACGTGTAGAGCTCGGCCTCTTCGCTGGAGGTTGAGTCCTGCTTTTCATAGGCTTTCGCTTGGCGATTACTTTCTTGTCGTACGACTGTTGGGTGATTGTCGAGTTGCTTTCATTTGACGCGTTAGATTGATGCGTGAGTCCAGAAAGGACAGAAATCAGAGATGGGTTGTGCAAATTTGCAAGGTTCTTCTCAACGCGTTGCATTGGGTTCTTTCTTTGCCTGACCGAGCGGTGCCTCAATGCAGCGGCATCCACGGATCGATTCCCACGGCGTGGGGTATGGCCATCCATTGAGCTGACAATAGAGTCTCGCCTTTGTCTGGAGGCTTTGCTCTCCTTTCCTTCTAGTATACGACCGAGCTTTGGTAGGAAACCGCCTGTTTCCTTTCCTGTGTCCGACGGGGAGAGCTCTGAGGAAGCGACGGTTGGAACATTGGTGGTTCTACGAATTTTGGTCTGACCTCTTTTGGCCTTAAAAATGTCGTCCTCATTGGCGCCTAACCATGACCTGGACGAATATTCAGCCGCAACATCTGTAGCCGGTCTTGTATGCGAAGAGCGTCGTCGAAAATTCGCAGAAGCAGTTGAAACATCCGAGCCAAGGCTGCTCTGGATTAAAGCCGAACGAGTCTCTGAAGCTGGGCTATGGTGTCGGGTACGGTCAAAGGCGCCGTCAACAGCGGCTCTGCGGTCTGTCTGTGAAGCGTAGCACAGATCAGTATGGACAGAAGGCGCAGAATCGAGGAAAGTGGGGATTTAAGGAGTGGCTATTCTACCCACCATGCTACGTGTTCGCGCAGGGTTGCAGGCGATCCTGGCAGAAGTGGCTGTACAGTCAATGTATCTGGTATTGCATGGGCCAGCGTGAACCAAGAGCGGAGCAGAAGAGGGGCAGAATTTCGAATGTTGCGCAGTGTGCGATTCCGTGCATGCTGTCTAGTAACAAACACATACGATGTTGTGCGACAACGAGTCTATACGTGGGATGCTAAGGCCGCGGTCGTGGATCGAGTCGTCGCAACAACGCTGCGCCAGCAAAAGTATCACAGTGGCGGTTGCAAGTGACAGGGAGCTGGAACATGGCAAATGACGGTCGAGCAAGGCGCATGAGAGAGAAGGAGTCTTGGAGGACTGCGCGACCGAATAATATTATGCAGCCAGTCATTCACCGCCTCGTGTGTGCATATGGTTCACGGGAAGCGATGATGCCCAATTGTGCCTTCCGTGTGCCCCGGCCCTTGCGCTTGCCCAAGCTAGCCGCATCCCCATCCCCATTCGCCGGTGCGCTACTGCACGCAACTCATAGCGCATGTGCACACATGTTCTACCAGTTTAAATATTTCTTGCCATTACCTCGGAAGATAGACTGGGTCTATTCAGGCTTCGTCAATCGAGCTTGGTCTTCACAATTACCTCAATTGCTTTCGCCCTCAGTACAGGCTACTATTCGGTATGTCGATGGGCCGTTGGGCAATTCCAACGGTAAAAATGGTTTACTAGGTTGCTAGTGTACCAAGTGGGTAGCGGTGTAGTTGTAGCCTTCAGTTTGGGGCGAGCCGAATCGAACAACCAGCGCCAGCATATCGTTGGAGGAATTACGACTACTCTCGATGGTGACGCGTTGGAAGCAAGACAAGATGATCAGCGCTGTTAGCATCTTTGGTCCTAACCAAAGAGCGCAAGTTGAAAAAATGAACGGGATCTACGTTTTCGCGGCATCTACGGTCTACAACCATCACCTTTAATCCATTCTAAACCTACGGTTTCCTCGCAGGGACATACTCTGGCAAATCCATCAGCAAATCCTTCTTCACGAAGCACCTCCAGTCTCGCGGATATCGCCTACTCGGCAGACCCGCATAGTGCCACTCCTTCCTCTTAGTCCCCTTCTCTCCTAGAACATCTTCGTGATGCTGCGCCAACTCTCCGTCTCCGAATTCGTCCCCAACCGCAATTAGCATGCATGTGCGCGCGCCTAGCAACCGGCCAAGATCGCGAATAAATGTCTCCCATTCACCCTGTAGTGCGTATTCAAGGTAGAGAAGGTTCAGGGGTGGTCCGATGCCACTGGGCAGCGTACCATTTGGTTTGAAGTCCGTGTGATAGGACGTATACTGCGAACGCTTAAGCTCGGAAGGTACAATGTGAGCGCGGATAGGTACCTCGGTCAACGAAGCTATGATACGATCATCGTTCCCTGCCAAAGGTGTACGCGTGCTCTTCTTGTCCCTGCTGTCGAGGATACCCGGGACTTCCTGGTTCTTCTTCACTTTTCTGGCCTGTAGCACGCGCTCGCTGGATGTTGGTTTCAATCCACCTTTTCCGGCATATCTAACGCCCATGAGGTGGTGGAGCATCTCTTCGTAGAAGCAAGCAACCTTGTGTCGGCTCACTATACATGTAGTAAATTGACGCCAGGATAGATGATTGAGTTGTCTAATGTTGCCCGCTATGCTCCGGAGCGTCCGAGCTAGATCATCGCTCGTGTAGTCTGCGTTTGTCCTCGGTCGAGTTACTACGATGAGAACGTCTGATAGAGTTGGGGCTTGACGCAGCGAGTAATCTCTGATTCGGCCGGGAAGGGTTGTGAATTGAGTATGTCTAGACTCTTATCGTCAGTTTAAATTTTCAGGCACTGTCGCCAATTCTTATTCTATGCCATAGTTTGGGAAAGAGCTAAGCATTGGCGAGCCTAGAACACAGTGACCTACCTGTAGGTCTTACTTTCATGAGCGGAATCAGGAGGAAGAGCGCTAGACATCTTTGCATGCACAGCGTGTTCGATGACACAGCATTGACTGTCCTAATCACTTGTTGAGATTCCTATCACCCCGAGCGTGCGTTGCACGTACCTTTTGTATAAGAGCTTCTGAGTGTGGTATCAAGTTTGGCGTCGGTACACCAGTGGCCCTCGGTGTAGGACTACCGGAAGAGACATCGCTATGGTGCTTTACATGACCTTTTAGCCTGAGAGGTGTACTAGGACTCGGAGGGGCTTGCGGTTCGAGTGCGCCTTCAGGTGGACTAAGACGAGGGTGTGGTCGCGCACTTCGTAGACGGTGATCGGCCGGTGTTATTTGTGAAAATAATCTGATCTGATCCTCTGTCAATTCTATCGATTTGAATTCAGTCGTATCTGGCGACCGAGAATGCTCTATCTTGCTGTATGATGATGATTTGTTGCTAACCTTGCCTTCTTTACTGGACGAGGCTGCACTCGCTGTTGGCAACAGTACAAGGGACTCGCTATCGCCGTTAGATACCGTGGCAGGCTGTATCAATGCAACCTTGAAAGATTTCTCTGATATTGTAGCAGTCAAAGTACTCGTAACTTCTTCGCTGGCTCGCATTGGTGAGGCGGAACGTGATGACAGCGTTCGGTCGTCCGTCTCAGCATCGTACACCGTTCCAGCGTAGGAGGTCAGACTATCCAAATACCGTCGCAGCATCTCATTTCCGTTTGTTTGTTCTCCCGCTATGTTCCTCGGCAGCTGCGTTCTTAATCTTGCAACTTCTTCCAGAATCTGTGTTGTGTCCTCTCGTATCGCAGCAGTAACATCCAGAATCTGCGAAGTGTCTTTCTTTGTATCCCTAGCGATGATGATGGCCATCATGTCGAGCGCAATCTCCAACGCCGATTTGTGCGCTTCCAATGTAGATCTCAACCTCGCCATGTGCCCTTTGCCACCACCCACGGTCCAGTATCCAGCCTGACCCAACTTCGAATTCTCATGTCTGGTTAGGCTGTACTTCATCTCCAGAACGACCTCATTGCAATTGGTGATGATCCCGTGAATTTGAGCCTGTAGAGCGTCTGGGAACGATACTGGGTTGTTCTGAGATGCGTCTTCAGCCAATAGTCCCAGAACGGTCTGCAAAGATGAAAGCTCCCGTGACACGACATCCAAGCCGTGACGCGCTTCGCGCACCTCGCGAACGAAGCCTGTGACGATTGTTGAGGTTTTGCTGATAGTGGCTACGAGCGCGACACAACCCGCAGTCAGGGAGATGGGGTCCATGCTGACACTGGACCGACGACGTCCAGTTGAGGTACGACACGAGGCTGAAGGCTGGGTCCTGCAGTCGCGCGCAGGGAGGAGGCGCAAGCTGTGGCTTGTGGTTCGAGCCAATCGTAGTGTCCAGGGTACCGCAAATGCCATTAGACCTTCCCGAACCTTTCAGCTGTATCATCGAAATTCTTCATGTCAAAGAGTGACAAAAGAATAGTTATGTAAAAAATGCGTGCATTGGAGAAATCATGATCCGGACACAAAAATACAATCGTCCCTATCAAAACACCATCAACACCCATACAATGATCCCCCAATCCAACCCAAAGGGTATTCCAACGCCGCTCGCCATTGAATGCTCACCGCCAAGTCCAAACCAACATATAAATGACCCCAGCTTTTCATCTATCTAAGTCTCTACGGCGATCTCGGCAGAAGGAAGAGGTGCAGCAGATGTAGCACTCGTTTGAGTGTCGTCTCTGATGGAGGGACCAGCCTCAGCTGCAGCCGCCGACTTAATGGCTTCTGCGCCGGACACGTCGGTCTCCGCCCATGAACCCCAAAGGCCTCGCTTGGCACGGATGCGGATCGGTCCGCCGAGTTCGTTGTCTGTGGTCTGCTGCTCGACTTTGATGGCATCCTTGGTGCCGAGGACAAGAATCTCGTTGAACATGCGAGCGATGTCGGGCTTTGCCGTTGTGGTCTCGGGAAACATGCCCTGGAACGAGACGGCTGTGTTCCTGCGTTCCTCCTCGCTTGTCTCAGCCGCATCGCCGAAGACTTGTCGTAGAAGATGGACAGCATGCTTGGTCTCTAGAGACACGACGCCGCTATCTGCAGGGTGGAGGAGAGGAGCCGTTGTGACATCGAAGTCGTCCGGAATAGGTGAGAAGACCTCCTCCTCTTCCTCTTGAGGAATGAACTCAGGCTCGTCTGCAGGTAACTGGAAGTGTTCGTCCTCTGCTTGAATTTCAGTGTCGCCACCAAGGCCGCCACCTTCTTCAATCTCAAGCTGGTCCTCTTCGAACTCCAACTGGGGTGTCCGCTCTGCAGATGCCCGTGCTTCGTCCGCAGTAGCAACATCAGCAACCGCGCTATCGCGCTTTCGCTTCTGTGCTGGACGAGACACAACCTCCAAGGAGAGGATACCCCTCAATTCTGGCGCCCAGCCTTGGCTTCGGCCATCTCTAAGGATGCTTGATACAAATCCACCTGACTTCTGCATGTTCATGAGAGCCAGAAGAAGCGGGTCTCGGGGTAAAAATGAGGCGGGCTTGAGGATGTCCTCGCGGTTGTTTTGCTGTTCGCGGATTTCGGTGGTGGAAAGCTGCGTCTGGGTGTCCTGCTGGATGACTCTTCGCCGTTTAGCACGGGCTTGATGTTGCTCCTCTTCCTCCTCTGGCTCCTGTTCAGCGGCAGGTTGAAAAACGCTCACTTCCTGCTCTAGGGCGCGTTCTTCCTCTTCACCGAGCTCTGACAGAGGCGACGCTGAGCGCTCGCGCAGAGGCTCCTCCTCCGGGAGCACGGGCTCGTCAAGATCACCCAGCTCGGTCATACCGCCCATGGGGACGTCTGTGTCGGTGATGGTGATATCGGGACGGCCGGGCATTTCGGTAAGGTCGTCGCCGAGATCAAGTCCAAGATCGGCCTCCGCCTCCAACTCTGTTCTCTTGTCTCCGATCTCGGTTCCAAATTCCTCCTCTAAGGATCGTGCAGCTGGCGCATCACGACCAATTTCGATGCTAGTGCCCTCGTCCAATGGAGCCATTAAGTCAAAGTCTTCTCCAAGATCAATTCCCAGATCTTCTTCCTCGCCCAAAATCTCTGCTTCAGCGCGTCGAGGCTGTTCGATACTGCCAGAAAGAAATTGGCTGCTATCCATGTCCCAATCACCACCGAGATTCGGAAGACCCAAGTTCTGCAAGTCAAGAGCCTGGGACAGAAGCAACGAGGGGTCAGGCATGGGCGCAAGCAGGTCAAAGTCGGTGATGGCATCGGCCAGCATGAGTGCGGCGGGGTTCGCAATGTGAGAGTTCGCGGGCAAGTCGATATTGCCGGGCTTGAAGGCCTGTCCTCAGTCAGCCTCCGCGCTATAGCCACGCGATGGCGAAGCAAGCTTACCATCTTGATCCTCAGAAGCGCGTCGGTGCAGTCGTCGAGCAAATAGCGCGCCTTCCTGTGGTAAATGCGCACCACGCCAAACATCAAAGAGCCGCTCAAGCGCAGCGAGAAGGGCGCCTGGGGGCGCATGATCTCGTTGATGTCCTGCTCGATCTTGTCCTGCAGGACCTGCTGCTTGGTGAGCTTCTTCTCGGCATTGGCCGCCAGCCAGACGTGGGCCAGCGGGCCGGAGCGCTGCAGCAGTTCGGAGGGGTAGAACATGGTGGTGGCGGTGGTGGTGGTGGGAGAGCGCGAGCCGAAGTGTGGGTGGAGTTATCTGCGCGCCTGGTAGGCTGTTGTTGTGATGGCGGCGCGTCGGCGGCCAGGGTCTACGCGACGTGTTTGTCGCGTGCGCGGGCGGCGTAGGTGAAAGCGCCGGGCGCGCGCCGTGCTTTCGCAATGACAGCGAGGGTGAGAGACGATGGGTCGGGCGTGTGTGGGTGTGCGGTGTTCACTGCAGTCGCATCCAAGGTTGAGGCTGGCTCCTCCCCGACGGATGGCTGGGAGCGCACGGGCCCGAGGCGTCCGCTTCGATTATGTCATCTGCGAAAGCAGCAAATGAGCTACTTCTCCTGCTACCTGACTGCTACACTGTCTGTATGTCTAGCTATGCGTATAACAATGGCTGAACGGGGCCGGGCCAGCGATGCGGCGCAGCCCCGGAATGCCTCATGCTCCGAGCATTCCACTGCATCAAGACCTCGTGGCGCAAGCAAGCATGGCCTTGACAGCACCATGAGACGCTCCAGGTCGCCTTCCGGCCCGAAGCCAGAAGACCGACATGCTCGAGATGCACACCGCAAAGTGACGTGCCAAATACGCAGCGCGAAAACACGAAGTCACTGGACGTGGGAAGGCCCGCGCCCACATGCAGCACCCGCATGGCCTAACGCGGCCGCGCCAAGCCAGTGATCCACGGCCAGCGATGCACACATCCAAGACCATCGTCTTCAGACGTTCACGGAGGGCGCTACCTGCTGCAGAGCTGCGTAAGAAACGGCCACGTGATTCTCTGCGCAGCTCCCAAACGCGACCTGAGTCGTGAAACTGCCGCGAGAGGAATTGGACCCCCGGTCTTCCATCTGAGGCGCCCGGGTCGTGTCTAGCCTACGTTTTAATCCATCAAGCCAGATCGATCAGTCTGCTCCTCAAAGAACCCGGCCCCCGCCGTCCTTTCGCTCCTTACCACCGTTCGCTGCGTGCCATATCCTCCGTCAGCATCCATGAGATAACCAGGGCTTCCTCGAATTTCCCTGTCGCTGCCCCTGCCGCGTACTCGGCCTCCGCTCAGAGCGTCACGCATCATTGGCTTTTGGCCTCTGGCCATGCAAACATGTCTAGAGTCTCTACGCCGTCGCTGCCGCTGTACAACCCCTCTCATGGCCCAGACTCGGCCCCCCGTGCAGCAACGCCCTTGCTGTCCCCTCCAGAGCCGCACCGACGGTCAACACCATCGGTACGTTGCCCGCCTGTGCTGCCACGGCCACGCGGTCGCGCATTGAGCTAATCGCAGTGTCCTCACAGTCAATAACGTCGCAATTCTCCCTGCTATCCTCCCATGAAACCGCACGGAAACTCGAAACGTCAGTAGCCCGCGGCCTCTCCTCGTCCACCGCGTCAGCACGAATCCATACCCATGGCCTCAACGAGCTTCCTCACGAGGACCCTGAGCCCCTATGGCTCCGATTTCTCAAACAATTCAAAGAGACACTGATACTGTTGCTGCTCGGCTCGGCTGCCGTGTCTCTTGTTATGGGCAACCTGGACGATGCCGTCAGCATAGCGGCCGCAGTAACAATCGTGGTGACTGTGGGATTCGTACAAGAGTACCGGTCTGAGAAGTCACTGGAAGCTCTGAACCAGCTTGTTCCTCACTCCGCGCATGTTATTCGCGCTGGAGCGGAGCAATCTCGAAGTGGTCGGGTCTCAAACGGCGTGGGCGCTGGGAATGAGGGATTGGACGAGGTCAAGGATACACCAGCCTCGTTGGAGGCTGCTGAAGGCCGCTCGAGCACTATTTCTGCCACTCTACTAGTACCGGGTGACTTGGTGCTCTTCCACACCGGCGACCGTATCCCCGCGGACATCAGAATAACCCACGCTGCCGACCTTACGATCGATGAATCCAACTTAACGGGAGAGAACGAACCCGTTCCCAAGTCGCCAGACGCCCTCGAGCGCGCGAATAGCCTTCAGCGGCCGCAATCACCCTTCTACGCGTCCCCTGCTGCTGGCACCGTTGGCGCTGATATCCGCTTGAATGACCAGAAAAACATCGCTTTCATGGGAACTTTGGTCCGGTCTGGTTACGGACAAGGCTTGGTGATTGGTACCGGCGGCAACACTGAGTTTGGCGCTATTTCTGCCTCGCTTCAAGAGATCGAGAGCCCGCGAACTCCATTGCAGCTTTCAATGGACGCTTTGGGGAAAGAGTTGAGCTACATGTCATTTGGCGTCATTGCATTCATCATTTTGCTAGGCTTCTGGCGAGGATGGGAGTTTTTGGAGATGTTCCAAATCGGCGTTTCCCTGGCCGTTGCTGCTATTCCCGAGGGCCTGCCCATCATCGTCACCGTTACTCTCGCTCTGGGCGTGCTTCGCATGTCGAAGCGAGATGCCATTGTGCGCCGTCTGCCAAGTGTCGAGACACTGGCATCTGTCAATGTTGTATGCAGCGATAAAACAGGTATGTGCATGCGGATTATTCTCGAATAGTCACTAATGGTGCAGGCACTTTGACCACAAACCATATGACAGTGACCAAAATCTGGCATTTTGACGAGCTCTCCCCCATAGACGTGAAGAAAAAGCATGATTCGGAAGCCCTCGACTCTCCAACACGCAATATCTTACGGATAGGCAACATCGTTAACAACGCACGGCTTGTGGGGCCTCAAGCAGCGTCCACGGCCGCCGTTCTATCATCCACGATTGGCGACGACAACTCGGGAGCGAAGAGCCGATGGGTCGGGCAACCGACTGATGTTGCTCTTTTGGACCTCCTCGATGCTTTCAGTGAAGACGACGTGAGAGAGAGACTCGGCACTCGTCTATATGAAACACCTTTTAGCTCCGAGAGGAAGTGGATGGGTGTTGTCATCAGTGGGAGTGCGGGTGCCGACCTGGCGCCTGGTCCGGATGTGGCGTATATCAAAGGTGCTTTGGAAAAAGTGCTCGATCGTTGCGATACGTATGTCAATGCTCAGGGACAGGAGGTGCCATTGGATCAGGGTCTAAAACAAGAAGCGGTCAAGGCCGCCGACGTAATGGCCCAAGATGGGCTGAGAGTGCTGGGCTTTGCCAGCGGTTCCAAGTCTGGCCGCAAGGGGACCAGTGGCGCAGCATCACCGGCACCCTCCAGTGTTTCGGCGCTAGGTGATGACGAACACTATCGAGGCCTGGTGTTTGCCGGCCTCGTAGGCATGAACGATCCTCCCAGAAAGGGGGTAGAAAAGGCCATTCGGCGCTTGATGGCTGGTAAAGTCAAGGTTATCATGATCACTGGAGATGCCGAGACAACGGCGGTTGCAATTGGCAGAAAGCTCGGTATGCCGATCACCATGAACTCGTCCATGGGACGGTCCGTCATACGCGGGGATGAGTTGGATCAGATGAGCGAGGAAGAGCTCTCACAAGCCATCGCAACAACCTCGATATTCGCCCGTACCAGTCCGGAACACAAGATGAAGATTGTGCGCGCTCTACAAGCTCGTGGCGACGTCGTAGCGATGACCGGCGACGGTGTCAACGATGCCCCGGCCCTGAAAAAGGCAGATATTGGTATCTCCATGGGACGTCTCGGCACCGATGTCGCAAAAGAAGCTGCCGACATGATCCTCACTGACGACAACTTCGCGACTATCCTCAACGCCATCGAAGAGGGCAAGGGCATCTTCTACAACATCCAAAACTTCATCACTTTCCAGCTTAGCACATCCGCCGCAGCACTAAGTCTTGTCCTCCTCAGCACCTTCCTCGGTTTCCAGAATCCGCTCAACGCCATGCAGATTCTCTGGATAAGTACGTATCCCCAACGGCGATCACTACGCCCCACTAATACGCCACAGACATCCTTATGGACGGCCCACCCGCGCAATCCCTGGGCGTTGAACCCGTCGACCCTGCCGTGATGTCGCGTCCTCCGCGCCCCCGCCAAGCGCGTGTCCTCACGCGCGCCCTCATCCAGCGCGTCCTCCAATCCGCCTCCATCATCATGCTCGGGACCCTCTTCACCTACTACCGCGAGATGAGCGATGATGGTGAGATCACCGCCCGCGACACTACCATGACATTCACCTGCTTCGTCCTCTTCGACATGTTCAACGCACTCACCTGTCGTTCTGAATCCAAGAGCGTCCTCGCTGGCGAAATCCAAGTCTTCGGCAACAAAATGTTCAATTATGCGGTAGCCGGGAGTTTGCTGGGACAACTTATGGTTATCTATTTTCCACCGCTGCAGAGCATTTTTCAGACGGAGGCACTGGGGCTGCTGGATATAGTGCATCTGGTTGCGGTGGCGAGCTGTGTGTTTTGGGCAGATGAGGCGAGGAAATGGTTGAAGAGGAGGGGGCTGAGTAGAGGCATGCCCGGGGGATATAGCGCTAGTGTATGATATTGTGGTGTCGAAGGCTTCGGCAGGCTTGGATAGTAGGCTGTCGGGCATGGAATAGAGAATAGTAATGAGCATTTTCATGTCTCGGAAATGCTGGTCATGTGATGGAGCCGCTATCGCATGGCTAATGTATCTCTAGATCTCTCCTTCACCCCCACTTCAATACGCCCTGTGCATCCTCTGCATCCCTTGCGCCCTCTTCCTTCAGCCCCTCAATCCTCCTTAGCAGCATGTCACTAGTCTCCGGCTCGTACTTCAACGCTTCCCTCAGATACCCCACGGCTGCATCCACATCACCCATCCCCTTGCACGCCGCATGCGTCCTAAAGCTGAGCTTCGCCTTGCTCTTCCTCACCAACAGCAATGCCCGCGGCAACTCCGCTGTTCTCGGCCTACCCCACTCAGGCCTCGCGGTCAGAAACCTAATCGCCTCCTCGGCAGCCTTCCTCGCTTCCACAAATACAGCATTATCCTCCTGCTTGTTTCCGGTAGGTACTGTGCCCATCGGCGCCCCGGTCGCTATGTTCAGCAGCACCTGTACAGTCCCTGCGCACACACTACTGTGCATCAACCACAGCTGCAAAATCCCATCGAACGGCGTTCCCGCAGCCATGCACTCCTCGTGGTTCTCCCACACCATCTCCGCATACCGCCTCGCCATGCCGAGCTTTCTCGCCGCAGCTTCCCAGCCGTTTTCCGCGCGGTCCGCCGCACAGTTCAGCAGGCTCTGAAGCTTGCTCAAGTGCCCGCTAGCCTCATATTTCCCCTTTAGCTTTTTGCGGAGCAGCGTGGCGGTGCGCGGGGCTACGCCTGTTGTCGAGACACCAACGAAGGAGGGCCGGAGGAAGCCGGTGGTATACGGATTCCGCAGCAATTTCTCCTCAGCCTCGTCCTGTGTGTGGGAAAACGTATCTACCATATTGACGGCGAGCTCCGCCTGCATGGTCCAGATGTAGAAACTGGGACTGCCCTGCGCGTCCACCATCATCTTGAGTGAACTTGCGGGGACTAGGAATGCCGCTGTGCTGGTAGCTTCTTTGTCGGACATGAACATGTGGAAGTCGAGCTCCATGGCAATTGGGGCGTTGGCGGCGTCTTTTTGGACTGAGAAGTCTGAGGAGCGAAGTTGTGAGACGAAGGTCATGGTGCTGGGGCCCCATTGTGTGGTGAGTGTTTTTGAGATGAATTCTGGGTCATTTGTTTTGAGGAGGACAAGCAGTTGGGATTTGAGGAATGCGATTATCTCGGCGTGGATTTGGCGATTCAGGGTGAGGAGGGTGCAGAGAGGGGATGCTGGGACGGATGATGGACCGGCTGTAGAAGATGGGGTATTTGTGAGGAGGCTTTCGTAGATTCTCTCGCGAATTTCTAGGGGTAAGCCACTGAGAGAGGGATGGGCCATTGTAGGCTGGATTAGCGTTTTAACTGAGGTTCATCCTGATAGGTTGTTGTTTGCTGGTGTATTTATACACGCGATCCTGCGATCGATTTGGTGTAGTTCCACGCTGCCATCGCTAGCGCCGCCAGATTGGGGAGGGCACCAGGCCGCCGCATGCTGCCCAAGAGTTTACTGTCGCAAAATCTTACTCTCAGATATACGTGGCTCCTTCCTTTTAAGAATTTCCTATACGCTTTTAACTAATCAGTTGGGACAAAAAAGAATGACGAAATGCTCCACAAACGAAGGGAACTAATGTTGACAAGAGTCAGATAATTCACATACTATCTCGCTATGCCACACCCTCATTTTCAATTTCCACACCTCTGATATGGCCTTATCTAATAGCAGAACGTGTTTTCCGGCTTGGCCCTTGAAGCAGACGTAGCAGAGATGTCATTTAGTGATGTTTTGGCGTACCAACGGTAGCCTCCACCAGAAATTTGCCCTAAGTCTAGCCAATAGCGGGATACACCATCCCACTACCAAAATTCTCAACGAAGCGCCGGCGTCAGCGTATCGAGACAGAGGCTTCTCGAGGTAGACTTCAGTGAAATAAAATTCAAAGATGATATATTATTTTTATGCAAAATATTATATCAATCACATGATTACCAGTACGATTGAATCAACGGCGTGGTGGCGGAGTGGTTATCGCGCAAGACTAGAAATCTTGTTCCTTCGGGAGCGTCAGTTCGAATCTGGCCCACGTCGATCTTTTTGTTGTTTGTGATGAGTTGAGGCAGTGCTCAACGTTCGGTTTTTTTTTTTTTTTTTTTTTTGGCAATTAGGCAGCTATGCTGCACTTGTCGCTTTTGCTTGATTACGCTAAGAAGGTTTTGCGATCTGGACAAGTGTATCTAGCCTACGAAATCGTGCAGATGATCTTGCCCTTCGTCTTGTTCTCTTCCATCAATTGGTGCGCATCCTGGATCTGCTCCCACGGAAACACCTTCTCCACAGGGATCTTGAACCTGCCATCCTTGAATCGCGGCAGCGCATGCTCGACCAATTGATCGCGCAGCTTTCCTTGGTATTCCTCATCTCTACTCCTCAAGCTGCTGCCCACAAACGATATCCTCTTCCTGACGAAAGCACTCACGTCCACACCTTCGGGTAGCTTCGCACCGCCCATGACTGCCAAACTAACGCACACACCATCCCTGGCAAGCGCGTTGAGGTTGTCCCCAAAGTACGGTGCACCGATGTAGTCAACAATTATGTCTACACCCTTGCCATCCGTTGCCTTGAGTACTTCCTCAGCCCAGTTCTGCGTGGTGGTGTTGAATGCAGCATCAGCACCGAGTTCCTTTGCAAACTCGCACTTCTCGTCCTGCCTCGCGGTCGCATATATCGCCGCCGCGCCATCCGCCTTCGAAAGCTGAATACCCGCAATAGACACCGACGACGCAGCTGCATGCCACAGAATCGTCTTTCCCGGCGCGAATTTCGAAATCAAGTACATCGCCTGCGTCGCTGTGATCCACGTCTCCGGGATACCCGCACACTGCTCCCAGCTCAGCTCCTTCGGCTTGCGCACAAGCATGTGCGTGCTGACGGCGATGTACTCTGCGTAGGCGCCGCCGTAGGCCAGCCCGAAGACCTCGTCGCCTTTGTTGAAGCCTTCTTTGCCGCCGCCGTCGGCGCCCAGCTCTTCGATTATGCCGCTGAATTCTACGCCGAGGATCTTGGAGGCGCCTGGCGGGACGGGGTACATGCCCTCGCGTTGGAGTAGGTCCATCCGGTTGAGGCCGAACGCCTTGATGCGCACGAGTGCTTGCGAGGCGGCGGGCCTGGGACGCTCGACATTGGCTATGTGCAAGGCGGATCTAGGGCCTTTTCCACCCTCAATGTCTGTGGATGCGAGTCAATTTGGAGCTTTGTGAAAAATTGTAGCAGCTACTGACCCACTGCTCTCATTGTGTCCGACATGGTGAGTGTAGAGTTCGCGTTGTATCTGCGATTGTCGTACTTGTTTGATTTTAATCGGCAATAGCTTTCTTGAAAGTTTCAAACTAGGAAGAAGTATCAGTTTTTGAAGGAAAAGTGAGGCCGCGGCAGCGTGGGGCTTTGAGACAATGTGGATGCTGTTGTTCCGAGGCATTTCCGCATCACCGAATTGTCGGTCATGACGTAGCGGGGTATCCCAAGATCACCCAGCCAGAGCGGGGTCCAAACATGTGCTATAATTGGAACGCTCCACTGCACAAGCAGATTACCAATTGCTTTCTTGCGCGTTTAACGCCTGGGAAGGCAAATTTGTGCAACAAACGATGTTCAGAGCGAAGGGATTGTTGGTAAGCAACATTGTGCCGGATACTTTTCCATACGTAACTCATCTTCTGAGAACGACAATGGAACGCTCGCAAATGATTCATGATTAAAGGCTATGTCCATCATGAGCTCCTGATACCCTTCCAGAAGATATGTTGGCGACAGTGCGATTGACTGCACACAACTACACGAGGTTCTTGTTCCTTCCAGTGTTGAAGGTCGGAGCATGACAAATAAGACCATTTCGCCAGACTATTCCGGAGGAGAAAACGAGACGAGCGGACAAAGCGGTTACTAGCAGATAGGCGAATGACGATGCGATGGGATTGAGATTCGTTCAGCTATAAAGTCTCGAGGCATTGGTGGCGGGCAGGTTGAGCATTCTGGCCCCACTCATCTACAAGCGGTCCAAGGTTTATCAACGGAATCTCTGGGCTGGATTGATTTGTATAGCTTGCGGAAAGACCGCCTATCCAAAGTGAAGTAGTGAGAGCATTTTGTTGATGGTTGGGCGCTCAATGAATATGAGGTGGTTCACGACTTAAGATGCGCAACTCACTCCAACAGATTTCATGTGCCTTTATTCGGTTTTTCGGGTTTACTTATCGTGCGGCTCGTGCGAAAACATGGAGTGAACACCTCGACTGGCACCGATGCAACCTACTGACTCTATACATCGGGAGAGCAGCGAGTCAAGGCATTGGTGCAGCTCAATCGCGTCATCACCACCATGTAAAACGTATACACTAAATGCTTGACATCCCCACTCTGAGCGAACGACTTGTATGAGGCTCCGAACATTTACCGCAAGTACTCCTTGCGTGATACAAAAGGCGCTGTTCTCCGCGATCTGATCAGTCTGTGCTGCAGGTTTTCCACTACACGCAGCGTTCGACGACTTCACCAAAACTGTGCGCTGCACGCTCCGAAATTGGATTCATTCTGGCCTGTCATGGTGTCAAAGTCTGAGGAGACCGACATCGGCGTCACTTCGTCCTTTGATTCTGATGCACGACCAGCTGAGGACGAGAATGCATGGATCCGTTTCATGACAGCGTTGAAATGGTATCCAAAAGGCATGCCGGCAGAAGAGAAGTCACTTGTACTCAAGCTCGACCTCAGCATTCTCATATTCGGATGTTTGTCGTTCTTTACGAAATACCTCGACCAACAGTCTCTCACAAATGCCTATGTTAGGTGAGCAAAGAAGACGCTGATCTCGTCACTGAGATTGCATACTTACACAAAAACAGCGGGATGAAAGAAGAGCTTCATCTCTTCGGTAATGAGATAAACTATTTGACGGCGACTTTCTGGGCATCGTACTGTACTTTCATGATTCCGGCATGTTACTTCCTGACGCACTACCCAGCGAACCTAGTCTTGCCGATTCTTGAAGTAGGCTGGGGCCTCTCAACATTTGGTCTGGCTTGGGCACAGAACGTCGAGACTGTATATGCAATGCGCTTCTTTACCGGTGTCTTCGAGTGCTGTAGCTTTACAGGCACGATCTACGTCATTGGAAGCTGGTACAGGCCTTCTGAAGTTGGAAGACGTGTTGCATTGTTTTACGTCGCCGCTCCGCTGGGAACGATGTTCGCGGGGTACTTGCAAGCGGCCGCCTATACAAATCTGAACGGTGTTCACGGACTGAGCGGGTGGAGGTAAGTCACTGCGGCATGTATCTCGCAAGGATCGAGCTAATTGCTACAGGTGGCTTTTTATTGTCGACGCCATCATCACACTCCCCATATCTCTGCTAGGCTTCTACATCTTTCCAGACGTACCGTCGAGAAAGAAACCGCGCTTTCTGTCTGATTCCGACCATGTCTTTGCCCAAAAGCGCATTGCCGGGAAGACTGCGCCCCCGCAACTCAAGATATCGCGATCTATCTTCCGTCGCGTCTTCGCGCGATGGCATTGGTACCTCTTTGTCGCGCAATGGTCCATCATGGACCAGAACTTCCTGCCTAGTGGCTCACCGTTCTCATTGTATCTGAAGGCGAACAGCCAGATCTACTCAGTTGTGCGTATCAACACTCTACCCACTATTGCCACAGCAGTGAGCGTCATTGTTGCGCTCACGTGCGGTATCATCGCAGATAAGACGGGGAGATTCTGGCTGCCTGCATATGTGGTCACTCTGCCAGTGATCGTCGGTTGTGCACTGTTAGTCTCTTGGGACGTTGGTGAATCTGGTCGACTTGCGGGTTTCATCCTTACAGGATTCGAAGGAGGTGAGCTGATCGCAACACCCGAAGATTCGGTAATGACTGACTTGATGCAGCGCTTTCCCCACTTACGATGGGCTGGGCTACTGTCACTATGGCTGGCGATGCTGAGGAGCGTGCAGTTGTCACTGCGAGTATGAACGCTATTGGACAAGGCATCATGGCTGGCACACAGGTGGTGCAGTATGCTGCGACTGATGCGCCGAGGTTCAGAGGTGGCTTTGCGAGCAATCTAGCAACTTCGGTTGCACAGCTTGTGTTGATATCAGTGATCTTGTGGCTCAGCTCGCGTGACAAGAAGAAGGTGGGGGACGCACAGGAGAAGGTGTTGGGTCACGGAGAAGCTGCTGTCGCTGCGAAGTTGTAACATGTGCATAGTACAGGTATCCTGGTGGAAGGAGACACAAGTACTGGCTGCGCTTTGAAATACGCGCCGCATGGACTGTTCACCTCAGCAGAAAGACTTGAATCTGAACTTATATACTAAGGCCACTTGATACATCTTATCTAGGAGATGGAAGTGTATATGGTGGACATTAAAGCACTACTAGATGCTCTTCAAAAGCGTACTTCAGAGAATATTATTGCCTACGATAACTACCTTACAAACCACTACGAATTGTTTTCCATGATTGCCTGACTCATTCAGCCTTTAAAACGACATTCTTGACCAGAGAAGACGTGGAATTAGTGCCCATACGTTAAGTTGTTGACGATCCCAAGAAGGGAAATGCCGTCACGCTTGTTCATGAAAGTTTAGTGGAATTTCTGGTATCTAATGATAGCAGTGACGATCCTGGGCGCTCCATGTTTTGAATGGATGCAGAAGTAGCCATCTTCCAGTTAGGTCAAAGATGTCTCGAGTACACCTAAACCAGCTGTGTCGTAGAGAGATTTACGTGCGACAACACTGATCAGATTCAAAACAAGTATCCATTTTTGCGATACGCTACATTGTACTGGACTGATCACATAACAGCTTCGACCAACCAGGGTTCACAGCTGTTACGAAAGGATAGCATAAGCTTGATGAACGGACTCATTCCTAGGGTCTTGTTGCATTGGCTCCTGTCTTGTCTGCTCGGGAACAACGTTGGACGGTTCGCACTTGCTGACTGACCTTAAGATCACTTCATTTAATTGCTGCTGCAAGCATCTATGGAATAATATTACCGATCAGAATAGGACGTAATGCATTATTCAAATTGGCCCTGACCTTCACGTAAGCGATGTAGGCTGATGGAAGTAGAAAGGGAGTTGAATATCAGCTACTTGTTATACGCCACTGCATACAGGACGGCGGACTGGAAACTTTCAGACTATCAACAAAGTCTCACACGGATTATGTGAATCCTTACGAAACTCTTTCTCGAGTTCGGATCCCGCTCATCAGCTACGACCCTCCTCACCTCTTCAGCTCCACGCACGCATGCACTTCGTACAACCCCTCGTAACGAGCAAGCTCACCGCCTTCTCAGCTCCCGTACGTCGCACAATCCTCACCTTTCCGCACATACGCGTATCCCATACTTGACGTCGTGCTCATACCTCACGCACGAAACACACTCTGTCCCACCCGCACATACACTAAGATAACACCTGCACGCGCATATAGCTCGCCTCTACATGCACGTCATACCCATACTGCATCTACCCATCTGCACCTACACGCGCTTTCCCTTGTGTTGCATACACAGCTCCGACTCCGCACTTTTGAACGACAAAAGCTCGCACTCCGCACTCCCCTTACGCCAGCAAACCGGCCAAGCCAGCAAGCCTACCTCTACATGTTCCACAAAGCTGAGCAGAGACCGGAGCGGGGACGTATGGGGTTCGCGTCGGAGAGATGGTGGGCCGCTGGACGCGTGGGCTGAGGTGAGATTGTGTAGCGACCGCGTGGGAAGTACACGGCGGAGTGGTTGCTGGGCGAAGAGGGAACGAGGGAGGGCTATGCAAGGTGGTACGGCGTGGGAATTGCGGTGGGTTTTGTGAATGTTGTGTCTGCAATGGTAGGTGTGTCTCACGCTTGAGCACATTTTGAACGCAAGCAGACTGGCGATGAGGCGCAAAGAAGAGTGAAGATGTATAGAGAAAGGTAGTCGTAGTCGAAGCATATACACAAAGATAAATAGATAATCAATCAATCGACCAAGCCAAGACGAACCCGCAGCCGCCCATTAACCGCCGACTTGAACGAGAGCAACGAAAGCACACCTACGCACACAATCAATCGTGTACATCCAATCCCAATCTGTCGAAACAAATTCCTTCACCATAAACAGCAAACGCAAGACAAAAGAAGGCCGAAAAGCCCTCGACGCCCGCTCCGCCCAGCCGGTGGTATATTCCAGTCTTCTCTCTGCAACAAATACAACGCGCTGAAAAGGACATAAGAGATTTCATAATGCAGAACAGGTCGTAGCGAATGAGAAGGGGTAATTATGCCAACAAGGAAAGTTCCAGCCATGCCATCCTGCTGCTCTCATGGGGTATCATCGAGCCGGTAATAGGAGAACGATCCCTGCCCGTCGACACGGTGCGTAAATAAGCAAAACACAGGCGCAGATAGCAAACAAATGAACCGGGATGTATATCATGGGTCAAAAGGGATTCGTAGACATATGTCGATGGTCGTCAGGTCGTTTCGATTCGTTTCATCTCGTGCGAAGCAATGAAGCGGTAGGTTCTAGAACAGGCTTCAGATGTTTCCGAAGAACTTGTTTCCAGCCCATGATGAAAAGTGGTAACGGTAGGACTTGAGAGGGGGGTTTAGCTCTCAGTATTCGTTCTCTGGTGGATATAATATGCGATCAGTCGTATCCGGCGGACGGGTCAGTTTCACTGGCGGTTTCCAACCTGCTCCCCGGTGGCAACAGCTACAAGCGCTTCCAATCGCCTCATATCATTCGCAGGCGGCTGGGTAATTGGCGGACCAAAGGTAACGTGTCCTCTCTCCGACTGTTGATAGGAACGATACGACGGGGTCGACAGACTGTGGCTATGATATGATTGCTGCTGATTGTATATTGGGTGAGGTCTGTCCATAATTGACGTGCGGACGGGCTTGTGTTCTTCAACAGGTGCCTCCGGAGGGTGCGACTCTACATAGCCATTGCTGTGTACGATGGCTGGATGATACTCTGTCATCGTGGAATTGGAAGGAGTTGGAACTCCTTCGCTGCTGCTTGAATCTTCTGGCGAAGTCCGCTGTACCGCTCGGATCGGTTGAGGAGGTATGTTGGGGTTCACAGGCCCATTGTACCAGGCTTGACGCTTGTTTCTTTTTGGTGTAACTGGGGTTTCCTGCGACGTCCTGGCTGTCTCAGGAATAGGGTGTTGCATTCCAGGGGAGCTATTGGGCTGCTGGTTGAAGTAAGCTGGGTGGGGCGCGGTTGTAGGACGAGCATGTGTAGTTTGTCCTGGGCTTCTTTGGTACTGAGCCCACGCTTCTCTTTGGTGATTCGGGCTTGCTATCTCGAGATTGGTAAATCCCCTCTGCAGGTTCGTATCCCATGAGATACTAGTGCGCTTCTCATGCTTGATCGCCGGACGAAGATCCGTAGGAGCGTGGTATGTGAGTGGTCGCGTGGGTGCATCGATCTGCATGGGGCTTGGTTGACGGCGCGGCATCGGCGGGGGTGGGGCGTGGTCGAAGCTTTCAATTCCAGGCAACCTTGTTTGGGACGCAGCAGGTTGCGATGTAAATGAAGGGCGCGGGGCATCCGGAGTTTGGTGATAGCCTAGTCCGCTAGTAGCAGGTCGAGGTCCGGCATACGATCCTGGGTGCCATGTTCGTCTCCTCCAGTCTGCGTCTGCATTCGATTCCCTTCGTGAGCCGGGGAATTCTGGGGCGACCGGACTTGCGTAAGAGCTGCTCTGAGGGGAAAAGGTGCTTGATGGGGTAGCTGATGGAACAGGCGTAATATACTGGGGCGGGTATTGACCTGCAGGACCAGAAAAGGGATTCCCATTGGAAGGCACAGAGAGCCGCCTTCCACTCGGCATGGGCCCAACTCCGCTCCAAGAAACAGGTCGTGAAGCTGACGCCACAGGCGACTGCACCGCGGAGCTGAAACGACTCGGACTTCCGGTGGCTGTAGAGAATGTGGCCGACGTCGGCGTTGTGGCATCGTTATAGTCGACAATCTGCGGCCCGGGGCTACCCATGAGCGGGGGATTGTATGCGTCCATGGTGTTGAGTGACAAGCGTGCCCTTGCAGGCCCGTCGTTGGCCATGGCAAGTGGAGGTGGCCGGCGACGCACGTCCGGAGACGGAGCTACGCTCATGCTCGAAGCCGTAGAGGTGATACTAGAGGATGAAAGGTTCCTGCTGTGCCCTCTGCTATGGCCCCCTGTGCTTCCTAACGTATTGGCACGGGAGCGATTCCCGGGTGGTCGTACACGGTCGGTTCGGATCTGCCTCTGGAATCGAGTGCCGGTCGCGGCGAGGGAGTCTCCCGGAATGTCTTCATTGACGTGGACTGTCTGCGCATGCTGTCGCAGGTTGTCAAGTCGGGAGAATCGTCGGGAGCAATGACACTGGAATGGTCGTTCGCCTGTGTGCTTGCTGCATACTATTAGCGTACTGCATCCCATGAACATAGCAACTCTCATACCGAATGTGGCGGGCTAGGTGCTCGCTTCGCGTGAAACTCAAGTGGCATGGCGGAAATTCTGTGCAAAAGAAGCGTTGACCCTTCTTCTTTTTCGAAGCTGATTTGGCATCCCCACTAACGCTTTCGTCTTCGGAACCGTCTTTGCCCTCTTCTTCGGCACCGCCCATCTCTACATCCTGTGAGCCCGCAGACTGTGAAGAACGATGCGAGTCTTCGCGCGATAGAGGGTGTCTGCTGGGGGTGGTGCTAAGCTCGCGTGAGGGCGTGAACGGCGAGGAAGGAAGAGGGCGCTGGCCAGCGAGACCAGCGAAACTGTTACGCGTCGGCGTTTTCGCCGAGGGATCTTCGGCGCGTGGGTCGTCCGAAGGCTTCGCGTCGTTGAAGAAGGTGCTATTCGGTCGAGGCGTAGTAGGTGTCGTCTCTTCGCCTGGACGTCCGGGAAGAGGTTCCGGCACGGCAAGGGTGGTGTTGACGGCTTGAAAAGTAGACATGTCGAAGACTGCGTGCGTTCGAAGACGCGGTTAGTATTAGACGTTGTCGTCTTGCGTCGCCGTGAGGACGCGCTGTGCCTCGCGACGAACGACGAACGACGAACGACGAACTCGCGGTCTGCACCGGAAGAGCTGATGCTCTGGGAGGCCACTCGGCCGCTGCCTGAAAGAACTAGTTGGTGAGCGGCGCGATATTGCGGAGCCGCATAGAGTTGGACAGTGTGCAGTAGGACCTCGCGTAGCGCCGGAGGAGGCTGGGAGTGAAGCTGATGACGAATCGAGGGAGCCGCACTTGTAACATCCGGGCCTGGTGCTCCAGTTGAAAATGAAGCGAGATAAACCAACGACCAGCCTTCGTAACGTCAGAACACACTTTGAGTAGGGTGCATCAGCAGCTGGACGGTGGTGTTGCGGGTTCGAGGTGGATGCGCCGAGTGCTCAGGGCAGTGACGCTGCGATAAGACGCTGGAGGGGCGATCCCCGCCACCAAAGGACGCGCTGAGCTGCAGCGTTTATGCACACCAAAGGCACGGGCGGAGGCGAGCAGGGTGCGGCTCTCACGGACGCACAAGGGCAGTTCCAACAGACGCCGAGGACCGAGCGACAGATTTGTGCAGGCAAGGTGAGCGGATTAGGGCAACCTTCGCCGTCGAGGACAAATTGCGACGCAACGGGCATGCGAGGGGCTGGTGCCATGTAAGCAACCTAGCGTCCTTTGTCGTCTGGTTGTGCCCTGGGGCCGAGCGTCGCAGCTGGGGTTCGAGTTCGATCCGCCTTGCGACGCGCCAACTCTGCTTGCAGATCCGTAAAAAACCCGGTCCTGCGTCCATCAAACCACACTTCAGGCGCCGACCAAGCCCATGCTCTAAGCACGGCACAAGTAAGAGCGAGCGTGGTGAACACTCGATTACGCATCAGGGCGCGCTGAAGGAACAAGTCCGTCTCGCAGCGGCGCCACGAGTCCTACAGTCCAGGAACCGGCCATGCAGGTGGAGCCTTTAGGCCATGCATCTATCCGGGACAGCAAGTACAGCGATGCCCAGCGCTGGTAATACAGGCTCGGATGTCCCTCCATGCATCCTGCCTCAGCCGGAAGATATCACTTCAACTGAAGCATCGTGCGCTTCGTCTTAATCAAGGCCGCAAACCAAGGTCTCACCGCCATGTTTCACGTGCCGTGTGAGACTCGAGCGTTGAGCGCACTCGCGGACGTGTTAAGCTCAGCCCGCAAAAGTCGTCAGCAGGTGCCAAGAGTGTCACTGTCCTGACGTGGCCATTGGTTGCGTATCCTACTTGGGGCGTTACGTGCAGAATACTAACACACCAAGCGCCGCTGCAAGGGCTGCTAGGGTGGGCTCGAACGTGATCCACAAAATAACACATACTTCTGTACCTTACTGAAGCGAAAGGCTAGTCGGCCGAAGGTGCAGCTAGACTTTCACGGAGTTGAGCATGACAATCGCGTTTCGATCCAAGAGACCGAGTCACCAACGGAAGGCGCGGGACAATTCCACGTTACCGTGTGCGCTGTAAGACCCATGTCTGGTACTGGGAGACCCGAGTGACTTGGCTTAGACAGTGGGCTCTTCTCGCCTCTGTCTGTCAGTTCAGATGTGCAGTAGTGTTAGAAGCGCGGCATGCGCGCGCCCAAGTATCCAATACTAAATGGTCAGCTGAGTGCTTCGTGTTCGGCAGGTCCAGAGCTATTTTGGTGTCAATTAAAGTTGCGGTGCAGCCACTCCAAGTTCTGTCAATGCTTTCAGCAGCTTCCACTGCACAGTGCTAATGCTTTGGTGAGGAAGCTGTATTAACTCTGACGGTTGTATCTGGAAGCCGGATGGTGGACAATTGCTGAATGTCAGGCCATAGTGTGGAGGTCATGGATGACGGGCAAAAGAGTGGCAGTAGTGCTAGGCCTGGTCAAGCATCGAGTTTGGTTGCCTTGAAGCTACTGAGGTCACTCCGTCGGCACAGCGAAGCGACCTATGATGGCGATAGGCGGATGGTGTTGAGGGGGATTGGTTGGGCAAGGTGACTCGAGATCTACGCTAGTCAGATGCATTGCATCACTCGTACCGACTGTAGCGCTGTTCCTGAGTAAGGGACGGCAAGCGAGTGAACACCTCCCGAGCCACGCCATGCAAATCATCCGCGAGCCTATCGATATCGAGCTTGGACCAGCTAGCTGCAGGGAAGCGATGTGGCGTTGTCTCCTGGTACCTGAAAACAGCAGTTATGTTCAGTCTCAAATTCCGTGCTGTATTAATAGTTGTCAAAGAGCGGTGCTGGTGTTGTGACGAAATGGCGGTCAAGGTTGGTGAGGTCCGTCGCAATGCCGACTGCAGTTGGTGTCCGGGGTCGGGAAGAAGAACAAAGCCACAAACGAATATTTTTGCGCGCACTATTGGACGGCAGTGCAGATGTCGTATTGATAGGGCTGGATCGTTGGTTGAGGTGCCAAGCCAGTGCGGTTTGAATAGAGTTTGCGAGGAAAGAGCAACTGGCTCACGTGATCGCATCTACGTCAACGTCAACCTACTTCCTCTTATCTTTGCATTCAGATTGCCCTGCATTAACATTGACCTGCCTGAAATCTAACGAGCGCTAAATGACGAACGCTACGGCAAGAAGTTATACGAGACCTTAAAAGAGCGCTAGGAGATGATCAATATCTCAAAAAACTAACCCAACAACTTTCTTTGTTTCTGATTCAAAGTAGACAGCTCTATTTCCCTCGGTCTCAAACTTAACCTCATCAGATTCGACTTCATCGCACCCAACTTAATGGACTCAACCTCCACCTTTGTTTAACCTCTTTCAGCTTCAGTCCATCTACTTCTCCACCCACACAGCCAACATCGTCCTCTTCTCTACATTGCATGCAACCTATAGCCAGGTCAACATCCATCAACCCTAAGCAAATATACTCAACTTTTCCAATTTCCTCCTCAAATTCAATCTTTAACCTCAAAACTCTTCGCCTTTCCCTCTCTTTACTCCAAATCCAGCGTCCTCCAGCTTTATCACGACAATTCCACCTCTACCGGTAATACCGCCAGCACGTTCCAATAGCCCAGGCGCTCGACACCCACAGTTCATGTGACAGAGGCTTGGGTTTACCTTGTTCGCCAGGAAGAGCACTTTCGCCACGAGACTTTGTGCCCAGTACTGCACTATCGGTTCTACTCACGATATGGATAGCAGAGATCACATCAGGGTATTCATTCGACGCGGCGAGTCGGTAACGAAGAGAAGTAGCAAGATGGCAAGGACATATTGTAAGGCTAGAGATCGGGGGCGGCACTGCGGGTCGAGTGAGACGTGGTTCCCTTTTTGAGCATGGCAGAAAGAGGAATGTGTGTACGACTTGGCACGATTTCACCCAGAATTTTTGAGAGAGATCAGGTGTATTCCAGTGTGAGGAGAGTCCCACCAGCTTCCCACGGAAACCTATCGAAGCATAGGTACCCCTGACACCACAAGCATGCCATACCCACTACTCCCTTACCCCCACTCCATCACATGACGGAAGCACAACACAATACAATCCGGCACTATGCCACCAACACCACCCATATCGATCAACGCTTACTGCTAGCAACCTAACTACTCGCTACCGCACAGCTCCCCAACTCCCTCTTCTCTGCCTTGGTTTCAGGCCGGATATCAAAGTCGAAAATATCCATCGGTAACCCAATCGTCGTGCACGCATTCGGCACATCCACAATACCTGCAATGTGCCCCTGGATCGGCGCGCACGAAAGAAGGAGGTAGATCTGGTAGTCGTCATACCCGTACCTCTTCAAATACTCAATCACGCGCAGACAGGTCTGTCGGTAGGCGACGGTTGCATCAAGGTAGTGCTGCTTGCCATGCTCGTCAACGCTAAAGCCCTCAAAGTACAGCATGCGCCCGGGTCCGAACTGCGGCTCCACTGGCCCAGGGATGTAGATGGGGGACTTCATGCCGAGCTGCGCGACGCCGTCCTTCATTACGGTAAACTTGAGCGTGATGACGCCCGCCATTTCGATGGCGCCGCAGAAGGAGATTTCGCCTAGTGAAACAGGGTGGTCAGGAAGTGTACAAGAGAAGAGGCGGGGAGGAAAAGGGACGTACCATCGCCCTGGCTGAAATGCAGATCTCCCACGCTGAACTTCGCGCCCTTGACGTGAACAGGGAGATACACCTTGCTGCCCCTGCTCAGGTTCTTGATATCGCAGTTTCCGCCATGCTCAGGACGGCCAGGAATCGTGCGCGCGCCCTCTTTACCGACTTTCTGCTTTACCTCGTCGGACGCGGTGCCGGCATGTACGTTCTGGGGCTCCGGGGGCTGCGCGACGGGCTTGTAGTGGTCTTTGTACGCGGAGATAAGGTCGGCTTCGCGCGTGTTCCAGGTCTCCAGGACCTCGGGCGAAGGCGCGCACCCCAAGATACCGGGGTGGATGAGGCCGGCGAAGCGGACGCCGGGGATGTGCCGCGAGGAGCAGAAGATACCTTCGAAGTCCCAGATGGCTTTCGCTCTGTAGAGTGAAACACAATCAGTACAGCCTTTTTGACAGTGCCCTAGAAAGTTTACGTACGGTTTCGGATATATCTCGTCGAGAAAGCCACCACCGTTTTCCTTCGAGAAGATACCAGTGAATCCCCACGGTTGCTCCTGGAGCGGCTGCACATCTTGGATCTCTACTACGAGCACATCGCCCGGCTCAGCGGTCTCGATCTCAAAAGGCCCGGTCAAGTAATGGATCTTAGTAAGATCGACGTCGCGGACGTCATCTGCAGAGTCGTTATTTCCGATCTGGCCGCCGGTCCAGTCGAGACATTCGATCTTCACGACTTCGCCGTTCTTAATGGTGCCTGCAAAGGGGACTGTGTGGATGTTAGCCGGTGACTTAGGTTTTTAGCGTGATGGAAGATGTACTGTCTGGGTGCCAGCGGTTCTGCATATGTTAGGCTTAGACTTAAGCTCGCGATTGGGTGTAACTTACATGGAGCACCTTTTGCTCTGGTGGTGGTGTGTCCAGGGACACCTTTGCGGCATAGCGGATCTCTTGTTTACCCATGATGACGTCTATAACACTCGATTGTGGAAAGTGTTCTCACGGAGGCTTAAAGATGTCGGAAGAGCAATGCGGCTTGATTCTTGACCCTGAAGTAGGCGGGGTATCGCAGTGTATTAAATGCATGCTGGCTGCGGGGAAAGGGAGTGCTCTCGTCATTCAATTGATACGACAGCCCAGTCCTCGACTCCGAGGAAGCTGCTCAAGCTATCAGCCGCGGAGGGGGGGCAAGGAACCTGATAAGCTGAGATACCAGAGCTGTTACGTATCCCAAGCTTGAGCTTCTGCGGAGAGAGCTCGGAGCTTAGCTCCTAGAACGGCCCCGCAGCGGGGTATACCTCGTCTTAGCGACCGGCAATGTGCATACGCGTCGGCAAGCTGCCATGAAAAGCTTATCTTCAGACGTGTGTGACAATGTTGCGGCATGTACAGAGCTCATGTTATCGTTACTCATTTCTGTTCCCGTCTATAGTCTATCATTATTCGGTCTACGGCCGTGCCTAAGCTTATGCAAGACCTTGAGAATATACCCGTTGCTAGCTACGGTGACTATCCTAACTAAAGGTCTTGCGAGGCGTCTGCCGAACTTCTGACCGGAAGCTGTCTTTCGTCATCTGGATATTGTAGGCATCCATGTCCTGCCACGGCAAGTTGAGAAATTCATGCTTGTTCTTCCATCGAACATCCTCCTGCTTAAACGCTTCCGCATCTGAGGGAGCCGGCGGCGGTTCAGTAATCTTGGTGATCAAGTAAGCTGTTGAGGCTTCTGCAAGACCGTAGATCAGAACGCCAACCAAGGGTATCTTGACGAATACGTAGAAACCAAGGCCGAAGCCAAAAAGTACACCAGCACGGTCTTTGAACCACATGTGCTTCTGTTCCTTCGTATAGCGTACGCGAGCAAAGTAGGGCTCCAACTAGAGTATAGTCAGTATGGAGCGGTGGAGAAGGGTGACTGACAACGTACGAGTTCGCGCATGAGCGTTCGAGAAGAGAAGTACGACTGCAAAAAGGACACCAAGTATCGCTTTGGCATGACTAGCGCCACTGCAAATATCGCCACAGCCGGCTGTGGACCAACAGACTTCTGGAAGGTATAGAAACTTGCAGCGGGAAGCACGAACCGGCCGACGTAGGGTACGTATGACAAAGCTAGCACGGCGAGAGATATGCCAGCCTTGCGCCCATACCTGATCGCAAAGGCAGTGAGTGCTTGCTTGAGCGGTGTCTTGGTTTCGGTCTTTGGGCCGTGGGTCGGATACATGTTCAGATTGGGGTAGTACATGGCGCGGAGGTTGCGAGGATCTTCAGACTTGTGCTTCTGAATGTACGTTTGATCGACCCAGCGAAGGGATTCCATGAACATGTCGTCGAGGGTCGGGGTGATGTATCGCATGAGTGTCATCAAGAAGAAGGGCACTTGAAGGACCGAGTGTTCGAGGAAGTGGAGGCCATCGACGATGGTGTTGTCCCACTGCGCGTGGTCCATGTCTACAACAAATGCTAGGATCCATAATAGACCTCTGATGCTGACGACCTGCACTTCTTGTCAGCTATGGAGGGCAAAGCGAGCGGATCTTTAGGTCAGCAAACGACTCTGCCATGAACTTACTGGTATGGAAACGAGTATACGGATGGCGATTCCTGCAGCAACGGCCAAGGCAGCTTGACGATAGTGCTTGGAGGTGAACAATGCCGGGTTCTGCACGGCGCGGTTCACTGCCGAATGTTAGTCTCCGGCTTGATGGTGTGCAGAGGGTTTGAGAGATCATGCCTCCTACGAGAGTGAGCTGGGCGCCTCTCAGTATGGCATTGGGATCGAAATTAGACATGATCGCGTGCTGTTGTGAAAAGACGACCGGGGTCGGTGGATGTGGGAGACCAAACGATTACAGGTGTAGGATTGCTGGGAACCGGTGGGACGCGACTAAATGACGTACGCGCCGGCCCAAGCGCTGCGGCCTATAGGAGCAAAAGGACTTGACTACTGGCTGTCCGGCGTGTTGTCCGTCCATCGCGGTGTTTATTTTGCTTCTCCTGTATCTAGGGGGCTTTGTTGTTTCTGCTGATTGAGCAGTGTGCGCGTGCTCGAGGCCGAGTCATAGTGATAGTCACGGGCAGGTGCCGTCGACTGACCATCGGGACCCGCTTGAAACCCTTCCTCAGACTCCAGGGACTTAGCGCGCAACCATCCAGCCCACGCAGTTCAGCCACCGCTTTGCTCACTGTTTGTGTTTGCGCATTCATTCCTACTCCGACACCCGTTCGCTCGCTCCAACTTCCGCCTGGACTGCCCAGGACACAGATGCCGCCTTGAGCCCCGACCATGGCTTCTCACACGCCGGGCGCCAGCCCAGCGAATGCGCCGCCCGCTGCCCGGAATGCACCCGTCCGCCGCTCCTTCACGCTCCCCGCGCGCATCGTGAGCAAGTCGCCTTCGCCTGCGCCTGCCTCCAGCACCGACGGGATAGAAACCCTTTTCGTGTGCACCTCGACCAAGATCGTGCAGTTCTCAGCCTCGGCTTCAACACGGCGAGCCTCGCCATCTCGCCGCCATGGTGCCAACGACGATGACGCGCCATCTATACCTTGGAGATCCACAACGGAACGCACTTTGGCAGTTGGTCCGTAAGAAACGGTCTGTGTGCTGATGCCACCACTGACTGAGGCTAGGCCCGCTGCGCATCTATCGCGTGATATCCTCCAATGTCTCATTCCTCAACTCTGGGAACCTCTTACACACAATATTCCCGAGATCACAATGTTGGTGCGTTGACGGCCATCATGTGTTCGTGCTCCGCGTACGGCAAGACACATACTATCGCATCGAGCTACCACACGAGACCGCAGAGGATACAGGAAAGGTGGAAGACTTCAAGAAGGTCCTAGGACAGGTGTTGCAATACGAGAGGACCCGGTGCCCGTTCGCACGCGGCTTCGAAGTAGAGGTGCCCGAGCGCCCGACAACGCCGCCGCGCAGACGACTAAAGAAGCCAGTCGAAAAGGCCAAGAAGTGGACGTTCGACAAGACTTGGATGCCAGAAAATGGTTCGCGGCCTTGTACGCCTGTTCTGGAAGGCTCGGACGCGGGTACTGCGTCATCGTATGAAGAAGACGACACCTCGAGCATCTGCACCGACAGGAGCGAGCCAATGCCCGATACTCCTGCCACGGCTGCAGAAGCCACCCCGCCGAAACCCGCACCAAAGCCCACACCCGCGCGACGGCTGTCAGTCGCCGAACGCAAAAGAACGTTTGAAGAGAAAAGATCCGTCACTGTTCCCACGGCGCAGCTGCCTCATCGACTGTCCTTCTCGAGCCAAGCCATTCCCGAGCAAATCGAACAAACGCCCAAGGTAGAGGAGGCGAGTTCGTCTGAGAGAACACCACTGGAGAGGAAAGAGTCTGCGCAAAGTATGGTCTCCACCGTTGACTCTTTCTACTCGGTCGAAACATCGGCCCCAGAGAGTCCCACACCTCCGTTCCAGGACGCAGAAGCGGAAGCCGTCAATCCATGGGCGCTTGAACTGCGTGTTAAAGATGAGGAAGGTCGCGGTCGCAGCAAGCACCGCCGACAGGCGTCGGAATTGACAGTGCGGCAACCTTCCGCGCACACGGCAGAGGAGGCTCCAGTAACACCGACTGATGACCAGGCCACCACAGGGCCCACGATTCGCCTTTCGCCGGCACCTTCTACGCCCCCGCTTGTGAGTGATTCGGATGACGACAGCCTCAGCCTGCCATCATTGGATGTGGCCACACCGCCTGATGCAATCCGCATGAGACGTCTCACTGGTGCCACCCAAAAGCGCGCATTCTCCCCAATGCCCGCTCCACAGAACCTGTTCTGCCCGCCAGCTAACGGTCCGCGCAAGCAGTTCACAAATGCCCTTATACGAAAGACGGCTGAGATAGTCCTGGGACCGCCCGCGCACCTTGTCTCCCTCATGCTTCGGATAGCAGCGAAGATTACGCAGGGTGTCTCTAGCTTCAATACATATCGCATCCGCAACATCACGGAGACCATTCCCGGATCGTGGCTGTCAGACGGCGAAGAAGAGGACGAAGACTGGGCCGAGGAAGACGACTTCGGCATACCTCTGCGCAATCTCGATGAACCAGCCTCGAATAGGAGAGGCTTCGCTGGCGATGTGGACTAGGAATCATCCGTCTATTGAGACCTCCAAAAGTGAGGTGCCCAACGTTGCATGTTGTGTTTCATGATACCAGGAGGCGTCTATTGTTGCATTCTAAGGGCGGATTTTCAAGGTTGGATTACTGTACGATATATTAATGATTGTTTGGAAAACGATACATCTTGTAATAGCGTAGCATGTCGACGAAAGGCATAGCATAGCATCATGGCCTGCGGTAACGAAGCACTTTTATATACATTGAACTTGGGGTGAATACCTTCCAGTCATATCATGAACAAAGCCATATCCAAGCCAACTCAGCCTAGCAAAAACATCACTCTAATACAAGTTGAGCAGTACAGGATGGCGCAAGGGCAAAAAGACAGATGAAGTTGTTGGTCACTACGAGGGTCGAACTCGCGACCTTGGCGTTAACAAGGTGAATATTAGCACCACGCTCTAACCAACTGAGCTAAGCGACCGTTGGTGTTATTCAACTGATGATAACATCTCAAACGTAGCGTTTAAAACCCTTGTAAAGAAAAAGGTCGACAAAAGAGCGAAAAGCTTAACCATGGCCGCACGGCTGGGAAGAGGCCACTGCACAAATTGACTCAATATTTGATCTCCAGTGAGTTGCGATGGCGCTAGAAGTGGGGTGTGGGGTCGTTCAGTTGGATGCGTGGGCACGTAGACGGCCGGCTGGCGCAGAGCGCTGTAGTGCGTGATATAGACTGTCTGCTCTGTCATTGGTGGCTGTGTACCGTAGTCTCCATGTTTAAGTGTAGAAATACATATGTCTTTCGTGGTTCATCAGGTGTCGTTGTTTGGACTGACTCTCATAGAAGGCGCGACTCTTAGTTCTTATGTCCGACCTATATCCGGGGGCCAACATGACAAGCCACTTTGACACGCGCGACCTGGCGAGATACATATACATACCTTTTGTAAGTCACAACTATACGAAGCCAGTTTCATAACCTACGAACAACACATGAGGGTGCCGAGACCGAAGATTGCTGCTCGCTTTCCACCAGATGAGCGCTGCAAAACATGAAGCCGAAGAGGATACTAGGGCTGGGCTAGAGCTGGACAGTGGCAACCATGCAGCAACAGAGCAGATCGACTGGTCCAGCTTCATCAACCTCGAGTATGATCCCAGCATTCCTCTTTCTCTACCCACGAATATTCCTGCGACAACTGAGCCGGCCCCGCCAAGCCCCGGCCTTACCATAGAAGAGGGCTCCGAGTTTGCAATGTTCGACTTCCCTTCTATGGAGGAATGGTGGGCCGAGCTGCCGGATGAAGTGCAGTCTGGCGACTGGGTCTCCCCTACTGAGACAGCTACGTTTTCGGGACACACACCGAAGTCAGACTCGAGTTTCTCTGCCTATACGAACGAACAGTCGCCAAACTTGCAAGAGGAAGGGAACGAGGGAAAGAGAAGATGGCGAATGCCACCTCAGGCACGGCGCTTACTGAATGAATGCTTCGAACGCCATATAGAAGACCCTTATGTCCCGAAAGAAGAGATCCAGCAGCTTGCCAACGACACAGGCATTTCGATCCGTCAGGTTCAGATATTCTTCGCTAACGCCAGGGCACGGAAGCTACCACATCCTACTCCAGAATGCAAAGGCCTGGACATCCCGGCGCGTTCCAATCAGCAAGGCCCCATGGAGCGTTTCCTCTCAAGCTCCCCCGAAGACGAAGGCATCTCCGAAGATGCCGTGCGCGCAGCAGCGAGCAAGGTCGATCGGCCCATCAAGTCCGCTCGCTCTAGGAAGGGCAAAACGCCGTCGGTACACAGTAGCTCGCAGAGCTCAACCTCCAACTCTTCCGCCGCAAGTATGGACTCTTTGGGCAGTCGCGGCTCTCGAAAAGGCCGCAAGAGACAGCGCGAGCCCTCGCACAACATCGCCAAGACTATTTTCCGAAAGCCGTCCAGTCCAACGCGGAAGTATCAATGCACTTTCTGCACAATTGATTTCGAACAAAAGTACGACTGGAAGCGGCACGAGGAGTCGGTGCATTTCCCCCAGAAGGAATGGGTGTGCATGCCTAATGGGCCTGTCGAGGACTCCACATGCGTCTTTTGTGACCTAGGTAATGTGGACGAGGAGCATCTGAAATCGCACAAGTGCATCGCGTGTGCCGAAGCACCTCGTGAACTGCGGACGTTTCAACGCAAGGACAAACTCGCGCAACACATTAAGCAGGTTCATGGTTGTCAGCCGCCAAAAGCAATCAAGAACTGGTGCAGCTCAATCGAGCGAAATGTACTGCTGCTATGCGGGTTCTGCAGCCTTCCACTGCCAGACTGGAAATCTCGAGCAGAGTAAGTCACTCCCTCATCCCCACCTACCTTTCCCATCCACGCCGAATTCCTCTCCAAGTCCCTCTCCGCACCCTACTAACCCACCCTAGCCACCTATCCACACACTTCACCTCCTCCATCCCAATGACCCTCTGGCTCCCCGAACTTCTCGGCGGCATCTGGCCCGACGACGCTCTCACCCGCTCCTTCATCACCTCCCGCTTCTCCGCGACCCCCGACCCCATCGGCCCCGTCCCCTGCTCAGTCGAAACCTGCCCAGCGCGCTTCGCCAACCTGCGAAACCTCACCCTGCACCGCCGCCAAGTGCACAACATCTACCACCCCACCGACTCCAAAGTCGTGATGGCGAAACCCTCGACAGGCCACCACTCTCAGCGCCTGATCAACCTCGCGCAGCAGACGTCGCGGATCCAGATCGCGCGGACAGACGGTCCTTCCGCCGGTGTGGCATTGCAGAATCAGAGGTCGGACTACAGTACCGCGTTTTCGACGGTCTCGACGGGCACCAGGAGACCGAACGTCCCGATCAACAGGCAGCTCGAAGAGCCTGAACAGAGCGGGTTTGCGTCTGCGCCGCACGCGGCGTGGCGCGTTGTGCTGAGCAACAGCATTGTCGCGGGTCCGCGCGCGCCGGTGCCGAACCCGCTGCTCCGCCAGCCTAAAGACATAGTGCGTGGCGAGGCATCTTCGCTGCGGCCTAGCAATCTCGGGCGCGCGGGGACGGCGCATGCTGAGGTCGCGGGTCAGGCTCGGGACGGTCCGCCCGTGGAGGCTATACGCAGTATTCTCACCGCGAACAGGGAGGGCGTGGGGAGCGTGGGAGTCCCGGCGCAGGGGATACTGCACTCGTTGGAGCAATTTGGCGGTGGGAAGGGAGAGGCGTGGCCGCGGCCGCGTGCTACATGAAATCGATTCTGTTCTGTTTTCTGGCGCTGGGTGTGGAGGAGCAGGACATGAAGGCCGTGAGTGGAGGCATGACCTACTGTTGCGCAGATGAGTCATGCGCGGATGCTGACGTCGAAGCATAGAACTGAATGAATCTTTGGTGGAGGTGAACGCGGTGGGCGCCATCGCACACTCTCTCATGGGACCGTTAGCACGAACAACGGGGATATAGTGTCGCGTACAGGGCTAAAATCGTGAGTAGCCTAAGTAACTTCAGGATCAACTGTTAGTTATCGGAGTCCCATGAGAGACACTAGTACGCAAATCACAGCAGATACATGCATAGACACGTACCATTCGTACAATACATCTGCCATCAGCAAGTAACCGCTCAAAGCTACCTCTCCCCTCTTTTCCTATAGAACCGTTATGTTTGCACATTATAGGATTGAACTGCATAGGTCTAGCAACACCTCTAAGCTCCGTGCCCAGAGCCCGGGCTGCATTCAACGTCGGCCCAAGTGACTATTCCGCCATCTCGTCCCATCCGCCCCTCTCATACCCTTCGTATCCGTCATCGCATCAGCACGGTCGCCAAACAATTCAAGTCAGCCCAAGCAGGTGGACGACTGCTCTTTCTTCTTCCCTCGCTCCTTCCTTTATAATACTGTCCGCCTACTGGACAACCTGGTTACTCGTCAGCCTTCGCTCAATCAGGCCACGTCGAGAGGATAAGCGGCACATCCTCGAGGGCAGAACGTACCTTCTCGCGGAGCATGCCAAGCCACTGCTGCAGACTGACACCCTGGTCTGCGCGGTCCTCGACAAGCAGCGTCTGTGCCCACAGCTTGAGCGTTGGCTCACCGCTTTCCCGGACCACGTAGAGTGTCGGGACGGTGATGCTACCCACGCCCTTGGCCTTGTGGTCGCGCGCCTTCTCGAGCACGGCGTGGATGCGCTGGCTGAAATCGTTGTCGAGCAGGGGCAGGGTCGTCTTGCCTGTACTGTGCGTTAGCGAATCGCTGCGAGGGTTTGGTAGAATATGCAAGAATACGTACCCTGCTTAATCAATGACTGGTCCTCGATACCAAAAACGTCCATCAACAGCGCCGGTACTGCGTCGCGTCCAACCCACAGGAACTGGTTGACGCCATCGTCAAGCAAGTAGAGACCGTAGGGTACAATGCGCTCGGACGAGAGGTTAAGTAGTGGCGGCATGACAATGTTGCCGGTCTGAGGGTCGGGTACGCCAGCGTCATCGGGCATGTCATGAAGGGAATGGAATGCTGGGTATATGTATCGAAGAAGCAGAGCGGTTGGTAGCGTTGAAAGGAGGCAGAGAGCGGCAGCGCGTAGATCCGAGGGTATCAAGGCACTCTTCCTCAAGCCAACGTTTTTGATCAGACCAAGGAATAGCACAGGTAAAGCACGAAGGTTGCCAGGCAGTGCTAGGAATTGTTAGCTGAAGGAGATTGGTGAGTATAAGGTAAAAACTTACTAAGTCCTCCTGTGCCCCCTCCAATGTTTGACTTGTACGTCTGCAGGATCTCGATGACCTTTGACTGAAGAGCATCTCGAGCGGCATCGAGTCCACTAGAAAGGGCTCGCTCAACGGCCTTGTGACTGAAGTAAGTTGTGATAGCTTGCGCATCGGCTCCCGCGTACACGCTCGCGATGTTGTCAGTCGTGGGGAGTCCCAAGGTCATCACGCGGATCCGTCTTGAGCCATTGCAGCTTGTGTGAAGCACGGCAGCTTGTAGGAAGACTTGTGGCCGCGTAAGAGTCTCATCAATCGCAACTTCGACGTTGTATTGCTGATCCCTAGGGAATGACGGGAACGCGCAGAGGTCCGAGGAGCGGTTGAAGAAGTTGCCGTAGAAAGCAGACATGCGGAGGCCGGTGCTGGCTCGGACACGAAGAACTGCCTCAAGCCCGATTTCGGAGCTAAGGTAGTTTGTAAACTCCTGTGCGAGTTTGATCGCATCCTCCTGTCTCGCCGCATTCCAGCCGGGATAGAAATAGGTTTGTCCTCCGGTATAGCGCGGGAGGTTGCTGAGCGAAGCGACATCCTGGTAGGCGCTGGAGAAGAGAAACATGTCGATCGAGACCTGATTCTTACTGCACTCAACTGCAAAACTCTTGTAGAAGGAGTTCTGCGTTTGCAACAAACTACCTTCCTTACTGGTTCCCAGAATATCCTTCCGCTCTCTGTTCTCGAGCTTCCCAAACCCAGCGTTGGGTATCGAAGAAGAAAGCACGGTAATCTTTGCACCGATAGCCGCGGTCATTCTATGACCAGCACGAAGGGCCGAGCCCATGGCGGATCCTGTTTGTGGGTTGTCCTGGAACATGGTCGGAAGCTTTTCGAGGAAGGTCTGCACGTTCTGCATCGATTCGGACAGGGTTACGAGGAGGTTGTCGGGAGTGGGGAGGAAAGGCTCGTCAAGATCGGAAACGACCAACATGGAGGGGTCGTTGTTCTCGCTGCCATCGCGGGGGATTGAAAAATAGTATAAGCTCGTGTCGAAACCAATGAATCCAACCCTCGTCCTGCCGTCTGCGTTGGGTATCCGTGGAAGGGCCTCTGCGATGATCTTGGACACTGTTGCGCAAAGTCCGTTCACCAAAGATGCTTGTCCCACCTCAATCAGGAACAGATATACCAATGGCTGCGGTGGTCGGACCATGTATTCTTGGGGCGCAACAAATTCGACGACGCCGTAGTTGAGCTCGCTTCGTTGCCAGCGATCGACGCTCTTCTGCTGAGCCGCATCCCAATCGAATGCTTGCGGGACATCGTTCGTAAGATTGCACATGTTACAACGCCAGCGGTGCCCGTGATCTGGATATCAAGTCAGCGCAAGCCACAATGTCGAATGATGGCACCAGTGGATGTGCAAGTCTTAGCTAGGCCATTGGGATGCCTTCCAGCGTCGAAAGACACACCCATTTCGTACCCGGTGGGCTCGTACCGAGGAAAGTCACATATGGGTTGATGTATGCCCTACATCTCCGACAACGCGATATGACCTGGGTTTCTGTTAATTCTCCTCCCTCTCCTGCTGGCTGGGCGTTGAGGCGAATCTCCTACCTGGTCGTCGATTACAGGGATCGGCGCCTCATCTTCGTGGAGAGACGTGTACGGCTGCACAATCAGTGAGAAAGGCAGCTTCGACTTCTTCAGGAGGCTGTGGGTGGTTGGCACGCTTGCGAGCGTCGAGCGAATGTACGGCGCGGGGCAGTTGGCGTGCGGCGAAGGAGTCGCGGCGAGGTTCGCGGGGAGGGCGATAGGAGGCGGCGGAGCGTCGACTTCAACTGCTTGGACGGGTGCTGGGACACTTAGCAACGGCGCACCAGATGTGACCCGAGGAAAGAGCTACCTGCAATCAAGTCTGAGGGTAGCAGCTGGATCTGAGGCTGCTGAGCTTGTGGCGGTAATTGCTGCGGCTGTCCTCCCAGGTTCATTGACTGGAACTGCTGGCCCAGCGCGTTCGGGTCCTGCTGCTGCTGGGGAGCAACCGGGTAACCCTGGGGCGGTGCGCCATACTGCGGCACTGGTGCGTTGGTTGTCGCAGGAAACCCGTACTGTGCTTGGAAGTCTTGCTGGGGAGGGACTGCGCCAGCCGCTGCACCTCCCAGGGCCGCGTTCCCACCCATGCTGTAGGCGGGATCTTGCACATAGCGGTTCTTTTTGGGAGCCATTGCGATCTCCGCGACCAACGAGTGCGTACTGTCAGGGTGTAGATGGGAGAACGGCGGATGTCGGGCGGGGATGCGAATTTCGAAGGGTGAGGTTCGACATGAGCTCCATGTGTCTTCTCGGAGCACGCCGCGCTAGTCGCCCCGCTAGGTCCGTGCGCTTTGCCCCATTTATATGCCCGACCGCCTCTGCAGTTCCAGATCTCCTAGTGTCCATACGTCCAGGCAGCCTCCGTCACGCGCTTTAAGGACAATCACGCAGAAACAAAGTCCTTGTTGAAGCTTCCTCAAGGCATCCATTTTTGGCTCTAGGAGCCGACCATTAGTCCTACACGAAAATTCGAGTCTACCATACGCGTCGTAACAGTCATTACACCCTAGCACTTGCTCATCGAATCCCACAATTCGCCGCGGACCAGCCCTCCAAGGCGATTGTCTTTTCTAGATGACACCGGCTTGAGCCATCTCCCGCCGCTCGGCCTCCGTGTAATGAGGCTGCACTTCACCACCGGCTTCCACCGAGCCGAAACTAGCGGCACGTCCTTCACCGCTGTGACTCCTGCTGCGAGCTGTTCTTTCCCTGTATGCCGGGTGCTCGACCTCTTGCCCAGTTTCGCTTCCGTAGGCTGGCTCAGCACCAGGCATGGCGCCGACTCCTAGGGTTCCAGCAGTGGAGTGGATTGGCTCGAGGTTTGGCTGCCAGTTACGAAGCTCATCTTCGGCGTCATTGAGGATCTGACGAGCATGCTCGCCGTTCGCAAACTCCGGGTGGGTATCGCCTGGAACGATCGGCGTGTCGTCAAGGAGGTTGAGAATGCGGCGAGCCTGCTTGGCTAAGATGATCTGTTTCTCGGCGCGCTCGATCGTGGCTGCAAAGTGGATGTCGTAAGCTTCCTTGAACTTTTGACGAGTCTACAGTAATCAGTATCAAACTGAGTCGCATGCGACGAAGCACTCACAATGTTCGTCAATTGTGCCTCCGCTACCAAGCTCTGGGCCTCGGCGCGGACGAGCTCCTGCTCAAGCTGGACAATCTTAGTGCTCTGCGGCTCTTTGTACTTGAGCTTAGCGATCTCATCCGACACCTTCGCCTTGTGGTCGCGGCTGGGCTGAACCGAGCTTTCCGTATTCCGGATCTGCTTCAGGACACCCCTGTACTCTTCCAGCGACTGGGCGTACGAGTCTTCTTGCTCTGCGATCTCTGCCATCAAGACTCCCAGCTTGTCCGAGACCTCGGAAATGCCATCGTCGTTGGTAGCTTCGCCCCACTCTGAGAGCTGTTGGGCTATGGCGACGCGCTCGCGTCCGGCCGACTCATAGGCGCCAATAGCATGGTTCTCCGTCTTTATGAGCTTGTACAGTTTCTTCGACAAGTCTGGTTGTTGTATGCCGCGGAGCGATGCCATAGTAAACCGATGCTTCGGTGTCGCCTTCTCCCCACTGCTGGACGCATCCTTCTTGGAGCGGATAGATAAGGATCGATTCCTGACGCGCGCAGACATGTTACTAAAAGAACGAGCGCGGCTCAGAGAACGAGGTGGAGAGCTGGAATAAGCTGGAGGTGGCGGCGGAGGTGGAGGGTTTGAGGGGTACGCATAGATGGCCATTGTGAATTGTGATGCCGGCAAGTTTGAAGTCGTAACAGAACGAGTAGCGGGAAAGGTCGGAAGAAAGGGTAGATGCTGTGAACCAAATGCGCAAGATGCAAGGAAAACAGAGGAAGACCAGCTTACATTCTGATTGTACCTGAGGCAGGCCTGGTTGTTATATCGCGATCTGAGTGCAGCTATTGTTAGCCAGAGCCTGGTGCGTGGGGATGCGGCGCTTGGGAAGTCGCACGGTCTCACGGGCGGCTGCGCAGATTGCAGATGAGTGGTCGTTTGGTTTGCGTCGATTACTCCCCGGAAAGTTTGAAACAGTTGGCGCGCAGCTTTTGGGAAGTGGAGCGGAGGAGGAACTTGTTTGAGGTTCGGGGGGCATGGGCTGCAAGCAGTGGTTCAGGAAGCGCCCGCCGACGTCATGGCAAGCCACGCGCTGGGGAAGGAGACCACGCTTAGTTAGCAACACCAAGTCGTCGCGACTTCTTGTCCAGACAAGAGAAGTTGTTGAATTGTGAATGGATGTCGTTGACTCTTGCACCCACCTCCAGCCATGCGGCATGCAATGGCTGTCGGCCATAAAGGAGCAGCACCGAGATATGCAATTGTGCATGCTACGTCTGCGTGGGGACGGCACTGTACGAAGCGTCGTCTTGGAGGGCTACAACGACCCGACGACTGATGTCGCAAGGAGAGTACAACCATTTGACATGGCCAGGTGTATGGTGACTGGCAATCGCGCAGCGCGCAGCGAACTCTTTTGCTCATCGCCTACTATCCCATGCCCTTTTGGAGGCTTGCCTGCGGAGGCTATTCTATTCGCAGCGCCCTAGGAACCAAGAACACAGGTCCCAGTGACGATTCAGTTCTGTCAACGGGACGCGTGTCGTCCTTCTCGGGACTTCTAAAGTGCGCAGTATCGTACGCATGGTGACTTCCAGGGCGATTCCCGGCGACCTTTCGACCATCGTAAACGGTGCGAATGCGGAGGCAGGCATCGAAGAATTCCTGCTGACGGATTCAAGGTGTCTGGACTCCTATACATATAAATCAGATGGAGATCGTCAGCGGCCGCATTGCCCCGATTTTCCGTTGCCGATGCAGAACAGGGCAATTGGGAAACCGGCTGTTCCTAGAACTGTCATCAAATTGTGTTCGCGGGATTTAGGGAATTGTGGACCCTGATGCAGTGCTCCGACGGCACGCAATACCTCCGCGCCCTCTGTTCGACCTTCCAACAAAGGGACCGCAATCCCACGGTGTCATGTAGACGCTTGAGGACAGCACACGGTATGACGGCCACGCCATTTCGTGGGATAGGCGGTCGTACAAGTCCGCAACACGCATGTCACTTGTTGTGGCTTATCGTTAAGCCATCCCGCTTTAGCCTCGAGGCTGGTGGGACGATCATCGTTAAACGGGCGGCTCTTCCGCCGTCCAGGATTGCTCTCCATGTTCCTGGCTCGTCAACCGCAATCCTGGTCTGGCGATATTGCATCAATGACCAACAATTCTGCTTCGTTCGTTAACGTGTCGAAAAAGATGCCAGGCCCAGGTCGCATTCACCTACCCTTACCGCGAAGCTGGCGTTCATGCACACCTCTCTTTGTCACACTATGCAAAGCGTGTAGACATCGCACAGCGCGCTCGGAGATAATTCCGACCTAATATCTTACTATACAAGGGCCACCCTGGTTGCGCCAATCGCAGCTTATGCAAAGGGTGCTGGTGCTGCAGCACCGCCTTACCTTGGCAGCTCGACCACCGAGGACTTCACAATTACTAACATCAGTTGATCTAGGTTACCATGCTTCCATAATCCTTTATGCTTCTTTGAGCAGCAACATACTTCACACAACTCCCTATCTCTTTTGCCGAACCAGGTAGCCGCGCCAATCTCCAATTCATAGTCCTGTGTACTTGCCAGATCGATCTCCCAGCCCTAGTCTCTCGTCATCACGCAGGGACACGCGTGGTCTATTGGACTCAGTAGCCTCTTCGGCCACGCTACATGTCCTTGGTACCACCAGCGTCGAACGAGCTTTGGAATCCACGAATGTCCTCGCGTCTCTTTGCCGAGATACCATCAGATCGTAACTGATGGCGCCGTCATTTTCTTGATATGTCCGTGGCAGTCACTCACGCTAGGTTACAGTCCTTGCCAGATTATTCGCTGGCATTCGTGCAACAATTATCGTTGCAATCAATGATTATACCTCACATCCAACATAGGCTGCGTTATACGAGGCGCTTTGTTTTGTTGGAAACCTTCACCTTCTGCATACATCCTTGTTGGTTTGAGGTCCCAGTGACATGGAGATATAATTCTACAGAGTTTGAGACTTCGAGGATCTCGGGTAGCTGTCGTGACCCGTGCCGCATTCACTGCTTAGCACTTACTCGGCGTCACCGTTGGATCCTTGTAATCGGAGCGCTAACACTCATATAGTGGGTCCCATGACGCCGTACTGGTCTGATCACACCTTTCTAGCAGGTACTGAAAAAGGAAGTTCACACGTCCCAGCAAAAGGACCGATCGCAGTTTGCTTATACGACCGCTGGATTATGCCGATATCGACTTCCATATCCGGTCTGTATTCTTTGTTCCTGGTGCCCTGTAACTTACCGATCTTGACCCTTTTATTCCCTCCAGGAATGGCCATGGAACTACCTCATTCGGCAAGTGGCAGCGGGGCGGAGGACGGGGAGTTTCCGGCTGGCATCTTTGATCAGTACGATATAAAAGGTCACCTCTCCCGTCCAGATCGCTAGGTTCCTTCGTCAGCCAGCTTCGACATGGTAGCTTTTCGGTTCCTAGCGGCTTTCGCCGCCTTCAGCGGCCTCAGTCAGGCAATATGTCCTTACATGGAGAGCGATGCTCGTGACCTTCCCGCCCATCACCCCCCTGTCCGGCGAGACGAGTCGGCCCCAAAAGCTGCTCGTACGGATGAGTTCATGGCACAGTTTGAGCTCAACGACGGTGAAGGGGATTATATGACAAGTGATGTTGGTGGTCCATTTGAAGACCAGAACAGCTTGAAAGCAGGAGAACTGGGACCGACGCTACTTGAAGATTTCATATTCCGTCAGAAGGTAGGCCTATTCCAGCTTTTGAAGCTGAATCGAAGTTGACTCGATCAGATCACACATTTCGACCACGAGCGGGTTCCCGAAAGAGCGGTTCATGCTAGAGGTGCAGGAGCGCATGGAGTGTTTGAGTCCTACGGCGATTGGTCAAACATAACAGACGCTTCCTTCCTTAATTCGGGCGGGAAACAAACCGATGTGTTCATCCGATTCTCTACCGTAGCTGGTAGTCGAGGATCGGCTGATACTGTTCGCGATGTTCATGGCTTCGCCGTCAGGTTTTATACCGATGAAGGCAATTACGGTAAGTCAACATTTCTGTCATCTCAAGAACCAACTAGTTATTATCAGCATTCCGATTGGACGCTGCTACCCGTTTGTAAATCCGTCGCGACGCTTGGCATCATGTGATCCGATAGTTTTGGCAGTGCATTTGTCTTAGCCGCATTGCTAACGCGCCACAAACAGACATTGTTGGAAATAACGTCCCAGTCTTCTTCATCCAAGATGCCATCAAGTTCCCAGATCTTATCCACGCTGTGAAACCAAACCCGGATCGCGAAATTCCCCAGGCTGCGACCGCCCACGACACGGCATGGGATTTCTTCAGCCAACAACCAAGCGGTCTCCACACACTCTTCTGGGCCATGAGCGGTCACGGTACTGTCCGCTCGTACCGTCACATGGATGGTTGGGGCGTCCACACCTTCCGTTTCGTCACTGGTGACGGCAAGACGAAGCTTGTCAAGTTCCGCTTTCAGACACTTCAGGGCAAAGCTTCGCTGCTTTGGGAAGAGGCGCAGGTCACCGCGGGTAAAAACGCCGACTATCATCGCCAGGACTTGTGGGATAGCATCGACAGCGGGTCATATCCAGAGTGGGAATTCCAAGCCCAGATCATGGATGAGGATGATCAGTTGAGGTTTGGCTTCGATCTTCTTGACCCGACCAAGATTGTTCCAGAAGAGCTTGTGCCGTTCACACCTCTGGGCAAGCTTACGCTAAACCGCAATCCGTCGAACTACTTCGCGGAGACTGAGCAGATTGTAAGTGCTGAGTCAAATCTCAATGTTTTATGTGTTGACTTTGCCAGATGTTCCAACCCGGCCATATTGTGCGAGGTATCGATTTCACCGACGACCCACTTCTCCAAGGTCGTATCTTTTCATACCTTGACACCCAACTCAACCGTCACGGCGGTCCCAACTTTGAGCAGATCCCGATTAACCGACCACGAGTCCCTATCCACAATAACAATCGTGATGGTGCTGGTAAGGTCCTTGCCCCCGTTTTCTCCCACCGAGCTAACTCCTCACAGCGCAAATGTTCATCCCTCTCAACACGGCCGCCTACTCTCCCAACACCGTGAACCCAGGCGCACCCAAACAGGCCAACCAAACCGCTGGACGAGGCTTCTTTACTGCACCCAACCGATCGTCAAAAGGCAAACTCATGCGCGCAGTGTCCTCCACCTTCGCAGACGTCTGGTCACAACCACGCCTCTTCTTTAACTCCCTCCTCCCCGTGGAGCAGCAGTTCATTGTTAACGCCGTCCGCTTCGAAACCTCTCAACTCAAGAGCGATGTCGTCAAGTCCAACGTCCTCATCCAGCTCAACCGCATCAGCCACGACGTCGCCGTGCGCGTCGCCTCCGCTCTTGGTATGACTGCGCCCGAAGCCGACGACACGTACTACCATGACAACACCACGACCGGCGTGTCCGTCGCTAAGGGCGGACTGCTCAAGCTCGACGGCCTTAAGGTCGGCTACCTGACCACCGCCTCCGCGCCAGGCAATTCCAGCGCCAGCACGCTCAAGGCCGCGCTCAAAGCGGCTAACGTCACGCTCGTGGTCGTGGCTGAGAAGCTCGGCGAGGGGATCGACCAGACCTACTCTGCCAGCGACGCTAGCCAGTTTGACGCCCTCGTCGTCGCAGACGCCACCAATGCGCTCTTCACTGCGCCCAGCAACCTTGCGAACTCAAACTCTACCTCCTCCGCAGCGGGACGCAACGCCACGGCCTCGCCGTTCGCGACGCTGTATCCTGCGGGCCGTCCGCTGCAGATTCTGCAGGATGGTTACAGGTGGGGGAAGCCGATTGCGGCTGTGGGTGAGGGGCCTGCGGCGTTCAAATCGGCAGGCATTGAGACGGGTACGCCCGGTGTGTATGCAGGAGAGATTGGGGTATTGGGCGAGAGGCTCAAGGAAGGCCTGAAGACTTTCAAGTTTTTGGATAGGTTTCCGTTGGATGCGTAGGAAGGTCTAGAGTAATGGGAGGGCTTGTATATAACGAGTAGATGGGTGGTTAGATGATCATATTTAGGTCTATCAAAGGTACCCTAAGACTTTTCTGTGGTTTTTGGGTCTGCTGATGCGTGATTGTCACGATGGTAGTGGGCGTACGGAAGGTGGTCAGCTATCGATTTGATTACGATGTGTGTGTTTTCCCCTTTGGCCAGGAGAGCAATCGCGCCTCCAAGCCGGCGCTGCGAATGTCTACAATGGGTGTTTAGCTGCACCGGCACCAACGTTGGTCATGCAGACTCCCGCTCCGCTTTGTTGCGGCGCAATTGGAAAACACATCGAGAAAGATCATGTAGCAGGCTGACGCGAGGTTCTGCGCGCTGCAACAAGTTCCAGTCGGCGTTTCTTACGAGCTGCTCTGCGGATGACCGTGGATCGCGCTAGTAGGGCTTGTTTCCACCACTGACGAAGTACCTCCTGGACGCGCGCACAGGGACTAGACCAACAAAGTAAACTTTTCATGGCCATATATCTCGGGAAAGACTATTAAATTATAGTGAGTTTGGAAAAGATGAGGTGCGTTTTACACGTCCAGTTCCTTGTGTCCTCGCTGTGAAATGAAACCCCGTGGAGCTAGATAGTGATTCTCGCTGAGAGGGTATACACAACGAATGCGCTTCTCAAAGAATAGCCGTTCCAGTTCATTCGAGATCGTCACTACATTGTATCTGAAACGTTGGCGCGGACGAGGACGTGGACGAAGCGAGGGACTCGGTAAATTATACTCGGCCTGCTGGTATATTATACTCGGCTTAAAACCTTCCCTCATCCAATTATATAGAGAGCTCACGACTAGCGCAGACTATATGAGCCAATTATATAGGGATAATTCTCTACTCTAACACTTTCTAGCCCTAACCCCTTTAACCCTAACCCTATTCGCCTTTAGCGCGCTTAGAGGAGGTTTAAGCCGAGTATAATATACCAGCAGGTCGAGTATAATTTACCGCGTCCCACGAAGCGACGTTACCCTTGCCGATCCACAACCACCTTCAAATCCAGGGTCTCGCGGGCGTTTCGAGTTGAGCGACTGCACGACGCAAAGAGGAGCGTTGAAATTGCTGTTTACCCCTTGTGGCGGATCGCAGCGGGACGCGGCCCCAGATAGAAGAAAATGCGGGAAAACGTTTCGTCCAATAACCCGGTTCATGATGGCATCGGCAATCTCCCGGTGCCAGAAAGCTTGTCTGTGTGGAGCGAAAGGCTTAGCTGTGCGCAGCCGAGATGGAGATGGGGGTAGTGACCTTGGATTGAGGCGAGAAAGGTGGGATGTGACGAAGGAAGGCCTCGCTGTGGAGCAACTCCTCGGAGCGCAGAGCCGAGTATATATATCAACGGATGTGTTGCCGTTTTGTTTCCGCATCAAATTGGATCAGCACTTCACTTCGACAACCACTCACTCATCCTCTCGCACACCAGTCCTCCACCATGATGTCCATGATTCTCCTCACGGCCGCTGCCTTCAGCACGACCACCACCGCAGCAACAACCTACAAAGCGTCTTTCACACAGTACGGTTCGACGGACACCTGGGGATCAGGTAACTGTAATGTCGCAAGCACCGCATGCGGCTTTTACACCTCCCCCGGGTACTCTGCCGCGGTATCGCAGAACGAGTTCGGTGTCGGCCCCGGCGCAGGAGCGGGCCCGGGCTGCGGCACCTGCTGGAAGTTGACTGTGCAGACGGACAGCAGCGGGAATGACCTGTCGAACGCGGGGAACAGCATCGTGGTGCAAGTGACGAATCTCTGCCCTGGTAAACATCCTCTCTCTCTCTCTCTCTCTCGTGTCCCTCTAAGCGGGGACAGTGGCTGACAGTAAGGCGTAGCAAGTGGTAACCCTCTCTGCGCGCAGAATGGACTTACGGGCACAAACCAGTATGGAGCCAACCTCAACTTTGATCTTTGCATTGATAGCGGGGCTTCGAAGGCATTGTTTGGGAACAGTGGGGTTGGGCTGGCGGTGGGGAGTGCTGTGCAGGTTGATTGCAATCAGTGGAGTGGGAAGGTGGTGCACTAGGGATCTGTGGATGAATTGCTCGGCGTTGTTTTGAATGATGTGTATGTTGCTTTCGATGTAAATATATGAACAGATGGAATGACAGCCCTCTTTTGGAACACAAGTTGGACTACTAGTATTGGGCAGTAGGACACGGTAAGTCGACATGCTGCAGGCAGCCAGTCTCTAAGTCGACTTCTTCAATCCGAAGCCAAGTTCCCGGCGGAGCTGCCCATCACGAGAAAAGCAAGATCTGCTGGAAGAACTCAAGCTGATAGGGCCTTGTTTCTGCCTCACTAGACCTAACTCGGCCAGGTATTTGTGTAATAGTATAGGCACAGAAGACCTAGAGGGTTCGATCAGATGAGCAGGCCTCATACCGTAAGTCTCGACAAAAATATGCAGGTCTGCCTTTATTCCGTAGATCCTGTATGGCTCTTCTGATTGGCCATTTTGCAAAGTAGCTTCTGAGTGGGCTTCTGAGTACACAATCTTTTTAACGGTGGATTGGAGCGCAGATTTCCACAGGAGCGCCCGGTCCTTGTCCGCGAAGAGAAAATTCAGTTCTCGACCTAGGCCACCCTGCGGCCACGCCTCCTCAAATGCAAATTCAAGCTGAGGACGGTCGTACAAGCGTTTGAGCAGTTCTGTGATGAAGACACGTCCAGGTTTAGGACTCTGCTTCAACAAGATCCTGCATGGTGGAAACTCGGTCTCTGCAGGAAGAGTCGTCGGTAGAGGGTAAAAGGCATCGATATATGTAGCGGCTATATCGATAGTTATGTCCAATGGAGCCTTTAGCAATAATGATCGAAATTCCTGGCGAAGTACACGGCACACTTGAAGGAGGCTAACCTTTCGTCGTCGCGCTTCGTGGCGGTTCGGGTCGAGAAAAACTCCATTGGCATTCCAGGGGCCGTATTTTCGACGAAGCAGTCCTCCGAAACGACGATGTCCGTCGCTGTCGAGGAAATCATCCAGAACATAGTTGTAAACGTGGTTGCGCAACTCCCCAGGTATTCGTAGGAGAAGGGGTGTAGATCTGACGTCGCTCTGCTTGCCATTCATCCCTGCACGGCTCACCTGGTAGGAAAAACGTCGAGTAGAAGCACGTCGTATAATGCAGGAATGGGATTGTGACACATTTACGAGTAGAAGATAGTCTTCGAAAGCTGCAATGCGGCTTGGGCTTGAGTCAGACGCTAGCGCAGTCTCTTAGACTGTACCGGTACCGCATTCGGTTGGCGCGCCAAGGACATAAACACAATTGGGTAAGGTTGAAATTGAGAATGGATGGAAAGTATCGATTGCATCTCTCCACCCTATACTTCATCCTCCTTATGGTGCTTTCATAGCCAACCCAGGATGCGGCCCATCTTTAGGTACATTCTTATACCGCAAGGATTCTAGTGCTATCGCTCCCAGCCTCTCAATCGAGCCCGCGCTCATGATCTCCAGCACACTAATTTCTAATCCAAGCCCCATCCTCCACCAGTTCCGAATCTCAATACTGACCAGCGAGTCGACGCCCATATCCGAGAGCGACATTTTGATATCCACTTCTTCATCCGATTGGATCATGAATGATCTTATACGCTTTCCAATCTCCTGTGTGAGGAAGTCTGCATTCTCTTTCTCGTCGAGCATTGCAGGAGTGGCGGCGATCGAAGCCAAAAAGTCTTTCAAACCCTCGCTGGCTGTACTGGAGCTAGACTGCTTCTCTGGTTCGCGATTCCTGTAAAGCGCCATACGTACGTCGTGTTTCCAGACTGCTCTGTTGCTGGAATCCATGATAGACTTCCTCGAAGCCAGTCCGGTCGTCAATTGACCCAAGTTGCAGTATCTCCCGGCTGTCCGTAGCCCTGGAATTGATCTTGTGATGGAGATTTCGATGGCCCGAAGGAGATCTGATTCCTTCAGTCCGTGCATGCTGTACGAACGGAACATCTCTAGTACTGCAGCGTTCTGGCTTACATAGCCTATGTCCTCCATTACGCCTACGTCGATTACAGATGCCGGTAGCCCTAGGCTATGTCGATATTGGACGAAGGAGTCGAGGAACGTGTTAGAAGCGGCGTAGTTGCTTTGACCCCATTGACCCACTATCCCGGAGAGGGAGCTGAAGAGGAGGAAGAAATCCAGTTTGGTGTCTTGGAATGCATTGTGTAGGTTCCAAGTGCCGTGGACCTTGGAAGAAAGTGGCGTCTCCCAATCTTCGTGATTCATCTTCAGAAAGTTCTGGTCCTGTATATTGTTAGGTCCGAAAGCCTTTCTGTGCCTGGAAATCAACTTACTCTCAGTACCATGGAAAGCTGTATGATACCAGAGATGGGTTTCTCAGCTAATGCTATCGCGCTCTTTACGTCATCCTCAGAAGTTACGCTGCCAGCAATTGCGACCGCTTCGCAGCCTTGCGCTTCGAGCTCTTTAAAGAATATTTTATCGTCGGCTGTAGATCCCGCTGACCTGGAGAGATATACGAAACTCCGGGCTCCTCGCTCAACCATCCATGTCGACACAGCACGGCCGAGGCCACCGAGGCCACCAACTAATAGATATGATGCATTCGCGGAGAACCTTATCTCTTGAGGTCGTGCCTGTGTTTGCAACTCCTGCATGGATTCGGGCATGTTGATAACAATCTTGCCGAGGTGTTGGCCACTTTGCATATATCTGAATGCATCGACAGTCTGCGTCGCTTGGAAGACCTTCACTGGTCGAATTGGTTCGATTCCACCCTGCCGGTAATAAGTGAGACACTGTTCGAGGAGCCTGTAGCTATATTAGTGATTTGAGCAGACTCCGGGTATTATTTGAGTACCTCTGGCATGTTTGAGGCCTCTCTTCTATCAGTTGCGCGAGGTCGATACCCCAAAACGACCGATTTGCCTCAAAGACGTCCATACTCAATTGCGCGTGCCCGATGAAGTCGCGTTTCCCGATCTCGAGCATTTTCCCGAACGGTGCTACGCACTTCCAGGACGCGTGAAGAAGCTCGCCCGACAGTGAGTTCAAAACCAAGTCCACGCCCTTGCCGTTCGTTTCGCGCATAAGGTCTGGTAGGAAAGACGAGCTTCTGGAGTCGAAAATCCGATCGCGTGGGATTCTGAATGTGTCGATGAGATATTGAACTTTCTCTTCGCTGCCTACCGTTGCGAAGATCTGGAAAGGTCAGTGCTAATCGGTATGAGATTGTGGCAAGCCTACCTCTGCTCCTAGCATACGGCAAATCTGGATTGCTGCTATACCAACTCCACCACAGGCCGAATGGATCAGAACGGTCTATTCACTCATTAGCACCGTCCAGCAACGTGAAAATCCAGACCGCATTTCTCTTGGGATAACGCAGTATATGCAAGCTCTCGTCCAGAAACTGTAGATGTGGGACTTACCTGTCCGTCTTCGAGCCCTCCGAGGTTGACTAGCGAATGGATAACAGTACTGTAGACACAGGGCATGGTAGCAGCATCCTCGAAACTCAGCGCATCAGGTAAACGCGCGCACAACTTGGCTGAAGTCACCATCTTCGTGGACAGACATCCTCTGTCGCAGATAAACACTCTATCACCGACACTCAATCTATCGACTCCTGGGGCAGTTCTAGTGATCACGCCGGAACCTTCGAGACCGAGCTTATGATTCGGGCCATCCACAATGCCTAGACTTACAAGGACATCCTAGAAGAGTATCAGTAGTGTCGCTCATCTTACGAGTTCCGTTGAACAGTCATACCCTGAAATTAAGCCCGACGCTACGGACCTGCACCTCCACCTCGTCACCTTGCAGTACTCCTTCCTTCTCGAAATCTTTCCATGTAAGAGATCCCAAAAGTCCGTATTTTCCGATTTCCAACCTGGCTTCCGGTTCCGTCATTTCATTTTGATCGTTGTCTTCGATTGAAGAGATCCAGTGGAACCTGCTAGTGTGTATCTTCCCGTCGAAAAACGCGTACTCGTATTCAGGGCCGAGTGTTTCTTTTCTTCGCCGTTGTTGAAACCCATCCGCGAGACCTACGAGAGCTTTCCAGGCTTCTGTGCCGAATCTGTCGATCTCGAACGTTGCGAAATCGAGCGAGAGTTCGGAGCGGAGGGAGCGCGCAAAGCCGGGCAGTAGACCGTATGATGGGTTTGAGCAGTGGACCTGAACAGCTTGCGTCACCCAGATGATGTGGCTGTATTGGGCACTGCAGTGCGAGAAGAAGGTCTGGATGCTGGTCCAATCGTCTGCTGACATGTTGTAGAGGAATGGACGATCTAAGTCTAGCAGGACAACAGTCGTTTGGTCCATGTTAGGTCCTTGGTCGATTGTTTGCCAGTTCACCGCATAACCTTGTTGGACGAAATGCTCCGCAATTTCATGGGCAGCAGCGCTCTTCTCGGCATAGTAAAGCAGGCTGATTTCCCTTTCCGGCTGAGTTTGTGCTTCGAAAACCGTAGAGAAGATGTTTGCATTGATCTGAAGCGGTTCAGCATTGTCGTACACAAGACTGTCCACGCCGCTGAAACCCGCAGCACGAAGTTCTTCGTTCCACCGCGATGGGGACACAAAAGGCTCGTTAGGTCGCGAATCTGCTTCACCGAGCCACCACCCTGGAAGAATACCCATGATATAGTTCGTCCACCGTAGGTTCGGACTCAACTCTTGCAAGAACAACCGACCTCCTGGCGCAAGAAGCTTTCTCACGTTGGTCAAGGTTTTGTGCAGGCTCGGCGTGGCATGCAGAACATTCGATGCAACAACAACGTCGTAGGTCCCAGGCTCAAAACCTTGCTCAACAACGTCTTTGGCAATGTCTAACACCGAGTATTCAATTCCGGTATACTGCTTGAACTTCTCCTTTGCGGTAGGGAAGAACCCTGCCGAGATGTCGGTGTAGTGATACTTTGAGTACAGACGGGCTCCTTCAGCTGTTTGGAGCGCCTTCAAGATCCAGGATGTGGTGCCTCCTGTTCCGGCACCTACCTCAAGGACTCGCATGGTCGGCTGAGAGTGACCGAGGAGCTCGAAGTAGTCGGAAAAATCAACCATTTCTTGATAGAAGGTATAGATGCTGGCGAGCCCGTTGTTGGGTAGCAGAAGCTCGATTCCGCTAACGCGATCATGAAAGATGTCATCGCAGTTATCGAGTATACTTTGAATAGTGGAGGCGACCGAAGAACTGTCATCTTTGGCAAAGGCATGTGCTTGTGCTTGACTCAGAAGTTTAAGGCGCTCCTCCGATGACACTCTTGTCCATGCTTTGGCCTCAGGAACAATATTATATTGCCCATTTGCCATGCGTGCTACCTCCATCTCCAGCCACGATCGGAATTTCTGCAAATGCTCTGAGGCGACATCGAAAGAGGCTATGCGCGAGGCCGTCTCAATCATACACAAAACTGCGACCCTCTCTACCAATAGGATGGATTCATTCTTGTTTCCTCGAGGACGTATCAGCTCTGCGGCAGGCACGAAGTTAATGTCTGGCCTCCACTCCAATCGTACTGCCGCCAGATTGTCCTGGTCCCCCGGGCCAGCACCGTCGGTTTCAAGAGGATTGAACGTCGATTCGGTGAGCGAAAGTACGAGCCTGCCGTTCGATGTTGCAAACGCGGAGCCATGAATGGCACCCTTGGGGGTTAACTGTGCTTCTACTCCCATTTCGATGGATGTGCCACATTCACCAACGTACAGCTCACCTATCACTGCTGGAATGGCGAGCTTGCCAAGCCGTCGCGCCAGCCCATTGGACATTGCCACGGTGAACAGTTGGAGAATTTGGTCGATGATGGTGGGATGGGTAGCGTAGACGCTGTTGTGTTCTTCTGGGTCGTGTTGCACGTTTGCGGTAGCAACAGGTTGGACAGGATGAGCAGTGATATCTCGCAGGCCTCGAAAACATGGTCCGTAGTTCAGACCTATCCTCTTCATGGCCGGGTACCATACGTTCGACTGCACTGTGCGCGGGTGAACATCGATACTTCTAGAAGTCATTGGTTGAGTGGATCCTCCGCGAGCTTGTCCAACGCAATGTTTCGTCCATTTCACACCATCATGCGAGGCAATGGTGAAATCAAACCATGATGAGTCCAGGCTGTCTGTCAGTGAAACTGGCTTCAAGCTGGTGACCAACTCCGAGCTCTGACCTTCGTGCATAACAAACGCACTCTTGACAACGAGTCTCTTGATACTGTACTCCTTCGCGCCAGTCAATTGGCGAATCGCCTCACCAATAGTGGCAATGTACCCCGCAGCTGGGAAAACAATGTCCTCGATAATCTTATGATCTCGCAACCAAGGCACGCTATCCAGGTGCAACACGTTTCTCCACGATGGTTCGATATCGCTGCTTTCCAGGATGCGCGACCCGAGAAGCTCATGGTGGGGAAACACCCGTAACCTCCAGTTTTGCGTTACGCGAGACTCTTTCCAGTAATTCGTATCGTGCTGCCAGGGGTATGACGGGAGATCAGTCAAGACTATACCGGGTCCATTAATAGCGTTGAAGTCCACAGCCAGTCCTTGCTGGAATAGCTGCCCTGCCGTGGAAAGGATGCTGTGGACCTGGTCCTCACTTCTAGCCAGCGTGGAAATGTATGTTGGCGTGACTGTAGGTTGCTTATGCTGGAATATTTGGCGGAGTGGCCCGGCGAGAGCGGAATGGGGACCCACTTCCAGGAAAATACTTGACTCAGTTTGGGTGGCATCCAGGATGGAGTTGATGGCCGTGAAGAAGAGCACGGGATTTTCCATATTTGCTCTCCAGTAAGGCGCGTCCAGTCTGCCAGCATCCGTGATCACTTTTCCGTATATGCTGGAGTAGAACCTAGCAGACGGCACCTCGCTGTGGATATGTGGTTCCATCAAAGACTCGTATTGCTCTCCGAACTCGCCCATGTGATCTAGTTTCGCGTCAGTTTTGCAACGTCCCCAAAAGCTCGCCTGAGAGAAACACTCACGCGAATGATACGCCATTTCGACCTTCAGATGTCTGCAAAACACGTCAGGTAGGTCTTTCTTCATGATAGTCATGACTTGGTCAAGTTTTTCGGCATCGCCGGAGAGGGTGACGCTCTTGGGACTGTTCTCGCATGCAACCACGACGCCATCGACTAAGAACCTAGCTACTTCTTCGCGGCCGAGGCCGATCGCAGCCATTGCCCCTGCGCAAGTCTTAGTCCTCGTCACCATACCACGGTAATATGCAATGACGATCGCAGCTTCGGCAGAGATTGCCTTTGATGCATACGCTGCGGCAATTTCTCCGCTGGAATGGCCCACCACAGCTGAGGGAATGATACCCCATCTTGCTAGCAGATTCACCAAGCCAATTTGCAGTGCGGTACACAGTGGCTGTGAAAGCTCAGCCTTGTTGATCCGAGACGAGTCCTTCCCGGCGCCCAGCTCCTCTGTCAGGAATCAGCTTTTGGAGTATTTGCACGGTATTATGTCAACTTCTACCTAGCAAAGACCACGAAGGTCCGTCTGGCAGCGTATGTAGTACGCTATTTAGGTAAAGCATGTCATCATGGAAGCTAGGGAAAGTTGCCATTAGCTCGACACCCATTCCAGCCCATTGAGCTCCTTGACCGGTGAATACAAAATTCACTGCAGGGCAAGTCCGAGGTCTCTTCTGAAAGCTGGAGAATTTTAGAAGTTTCTTCTCGGTGACTACACCGAACGCGCGGTAGGGCAGGTGCTCGCGACGATACGCTAGAGTGTGGGCGATATCATTGAGGGCGTCGAAACGAGACTCTAGAAACTGTTGGATATTCGTCACACGCCTGCGAAGAGAGTCGGGAGTGTTCGCGGAGAGCGCAAGGAGGTGAGGGGCAGATGCCGCCCTTGGTCCTGTTGCCTGAGCATGTCTTTCGGTCCATGCTCCAAGGAATGAGGCAGCGGAGTCCAGTATGACCTGTAGTTCAAGGATCAGATCCGATGTATATGAAATATTTTTGCGAAAGCATTACTCACATGAGCGTTAGCACCTCCAATACCGAAAGAGTTGACACTGACCCTCTCGGCTCGATCGACAGGCCATAGCGTTGGCTCCACAGGGACCTTCAGATTGGCCTCCTTGAAAGGGACTGGGTACATTTCGTCAGATAAGGCTCTCTACGAGAAATGAAGCTTTGCATACTTTTTGGGTTCGGTGTCGAGAACTTGATGTTTGGGGGTATTGTCCGGTGTTCCAGGGCGAGAACTGCTTTAATCAGGCTGGTGATGCCGGAAGCACCTTCTGAATGACCAACATTTGGTTTCACCTGTTCATGTTAGATAATGTTGCGGGCAACCAGAAGAGGCGCACAAACCGATCCAATATACACACCAGATCCGCCGAAAACTTTACCGATTGCCACAGTTTCGAGGGGGTCACCAACCGCCGTCCCTGTACCATGGCACTCAACGTACGCAGTGCGTGACACCGGTAACTGGGCTTGGCTGTATGCCGTTCGCATCATGTCCTCGTGCGCTTGCGAGCTCGGGTTGGTGAGTCCAGCCGTCTTCCCGTCACAATTCTGAAATGTAGAGCGGATTACCGCACGGATTGGATCGCCATCTCTGAGGGCATCGTTCAGTTTTTTTATGTATACCGCGTTGATAGCTTCACCGCGAGCGTATCCATCAGCAGTCGCGTCGAAAGTCTTGCACGACCCTTCAGCAGACAATACGCCCTGCTGTGTCATGTGTTGGGACATTGTTGGGCTGATAATGATGTTCGTGCCGGCAACTATTGCAGATGTACAGTGGCCATTGGCCAGGGCCTGACAAGCTTCATCCAGACCGACAAGTGCCGAGGAGCAGCCGGTTCGAATTGTCATGCTGTTTTGTGTCAACGATCATTCATGAGCGTAGAATGCCTCCTGGGTGTTTGGGGGAACAAGACGCTTCTTACGCTGGCGGAGGATGATGCAAGGAATCAAATTGGAAGAACCCACCTTGGCCCTTTTAGGTCATATTCGTATGAGATCCTGTTCGAGATCGCAAAATCTCCAGTGCCGGATATACGGTACATATCGAAAGATTGGGTATCTTTGTTGCAAAGATCCAGCCAGTCCTCCCCGAAGACACCCACATAGCAGCCAACCTTGCTACCCCTCCAGTTCGATTGTCCAGCACTTTCCATACATTCATAGACCACCTCCAGCAACAGTTTCTGCTGTGGGTCGAGCTGCGAGATCTCTGCCTTTGACATGGCAAAGAACGATGCGTCAAGGTGTTCTAGAGAGTCGTCTAGGAAGTAGCCATGCTGTGAAGCAACCTCACCCTTTCTTGCACGTGGTCCATGGAAGGCCTCGACATTGTAACGATTGCTGGGTATCGGACTCCGACCGTCTCGTTTGTTAATGAGCAGGTCCCACAGACCTTCTGGGGATGATACGCCCCCCGGGAGCCGCAAAGCCATGCCCACAATAGCGATGGGAGGCGGAGTATCGATGTCTTGATGCCCATTGCCATTCATTCGAACATCATGAGGTTGTGAGCTCGCTGTTCCGATTGTTCGGAAAACATTGGTGCTCGGAGTCTCTGACTCGCGGACGCCGTCTGTATGGTAGCGATCCTCTTGTCCAGCTGGAACTGCCATGGTCGTTTATCGTGCTGGAAATAGGGTGAAGGGAGCACGTCGAAAATTACTGATAGCTTCCTTTGATGAAAACGTCGGAAGAATCAGCGAGCTGTGCTAAAACGTCTATGAATGCCCTTGAAGATGGATTTGCAAAAGGACTCAAGCTGATGAGACTCTGCCAAGGTTATGTACCTATCGCCATGTACATGGGCGTCCGGATCCTTCCGCGGGACCGGCCAGCCCTTCCTCCATTGCCAAGTGAGCTGAAGAATCGGCATAATGCCTCAGCACGATCTCACTTCCGATGCGCTTGGGTCCACGATTGCTCGGATCTGCATAAGCCCTTGAGGTCCTGCTTCTGGGCTTGCCACGAGAAGTATTCCTAGCCATGGCGCGATACTAGATTCAGAAGTCGCCGAATGACACACTGTCTTTGGGCTCCAAGTATCAATCTCATATTAGGCATGCACGTTCAGGCATGTTTGCAGCCGGAAAGATAAGACTTGAACCCCATGTGGTCCCTGATATGAGCAGTTTCGTGGCGTGCCACTGCCTCAGAGCTTCACCCCACAAAACACACCATAACAGAAGGGGTAGTAACGTCGGGCTGACCTGGTTGTGGGGTCTTGTGTAGGCTGACATCGTGCAGATTCGATGTACCGATACGAGAGACGAGGCAAGGCTATTGGCTCATGGGAATACTGCACTCACCATTTGTACGAATCTTGGTAGCCACCAAGACAGCCCCATCAATACCATAAGTCGCATCCAATTGCTAAATGTTCGTTGAAACTCAATCATTGTCAGGTCGCTGTTTTGGGGAATTGCTGTGCTCGTCGTGATGACTATGTGCAATGCAGCCTGTTACTAGTCAGTTCGGTACTATCCATCGGGCACGCTAGGTAGCAGCGTGGTCGATATGGACGAGCTGGCTATCACGAATCGCGGCATTACTGCGCAAGCCGAGCCTCTGCGATGCACTTGGTTGGCGCACCAGCATCCAGTCAGCGCGAGCTTACGCTTGGCCGGCACGCTTCACTCGAGGTCTTACGAACAAGATGGTCGATTTCCGGCCCCAGGTTCGGTGAGAATTCCTTGCTAGCGTAAACACACGCGTGGACCAGATCCTAAATCGTGGGGATGAACGAGGGAATCCTTCGCGATGTGTCCGACCAGGGCAGCCTTGCGGCCCCCACCCGCGGACCTGAGTTCGTATGACACAGGCTCGTTTGCACCGTGCTAGTAAATAGCGTAATCCTACAACCTTCAAGCACGCGTCGATCAGTGAGAGTATCGCCGACTACAGCTTACTCAACCCTTCCACGATGACCGCATTCGGTTGCATGCAGCTCTCCGCCGCATATGTGTACTTATCTTACTCTTACTCAATCCATTCCAGGGCCACAAAGGCCGCGTCACAAGTCCTGTCTTGGTCCTAAAGGCCGAGTGTCGCGCATATCTCACATATTTCTTAGAAACGCACTTGCTCAGCCTTGCGTCGAGTTGACCGACTGCTGCCTTGCTGCTGCCAAACCGGTCTTCCAATCTTTCACTGTCTGGGAGCCTGAATGAAAGAGAAGACCAAGATGACCGAAGAGAATTCTTTGAGCGAGAAATCAGGAGATGCTGAACACGAGGCCAAAGATGAGAGTGCGGCTGTCACAGGCACTGAGCCCGTCCAGTCTACTGAGTGGAAGCCCAGTCGAAGCGAATGGCTCATCTTTCTCAACCTGGCCATCATTTCCCTCATAGTATCACTGGATAGTTCAATTCTAGGACCTGTTCTTCCTGTAAGTTCGATTCCGTTCTAGAACACTTAGCCTAATGCTCACATGAGTAGGCCATAGCTCGAAGCCTTCACGGTAATGCAAACGAAACCTTCTGGGCTGGAACATCCTACCTCGTAACATGCGCCATCTTCCAACCATTCATCGTATCACTGTCCGATGCTTTCGGCCGCCGTCAACTGCTCTTCTCCTCGCTCTTGCTTTTCACGATCGGAACAGTATTATGCTGTCTGGCGGAGAACTTTCGCACTTTGCTTGCGGGCCGCTCAATACAGGGTGTCGGGGGCGGTGGGGCGTTATCTTTAGTCCTTGTCATAATGACCGACATAGTACCACTCCGACAACGACCCAAGTACTACAGCCTCATACAGCTTGCGTGGGTGAGTGAGTGAGACTGGGGTATGTGTGGATATATCGGCGACGTACGCTGACTTTTCCTAGGCAGTAGGCTTGCTCAGTGGTCCCATCGCAGGCGGTGGGTTTGCTGAGCATACCACGTGGAGATGGATCTTCTATATCAACTTTCCTTTTTGTGGAATCGGGCTCGCTATGGTCCCATTTGTGGTGAGACTGCGAGCGCAACGTGCAAGCCTCCAGGACCGGCTTATGAAAACTGATTGGTTGGGAGCTTTTCTGTTCATATCAAGCACATGTAGCTTTCTCATCGGCATTACATGGGGCGGCACACAATACCCTTGGAACAGTTGGCGAACGATTGTGCCGATAGTCCTGGGAGTTGCAGGTATTGTAGCGACCTTATGCTGGGAGCGCCATGGGGCTCCGCAGCCTTTCCTTAGACTCTGGCTGTTCAAAGACCACGCTGCAACAGCGGCGTATGCATGTTCCGTGCTGCAGGGTCTGTTGGTAAGTCCTCATTTTCCTACCCTCGATGTCCTCCCAGCTCGGCTGCGGCAAGGTTCTGATACAACTCTGCTCCAGATGTTCGCCCACCTCTACTACCTTCCTATGTATCTTCAGTCAGCACAGGCCTACGGGCCTATGTTATCCGGAGTCGGACTCGTCCCCATCATCGGCGGCCTCATACCTACATCAGTCATCGTTGGTGGGGTTATGACGCGATTGGGTCGCTATAGATGGGCGATCTGGTCTGGTTGGGCCACCATCATCGTCTCGACCGGGCTGCTCATCATCCTCTCGAGTTCTACACCCACATATGGCTGGATCCTGCTCTTCCTCACAATCGGACCTAGCCATGGTCTCGTTTTAACATCTCTTAACTTCGCGCTGCAGGCGCTCGCCACAGAACGCGACGGCGCGTATGCCGCTGCTATGTATACGTTCATGAGGACATTCGGGATGTGTCTTGGTGTAGCCTTTGGCGGTACGTCGATCACAAATACAAAGAGAGATGTGCCATTGAGCTGACTTCCAATCCGCGACTCAGGTACCGTGTTCCAAAACAGAATGCTTGTGCACCTCGCTGCAAAAGGCCTGGACCAGCGCGTCGCTAAAGACGCAGAGGCGTTCATCCTGGTTCTGAACTCGATGCCAGACAGTGCAGAAACGGCATCCTATCGCGTCGCGTATGCTGAAGCATTCCGGAACCTTTTCGAGGTGCTCTTGGGGGTGGCGGTGTTAGCTGGGGTTGCAAGCGCGTTCGTCAAGCACGCGAGTATGGATAGGGTTTTGGATTCCGAGCATGTATTCAAGGAGCAGGAGGAGAAGTCTAAGGCATGATGCGGTGCTCAGGTCGCGTTGAGACACGAGTTGCTCAGTGCTCAGAAATGAGAACCGAGGTATTTGTCCGAAGACAGTTAGCCTGATCGAAATATGACGTAATTGCCCTCCTTCACAACACCTCCTACATCTACACCGCACAAGTCTGAACCGTTGTCAACATTCCCACAAAGCCCAAGATGTCTGTATCCACGATTCCAAAGCTCGAATCCAAAGCCGCGTACCTGAAAGCCGTCATGTACGAGGGCGTGACCGTCCTCGAGGGCACCGCCACTTGGTGCGCGCAATGCAAAGCCATTGCCCCGGAAGTCCAGAAAATCGTTTCTGAATATCCAGATGTTCACTTCTATACATATGATGTGGAAGAGACGGAGGATATAGCTCAAGAATTGGGTGTTAGCCAGATGCCGACATTCAGTATCTTCAAGGATGGAGATATTCAAGAGGGCGTGACAGGTGCTAAACCGAAAGAATTGAGGAAGGCTATTGAGGCGAATCTGTAATCATTGACGGAGTGTCGACGGGATTCTGTGAGATGTACGGGAAAGCCGACGGGGCATGGTGATGGCATCTCCAAGGACATTGACGGAATTTCGCTTTACACTCTCCTTCACCAGGGAAAGTCGAATCCTCTATCGCTAGAGTCTATGGTGTGCAGGTCATCATATTAGCCGTCAGAGTAACCGCAAAGCAGAGGAAGAGGTAGATTGCAAGTATGTTTGTAGTGGGCAAACATCCACCAGAGTAGGGCGAAATGTTGTCTCATGTTGCGGAGGTGGAAGTAATGTCCATCACCCCGAATACCGGTACGGGTTAATTGCAATGGATGAACATGGGAACCCCTTCTGCTTCGCCCTAATTAGGACCTCGTTGGAGTCGCTTCTCACGCTCTCAACGCGCTTCTAGAAATAGAATTAAAAATTTAAACTTTGAGATGAAAGAAAAGAAGAGATCCAACGCAGGATGACAACTGGATACCCGGTAGTAATGGTAGAGGTCTATTCGATGGCACGCCGAAGATCGTGACTTTCAAACAAAATGAACATCCTGTCGACCGCACGATCTGAAACGATGATACGCACGGAGCGCATCTCAGCATCTACCTGGCCCTCATTTCGATATTCCTCTAATCCCTGAATAATCGAAATGCTAATGGGGATCTTCGTGGTGGTCCGTTTGCGCTGCTCATACTCTGTAGCACAGCGGGAGTGCAATATTCGATTCCACATCAAGCCCTCGGCAGCAATGGGGACCATTTTAGATGGGGATAAGATTCGGATTTGGTCATCATAGCTGTGGACAAAGGACAATGTTGAAGCACAGTCGGTTTTAGAAGGCCATACGCAGAAATGTTTGTAGTCTATATAACCTTCATTTTGACTGCAGTCAGACAAGTGTCACAGGTTTGAGCTGCACATTATCCAAATCGAACCTACAGAACTCTAGACAGTCTTCTGGTTTCTCCTGCGGAGTTAGTTCACCCCACAGAAGACGGGATATTCCCACCCGTCTATACTCATTCGATTTGTCCCCCGTTGGTTCAATGATCATACAGAGATGTACCTGAAAGGCGGCCCTGCTCCAACGACTTCATGTACCCCCTTTCCAGTTCCCAGAATCTTGGCAAGATGAAGCATGCCTCCGCATTACGTTTTGTTGTCTGTACCGAATCGATCGTAGTGGTCTCCCAAATCACCATGCCGCCATGATCTCGCATCGTTCTAGCATGTGAGTTTTGGGTGGGTCTTTTCCACATGCCCGCTAATCTTCAGGTATCTGCTTGTGAGCTGGACCATCGGATCCGCCACTGCAGTCGTTACGACCTCTTGGATCTCAGCTATGAAGATATGTTGCCTGACAAAGAACCTGTAGCTGCCTTCTAGGTGCCTAAGGATCTTTACGCCCGGCTCAAAGATGGGATGTGATTCCCAAGACCAAGAAGGTGCTGAGTATTCTTCATTAGAGATCACTAAGGAACGGGAGCAAGCCCGCGAGGACGTACCTATGCATTCGCCGAACACTTCTTCTTCACTATATGGATCGCAATACCATAGCATGGAATAATAAATTTTGATTTTCCGTAGGCCAGCTACATATTCATCTTCAAAAACATCTTGGAAGCGTTTGGCTACCCCTGCTATTGCTGGAAATCTATCTGTAGTGACTGTAAGGCCATCTCTCATGTACCGTCCAACAAGGTGTTCCGAATTCTAGTACATAGCTTGCTTGCCTAGTTTCGGATTTGGTTTGACGCTGAACCGGCTACCCGCGTGGTCAATCTGGTTGGGTCGTTAACAAAATTGACAGGCGGAATGGGGGTCTATAAGCCAGCTAATATGAACAGTAGCTATAATATTTGAGTCAAGGGTGTCCCTTGGGATCATACTCGCATGCGAGCATCGTCGCGCATTCCCACTTGAGCTGGTTACCAAAAAGCATCGTGCGGGAACTCAGTAGTCTTTCTTGTATGACCCAGCCGCGCTTGTGTATTGGATCGTAGTATTCTTCCTCTTCAGAAAGGTCATCATAAAGAACCCATTCTTGCCATCCTCAGACCCTGATGAAACTGAAGGGATGCCGGAAAACACATTTGGTGCTCGCTTTACGTATAGCACTGTTCTCTCCGAACGCCTAGTAGCTGCTGCACTTGCCGATAGATTCAGAGAAGCGTGTTCGTAAACCTATCCCATTATAGAAGACTCTATTCACCAATCCTCTTTATCATCCCGGATGATATAGAGCGCATCGATCCACGTATATTAAAAACCAACGTCGCAGCGTAGCATCTACCGTATTAAAGAAGGCTGGACGGAACGTATTAATTGGAATCCACTTTGTTTATTGGCCTAGATTTGACAGGAGAAGCTTCAGATCTTCGTGCAGGTTCCATTGATAACTCAGAGTGGTATACTGAAGGTCTCGCTGATTTCTGGCGGAACTCGTATGGTTGATCCATAGCTGGTGGCTGTCCAAGATCTCGACCAATCGCGTTGGGAGAAACTTTCGCTGCTTTGAAAAGCCGGACGCTTTGCGGCACTTGTCGTGTTGTTCTGTGCACGTCTTTATCCAATCTTTGATCGTACCAAAACAGTTATCATCCCCAGGGAAGACAGGCAGGTCTGATACATTGATCAGAACTTGGTTTCGATGGAATAAGTCGTCCCTTGGATTCATGGGAGTGGTGAGTTGTGCCTCCATGGTCTGGTATTTACTCAGCTCTGGTTTCGAACGCACCCAGTTACCGGGCACATATAGGGTCTTGCCCAGTTGTAGAAGAATATACAACTGCAATCGCGGTATTTGGATTCAATTAAAGCACTGCATCGAAATCAAACAGACCAATGAGCTCTGCACGTCTGATGATCAGAAATGTGTGGCAGCTATTGTCCAAGCCCTTGATTTCATTGTACCGGACCGTCAAGTCGGTGACGGAGGGACTGTTAAGGAACGCGAATAAATGCTGGCATCTCGAGCATAGCTGGGTTGTCTTTTGTCCGTACCTGAGCATCTAGAAGGCGTGTAGCTTGGGTATTTCCCCCGTTGCTTTTCCAAAGCTACGATACTAAACGACATTCACATTCAGAGGTGGTGAACAATACCATTTTTGTAGAATTGCTCATTGTGAAGCATTCGTTAAGGTGTAGATCAAACCTGCGCCCGGTTGACACTGTGAGGATCAGATATTCTCTTCTAGCTGGCCATAGGACAGCGCAGTCAGATGCTACTTCTGCCAGCTTCTCCGCTCAAGAAGCCCACTAGTATAGTCGAAACTACACATTCACCTGTGTCTTGAGACCGTGCGACCAGTTTGCAGCAGTAAGAGAGCACAGTTTCCAAGGTTGGACCTGGGAACGTGACACCAATGGTTTCTCTTCACACCGCAGTGTCGCGCACATGCAGTGTTACTGATAAACCCAAATGTGCCATGTCACAGTCTTCCCGAGCATTACACCAAGCACTGCATAAACCTTTGACAAATCTCTCTTGTACCGCACCTCTATTGAAGACTCTACTCTTGAATAAGAACACGACTCATTACGGCGTACAAGAGCCACCGAGCTAGTGCACTATCGCGCGTTCCCTAAGGGCCTCCAGAGACCAGGAGAGCATATCGAGCTATGCTAACTCTTCAACTTTAAACTAGCTTCAATGTTTGTCCGGTCGTATCCGTTGAGCCAAGCTGCATCCCAGCCTCGCCTCAAGCTGTTGAGCTCGCTTCGCTGCATACATCGTTCAACGCCGTGGCTGGTGCATAAACACGTGAAAGGACCTTTGTAGTCTCTCCACAGTGGCGTGAACGACCCACCACCACTGACGCTGTGTCACCTATGCAAGGGCACTTCCGCCTTTTCGATACCTAGGCAATGGTTTAAAAGACTGACTCTCTAGGCCGAGGTGTTTCGGCAGCACCTGAAGTCGCCGCACGGTGCGAAAATTTGCGTCGACGAGCGATTGCACAATGTTCTGATAAGGCTGGCCAAGGCCAAGACTGGCCCACGCCACGGAAGCGTGCCGCACAGGCGAGAGATCCTCCTTCACATGCTTTCTTTCTCTCAACTCAACACTCCACAGCGGTTGACGCAGCTCCGCATAGCGCCGTTGTCTCGCCTCCCAAGGACTTGAGCGCACCAATATCGGAATGAAACATAATCTGGCCGCAGTCGCCCCTGCCAAACACTGATGTCGAAGCGCGCGCAGATAAGACACAGAGCCAATTGAAGACGGGTCTGCCTGCGGTGGTAAACATGAGCGCATGCCGCCCCCTCATTCTTCATCCCCGTCCATCAGCATACAATCTCAAGCTGCCGAACGCGCCTGCCAGTCAACCCGCTGGCGTAGCGAGCGTATGGGATTGACTGTTGAAGCTGGTCGACCTGCACACCCCGCAAACCCTGTGCCCAACGCTCAACACGCGGGGACCGGAAGCTGCGCGTTTGTCAACCGGCAGCGCGTTGTAGGTGATGCGCCCGCGGCCTCGTATTCGCGTGAGCGCGGCATGTCAACAGAGTCTGGGCTGCGGCGGGGGCGCTTTTGATGCAGCCCTGGGCCCAAAGAAAGTTGCCGCTTGGATGTGACGTTGGACAGATATGGCCCGTGCACCCTTTCACATGCGCCGTCCGCGCCTGTCCAGTGGAATGCTTCGCGGGCAATCACGAAATAACACGCCTTATATTTCGCGAGCGGGCTGCAAGAGGGACGAAGCTTATGATAACGTTTCGACTCCGTCGGCCTCCGCTCTTCCTTCGCCCCTCGCGCTTTCTGACCGATTGAGAAGGTCGCCATCGTTATAGCAGCACTTGCATATTCACACAGTACGCTCCACCAGTGCGCCTTATCGATAATACAGAAAGAGGGCCTTTCACATGCCATTCACGCCGCGACTGACACACTTCCTCCAGAGACGCAGCCGCCGTTTTCAGGACCGCGCGCCACACCTTCGTCACTTCCTGCAATTGTCGCATAAATAAGGTATGCTGGGCTAGACGTTCTTGTCAGACAATAACATCGCTGCCATCCGTTTACCCCCACCGTATCACCACATTCACACGTCGCTACAGCTTCATAATCGCACTCGATGCCTCACGCCGAGAAGGACACTGTCAACGGCGAGATGACAACGCGCCTCACTAACGGCGAGAAGCCGCAGTCGAAAGTCCTATCGGTGCGTCCCTTTCAACAGCATCCATCCCACTCCAACTCGGACCCCTTCTTCCTCTCTCGTGCTCGTACTGACCAAACACAGCACCTGCAGACCTACCCGGTTGTCAACGACGGCCTCGAGTTCTACAAATCGCACCCCTACGGCGCAAAGTCCCTCAACCTCGTGCACAAGACCTACAACTCGTTCGTCGCGCCGCTGCACCCCTACCTGCAGACACCGTACTCCTACCTCTCGCCGTACCTCTCGCGCGCCGACGAGCTCGGCGACAGCGGCCTCTCCAAGGTCGACACGCGGTTCCCCATTGTTAAGGAGGACACCAGCAAGCTCAAGCAGACGGTGTCGGAGTACGTGGGTCTGCCGTTCGCACTCGCGGGCAAGGGCCGGGCGTACGTGGTCGGCACGTGGCAGGATGAGTACAGCAAGACGAGGGGGGATGGCGTGGTGAAGAGTGTCAAGGCGCTTATTAGCACTGAGCTGAAGATTGGGCTCGATGGGTATACGTTGTTGGTGGAGTACTGGCAGAAGGGGCACAAGGAGGTGAACAAGAAGGTTAATGAGGTGAGTTTGTCCTAGGCTAGGCGCACGGTGCAGGTCGGCGTTGAAGTAGAACCTGAGCTGACGTGCTTCTAGAAGAAGCAGAAATAGGTGGGGTGTTCCGACTTGTGATCCTGGTTTGAGAAAAGTGATGGACGCTTGGCAGTAATAATGGGGCAGGATTGTTCATGCTTTCTTGTAGTATTGCTTAGATACCTTTTCTTTGGCCTCTAGGGATAGAAACTTTATGACTCACTCAACGACCGTGTGATCTATGATAGGCCCTGATGATCGGTGATGCAATACGCAGTAGTGGACGTGCTTCAGATGGTCAACTAATAGCACGAACAGTTATTGCGAGTCTGACATGGGGAGAAAGTCGGATTCTCAGACGGACGGAACGTGTTGTTGTGAGCAAGGTGATGGTCGGTGGTGCAACTGAGACGCCCGGCAGCAACAGTGTCAAGCTTGTCCGTCAAGAGCCTTGCGATGGAGCTGAGTGGTCGCCAGGAATGACGTCGAGATGCTCCTTGTCGCTCATCACGGTGGGACCCGCCTCAGTGTCTTGCATTCGTGATATTGTCCTATGGGTATTCCATGATGGGCGTTATAAACACTTCCTCACTTTTGATGAACATCGCCGGTTCGACCCCAAAGCCTTGATTTTTGTGCTCTGTTTATCGAAATACACGCTCGAGCGGCAGACCTCCGTCGGCTCTGCGCACCCGGTCATTTCCCTTGGCATACTCATGCAGGATCATCTCGATTGTCAAACCATGCCCGTCGACGCCCAGCCGTGACCGAAAGAAAGCTTAGAACTGTAAGGGAGTGAAGAACCACCTGTTCTTGCCGGACGTGTACCGCTCCTCAAAGGCCTTCTTGACCGTCTTCTTTGCCTCCTCCCGCTGAGAAACCTCCTTGAATGTGTCGGCCGAGACAACGCCCTTAAGGTTCTCGAGCTCGAGGGTGTATCGGGTGGGCATGATGTGGGTGTCTGCCAAAATTAGCCGAGGGCCTCCACACACCGCCGAGGGTGGTACGCACAGTTGACCTGCTTGACGAAGGGCTTGACCTTGCTCTTCTTGTCCTGCTTCTTCTTCGACATGCGGCGAGTGACCTTGGAGGGGTAGCGCTCGATGCCGGCGACGAGGGCGTGCGGGAAGGGATGCGACTTGGTGCCGTTGTCGAGGGGAGAAATGATCACACACTTCTTTCCGGCATAGCGGCCCCGGGTGATGATCTAGAATTTCGTGAGTTTGTGCGAGCAGGCGATTCGAGTGGTTTGCGACATACGACAACGCGTCCGACCTTGAGGCTGTAGAAAGATCTGTTAGCGACATGTTCCAAGACGTCCTGCAGACCCAATGCGCATGAAAATTGCAATCGCACGCACACGATCTTCCCAGCAGAGTATTCGGGCGGTACTCACAACTTCATCTTTGCTGTCCTGCGGTTAGTGTGGATGGGCGGTCGTTGATGTTGATGGGGTTGGTGAGGTTCGAAATCTAATGTGCTGGGCTCGCTTCGCACGGACTCATTTGCACTTGCCCGTGTGGATCGCCGGTTGGGAAAAACCTTTCTTCCGGCCCCGCCAAAAAGACGTGCATGCTTGGCATCTTCGAAAAGTTCGGGCGGGCTTGCGACGATGCCATACGACTTCTCAAGAACATAGTACCAGACGTTGTCTGCCTCGGTTCTTTAGTATTCGTTTTACGCAGCTTCCGACGCCCCTCCGTTCGACACGTGCCAGGACATGATTGAGTAGCGACACCACGAACCCAAAATGAAGATTCGCGCTCTCAGCAGGCCTGCGTCTTCAGCGCAGGCGCCCGGCTCCAGTGTCGCCAAACTGACACGCAACCTTGACCCGTAATTGAGACTCTCACTTTCCCAAAGATTGCCTGCTAATGCGCTGCAGCACGCAACATCCCTTCGAGCGCGCCCGCGAATACACCCGCGCCCTCACCGCGGTCAAGATGGAAAGGATGTTCGCGCAACCCTTCTTGGGTGACTTCGAGCCTGGCCATGTCGATGGCGTATACAGTTTGGCAAAGGATCCGGAAAGTTTGGAACACCTTGCATCCGGTAGCGGAGACGGCATTGTGAAAGTCTGGGATCAGTCCAGTAGGGAGGAAAAGTGGCAGGTATGAATCACCGTATCTACGGAACATGTGCAATCTTGCGGATGAAGGGACATTCCTTTCTTGGCTGCAACACGCACGATTCCGGATTCCCCTTGTTGGTCTATGCTGACTTTATCCAGGCACAAGCGCACGAGAACATGGTCAAGGGCATGTGCTGGACCAGAGACAGGAAACTTTTGACATGCGGTTCAGACCAGAAGATCCAGCTCTTCGACCCATACACCACATCATCCAGGAGCCCACCGGTGGCGACGTGGCATGGAGGCGCATTCTCATCCGTTGCACACCACCGCAACCTGCCCAACTTCGCGGCTTCGTCGGACAAAGTCTCTATATACGACATCTCAAGAGCATCAGGCGCGCCCGTGCAGACACTGAACTGGCCTACGGCGATCGACACCATCAACGCATTGGCGTGGAACCAGGTCGAAACGTCTATAATCGCATCCGCAGCAACGGATCGTGCCATCATACTGTACGACCTCAGAACGGGCTCTCCCTTGCACCGAACAGTGCTGCATCTGGCCTCAAACTGTATTGCTTGGAACCCTATGGAGGCTTTCAACTTTGCGGTAGCGAACGAAGACCACAACGTTTATGCTTTCGACATGAGGAACATGAAGCGAGCCTTGAACGTCTACAAGGGTCACGTCGCAGCGGTCATGAGCGTCGAGTTTAGCCCCACCGGTGAAGAGCTGGTATCCGGCTCCTATGATCGGTCGGTGCGCCTATGGGAACGCCAGAAGGGCCACGCAAGAGACATCTACCACACCAAGCGAATGCAGAGAGTGTTCTCTGTAGCATGGAGCGCAGACAACAACTACGTACTGAGCGGCAGCGATGACGGTAACGTCCGCCTATGGAGAGCGAAGGCTTCATCCAGGCAGGGTGTCAAGTCAGCCGCACAACGTCAAAAGCTTCAGTACAACGAATCATTGAAGGAACGCTACGTACATATGCCCGAGATCAAGCGTATTGCACGACACAGGCACGTACCCAAGCAGGTGAAGAAGGCCGGCGAAATTAAGACAGAGGAGCTGGCGTCGGTCAAGAGGAAGGAGGAGAATGAACGTCGGCATAGCAAGAAGGGCAAAGTCAGGCGGCAAGCTGAACGAGAGAAGATGATCTTGGCGAGAGAACAGTGAGGGGTGCATGATGAGACTGCTTTGCATAGCGACGGCGTCAGGATTTGATTTGCACTTACCGAGGCGCTACTCACCAACATGTCACAATATACCCTGTTACGGTTTGAAGTTCTCCTTCATTTCTCCCAATCACATTGTGCTGCACCATTCATTGCCCACTCTGGGCTTCCGCCGGCGCATATGTAACGCATGCGACTAGTCCGCGTCAGTAGCGCTAACGTCATAATCCCGAGGTCATGTCTGATTATAAAGCTACTGGGCATCGACCAAAGAGCGCAATCAACAGCAGCAACGCAAGAACGGGAACAAAGTAAAAAATTCTTGGGAACCTACGAGGACAATCACAAGCCTTCGGCCAGTATCATTGACGTTTAGCCTATTACGAGTAGCTAAATTCATCGAGAACAACTTGCATTCAGATCAGAACATCGACTACGTATCCCACTATGTCTGCATCAGCAGTCTCCATCCAAGATGAGAAGCTCGAGAGCTTGGGAATGCAGAAGATGACGGTCAATAAAGAACAAGTCGTCAGCTACAGCCGTGGTCTCGGCGCAGCTTCCGAGCAAAACCCAGTCCTCGTACTCATCCACGGATACCCACAATCCTCATTCATGTGGCGACACCTGATCCCCCTCCTCCCATCCAATGCACCCATCTTCGCGGCCGACCTTCCAGGGTACGGCGCTAGCGCCCCCATACCGGACAACTCCAAGTACTCCGTCGGCTCCACCGTCCTAGCAGCCCTTATTACAGAAGCCAAGCGAACAAGCAGCAAGCCCCTCGATAATTTGCCGATTGTTCTCATCGGCCACGACCGCGGCGCGCGAGTCGCACACCACCTCGCCGTCCAAGGCTTCCCCAGCGTATCTATCAAGGGCATCTGTCTCATCGACATCGTCCCCACCACCATCCAGTGGGAAGCCTCCAAAAATCCCGCCGAAGTCGTCGGCTACTTCCACTGGCCGCTGCTCGCGAACGTGGATCTCGCCACGCGCATGATCACAGCGTTCGGACCGGGCAATTGGTGCGAGGAGATGTGTCTGCGATGGGCAGGTAAGACCCCTTCAGCCTTGTCGTCTTTCAAAGCAGACGACGCGCTGGCTGTATATAGGGGCTTCTTCGAACAGCCCCATACGCTGGATGCGAGTAACAAGGACTATGAGGCTGGTGCTACGGTGGATGTGGAGGTTGAGAAGGGGTGGAGGGAGGAGGGGAGGAAGATCGCGGTGAAGACGCTGCTAGTGTACAGTGAGAGTTATATTGGGCAGAGGTATGATTTTCCGGAGGTGTGGAAGGGGTGGGTGGAGGGAGAGGCGCAGTTTTATGCGCTGGGTGGTGGGGTAGGGCATTTTGGGGCGGAAGAGGCGCCGAAGGAGACGGCGGAGGCGTTGAGGAAGTGGTTGAAAAGTCTGTAACAGCACGATATGTGGCCATGGGATCAGAAGACAACGGCTCAAGTTCTTAGGAGAACACGTCGAAAAACCTTCCAATATCACCTCAAAGGCTTTTGATATCCTATCGAACAAGACCCGCGATTTCCACGAGTGATGAATCCTATCTGCGTTCACTACGTGATCCCCCAACCATGACATGCGCCTCCATCACGTACAAAAAGTCCTACCAGGCTTTGCCTTCCCTTCACGCTCACATCAGCTTCCCAATCTGAGACTAAAAGCACCGTTCGTGATTTTTGTGGCCCTTTTTGCGGTCTAAATAACGAATATGCATGTGTCTCTCCTCATCAGGCACTGAAGCCAAGCTTCCCATTGTGGCATCAAAACACGTACCTACATTCCCGAAAGTCTTGCTCTCGTGCTTTGGAAAATATGAGCACCGGTACGCATTTGCTTGCTCGAACTTATAAGATAATTCTGCATGACGGAGATACTAATCGAACGAGACAGACCCAGGCCGATGCCTTCCTCGCAATTTTGAAATGCTATACGCAATGCATGACTTGAACCTCTCTGACATCGCACGCTGCCGTCAATGCACTTGACCGAAGCCAAAATCACACAAAATTATGAACCTGTGTATCCAATCCGCGCATGCCTCCTTCATTGGGCCCAGCTTGAATTACTCTAGATGAAACTCCAGAACGAAAGCCGGATACCTTTGCCGTAGGCTGAAGAACAAACGCAAAGGTCAACTTGATGATATGTAAACGATTGTTCGCTCATGATCGCCAAAGGTCGACAATAATGTACTTCAGGTGGTTGAATCGTCTTAAATTGACCAGGCCATACCTACATTCGCGTTCTGCCTTCAAAGTCGATAAGACATGAGGGATATCCGTCCAAGATTGCTCAAGTCTCACGCATGAGTCTCGCTTGTGAACTGGAGTCAAGCGACGTCCACCAGATGGAATGCAGCAACGACGAAATGACGCGGAGCATGGAGTTCGGCTTGTGACTTCCAGAGTAAACACTATTGGGCAGTCCCAATTGATGTCATGTCACAAAATTGCATAACCGGAATCCATGGGGCCGGCACTGATGGAACAAACAAGGCTTGATTCATGGACTCCTCTTGGACCGGCTGGGATATGCACTTCACAACCGGAGGGAGGGTTAGTGATGGTGATATCGGAATGATGTACGATGACAGTCTTTCGCGGCTCGCTTATGACGTATGGAATGTTGCGTTGCGCAATCAAGATGAATGAACAGGATCACGAAATCGTATACTTGAGCCCTGAACCCAGTTCCTGTGGCATTGCCCACTTCGCATAGTTCGACTTCAGAGTCTAGAGGTTGTATTGCAACGGATTCCGCGGAGCCCACCTCTTTGTATCGGAAGCCTCACCAGTCAATTCGCATGATGAATGCGTGGGACAAAGGGCTAGATTCGCCTTCAGAAATTACACAATTTCGAAGGGTTGCGGGATTGAATGTCACTATCTGATGGCAAGTGGCTGAGATCTTCCCGCGGACACTAGCTGGCGCGGTCATCCGATACGTTCCTGTACCTTCCCTGATTCGGCTAGCAGCGCCAGATGGCCGCATCAGCCTCAACTGAACACACTCCTTTACCATTTTTTTGGCATCCAAACGCCTGAAACAAAGTCGCGCACGGCTATGTCCTTACTCGAACATCTAGGCGTTGATAGGAGGCCCTTCAGACACCACCAAGGCAGGATGGAGTGAGTGCGGGCAGCCAATGTGCATCGAACAGCTATGGTACCGTCAGGGCCGCGATGAGAGTCCGACCCACCTTGCCGGAGTTCCTTCACACTTAGGTTTACGACTTTGCTGGGTTTTCAAATGTGTACTGCATGTGTAGACTGTACTGCTTCGACTGTGACTGCTCTACAGACAAAATGACTGGGCAATCTAGGCACGATCATACCGAACCACGATGATAGGTCAGCGAGCACCTCCGAACATGCCACCGCACCCCGGCCAACGAGGCTTGAAACATCCTCTTCTAACGGTTCTCTTTTTCCCACAATGCTAGGCCTGCTGTGTCGGCGGCAGCGACAGACTAGTCCCCTATCTAGCGAGCGTTCATGCCCCAGCTGCGCGGCTCGCGGACTTTATACGGTTTCATTGCCCCGAACCTAGCTATTCCAGCCCCATCCGTAAGCCAAATTGCCGTCGCTGCGTAGTTGCTCGCCTGACCTAAGCCAACGTTTCAAGCCACTACTTGACATGAGGCCGTGCATGTTCAGTCGTTGTATAAGAGATAGCTTTGGGGCTTTAGGGTAGCGACAGCATCACGACGCCTTTACTTGTTCTTTGATCCGATTTCGGGTCTTCCATTCATTACAGTCTCTCGTTCAGTCACTCTTTTCACAATGCGGTTTCTTGCGGGCTGGTCCGTAGCCGCATTTGCGGCATTGGCTTCCTGTGCGCCGAGCGCACCTCTCAGTCGACGCGATTGTACAAGCAAGGGGATATTCGCTCACTACATGATCGGAGAAGTCTTCGATGAACACACCAAGAAGGATATTCAGGATGCAATGGATCTAGGCCTAGATGCATTTGCTCTCAACATCAACTCCCTACAGTCCTGGGCAACCGAGACTGTGGAGCGTCTTTTCAAGAATGCTGACGATCTCGGCTTTAAGCTCTTCTTCTCCTTCGACTTCGGTCCCAACAACTTCGGAGACCCCAGCGAGGTGGTCGACTATCTGAAGCCTTTCCTTTCACGACCCTCCTACTACGCCCACAACGGCAAACAACTTGTCACCACCTTCGGCGGCGAGCAATTCGACGACGGCAAGATCTCGCAGTTCAAGTCCAACGTCGGCGGCAATGTCCTCTTCATCCCGGGCCTCTACAACGGCGCCGCCTCCGCCGACATCTTCAGCAAAAACCCCAGCTACGACGGCGTCTTTGGCTGGAACTCGTGGCCAAGCTCGTTCGCAGGCAACGTCGAGACGACTGCCGAGACCACCGACGATGCCGTCTGGGCGCAAGCCGTCAGCAACTCGCCCGGCAAGCTGCGCATCGCCGGCCTCTCCCCTATCAACTTCAAGCACTACGCGGGACAGAACTGGTACCGCCGCGGCGAGCAGAACCTCGAGGTGCGCATGGCCGCGCTCCTCAAAGACCAGCCCGACATGATTGAGATCCAGACGTGGAACGATGCCCCCGAGAGCCACTACATCGGGAACATCTGGGACGAGCCCAACACGGGTAACACCGAAGCGCAGGGCTGGTACAAGGGCTTCGACCACACGGGCTACCAGCAGGTCATCAAGGCGTTTGCGAAGGCGTGGCATACTTGCGATAGTGTGGAGAATATGGTTCCCACCAACGGGAAGAGCGTCCAGGGCGCGTTCTGGCACCACGTGCTCACAGTCGGCGGCGACTGCAGTGCCGACCCCAAGGGCAAGCCGGACCCGCTGCCGGCTGAGGACTCTGTCAGCGGTGTTGTGCTGGTTGCGAAGGGCAGCGCGGGGCTTGTTGCTGTGGTGAACAACGGCGATAAGGAGCTCGGCAAGTTGACGTTGAAGGAAGGATACAACAGTTTCAAGTTCGACAACCTTGGTGCTGGAAAGGTCCAGCTTGAAGTTTGTGAGTTTATGCCCGAGATGATGAGATGTGAGACTTTGCTAACGAGGCGCGGACACAGGGGATGGAAGCACTATGGTTGGTGGTGGTTACAGCAACCAGACTGTGCAGACAAGCTCAGACATCTGCAACTACAACTTCCAGGTCGTTGGGTTCCCAGGCTAGGTGCTTCCCGCGTAGGACTGCGTGTGCTGGACTTGAATCGGACCAAGGGTGACCATATCTATCGATGTTTTGATGTCGATCAGAAAGTATATACATTAATCCTACACACCTATTCAAAGACATACCAGTACAGCTGCGGTCTACGCCGGCTTCCTGTGCAGTACGATAACGCAATTCCAAGTCGTGACAACCGTAATGAGCTGGAATGTAACCGCATTATGCTTTGCGAAGTATGCCCGAGCCGAACGCCAAAATCTAACCCAGCCCTGACGCCCTAAACGCCAACCCATTGGTATCTTCTGATGAAAGACTTGCAAGTCTTCGGGACCTACTCCTCTTCTTCCTCTTCCTCTTTCTCTTCTCCGTCCCCGGCCTTAGCGCCGGCCTCGTCCTCCTCCTTATTGTCCTCAGCAAGCTTCGCAACCTCCCCATCATATTTCGGTCTCGCAATCTTCTCTTCTCTCTCAGCAAGAACTGCCTCAAGGAGCGGCGCGGCGGCGAGCAGTGCGTTGTATTGGTCGATCGGTAACGAAATGCCCTACAGACATCATTAGCTCTTCTTCACCGTGGTCACAACAAGTGTACCTTCTTCCCCGGCTTCATTTGCCCATCCGACTTATCTTCGTAGTACTCCCGAATACTAACGAGCGTCTGTCCCTTGAAATCGCTGACTGTGACGCGTCGCGTGCCGTTCGCTTTAAGCTGCATTCATCACAATCAGTCCTGCGCTCCTTCCTCTCCCGTACTTAACGATTGATGTCTGTACTCACAGCAACAAAGGGATTCTTGTCACCGTCCGTGTCTAGCACTGGTACGAGCGGCTCGTCTTCGGCGTCGTTCTTCGCTTTCTTGGGTGCCGGCGCAGATTCGTCGTCGGAAGGGGAGGCGCGCTTCTTGTTGAAGGGCTTTTTGGCGGTGTTGGCGCTGCGGAAGCCGCCGCGGCCGCGTTTGGCGTACATTGCGGGTGATTGTGTGGAAGTGTTTCGTGGAAAAAACGGGTCGATGTAGTTTGGGGCGGATAGCAGCTTTGTCTGCGCTGCCGATGATGCGAATGGAGCGATGACGCGACGCGACGCAACACGCTAACCCGTTATCACGTGCACCTTCCCCGCTCGTTGTCTCACGGGTGGGGGCGCTCCCATCTTCGCACTGCAACTACATTCGCTCTTATGGCATCAGTAACTCAGCCGGTTCGAAGAAGATCTTCTAGAGAGAGCAATTAAGATCAATGATGAGAGAGGAAAAGGGAAGACGTTTAAATCGTCGACCTCGGCTATTGCGTTTCCCCGACTCGACAAGATCCCAATCGTGTTGTCACAGAATGTATATCCAAAACCTTATCACGAGAAAATACATGACCAGACTCGTTACATACGATACGACCGCGCTTCAACTGACCGTGCCGTCTTGATTCAGTACGCGCAATGACGCTCTCTCAGCGGGACCTTCCTCTCGGTGTTTCCCAATCAACACTGGACCACTTCGCCGTCATACCATGGACGCAGAGCACTCTCAACGATCCCGCCTTCCGCATCGTCTCCCATTCCCGTACTGTAACGCATGGTGGGATCGGCCACACGCTCACGGGCAAAACCTGGAACACCGATGGCACCATAAAAGAGCTGCTTTCTTTCTGGAGACCGTCCCCATCACCACACGTTCAGACCGAGTCAGGAAGAGCAGAATTGAGGCGGTTCTACACTTTTGGCGGGGATTTGAATGCCCATCCGGGACTTCTCCACGGTGGCGTCATTGGTTGTATCCTTGATAGCAGTATGGGAGGCTGCGTGGGGATGGTGCTGCATGATCCTCACGAGACTTTCGCGCTGTTCACTGCCCAGCTGAATATCGCGTACAAGAAGCCTGTAAAGACGCCGGGTACAGTGGTTGTGAGGTCTTGGGCGACTAAGATCGAGGACGGCGGAAGGAAGGTATGGGTGCATGGCGTGGTTGAAGGCGAGGGAGGTGTTGTTCACGCTACTGCAGAGGGACTGTGGGTACGTCCGGGTGTGACCAAAGCCAAGATCTGAAGTATATCAAACCTTATCGTGAATTTGATCGCCCGTTCCTCTTCAAGGCCAGACACGCGTTCGTCTCATCGTCTCCAAGCCAGGTACAATACGTCATCACCACCTGGAGAACCCCCAGAACTGTCGCAGCGAGGCCAAAGAACACCGCAAATGCCAAAGCTATCACAGCGGCCCAGTACGTATAGCGAGGGGACGACCTCCGATCACTCCATTTCTCGTACCATGTCATAGGTGTGGGATGTTCGACTTCTTGCAGTATCTTGTAGAGGCGCTCGCCCCAGTGCGGAAACTGCTCGAATAGATCTGACATGTCTTCGGGCGGCGACAAGCTTTGCGGATGCTCATGCAGGCTGGAGAAGATCTCCAGTGACTTCAGAAGAGCTGGGTCTAGTTCGGTCTTCAAGTCTTCTTGTTGAAGGTACTTGCGGCTCTCGGTGTCGTTTTCGGGAAAGAGGAGCCAGATGGTACGCAGTGTCTCTGACAGAAACTGTGGGGGGAGGCAGCCACTGCTATTATTAGCTTTGTGGTATTCATTGATTTCCAGATGGCATACCGTCTGAGGCTCTCCTCCAGTGAAAGATCCTCGTTTTCTTCGCTCAGCGCTCGAAGTGCAGTTGCTAACCAGCCCGCTTGACCGAACACTTGTAGTGTCTTCCAATCTTCTGTCACCTCGAGGTAAAGATGATCCGGCAGATTATTTGTCCATTTGATGCTGATGTGTGTATAGTCTCTCAGGTAACGAGCACGAAGCTTATGAGCTTTGATCGCTTCGGTTTGTCCCAGCGACTCGACTTCGTGACGCGGAAGGACCCGTTCAACTAACGCAGAGAGCGATTCTGTGTCCTTCCAAGCCGGTCGCAATTTGTGCCCTGTAGTGATGCTGTTGATCGAGGAGCGGCAACTTATCATGAACATCACCCTGACCGCTAGGTCCAAAGCAGTGCTGATATCATGATTGGCGAGATCATCGGTAGCATGTAATGCCTTGAGCTCTCTTTTGGGTAGCATCTGGTTTTCTCTCAAAGTCTTAAGCATGCGAGTCAACTGATCGTGGGTGTTAATCTGAGCAAGGCGTGCAGATGCGCTCGTAGATCGTCTCGGTAAGCCAAGTCTCAACGCCACTGTTTGGTGTGCATAGTAACCAAAGAAGTGATACAGTGTATCAATGTCAACGTTCGCTACAAAATCTCTACCCCAGATCGTTGAAGCTATCTTCTGCTTGATCTCGTTGCTGACATTGTGATCGAAAGGCTGGGACTGTGGTGACCGAGGTTGATGATCCGACACCATAGGGACGACATGTATTTCGTGTGACGGCATTCGATGTGCCTATTGTGATCGCTAATAAGGCTAGGTTAGCTTATGCTCAATCAATCGATGTCGCAGAACTGAAAAATAAAGCGCGATAAAGCTGACAGTATGTTCTTCTTTCCAGGTCATCGAGCGCATTCGTAAAAATCAGGCGCAGCTTCTGGCAAGCGACAACCCTACGGCGGGGCAGTGTAGCTTCAAGCCTTATCATGCATCTAATTGGGCGCTCAGAATGCCTGTAGGATGGACCTAATCAAATCGCTTCGGTGGCTTTCAGCCTTGCATATCAGCAGCCTCACCGCTTCACCGGCCAGTGCCCCGCGATCTCAGCCTTATGAGTAGTGATCAGGCCCCTCCTACTGTGTCTTCGCTTACACCAGGGAGCTAAATACATGCACTAGCTTGATTGCCCTGGGAACCTCGATAACGGTCGGCAGTCGCACTACAGCTCCCCAAGAAAAATGCAGCACAAGTACACGCTGTGCACCTAGCCAATTGGAAGCTTCACAAGAGCCATGACTTCTGCCATGGAATTGACAGTCACAAGGCAAATGGATGAGCTGCGGCAAGGGGTCCCGTCGCCTCCAGCGGAACTGGAATGCCTGCCGGCCCTGCCTACTGGAAAACTAGCTGTCTATGAGAGTCAGGCACATGAGCTATTGAACAAACCAGGCTTTCTCAAGTCCTTCAAGACGCGAAAACCTCAACTCTCCAATGAAACAAGGCGAAAACCTACGCACCCTGCTGTCGCCGACTCTGTATCGCAAAGCAATGGTTCCAGTCTCCTACCAATCGCTGTCAAGAGAAAGAAGCGAGAGAGATTATCCACACTCACGTTCACATCGACAATGAATCTCTTGGGAGATGATACGGTCGCGTTCGATGACAGTCATTGGGCTAAGCTGTCGACGTTCATGGACGCTTGGGAACGAAATAATTCTCTGTGGTGCCATGATCTTCCTATGCGAAATCTCTCGACCACCTTAGTTGCCGTAAAGGGAAGGAAATCCGAACAACTCCATAACGACACACCATACATATGTATTCGTGGCCTGTTGAACGAAAAGGAAATCACTGCTTTCCATACCGTACTCACTCAAAAGAATGTCCGAATCCATTATGATCCTCTTCGCATTTGTTTCGATCGGAGCAGCATACACATTGCTTCGTGTAAAGAACTTCATATAAAACCGGGCCAAGTGGAATGGACAACGTGCGGAGCAATTGCTGTTATATCGGAAAATAATGTAACTCACTATTCGACTGTTGGGGGCATTCTGAACATCAACGGAAGAAACTTTCTCATGACGGCCTACCATGAACCTAGGGAACAAACAATTGAAGGTTCTCAAGAAGAAGAGACTGTTTTGGCAGTTGAGAGCTGGATATCTGCTGATCGTCCGTTGGTCGTCGACTCTTGGGTCGCCAACTCTATCTTCCAGCCTCTGGCTGAAACATTAGCTACATCTTCCTATGATGCGATTCCTTATGACGGCTTGAATAACATTTGGGATCCCTGTTCGGGGCTGACAGGGCAGTACTGGCGAGCGTACACTGAAAGAACTCCTTCGCAAATTACTCCGAATGCGTTCCTTCTTCCAGCCGACGGCGCACCTCAAGTAAGCCCCGAGGAAAATGCAAGCTTGACCTCAAGAGTGCGGTTCGTCTCTGGAGTTGGAGCTGGTGTGCATGGCCCTAGCAATCAGAAACAGGAAGTCATCGTCCTAGCCGCACGTACTGGAACATGCTTGGGAACGCTTTCTCAAAATATTTCCTTCATTGCGCTTCAAAGCTATAAGTGGACTCGAGTATGGACTGTATGTATAGAGGATGGAATCAGTCAGTTAACCCGTCATCACATATTCTGATTTGCTTACCTTTTCAGGGCTCCAACAAGGCGACTCTGGCGCCTGGGTAATCAGGAGAACGGATAACTCACTCTTGGGACACATCATAGCTATCTCCGGCCTTCTGGGATACGTAATACCGATTTCCCAAACCCTGGATGACATGAAGACCGCCATTGGGTCAAATATCGTTGTTCAGATGCCTTCTCCATTCCAACATCTCGCTGAACTAGCAAAGCGCACATACAAATCCGCTCATGACGTCGAGACTAAGGACAAAGCCCTACGTATTGCCCATAGGGCTATTCAAGAGGACGTCATGGGCATGTCACTCCCGTCTCAATTTAAGTTTCTCACCTGCACGATAAAATCCGGATGGGACTCGCTGCTCCTCGCAGAGTTGTTGTGTATTGTGGGGGCAGACTGGCAAGAGATGCTGGATGAACATAACTGGAATACAGCTGAACGTCAGTTTGGTAGTGTAATGAACAGGCGAGAATTGCTCGCGCGCTTGAAGAAGGCCGTTGCCACTGATGGCCTGAAGACCCCCGGCTCCCAAGGGTCCAAGGACGATGGACTAGATAAGATACACGTCAAGTTCGACTTACCCCATGAGCATGATAGTCCCTCAATCGCAGAAAAGACCGACTCAAAAGACCATCCAGGGGATCTCTATCCAAACGGTAACCGCGTAGGTTGGGATGCAGAAGACGATCCCGAAAATCCCAAGAACTGGAGCTTCTGGACCAAATGGCTTCAAATCTGTCTTTTGATAGTTCCTGTGTTCACATCGTAAGTCTTCCACAGTGGAATGCCCGGAGAGATCGCATAATAATGCTCTGTAGAAGTTTCGGTTTTACAGTGATGGCAGGGCCTGCAGCAGAGATCATGGGGACACTCCGTGTGCACAACTCGCAGCTTGTGACCTTTGCGATTACGGCATATACTCTTGGACAATTTTTCGGGCAGCTGATTATTCTTCCACTTCATCGCAAGTACGGTATACGGAACGTACTTTTGCTTCACTTGGTCCTTTTTCCAACTGCAAACATATGCTGCGCACTGAGCCAAAATGCTGGTATGTTGATCAGTTTCCGATTTCTTTCCGGATTAACCTCTACATTCTCTTTCCTGCTTGGTTACGAAGCGAGCATAGAGATGTTTGATGCGTATGCAATGGGGTTGGGGGGAGGTATCCTAGCCATATCAGCCACTATCGGTACCACGGTTGGCTTGGTCTCTGGGAGCTTTTTGGTGGCCCGGCTGGGCTGGCAATGGGCTTTCTGGATCACTGCCATCACCAGTGGAGGCTTTGGACTCCCGAGTGTCTTTCTTCTGCGCGAAACCTCTAAAAAAGTTCTTTTGACGAGAAAAGCTATTCGCCTGCGGAAGGAGACATTCAACCAAGCGCTATATGCTGAAGTAGCTACCGAGAAACTCACAAGACTGTATCAGGGGGTTTGGGATACTTACTCACAGCATCTGAGCAAGCCCAGTCTGGTCATCCTCTACATCCACTCAGCAACGTTCCAAGGATCAATTCATTTGATCTATACGACTCTCGGATACGTCTTCCTACAACAATACAGCTTGGCCGGCTCTCATATAAGTGTAGCTGCAACTGGTATAGCGGTTAGCATTACTATCTCAGCCTTTCTATTATCACCATTCACTGCATCGTCATCAGCTTGGACGATTCAAACTCGGGCACTGTACGCGAAAGTGATTGGGTCGTTGATGATGGCCACACTGTGCGAGGTTTCTGGATTTATCACTTACGGATGGACGGCTGAGTACCACATTGACAAAATACTACCGATACTTAGCTTGTCTCTCATTCCTCTGGGAGGACAGGTTAGTGTAAGTTGTCCCAGCCCGTATGTTCCCCTCAGCACAGCTAACACGTGCACCAATGATCAGTTCCGGTGCACAATTTTTGTTGTGGATCTTGTGTCTAAGGAACCAACTCGTTACATTGCCCACGACACTATTCGGCTCCTATTTTGCGCTGTCCTGCCATTGGGTGGAATTCCTTTGTATAGAAGTATAGGAGTTGGTTGGGGCAATACACTACTTGGATTGCTCAACCTATTCCTAGGGGTTCTTGTAGTGGCGGTTTTCTTGAGAACTGTCAGAGCTGCGCGACCTTCTGTGACTGGCACGCCTTCGGGGTAGATAAGGGGGCTCTGAAATTCCTTTAGAGAAAGAGGAGAATGGGTTGTTCTCGTAGGGGGGATGGCTGTAGCAAAACTTAGCACACTGTCAGTATGTTTATATGTAGAGTTGGTTATCTGCTGCTCTTCCTCGAAGATGCGCAAGGTAGGCGCGAAACACACTAAAGGGGAGTTTTCGTGCATGACCAGGCTACGAATTACATGACTCTGTAGGTTGATACCCGAGAACGAGGGCTACGCGCTTTATGCTAGAAGTCAATGAAATGGATCCACGTGTAACGGGACATTGCGGACACGGAGAATACCGAGAATTGAACTGGAAAAAGGACTAACACCATAGTTATGCATTGAAGTAATTTCTCTATAATGATATCACAATAAGTCAGATGCTCCAATTCCGCCCAAATCCCTAAAGTCCAACGAAGTGAAACGGGTATACAATGCCCGTGCATAATCTCCAAACCGCATCCCCAGTATCCATCAGCATCGAGCTTACAACACCAACATAGCAAGGAAAGCAAGGAAGACTGCACTCATGGTGGGCAACATGGTGGAAGCGGCGCCGGGGAACTCAGCGGGCGCTGAGGGGACGGGTGGCGAGGCGGTGCCTGTGGGCTCGTAGGCAGGGGTGGAGGTGTTGTAGGGCAGCGTCAGCGTGATGGTGCTACCGGTGGTGCACGGTGTGCTGGTTGGCGGCGCCGGGGGAGGAGTCTCGGTCGTGCAGGGGGTGCTGGTGTTGCCTGCAGGTGGGGGCGGCGGGACGCTGCTGGACTCAGCAGGCGTGGTCTCTGGAGGTGGAGGGATGTCTGAGCTGGTCGACTCGACAACCTCGGTGGTCGCCGGTGGCGGCGGCGGGACATCGGTGCTGGTGGTGCAGGGCGTGGAGGTGGATTCCGGAGTGGACTCGGGCGGTGGCGGTGGAACCTCGCTGCTGGACTCAACAACCTCGGTACTGCTGGACTCAACAACGGGGGGAGGGGTGGCAGAGGACTCGCAAGGAGTTGAGGTAGAGGGGGCAGGTGTAGGAGTAGGCGTGGGCGTGGGAGTAGCCTCGGTGTAGGGCGGGATGGCAACACCGTATCCGTACTGGCGCCTCTTCAACTTGAAGTCGGTGGAGTTGCTCTCGGGGACATTAGTGAACTTGGGCTTGCCAGCAGTTGGGGCCGCAGTGCCGATCGTGCCAACGCCAGTCCCGACACCAGTTCCGATAGTGCCAACGTCAGTCTCGACTGGGTCGGTGTAGACATCAGTGGCAGGGCGGAAGCCCTTCTCGGGAGCAAGGCAGAGAGTGGGCATGGTCTTAACGGTTGTGAAAACGGTCTTGTGCTTGCGGATAGGCTTGAAGGGGTTGAGCGCATTGGTGTCGACACCAGGGATGACCATGGGCATAGCAGGGAGGACGAAGTTGAAGCCGAGGATGGCGGACATGGACACGTTCCACTCGATGTAAACGAGCGACAGCTTGTCGGGCTGGGTGCTGTTGGTGCCGTTGGCGAGAGGGAAAGGCGCTGCGTTCTGGCGTTTGAGGTTGCGGGCATGCGTGGCCTGGCGAGATGCTGGGGCGCGACGGGCCTTGGTTGCGCGACGGATAGCCTTGACGTTGCGCTTGGCGACAGATCGCTTCCCTGCGGTGAAGCCGTCCTTGGCATCCAGAGCCTTCTCCTCAGCCGAGTCAGCCGAGGGAGTGTCTTCAGTATCGTCGGTCGTGCTATCATCGGTCTCGTCCGTGGTGCTATCGTCGGTCTCGTCCGTGGTGCTATCGTCGGTCTCGTCCGTGGTGCTATCGTCGGTCTC